TAGGGGGGGCCTCAGGGGGGGCCTTAGGGGGGGCCTTTTTTGGCTCTGGGCGTCTGCGAACACGAAAAAAAGGGGGGGCCTAAGGGGGGGCCTAACCCCCCCCCTTTGGGCAAAAGGGGGGGCCCCAGGGGGGGCCTCAGGGGGGGCCTTAGGGGGGGCCTTTTTTGGCCTCAGGGGGGGCCTGAGGGGGGGCCTCAGGGGGGGCCTTAGGGGTCGAGGGGGGGCCTGAGGAGGGGCCTAAGGGGGGGCCTGAGGGGGGGCCTGAGGCCCAGAATAGCGCTAATGATCATTATTAGTCTTGTAATTGCTGCCCGGAAGTAGTTCTAGGGGCAGCTGCGCATGGAGTCCTCGCTCCATGAAGTGCAAAGGGCAAAAAGAGGGATCTACAGTGATGAAGAATACTGACAAGCTAGCTTAGGCATAAGCATCAAGCATCACGACCGAAGTAGAATTCTCTTTCTCGAGGAGTGCAGCTTCATCAAAAACTTCTCTGGAATGTTCATGTATGCGGCTCTCACTCTTCCACGGCCGGAACGACGAGAAAGTAGAAGAGGCAGTAGAGTGGATGAAAATTATATAAGAGTCTCTTCATATTCTTGGTGACTTGCTCTTTCCGACTGTTTTTCCCTGCACAGTAGCCTTCGGGAGGACCCGGAAAAGCCATCTTTTGCACCCACTTCAACGAGGTGATCACGGGCTTTGCGTGCTACTTCGTCTTCGTTGTGGACCCGTTCTTGCGGAAAAAGTATGGTTTTCTTGAAGCTGGAGGCGCATGAGATTCTCGGCGTCTCTCTTGATGTTGGCAGGGGTCGTGCTACGTAAGAAGTTAGTACTTACTTTACAGCAGTATTCCGTGAAGATCGGATTGTTCTTCGCTGTTGGACGAGCTTGGCGCTGCTCTGGAAACGACTTTGGCTCTTCCCTTTCTTGTTTCTTACTTTATACTAACATTCGCTTGTTTGATGTACACCTCCGGTCGAAAAACTACAAACTGCTTCTTGCCTTGTTTCTTTAGATTGTTTCCGACGTCACCACTTATCTTTGTCTTGACGTCAGACAGAAGATTGTATATGGTTTCCTGCAAAACTACCCGTACCCAAAGCCAAGTAGAACTAAAAAACCCGGTTTTGTTGAAACTTCTGACGTCTTGTGACGAATGAAACAAGGCTTTTGCCTACTGGATCTGTGGCAAGATTATCACGCTCGTCGTAGAGTGAGTCACACGCACACCACTAACTGTTGGTGTTGATGCCCGAAAAGTGAGTGTATGCAGATTTTTTTCATAGCTACTACTAAATTATGGTCATTTTTATCTACCCTCTCTACCATGTCGTTTTCCTTTTCGTGTCGTCTTGGTTTCTCCTCGTCCAGTCGTATCTCGTCCACAACACGATCTCTGTCTCTCCCCGTAGGCACTTCGTGAAAAAAATGCTCTCGCTTTTTCTTTGAAGAAAGTAGCACATACTGACGAGGTTGCTCGTCGTCCTCCAGAACAAACGTTGCCCCCCCACACACGATTCGTACTCCCGCTGCTCGTTCGTTCCGCTGCTCTTCGTTCATCTACGTAGTAGCTAGTTGTCAGCCAAGTTACACTTACAACTTCTATACTGTAGATCGTCAATACAAAGTCAAAAATGCTGTGGCGTCTTCGTGAATAGCAATGACTTCCCGGCGCTGCAGCAATGCCGGTACAACTCGTCGTCGTCGTGATGTCATCTTCTGATATAGGCTTTTCCATTCCAGGCGAGGTTGCAAGAAACCACGTGCACCTAGAAAAAGAAACATCAAACGACAAAGATGAACTCGTCATGGAGATCAACAGATTATGTCTTCTCTCTTCCTACTTTCTCGCTTTGCAGGAGCATTTTTTCCTTTTTGTACAATATATAACAATAGCATGAGGTCAACGTCGGCCATACATAACCTAATAATTTTTCTTCTTGTTGAGTCTTGAAATTTTTACCACCTGGATGTGTGTAGAAGTTTTGCAAGATTTGATAGTTGTGTTCTAGCTAGGACAGTAAAAAAGCAAACTACACCATGTCGAACAACTCCTCTGGCGGCTTTGCGTTCAAATTCCCGGGCGCCGGGGGGCCTAACAAGCCCTTTGGCTTCTCCTTCCCCACCGGACCAACAATCGGAAGTGTGGGCAATGGAGCGGCCATAGGCGGCGCAGCACCAGGTGGCGCAGCTTCGAGCCTCGGCGACTTGGCCTCCCTGACGCCAGAGAACAGAGGCAACAACTTTTCGATGTTTGGGGCAGGAGCAACAGCTGGCGCACCCAACATGATGGGTGGTGCCGGCGCTGGGGCCGCTACTTTCGGGACGATGAATAACATTGTTGGTAGCGCGCCAGCGGGAGCACAGGCACATCAAATAGGCTCGTCAATAAATTCGATGGGAATGATAGGCAGCCAGCAGAACAGGATGTTTGGCGGCATGACAGCCAGCGTGTTCGGAAACCTGGCGTCCCTTGAGCCGGAGCAGTCTGCGGCGCCACCAGGAGGAGTTGCACTAGAGAAACAGGAAGGTCCTGTACAGCAGGCGTCTAGTATAAGTCCCGGGGAGGTGGGGCAAAATCTCGCGGGTGGACCTCATCAAGCAGAGAAGAACGTAAACTCAGCCGTCGTCTTTGAGGAGCCAGTCACCGCGTTCAGCGGAGGCGAGGAGACGCGGGAGGCAATAAAGCATGCAGACAGAGAGGAACTAGAACAAGATCATGCAAAAAAAGAAGCATCTTCTTCACACCAACTCGGCTCCTCGCCCTCTTCCCTCGCGGCGCGCGCCAGATCCACGTTGCCCCCACTGGACCAGTACGAGACTGGCCCCGCTTCGTTTCACTCGCCCAGGGACCTGAAAACGTCTCCGCGGAGCAAGGACGATCTCAGTTTCAAGGATAACGAAAGGCTGTTGACAAAGCAGTACAGTCCGGAAAGGCTGGAACAGCTCAGCATGCCGAGGAATACTAGTGGACAAGCGCTGGCGTTGAGAAATCGAAATGCAATAAATGGCGCAGAAGGAGGTGAAGATAACTTTGTCGTCACAGTGGACCCACCGTCTTCTTCGAGGTCGCAAAGTGGATCCTCGTCATCCGCTTCTGGTTCTGGAACTGCTTCCTCTACCTCGTATAATCTGAAAAACGCAGCGCCAGCGGCCAGTAGAGGTGGAAGTAGAAGATCCGCTGTTCATGACGATTCGCCTAGAACCAGAGCAGACCGCCGCGGCGGCAGCCGCAGGCGGAAACACAAACACGACTCCGAGGAGAGACGGTTCATGAAGAGTTTGCAGAAGGCGATCCCGGGTGCTGAACCGACTCCATTGGAAAGGGAAGTTTTACAGCTCCTGGAAACAAATTCATCGACAAGAACTACTTTTGTTGGAGCCGGGGTCGGTCGGACAGCTCCTGCTGTGAGTACTACGACCTCAGGCGCAAATCTTCATCCAAGAGCGAAGAAAGGACAAGGAAAGAGGACCACGAAAGGCGCAACCGGGGGAGCACACCTCCAGAATAAGCCAATAATAGCGTCGGCGGAGCAGGGTGCTGCTGCTGTCGCTCCGAGAACTACTAGTACACCAGGACCGTTCCGTTCGGTTCTAGGGTCGTCGTCCAATAAAGGGATAATGTCAACATCTTCGGGGACGACCAGCAACAAAGCCACGCCTGCAAAATCCATCGGGCGAGACTACCGCGATTTTCTCGCCCTGGACCCGAAACTGAACGCTGATATTTTGGACCAGAGGACCGCCAAAAGCTCCTTGCTCTTCAGCCCGGAGACGACGCCACGGGGAACTACTCACACAGATGACCACGACCAGGGTCGAAAAAATAGTAAGTCGAAGAAGATATTGAAAGCAACAACTCCCCACAGCAGCTCCTCCGCTGCCAACAGTACGTTGGAAGAGGAAGACGCCTACGAGGAAGATTTTGACGACGATTTCGAAGAGGAGGAAGAATTCTTCGAGGAAGACGATGACGAGTTGACGCCACGTGATGCGACCAATACTAGGAATGCTGCTGATGCCGCTACAGTTGCTGCCAGTAAAGAACAGAACAGTCTGGACGATATCCTTTCCAAATTCGCGCACGACGAGGACTTTCTCGACGAGGAAATGAACATTAGCCAATCTGCTCATCATGGACAAGAGGACGAAACCGCGGCGCAGAAAGCAGCAAGGGAGCGCGCAGTAGAAAAAGACCGGGAGGACAGCGTGTTTCTCGACACCTCCGGCCGATCGATGTTCGCGATCGGGAAGTCTGCCCCTGTTCAGGAGCGAAGGGGAGGTGCTGGGGGGACAACTGCTCGGACTTCTAGAACTGCAGCCGCGAAGAGGACATCACCATCGACCGTGAAAAATGCCCGAAATCCGAACCGAAGAGCAACGCGCGCCGCGAGTACTTCTTCACCTACAGCGAACGGAGAAACAAGCAAAGACTGGCTCGCGAGTCCCCCGCCCGCCCACACCGCGGCGTCGACGTTTGCGAAGCCGAACCTGCTGCTGCCCTGGAGAGCCGAGAGTCCGCAGATCTCGACCAACAAGGAGATCACGCGTTCGGTGGAAAAGACGCGGGAACTCCTCGCGGATTGGTACTCGACCAACTACCTGGACGAGCGGACCGGCTCCCCGCTCTCGCGCGCGGAGCGGCAGGAGCTGCGGTTGGCCAGTGAGAAGAGGGAGCTGGAGTCCGAGCAACGGGTCAGGGAGTTGCAGAACAAGAAGTTCAAGCGCGCCCCGGGCCAGCCCAGCACCTACCACGGCTCGCATTACCACTACTACGTGGTGCGCAACGGCAGCCGGGGGTGCATGATCCAGCCCGGCTACCCGCGCATTTGGCCGCCGTCGGGAATGAAGAAGAGGCAGAACAACAAGCGAGCGGCGTCTACTTCCAGGTCGCCTCCCCGAGGCGGGAGAGCAGGAGCAGGAGGAGGCTCTGCTGAAGATGTTGAAAGCGAACAGCAAGAAGTGCTTAGTTCCTCGAATAAAAAAGACGAAGTCTTGTCTTACTTCGACCAAACCTGGTTGCGTCACCCGCAAAACCCAGAGCTGCGTGCTAACATCCATTCGCAAGAAAATAACGACCGTGGTGCTCCTCCTTCTGCAACGTCGTTCGCGTCTTTCGTCGCTTTAGACGACCCCGACTCTGCTGCGAAGGAAGTGTCCGGGCGCGTGATCCTCGAGGCAACGAAAATCGGGAGCCTTGACACGGATCAGATCGTCACCTTGAATCTGAACGAAAAGCCGGAGTTCGACAAGACACAGATTTTGTCCGGAAACAACGACAAAAACAACACCTCTTCAAAAACGAACAGCGAGACGGTGACGTTTGAGTTCTACGTGCACAACATTCTAGCCGAGACTTTGAGTCTGTCCCTGCTGCAGGACATTGGGAATTTCGAAAACGTTTCGGACCAAGCGAAATTGCGGGCGGTGAACTTGACGCGGAAACTGGGGAAAGATCTCGTCCCGGATATCGGAAATAGTCTGATCACCGGAAAAAAGGTTTTGGGCGAGGCGAAGTATAGCGTGTGGGAGCTACTTAACAGCACCGGAAATTCAACATCATTTTCCGGATCAACGAGCCCGAGGACGACTACAGGCAGTTCGGCTGACGTCGGGTCGTCCGCGTCGTCTCTTTCAAATGGTCGCGGAAGTAGTGGTGGAATGGGAAATAAAATCAACATGCTCAATCTTGGCACACCGGCTGGTCCAGGCATGAACAAATCGACTCCTGCAGCACGTCTGGCGCCCACGACGTCGTCCTCCGGCCCGCCGCAGAGTACGGAAGACGGCCCGGACCCCTGGGTTGCGGAGGTCATTCACCGTTTCAGCAAGGCATTGGAGCTGAAATGCAAGCTGTTTTTCCTCTCCGACGCGCAATCCATGGAGCGGGCCAGAATCGCGGCCTCCCGGGTGGTGGAGCCGCCACCGCCGGGCCCGTTTGACCCGCCCCGGCAGTTGCCGAAGGTCTGTCCGGCCGACAGCCCGCTCAGATACGGGGGGCAGCTGCTGAAGGAAAAAGTGGAAGCGGAACGAAAAGCGTTGGAGGAGGCGGAGCAGAAACGAATGGAGATCTTGCTGGCGAAACAGCAAGAAAAAATTGAAGGGTCATCTACTTCACAAGTAGGACTTGCTTTTACAGAAGATGGCTCCCAGCAGCGAGAGGAGCAGGACAGCGAGTCAGTCCCAGTCGGACAGACAACGCCCAGCAGGCTAAAGTCGCCCCGCAGTGTCCGGTTCGCCGATGAGGTGGCGCAGTGGGAGGAAACCGCCAAGCGCAATCAGGAAGACTGGGCGAAGGTGCTCAACTTCCCCCACTGCCCGGGCGAGGCGCCCCTGCGGATTGCGGGGGAAATAGCTGCAGGGCGTCTCGAGGATTCGTCGCTCCACTCGAGCCTGGAACTCGGGGACCTCCAGGGAGGCGGTGGACCGAAAAAAGCAGGAGGTGCTCCTGCTGGGGTAGTGAATAAGGGCTCGTCCTCGTCCTTGGATCATCATCTCTCGCCCTCCACCGTGTATGCCAAGCGCCACGATCGGGAAAAGTCCGCCGGTGCAGCAGGGGGCACTTCTCTTCAGCACCGTGGCTCCAGAAGCCCCCCTCTGTCCCCGAGAAGCGAAAGGAGAAAGCAAGCGAATTCTCCTTCCACCCGGCCGCCCTGGTGCCACGCCCCTGGCCACGCCCGGAGGGGCTCGATGGAAAAGCACGCGGGGGAACTGCGGAACAAAGTCCCGACGCCGCGCAGTCGGTCCGGCACGCCTCCGCCACCGAAGCCGGAGCGGAAACTTTCCATCGCCCGGGTCTCCGGCGCACACATTCTCCCCCCGGGTACGTTTGAGGAGAAGGAGATCTGCTTGGGGACTTCCGGGGCCGTCATCACGCACTTCTCGAGCGTGTTCGACATCTCGCCTCCGGTCAGCGCCGACGTAGTGATGGTGCAGCAGGATCCGCCGGTGATTCGGTCCGAAAGCTCCCGGGTAAACACGCCTAGAGTCGGTCTTGTCGGTGGTGCTGGTGCTGACGGAGCTGCACGAGTAGAAGTGTCATCTTCAAAGAATCAAGAACTGCGCGACGAGCGGGAGAAAAGTAATGTATTCGAAAGCGATCAAGAAGATATGCAGGATGACCAGACCACCACTGTGGCCGGTGCGGTTCCCACAACGACGGGCCTCTTTGAAGACGAGAGTCGGGACTTCACCACGACGACGGCGCCAGCTGCGGATCAGAAGCTTTTGAATCTGAATCTAGACAAAGTTCTTGTTCAGCGCGTGGACGAAGATGGTAAAGAAATGCTTAGTCAATCTTCCTCTTCACGCCAGCGAGCGGACGAGAACTTCGACGTATTCGGAACCAGACAACAAGACCACTCCTCAACGATCGGGGAACAAGGTCCTCGTCCGCCGCGTGATTCCCTACAAGACCTGCTGGATTTTGACCGCAACAGCTCGGTGACTGCGCCGTTCTTCCACGCGAACGAGTCCTCCCGGCGGGGGTCACGAGACAGCGCGAATGTCTTCGGTGAGTTAGAGCAACTACAGAATGTGGACAGAATAAACCCAGAAGGTCTCCTGAGTCACGAATCCACACCTAGGCCCTTCGACGAAAAAGAAGAGCAGTCGGGATTAGGTTTGTCCTCCAGTTCCCGGTCGTCCGACCAGATGAACATTCATAGGCCTGAGCAGGAACTACATAAGAAGAAGTCTTCGTCGCTGCTCGGCGACCTGCCGCCGCTTGGCGGCGCTGGTCGAAAGACGAATCTTTTGGGCGATCTGCCACCCCTACCCGGGCTCGGCGGTGCCGGGACGACCACGACGGCTGCAGCGTTCCTCGAGGATGACGAAGAACAGGAGCAAGGCGATAGTCTGCTCCTTGGACGAGCAGGACAAGCACAAGCGCACGAAGAGCAAGGGAGAAGAACAAGACCAGCAAAGTCAGCCACCGCTGAGCAGAAAAACAAGAAAAGCAAGAAGAAAGAAAAAGACGCTATAGACCGCATGTTGTTCGGCGAGTTTTCGGAGGGCGGTAACAGTTCGAAGTCGTCAAACTCCATCGCTTTTCCCGAAATCTCCTTTGGAGACGAGGAGAACGATAACGACCTGAATAACAATCCGGTTTTGCGGTCCTCTCTGACGACTTCGCCCGTTGCTTCGAATAATAAGCCCCCAGGCAACAAGAACCGTCCTCCCGGGGGTACTATGGATGCGATTTTTGGCCGCGGTGAAGGAGGTGGGAACGAGGAAGATGGTGCGGATAGGTCTACTCCGCTTTCATCTTCTGAAAGAGCGTCCTCGACACCCACATCGTCCGGAATGTTGAACAAAAAAAACCAGTTGCCGTTGGTCCCGCCGGCCGGGACGGCCGTGACGAGCAGAGAGAGCGGTGAACAAGATCTGCTACTTCGGGCTAAAAATAATGTCCCGCAACTGGATCTGGCTGCACGAGGTCGAGGCGGGCCACTTCGCACAGATGTTCTTGACGGTAGTGAGGACAAAATGATCCCCAGCACTGCGAGGAGCCGAGCATCGAACTCCCAAGTAGTCTCGGAGGACCTTGAAATTGCGGCAGACGGCAGCGAAGGGGCGAGCAGAAACGACGAGGCTCGTCCAGCTGCAGAAGGAAGAAGTCCCAGTCGCGCGACCTACTCGAACGAAGACTTTGCCTCCGCGACGGCCACGCAGCAATCCCAGTCCTCTGTCCGATCGGGGGATGAGAATCTTCCAAGCGGCTCTGTCATTCCTACACCCAGGAGCAGCAATAGCAATACTGAGAAGTCGAGCAACACCAACACAACCCCGAAGAGCTCAGCGCGCAGTAGCAATTCGAGAAAAAAACCCTCGTCAGCAGCGGACGACATTCGGGCCGCGATTGGCATGAGTAGTAAAAACTACAACGACAGTACTTCGCAGGTCCCGGCACAGCAGCAGCGAAGTAGTGGCGGCACAAGTGGGTCGAAAACAAGCAGTCCCTCGTCCCCTCCTAGGTCCGCGAGATCGGCGGAGCAGCCTGGTGCAGGGGCGGTCCCGAGCGACGGGAACAAATCTTCCGTAAAATCCAATACAAGTGGTCCAAGTTCCTCACGAACAAGCCGGAACAATGACAAACCACTGTATGATTTAGCGCCACGAGGACCACCTCTCAGTGTCACACAGCAGCAGGTGCTGGAAACAACCTCAATAAACGAGGACCAAATAAACCAGACACAGAAGAACTCAGTTGTGGAGATGAAAGCGCAAAAGGAGGAGAGGCCCTGGTGGATGGGGGAAGACAGCGAAGAGGAAAGGGAGGACGCTATGACGAAGAACAAGGAGAAGCCGCAGCACAATCCCGAGTCCGAGGTCGAAGAAGACATCAGCGAAGACTTCGGTAGCGACGACGGAATGGACTTGTTTAAGTGATGAGCCTAGAAATATCATCGTCATTTGGCTGTGCTTATGGTTTATTTAGGGCATCGAGGAATCAAACATATGTTTCAGTTTCTTCACATTTGGAATTATTTTCACACAGTAACTACATAAGTATTTCGCACTATTAGTGCTTTCTCAAGTACAGTACAAACAACAATCTGCCTTGTTGTGTTTCATTTTCAGAGTATTAGGGCTATTGACAGCGCTCACGTGGGGGTAAGCAAGTGTGTGAGCATCTTCACAACTGCCTGAGAAAAAACATCAATGGAGGCCATGAATAGCTGTTGGGTTCTTGTAAAAATACTTTTTGGCTGTGACGTAGTAGTAGTTCACGCAGTCGCAGGTAACTACAGCGCATTGTATCAGCGAACTTCCGGACAAGAAGCGTGTTTGCTTTCTGCCTTCACAAATCTTGTGTTCTTGGCGGTATTAATGACTCAAAAAGACGCAGGCGCTCCGCTTGATAAAACAGGCGCTGATCTCTCGCTCAGGCGTCAGCTCAGTTTTTTTCGTATCCCAATGAATTTTTTGTTTCCTTCTATCGATCGGCTCGTGCTTACGAGCGAGCATTTTGCTTCGCTTGATTTTTCAACATGATTTCACGGAAGCATATTAAGCACTCATATATTAATCGCGACATTTTATTTCGCTGTGTCTTGACCACATATGAGCTAAGCATGGATAACCCACAGCAACTGGATTCACTTTTCTAGGAGAACGACAGACAGAGAAATTTCTTTGGTTGTAACCAGTGAGACTAGTACGTGGAGGTTTCAATCTATCTTGTATTGTCGACGTGTACAGTGTGAAGAGTCTAACTACAAGTTGCATTGTCAGCCTGAGCCGGCACTCACGACTCAACGATGACCCAGAAAATCTTTGTCGATGTGTCCAGCGCACGGGTCCAGACCCTTATCGCAAGCAGAAAGTGCTTGTGCTTCACTGTAGACCCGTGCGGACGCGGCAGGAGGAGATATTTAAGTACGTCGCACTACAGTAACTATAACTAAAAATGCAAGGTATAATGAAATTTCTAGTCGCGCAGAAGTTTCCCACGCAACAAAGCACACACGACAGTGCATTTTCATCTTGGTCGTCGTGTGGGAAGTCGAGCGTGTCATGCAGGTTCTGCTCCAAGAAAAAAGTAAAAGATACAGTTCCTAAAGCACCAGTGACACCTACAGTGAAGCACGCACCTTTTTCCGTTTCATAACCCTGTTGGAGCACACGGAACACAAAGGCGCAAAAGAGCTGGACCTGGACATTTTGTACAAGCTGGTGAATGAGCAGCAGCAAAAGATTAGTTGCAACGCCTCTGCGGAGATTACTTCGAGCGGAACAAAAGCTGCGTCAGACTTATCTTCAGGAGAAGTACGAGAAGGAGCAGGGGGACCGGGTGTAAAGAAAACGAAAACCGCATCTGATGTTGCTTGCACAGGGGAGGTATTGAGAACAACCAAAGCTGACTGCATTGGCAGAAAGATGACATCAGAGGAACCCGACGGCTGCGACTTGTCTTCTGTCTCAACAACCCCTTCTTCTGAAGTCTGCACTTCTAGTACCGAAGAACACGACGCCTCAAAACCTCGAGAAGCAACCACGGTTGCAAGTGACGGGGATGATTTTTTCTGTAGCGACCGCAGCACTCTTTGCACTGCGGCCTCGTCGACGGCGCCGCTTAATTCGACGTCTAGTACTGCAGCTACTGAGGCAGACGTGGGGCATACTAGTAGCATCGCCGCAGTGGATCAACCAAGAAAAATACAAAGGAATGCGGGGGACGAAGGCATGATGCAGAAGACTGACCAGTTTGCGACCCCCGCAGCTTCCCTTGCAGAGATCATTGCACAGGACTGCCAGATCATTCGGCGCGAAACCGTTCCGGACCACCGGGAGCTGTCTGAAATCGAGGTTCTGCGGCTGAAACAGGAGGAGCGCGCCTACCAGAAGAGCGTCGCCAACGTTACCGCCCACGGTCGGCACACGGCCCGGAAAGAAATTAAGGCCGCCACGGAGGGAATGGCACTCGCCGGCCACTTCGTGCTCTCCTTCGTCGGCGCGTTTCTGTGCGGGTACATTCTACTTGCGTGCATCCTTCAATTGTTTGAGTTGCCTTCTTGGGCGTGGATTGTATGGGAAGGTATCAGAACGACATAAGAAGTCTATAGTAAAAAAAGATAAAGAACCGGGCCTGGTGCGCCTCGTAGCCTTGAGCTTGACTTGAAATACTAGTAGGCGAGGGTCAGGGACGACCTAGTTGATGCAAGAACCAACTACTACTCGGTCCCTCTAAGCAGATCATCCAAATCTATCTTGTAATCGGGTTGGACACTTTCACTTACGAGTATACTGCACTTCAGTCTCATCTACTAAGTACTAGCAAATGTAAATGATCTCATCGGGAAGTGTTTGCTACTGCTAGGACAAATACCACCTACTTGTGATCACAATCACAAAAAGAAGATATCTGCATATCATGATCACCATCTAGGTTCTACGTATGTATCCCAGCAAAGAAATGAATTCTGAGTCGCCCGTTTCCTGTTGATGTGCCACCTATTCCTCGTTTCTCGGTGGTGTGGTGGTGGAAATCAACATTGTCATGATGATGCATGAATTTATGTCATGGGTGAGTCCGTGAAATTAGCGGGCGAACAGCAACTCAGAAACTGTGCTAGGATACTCCGTGAGATTATCACAAGAAAATAACGTGCTAAGCTTAACGGTTTTCACAGATTGCAGTCATGCTCGTCCACAAATTTAGCCTAATACGAAAGCAGTGCATGATCACAAATTTTGGCACGTTTTGTGATGCATTGCTGCGTCACAAATTCCGCTAGCATTGACACTTCGTTTTCCTGTGATAAAGATCTTTGTCGTGGACGAGATGGCTATCAAGGCCTTGGTATCCTGCAAATCGACTTCCTCAGCTTCATCCTCGGCTTGTCTTTGTCATGCAAGTCTGCATCCCCCGAAGGAATGAATTGAAAATGCGTCAAGAGCAGACTCATGATGTAGTTGAGAGGCATTTTTTATTGATGCTAAGCTGCCATTCAAGAATTGAACTTCTCATGCTCTAATTATCAAGACAAAAAATGGCATTTGATTCGTGATGCTGTCGCTCTAAGCAATCAGCACTAATATGTTGCGCACTCAAGAATGAATTTAACGATACCCACGTGCGTGGAAGATCCCAGCAAAAAAACCTTGCTTGTAGTCGAATTCCCTCGGGTCTCGTCATGGCAGCTTCATTATGTTGGGCTGGGGACGTTTTCACACAGGATGCTTGGTTGGCGGTATGTGCTCATTTGCGACCCTGTTGTTGGTTATGAGACTGTACGTGAGCAGACAGGTTTCGAGTTTAAGGTAGTATGCGCCTTGTATAGTAGTGGAGCGCTCGTGTGTGACAGACAGGTCCGGGCATGTTTAAAGCAAAATCTGATCGTGATAAATTTGTTGGCACCCGGTAGCTACATGTTTTATGATAAAAATGCTTATTCCACCCTCTACCGAAACTCGACAAGCTGTAATGATCACCTTTCCAGTCCACACTCGAGGCTGCGTTATTCCTGATTCGCGAGCACAAGGAGGAAAAGAAGCGGGGAAAGCTGGAAAAACAAGCGACTTTCCATTATTCGCACACGCTGCGTGGGGGCACCGGCACCAGAAACAGGATTGTTCCAACCGAGACTTCGGACGAGCAGGAGCAGGGACTCACAAAAACCCCAGCACGTGCGCCAGCGGCAAGGGAGGACAGCGTTTCTAGGGGGAGCAGTCGTGCCAAAGGTGGTCGCGACGAGACCACGGGAGATGACCGTGACAGCCGTGAGGACGTGAGGGACAACGAACAAGCGGAGGTTGCTACTGCGAGTGCGAACTCGTCTAAGCAGGGGGAGATGGGCGAGAACTGGGTGGGCGAGGTCGACGAGCTAGACACGCCAAAAAACTTCACTATTCGCCAACGAAGATCATGATAGGAAGAAGGTGGTGGTCGTGGCGGAGCAAAATCATCAGAGCGGAACTCATGAAGTTGCAGCAAGAAAACGAAGAAACTCAGAAGTTTTACGGAGCTACAACAGGACTATGATAATAGCTCTTCGATTGTCCTCGTCGACATCACAGACGTTAACGTGTAGCTCTCGTCCGACGACTTGACTCGATAGGCCTTGGCGCATGGGCGTGGCTTTTCTTCAGCTACAAACAGTATAAGTAAGCAAAAACATCGCTTGGGCTTGAGGTCCGTGAAAGTAAAGAAAACCGCACATAGTACTAAATGGCATTGACGTGTGAACAATTCCCTACCGCTAGAACGAATCAATCAATCCAACAGAGAAAGATGAACGAAGAGAAGTAAGACAAAAAATCGTAGTCGGTAGTATCAAGACAACATGGTACGTAAATGCAAGTAACGAGGATCCCGCTGACTCGCACTCGTGTAGAACATCGGTGAAGTGCCTCCAAGATGATCAAGAATCGCGTCGAAATACAAATAAGCGATCTTGCGCTCGTCTTCGGTCAATAAACCAGCTGAACAATGCTCGGTAACTATAGAATTTCCTAGCTTGTTCTTGTGCCCATTATGATGAGAAACGAGGAAGCAGGATCATACAACAAGATAGAGTGGCCACGATATTATCATTATGTCGTGTCAGGAGTGCCACCACCAAAAAAACAATCATCAACATCCGAGCAGGCCCCTGACTATCTTCGGGATTAGTCTCGTAGTAGTCGTCAAGTCTTGAAAAAATAATCTGAATCTAAACTAAAAACTATACCGCGTGCCACTACTTAATCTTTTTCAAGTACAACAGCAACTAGCACCTACCTGCAGTTATTTAGTACTACCTCCGAAGCCAGAGTGGGCTGCTGGAGAAGACTTCTATCCTAAAACACTACACAGTCGTCATCACGAGAGCAATACGCTTTTCCGCCCGCTACTTGTACTTGTTCTAGTATACGCAGACACGACAACTACGCTTTTTGAGTCGACCTATTTTCGCAGTCCACTTTACCTCACTCAACATAACTGCAAGTCCTAGCAGTGTTCTTGGACACATTTGTAGCAATACCCGCCATAGGTTGTAGTTTGAATTCCCAAGAAGTTCGAAGTCGTCTTCATATCTTTCAGTTTTATTTTTTTGCTCCTTTTCCTTTTCGGTCCTGAAAGTGAAAAGTGAAAACCAAAATGTCAAAGCTTTACTCCACCATGCTTATCCTCGGTCTTGCGTTCGTTTCCATCGCGAATCCTAGTCTCGGGCTTGGTCTACTCAAGGCCGCGTCGTCGAGCCAGCCACTCAAGGACGCACACTCCAACTTGGTCGAAACGGCCCTACTCCGGGCGATTTTCAGATACCGGTATCTTTCCCTCGTCGAGAAGAGAAAGGCGAAACCAGAGTGGAAGAGTCTGCTTAAGGCGAATCCAACTTTCGAAGTATGTAGCTTTGGGAATAGCGGCGAAGATATCCACTGCAAGCATTAATATTCTGGCGTCCGTCAACACATCTAACATGAATACGTTTTCCGCAGCATGTGCATGTTGCATGCGAATGCGATAAAAGTGTCTATGGAATAACAGCTTCTTTCTAGCACGAAGATCCCTTCTGAGCTAACGTATTGATATTTGCAGTGGATAGCGCAGATTTGGAACAACATGAGCAGTGAGGGAATGGACCTTACAAGGGCCGACCGGATGGCAACAGTATTGAATAAGGAGTATCAAAAAAGCCCTTTTGTATCGTCTATGGAACAAGGAGCCATTCAAAGCTCTTTGCAAACCCATATGGGATATGTACAGGGAGCTCTGCAGAAGTTTACTTCGCACTTGCAGAAACCCTACCAGTTCAATCGTACCGTTAGAGAAGATCGCCTGATCTTGTGGCTCAAGGATGCGTACCAGTACTGGCTGTGCGCCGATGCCGTCGCAAAGGAAGTCGAAACGCAAAGTAGGCAAGAACGTTCCGAACGTTGTTGCCTCTTTGCAAGGACAAGGAGGACCGCGTCCACTGATACGCAGCCTGGTGGCCGCCAGGGTGACATCGTTACGCGTTCAGAGCTTGACAACCCTATCGCGGACAGAGCTTTACAACGCCATCGTGGAAATCTCGATAAGGAGCTCACACAGGTAATGGAAGCGGAAATCGACGCGACTATCACAACGGGAGCCCTGTGGCCGAAAAGTGCTGACCGGAGTCCTCTTCGTTTGCTTCGTCTGCCCCGGTTCGCGCTTCTCGTTCCACATCCTGACGAAACTCCTGACTTGGGTCCCGATCACCGTGCGAGGACACGAGCTGCACATCACAATCGCGACAGATACCGATACTCAGCGAGGCCCCCTGGACGTGGTCCGCCTTCATCCAGTAGCCGACCTTCACAGGAGCTGAGTAACAGAAGTGACAGCTTTCACAGTTCTTCTTCTACTACTGTAGAAGTTCAGCCGTAGATGTAATTCTTTTCCTCCTGAAGGAGAAAAAAACAACACAACTTACTTCAACTAGAAGCCGCAAGTGGAGTAGTTGATGTCATCTCGTCGTCCGGATAGGTTGTGCAGGGTTGCGTCACGAAAGTGGGCGCGCAGCCGCGCAGCCACGTACTCATAGAAGGACGCGGTAGAGGAATTATTTTTTAAAATATTGCTCGACTGCGTTCCTTCGACGAGGGGAACACTCGACAACAGCTGCGACGTGGCTTGATTATCACGATGGGATGACTGAGTCATCTGAGACGAGGTCGCTTTCGTCTGAGTTTTTTTCTATAAGTATTTGGTTTACAACATATGTTTATTTTCTCGTATACGTGTTAACTACGGAAACGGAAATGGAGGACGAGCACGAAGATCTTCCGGATGGGTGTTTGCGTAAACCAAGATCAAGAACAAAATATAATATGAGGAAGTCCTAGCTTTTCCTTTTCTCTAATTATCTTCCAAATGCGCAACAAGCTCGTCAGATTAACAAAAGTCACTAGCATTCTCTTTTGGTACGTCAAAACGCAGTCCTAGCATTCTCTCTTGGTTGTCTAGATTGCGTTTCTGAAATGTTCCAACCGTTGGGTTTGTTTATCTAAGGAATTCCCCAGCTCGACGGATTTTTTGAGTATGCAACAAGTGTAACTACACATCGTCAGCCGTTAGCCTTGCGTGCGGATGACGATGAATAGTAGCAGAAAAACAATAAAGTAGCATCACACTGAGCCAGTTGTCGGAGGAGCAAGAACACCCAAAGCCAAAGCAACACAACTAGGGCTATAATTACAGTGATACAGCACCCCGATCTTTCGAAGTTTCGAAACCGGGGTCAGCCGCCTCTTTTCTGATATTTCGGGAGGGGGCCAGCGGCGCCATCTTTTATACCTGTATGATTATTTGGAATCTTCACAGTCATTATTTCCCTTGTATTATTTTTTGAAGGCCCGTATAAACTGGTATTTGTACGTCACTGATACTCTTCTGACAGCAGCAGCCTTTCTTTCACGGTGGATCAGCGAGTGAGTATGTTGAGGCCTCAGCTTGTAATTCAACTTCAAGGGAGAAAAGCTGCTAAACTCTGGAGTATCATTATCGCTTTACATACACACTTGTTTTTCCATGATAGGAAAAAACGAGTTTCTTTTTGTTATCGCGCCGCCACTTCTAGAAGACCCTGACAACTCTCGTGACGAATTCCTACATTTTGGAAAGGGCATACTGACAGTGTGCGGTAGTGCAAGTCCTTGACCTCGATGACACGACTTCATCTCAAAGGAAAGAACAAAATCAAAAGTAAAATGACTATGAAATACTTCAAATTTGTGGTAAGTAGGTCTTTTTTTTTGGAGAGCGAGGCTTTTGCGCTGAGTTAGAGTTGAATTGTTACCGCTGATGTTCATCTCCCTTAAATGTGCTCTGGTGTTTGGCTTTTTGCTTCTGACTGACTGTGTTGCGGCTCTTGCAGCAATTGTTTCTTCTTGCAGAAGATGAGTCGTCGTTAGTCCCTTTCCCACATCTGTCGTCAAGAAATAGAAAAAGCTGTCCTCGTTCTCAAGTGCAGCCGAAAGCTGATTCGGTTCAGTCGAGAAATCATGAAGATTCAATCAGATCGGTGTAAGTTGTACCAGTAGAAGTCGTTGTTACTGTGACGTCGTCATCGTTGGCAGTCTTCGTCGGTACTTGATACGTGCTTTTCATCGTGCAAATTACTGATGCGACCTGCCTGGTGCAATGTATCATCCTCATCCAATTACTGGTGCACCAGGATGTTGTCAAAAGCGTCCTACCTTCATTCTTGTCGTTCTGTCGTTGTCGTTCTGTCATTTTAGGGCGAGCATTGATTTGAGAAAAAATCTTGCTTTGTCTAGTATAGTCGTTCGTTGTGCCTCGTCCCGTACGTGGCTGGCTCTGGCTCATCAACATCGCGAAAAGAAGAAAAACATCAGTGACCCCCCGACTCATTGTGTACTTATTCGTTTCCGTTTCTGATTATAGTTTTTCCCTTTAGAAATGCATGTATCCCAATTTTTATCCAAAACGCCTGAGATAACTCACCTCCGCTCCTCCACCACTTCATTTTTCCAGCCTGTCCGTCCCCCGGAAAGCAGTTTGTATGTGTGGGTGTCTTGGTGATTTTTTATGACTATGTATGAACCGAACATCCTCCAGCGATTTTTCGTGGCGGTCGCCAATGTTCGTGACAAGAATTCTGACGATACGGTTGAGAGATCTTCTCGAGGAAGATGATCACGAACAGCAGCAATGGTTTGATGGTGACGTCGAGGACATGGCAGGTACTAGGGTCTTCCTGTAAGTATCCGGAGGTGGTGAAAGAAATAACAGAGCTACGACCGGTAAAGAGTCTGTAGTAAGTGTGAAGACGCGTGGCTCTCCCGCCGAACTAGCACACATCTTCGGCAAAACCAGTTCCAGCCGGGTCGTCTTCTTCAGCTGCCTCTCACGACCATCATGGTGGTGACCATCAGTGACAAAGTGGAGGAGCACCCGGTCGACGCCAGAATTGTGGAGCTACAACAGCCTGGCACTACAACGCGCACAACGGCAGGAAGAGGCTCTACAGGTCGAGGAAATAAAGGAAATCGAAGTTCATCATTAGATAGGACCATTTCGGCGGACGAAGATTCGAGCGGCTTTCACACGAAGAACTTGAGGACAGCGAAAATGAAGCAATCTACCGCGGCACAAAATAAATGGACATCTTCAACAGACGAGAACAAAAGTAGCCTCACAACTTACGAGATGATGAACACGGGGAAAAATAACGACAAACCGGACCATGAAGGAGGTCTTGTCGCACCAGCCGCACATTATAACAACTTCAGCCCTGGTGATGTTAATGGTCAAGAACCGCAAAAAGAAGATGAACAGAGCACCTTGCGCCGATTGAGCGAAGCCAACCGCGACATTAAGAGCCAGGCCCGGGGCCTGGAGTACAGCGAGCACAGCACCACGCCGCGGAACCTCCCACAGGGGGTCTACAAGATCCGCGCCTCCGGCACGCTGGACAACTTCACTCCGCTGCACAGCGAGGAGACCGTCCACACGCGCGCCAAGTACACGGAGTCGGCCCGGTCCGCCAGCAAAAAGTCGGCCGACGAGGTGGACGCGCAGCGCAACGCGGACATTTTGACGAAGGGCCTCACGTATCAAATGTAAAAATGTCTGGGTCTGGAAGATTCTGAGACTTGTCATGCATGTTTTGCCTGGGCCATGATGTCTGTGATGCATGCCCTAGCATCACAGATTTTTTGAGGGCTTCGCGATGCCTATTCCGCATGACAAATGCCCTCTCCGCGTAGCAAGAATTACACTCCCTTTGCTGCTCATGCAATACAGATTTTTTTGGAATCCAAATGCAGCATCACAAGTTGCATTCTTCCAGACCCAGACACTTTTACATTTGATATCACGCCGGCGCAGTTGGTCGCCGTTACGGACGGACGGAGCAAGATTTCCGTCGAAGACAAGCGGGACGAGACGGAGGAGCGGGTATCAAATGTAAAAATGTCTGGGTCTGGAAGAATGCAACTTGTGATGCTAGCTTTGGATTCTAAAAAAACCTGTATTGCATGACCAGCAAGAGGCGCCCAGTTTGTGCTACGCGGGGAGGGCGTTTGTCATGCGGGATAGGCATCAGGAAGGCCTCTCGAAACATGTGATGCTAGATCATGCATTACAGACATCCTGAGTCATGCAAAATATGCACGACAAACCTGGTAACCTTCCAGACCCAGACATTTTTACATTTGATAGCGGGCGCCGCTGTACCACCCCGCGCTCGACACGCCGCCCACCTTCACCCAGTCCCTGGGCTCGGCGGTCACGAACTTTCTGCTGCTCTACATCCTCAACTGCTCCTACGGCACGCTGATTTTCATCAACTTCCCCGCCTTGTACTCCTACGGCATCCGCATGGCGTTGGTCACCGGCGGCATCTTCGGCCTGCTGCTCGCGGTCAAGTCGACGCGACAGGCCGCGTGCCAGATCGGCGGCGCGGATATCACGCCCGTGACGCTGATCGCGAGCCAAACGCTGCGGCTATACGAAAGGCTGGATTTGGAATTTGATTCCGACAACGTGATCAAGACCAACGCCTCGTGGACGGAGGCGCAAAGGGCGGCGTACGTGAAGGAGAAGCAGGAGGTGGTTTTCGCCACGGTCTCGTTTAACGTCGCGACCTCCACGGTCGCGTTTAGCGTCATGTTTCTGCTGATCGGGTACTTCCGCATCGGGAACGTCGCAAATTACATCCCGTCCATCACGTTCAAGACCTTCCTCACCTGTGTGGGCGTGGAGGTCTGCTACTACGGGTGCCAGCAGTGCCGCTTCGAGGGTAGTCAGTGCGTGATCGCCGCGACGCTGGGCTTTCTGTTGCACTTATTCACGGTCCGCTTGAAGTTGTATAACGTGGAGATCTTGGTCCCCCTGCTGATCCTGCTCCCCATCGTGACCTTCTACTTTATCGAGTTTGCCATCCTGCAGACCAGCGACTTGGAGAGTCTGCAGCGGAAAAACTGGGTGTTCGAGAAGCAGCACGAGTCGCAGCCGTTCTACGAGGTGTTTTCGGACGGGTGGGCAAACTTCGAGAAGGTGGATTTTAAAAATTGGTTCAAGGACCTTCCGGCCAACTACGCCCCCATGCTGCTGATCGTGTGGCTGGACAACATGGTGCAGCTCTCCACCTTCGAGGCCCAAACCCCGGCGACCTTCAACCTGAATCAGGAACTGTTCCACCACGGAGTTTTCAACCTGCCGGTGGCGCTCTGCGGCGGCGTGGTGGGCTACCAGTTGTTCGAGCACTCGGTGCTGAATTTCGAGCTGACGAACTCCGTCACCGACCGAAAGACCGGGATCATGATGGGCTTTTCGCTCTTGGTCATGTACTTCGCGGGCACGCAGCTGATGGAGATTTTACCCCGGTTCACGATCGGGCAGTTGCTGTTCTTCTCCGGCTGCGGGATTTTGGATCAAAACGCGCTGCCCACGATCAAACAGATGTTCAACCTGCAACTGGACGAGGACGAGGTGAACTTGATTGCCGTCGTTGCCGTCTACATCGGCAGCGACTTCAATTTGCTGATGGCCATGCTCACGGGCATCCTCCTCGCCACCACCTCCTTCGTTGTGAAGTTTTCCGGGATTCCCGCGGTTCGGTGTATCTCCTCCGGGATGTACGCGCGGAGCCGGGACTTGCGCAACCCGATCGAGCAGAAGATCATCGCCCATTTGTCCTCGCAGCAGGTGCTGGTGTTGCGGCTGTCGGGCTACATGTTTTTCGGCTCCATCACGGCGGTGATTGACATGATCCGGCAGATCCTGCACGAGGCAGACGAGGGCGAGACGGAGACCCCGTACACGCACGTCCGGTTTCTGGTGCTAGATTTGTCACTCTCTTCGGGCTTCGACGCGTCCGCCGCCCAGAAACTGACCAATTTCATCATGAAAATCGAGATGGGCGAGATCGGGTTTCATATCGCGAACGACTACGCGTCCAACCGGCTGGACGTGGTGTTTTCCGGCGTGAGCCCAGCACTGGAGCGGTTCATGCGCGAGACCAAAATGGTGCGGGGGAACGAGGTGTTTCGCGATCTGCGCATGGCGCTGGCGTTTACTGAGGACCAAACCACCGCGTATTTTCTCAAGCAGCAAGAAAAATTCCTCCACGCGGTGGGGAACGTGATGGACTTTGACGGGAGCGGGGTCGGTTTGACGTCAAAATCTGTTCTTTCCGATGCGATGGAGGAACAACGGAAGAAGCAGGGCCGGATCAAGATCAAGCTGTACCGGGAACTGGCCCTGGCCAAGCAGAAATTCGATCCGTTCGCGGAAATTTTCCCGGATCTGCCGTCCAGGCTAGGGATGTGGGACTACTTCAAGCCCGTGAAGTTTAAGCAGGAGGTGGTCATGTTCGCGGCCCAGGTGCACCACCCCTACTTGTACGTGATCATCCACGGCGACGTCGGGCTTTACACAAATTTGGAGGCGCTGCACAGTTTAAACAAGGACGAGTACGAATCCCTCTCCATCGCGCCGCGCGTGGTCTTGTCTTCCGGGTTTCTGCTGAACCCCGGGGCCATTGTCAACTGCGAGAACTCCTCGGTTTCGTCCAATTGCCCCTGGGACTTCGCGGTTACGTTGACAGACGAGGTCTTCTGCTTATCAAATGTAAAAGTGTCTGGGTCTAGAAGAGTCATGCTGTTTCTGCATGACACAGAAGGTCTGGCATGGAAGCTCTAGCATCAAAGGTTTCGAGAAGCTTCCGCAATGCCGAGCCCGCATGACAAGTCCCCCATTTTGGTGACAGAAAGTGAGCAGCTTTTGCTACCTATGCATGAGAGATTTTTGTGTGTTCCGAAATGCGCATCACAGGTTACATCCTTCCAGACCCAGACATTTTTACATTTGATACTGCTACCAGTTAAGCAACGCGGATTTTCAGAAAATGCGCGTCGATCACAAGTACATGGCGTTCTCGCTCCTCGCCGCCTGCGCCAGCCAGCAGGGCTACGTGAGCCGCACGCAGCACCAGGAGTTGGCGCTGGAGTACAACTCCTTCAGCACGATCAAGAAAAAGATCGACGTGGACAGTTTGTTCGGGCGGGGGCAGAGCAACGTGTTTCTCGGGAATTTCTTCAAGCACGGCCGCACCGTCGGCACGGTGCTGGGGCAGGCGAAGGATAAATTGAAAGGGGGGGAACAGAGTGCCGATGATGGAACAACCAAAGGGGTGGACTACAATGTCGCGAGCCAGATCGCGGAACGGCAAAGGGTCGAGATCAAAGAGAAGGATAAACTGAGCGATTTGTTCCACGCCGGGCCCGGTGGGGGGCTGGATTTGAAAAAGTTAAAAGAAGCGCTGGGGAAAACGGAAGAACAAGATGGAAATCTTGAAGATGCTGCGGTAAAGCACGAGGGATCTGAATCTGCACCTCCTCCCGGAAGCGCAGCAGCAGAAGAGGGTACTAAAGATCTTCCCAGCGCCGGCGCGACGAGCAAAGACAAAGAGGCAGAAGATGCTGCTGCAGCTCCTGCCCCCGAAATAACCACAGGAGCGCCGACGCCAGCAGCTTCCTTGGACGTCGGCCCATCGGATGAAAATAATAATAAAGGTCCACTACCAGCTGGGGCGAAGAACAAATTTTTGAGGGCCGTCGTCCGCCAGCAGTCCTCTACTAAGACAAACACCGAGGGAGAGCACTCCATGCCGCGGTCCGTGCATTTTCCCCGGGGCAGCCGAAGCGCCACGCGGAACCTCTCGGTGGAGTTGGAGGATATCGGGGACGACTTTGCGCTCGAATTTCTGGATGACGACTACAACGAAGATAGCGGTAAATTGGTCGTGAAACAAGACGATGAGGAGGATGACGGAACGCCTTCGAAAAAGTCTGCGAGCACGAAAGGTAGTTTGAAATTCCAGCTGAAGCGCGGTGACACGTGGAAAGCGATATCCCGGTCCAACACCATCAAGCACCTCTCCCTGGTTCAGGAGGGCCTGGTGGGGCAACTCGCGTCGAACGAGATGGAAAAGCCGGAGAGTCCCTTGCAGGAGTACTACTTCACGGAGCCGAGTTTGATCCGCGGGGAGCCACCGTTGATAACCCGCTTGATCGAAGAGGTGCGGATCGCCTACTCGTTTGAATCGCTGGGGGCCTACGACGACGATGATCTTGCGGGGGCGGACGGCGCTTTCGACACCCAGGTGCAGATCGGGGAAGCACAGAAGGAGAAAGATGAAAAAACGCTGTGCTTTATCGACCAGCAGGACCGGAAGAAACGGTGGCGCCGGCAAAAGGACGCGGACGAAGAGCAACGGAAAAGTTCCGCGTCCAGCAATAATTTGTCATCGGGTGAACAAGAAGTACAACAGGAGCGGCAGCCCCGCCCGCTGCCGAAGCTGCTGTTGCAGAATCTGGACAGGGCCTTCCGGCGGTTTTCGCGAAAAGTAAGGATGAAGTTTGGCGTTTCCCGGGTGATCCGAAAAAAGGACGTGGAATCTGCCATGCGGTACGCGGGGATTTTTGTGAAATCCGGCTACGAGGTGAAGTTGGAGGAGAAATTTCTCGGCCCGCAAACCGGCACGACTTCGGACACGGCCCTGACCGAGAGCACAAACGCCTTTCTACTGCAGCGGCACGAGCTCGCAAAGAAGGAAACGGTGACTGAGGGCGCCGCGGCGGCCTTGTTCGAAGGGAATAAGACTTCCGAGATGAAGAAAATGACTCAGGTGGAGAATGACAGCGCAACGCAAGCTGCGAAAGCCAAAAAAAATAACAGCCCTAGTACAACATCTACTGCCGAAGTAGAGCAGCACTCCGAAGGAGCGGCTTACCTTGACCGCGCGGAATTTCTTGCGTTGGGCAAAGCCCGCTCCATGTACCCTCTCCCGCGGCAAACCGAAAAGAAGTTGCTCGACATTTTGAACAAAATCGCGAATGACCTGAAAGTCGACTACTTTTCCGAGCGGGTGTTCGTGCGCGCGATGAAACAGGCCCTGAACCTCCACCTGTCGCCCGCGCTGTTCTCCCGCATGTTGGAAATTTACGACGACGACGGGAACGGCCGCCTCGAGCCGGAGGAGGTCCTGGGCATCATCAGCAACCTCGCCGCGGTGTACTACCCCCACTACCAGGTGCTCAAAGCGTGGCGGTTGCTTTCCCGGGAGAGCAGCAGTCCCAGCAAATCGGGTGACTTTTTCACGAAAGCGATCACCTTGGACGAGCTGAGCCACACCCTGAAAGTGTCCAGGGCGGATGCGCGCGAACTCATCTGGGCGTCCGCGTTCGAGGAGAAGGACGACGCGCAATTTTTGTTCCCGCAGTTCCTCGCGTTACTCTACCTCGCGCCAAAAAGGATTCAAGTGCTGGGCGAAGACGTGGTGAATCTAGTCGACACGTTGCATCCCGGGGGGCTGAGCCTAAGTCAGTTGATAGGCGGTGGGGGCCCACATTCGCCCATAGACTCTAGGCAATGGACAAAGGAAAACTACGGTCCAGGCGCCGGTAGCTCATCTCTACACTCGGATACATTGTTCCCCTCGTCTCTGTCGTTTGCGTCGATCTATGGAAATACTAAAGGTGGGTCCTCTGAAATCGCAACCGGGGCTCCTCCTGCGGCAGGTTCTTCGCATCTCGAAGAGGGTGGAACTGGACAGGGACCGGAACGAGAAGGACAACACGAGCATCTGAAATTTTTTGACGAAGATGGGGATGACTTATCTAGAAGCACTGTGCGGACATACAACTCGGATAGCGACGTAGATGGCAGCTTGTTGGAGGAAGATGTAGAACGTGATAGCGATGGCGATTTGGAAGACAAGTATCCGTATGATGACGTGTTTAGAGAGTATTTTCCTCCTGTAAGAAGAAGTTAGTAGGTAAAGGTACTGTTAGGTACTGTTAGAAATAAATAAATCCTCGAAATCCATACTTACAAGAGTGCTTAACTTGTGTAAGTACTTCTGCGGTGCAGAATTTCGGAGCTGCGGTACAGACAACTTGGCCTTCGTCTAAACCGAAAATGGCTTCTTCACTGTGCTGCAGCCGGTGCACCTCAGTTTATTCTGTTTCGCACATCATTACACAATGCATTAGTCTATGTTCCCGCCTAGTACTAGTTTTTACAAATTAAGAAGAAACTTACTTTGCGACTGTTGCCCGACTGCTCCTTTTGAAATGGAAGCGGTGTGATCTTCCATGAAGTGCGCAGACCGTGTTTGCGTGTCTTGCCTACAAGTTCAATTGTGCATATGTTGTTCGTGATCGTGCAGCTCTGTGCCCATTTTATGTCTTGCCGCTTTGTGATCATGTGCTGCGTGTGCGAATTTTGGCTGTGATGTGACGGCCCAAATCGAAATCGGTGGTGGTGTCGACTTCTCGAAGATCCTCTCATGCATGTCGACTTGAGTCATCTCTCTATCGAAGAAAGAAAGATCAAAGTTCGTTTTTGCTTGTGTTGATTTGTTGAAAGTGGAAGAACGTAGTCTCATTTGATCACTTGTGCTGAAGGTCCAAAATGACATCGCTTACGCGAGGTGTCGCGCGTCTCGTGTCGAGGAAGACATTTGTTTTCCGAAATTTTTGTGTCATGATAATTGTGCAAGCCCAAGCCACGTCGTCCAGCACGGTGTTGTCAGATGCAACAGTTCCGACCTCTTCCAAAAGTTTAACGTGGATCAATCAGAAATCAGCACAGGCCAACAAAGCAGCGGGTCGACAAAAGAGTAATGATGCCGAACTTTCAGAAAGCAGCGACGTTTTGGAGGCTTTGCGTCTGTCTTCCATCGACGAGTGGCTGCCCTCCCTGGAACCGGATATCACGGGCCCCCTCGCGGACGAAGGGGGCGAGCCCAAAACGGACTTCGGCGAACTCATTGGCGATTTGTTCCCGGAAGGGGGCGAAAAGCCGGAAGTGGAGGTCAGCGAACGGTACAATGAAGTGCGCCGGCGGGCTCTGTTCCCGGTGGTGAAGCAGTTCTTGCACCATTTCCGGCCAGACACACCGTTTTTGTACAAAGAAAAGGACGTCGTGGACGCGACGACAACTGCTACTGCTGTAGTCGGCGTAGTTCCAGCATCAAAGGAAGATGGTTCCTCCAACTCAGGACCAGCAACATCAATCATGCGAAGAACACAAAGGGGTGCTACTGCTACAAGTGACGTTCACGCGGTTGACACCGTTTGCAAGCTTCCGTCAAATGATCCTGCAAATCTGCAGAGCGGTCTGCTAACGAATTTCACCTGCGCGGATAATTTCCATCGCTATAACTACACAGAGGAGCTCGATACCGAGGGAATTCCCTACGTGCTCACGAAACTTCTGTCACAAACGCGAGCCTCTTGCTTCGACGTCCTCGCCGCGCTCGAGTACTTGATCACGAATTTGTTGCGGTACCAGACGGAAAAGCTCAGGAAGGAGCTCCACATCGACGTGCAGGCGGTTTCGCGGAACAGTCAGCGCGCGTTCCAGGACAACACACTGCTGAACGAGTACAACGAGGTGGCCGGGATGGAACTGTTTTACTTCTACGGCAGCGGCATGATCCAACTGTTGGAGGAGTATTTGAGACTGCTCTTATCGACGATCATGCTCCAGCCCCACTGTTTCAACGCGGAGACACGACTGCAGTTGTGCAAACTCCTCACCACCGATTTTGCGGAGAACGTGCGGAACCGCTGGCGAAAGATCGAGTTCACGATCACGTGGAAGAATTTGTACCACTTGACCGATGCCTTCCGCCTCCGGACGCACGTCACCGAGATGCTGGACGTGGGAATCTACAACGTGGTGGATTTGTTCCACGAAATCCAGCTCTCGGTGCTGCGGAAGATTTTGGATGACAACTCAAAGCGAACCGCATATGGAACTGTCAGGATCGAAATTGACAAAGTCGAAATTTTTGTGATGCATAAAATGCATGACGCGAGATACGTGTGTTGCAGAGCAGGCAAGTGAGGCCGATTGTAAGCCTGTTTGGGGCTATAGCTCGAGCTGCTAAAGCAGCATGAGAGAATCAGTCTGCTTTGCCTAAACAGCATTACAAAATGGATTTAGGCACCACCAGAATTTGTGATGCGCCACTTAGAAACTGGCTTCGAACTGGAATCCGTTTTATGCATGACAAATCATTTCGATTTTGTCAATTTCGATTCTGACACTTTCATACCGCACTGCTGAACAAGCCGGGACAGAACACGGAGGCGGAGAAAATCGGCCACGACTGGACGACGGTGGAGAAGTCGGGCGGGTTTGTGGATTTTCTCTACCTGTACCGAATATGAATTGCAAATATGTCTGGGTCTGGAGAAGTGCAAGTTTGTCATGCTTGTCTGGCATGACTCGAGAATCTGTGTAGCATAGGCACGAAACGGCCCTCTTACCTGTCACGCAAAAACGCATGCGGAATACGTAACACATGGCAGCCAAGAAATTTGTCATGCATAGTTGCGTATTGCAGTGCGTCTATCGTTGTTCACTCTTAGCATTACAAGATTGCGTTTTTGTGTAATTACAAGGTTCCAGAGGACCCAGAAATATTTGCAATGCATACCGAACAAAATTTGACCACTGGAGCATCGACAAGTCGTTGATCCGGGGCATCATCCGCATGTTCGCGAACGAGGCGAGCAACGTCGAATCGGTGGTGGATCTCGGCGCCGGCGGGGGAAAGTACTCGGAACTGTTGGAGCTCGGCTTCCCGACGGTGTTTGCCGTCGACGCTTCGCCGCACGCGTTCGAAACCACGAAGCAGCGGGTGCACTACGCGGACTTGAGTAGACGGATGGTGATAAAAAAGGAGGACGCGACGGGCAATAATTCCAGAGAGCAGAACGGTGAGTCTGAAGCGACGAGTGGCACCGCAGGGCACCAAAACAGTTTTTCAGTGGTCTTTGAAGACGGCGGCGTCGAGGAGGGGGAAGACGCGAACGAAGGAAATCGAGAGGCTCATCAAGAACAAGGTGTGATTACGACCACAGACACCAACACTCTTTCCTCTGCCTATCGATTTGACCTTGCCATCTGCATCGAGGTTGCCGAACACATCGCGAAGGAGCACGAGAACACTTTGATCCAGAACCTGAACAGGGTCTCAAACCGGTTCCTCGTGCTTTCTTGGTCGAACGACCGAGAAAACGACTACCACGTGAACCCGTTGCCGCAAGACGAGGTGGTCGCCATGATGGAAGCCAGAACTGAGTTCCGAATAGACAGGGAAAAGAGTGAGAAGCTGAAAAAAGCGGCGAGTATTGCCTGGATCAAGGACAATGTGTTGGTTTTTGAAAAAGTACATGGAAATGGATTCTCCTTTTCGACGTCGACAAGGCGGATTGAAAGGATGTTGTTGAGGGAGCATCCAGTTCTTCTGTCGGCTGCTTGCTTTGCTAGTGGTGGGGTCTTCAGAATATGTGTCGTTTTGCTTTGTTATTGTTTTTTGAATTTTTGCGTTTCTTTGGTCGTCGTGGCTGACTCTGCTGTTTCTCTGTTGCTACCTAGAGCTAAGTGCTGTGTATGGGGGCCTGAGTGAGACGAGAACGAAGAAAAACTTCACTCGTTCTGGGAAAGTCACTGTGCGCTTGGAAATACATGTGCTGGTGCTGATCGTGATAGCTCGTCTTTCGATCGTTCGGGAGCAGCCTCTCGCCAACTTGTATTTGCAGACGGAAAAATGTCGCCACCAAAGTACAGCTGCACCTATCAATCGGACGCAGTTAGTAGCTCTAGCAGGCAGAGGCACACGACACCTTCGCTGACCGCGTCGTCGTTAACATGATCGATCGTGGTTCGTGTAGCTGTGATCTTCGGTTGTCGTTGCAATAGCAATTTCAAAAATTTCGAACCATGTCGTCCCCGCCCGCAAAAATTGGTGTTCCCCGCCCCTGTCCGCTTGGGCTCCCCCTCGACGTCCATCCGCCCGCGACTGACGCGAAGTTTGCGCGACACCGGCCAATCCGGCCGACGGGGGCGATCTTCTACCTCGAGGACCCCTACCCGGCGTTCAAACAAGCCTGGCTGAGCGGCGAGCTCCGGCGATTTGCGGATCGAGCGGACGGAAAATTTCGAGACCCCGAATACAACTTCGACGGGGCCCACGACGCGGACTACGGGAGGTCCACCTACCCATGCGTGAAAAACGAGGAGAACTTGAAGGGCATCTACCGCTACCGCCGACCGCTCCCCGAAGAGCAGCTCTTCGGCCCGGACGGAGTCGGCGCGGGGGACATTCGACAGGGGAGATTGGGCGATTGCTGGCTTTTGGGGAGCATCGCCGCGGTAGCGAACAGATTTCCGTTCTTTGCCATGCAGCGGTGCTTACGGTACGACAAGGAAATTGGCGTTTTCACGTTCCGCTTTTCCAGTCCGGACGACCAGAGGCCGCGCTGGCTGCTACTGGACGATCTGATCGTGTGCGATTTACAAGACCCGAAAAAGTTCATCTTCTGCCATTCCAGCGAACCGAATGAGCTGTGGACGATCTTTCTCGAGAAGGCCTTCAGCAAGTGGATGGGCGGCTACATGAACTGCCGTGGCGGGGTGCAGAACATCGTGATTCAGTGCTGCGAGCCGATGCAGGCCTTGAGCTTCGGGATGAAATCTCTACTGATCACGACACTGGAGAACAAGCACTGGAAGGAATTGCTGGGTCTGCAGGACAAGCACTGGATCGTGAAGGCAGCCGCGAAACCGATCAAGAACAACAAATTCGCGAGGGACCCAATCACAGGCCTGGTCGGCTTCCACCAGTTTTCGGTGTTGGATTTCTACGAACTGAAGCTCGAGAACTCGAGCGACAAAACGAAAAAGTCTTTCTGCCACAACTTCGTCCCCTGGTTGGAGCGTATTGCGAACAATGAGGAACATCAGTCACTACCGCCGACCGTCCAAGAAGATTTTCTGCAGCACTACAAGCAACAAGAAATTCACATCTACAACGAAACCAATGCCACCGTCGCAATCGACCTTTCCGCGCCCGGGTGTCCAGCGATGTCGTTGGAACTTCACACCGTTCACACGCACTACACTTGGAAAATCAAGAATGACAACTGGCGCGCAGGAAACTTTGCTTGGCGGGAAATTGTAGACGTCAATACTGCGAAGATCAGCAACAAGCCCCCTCGCAGCGGCGAGGTCCGGTACGCGTTTGGGGATAGCATTTACTTGAAAAAGTCCGGTCAGACGGTAGTGAGGAACGACAAACAGCAGTTCTGCGAGGAGCAGTTGAAGGCCGTGAACCAAATCAAAAAATCTGCAGCGTTCCGGTATTGGGAAAGTTGTGAGCAAGGTAGTTCTGGTGCATCATCCAACCACAACGTGTTGCGCTTAGTGAAGCTGCGCAACCCGTGGGGCTTCGGGGAGTGGACGGGTTTGTGGAGCGACAAGTCGCTTGCCTGGTACTACTTTACCGACGTTTGTCGGAAGGTTTTCAAAACGAAAGACGGAAAGCCAGTTATCGCCGATGACGGCACGTTTTTCATGCAGTGGGCGGATTTCGTGCACCATTTTGAAAACGTGATCGCAACTGGGGAATTCAGCGACCCTGGGTTTGTGGATGGCGCGCCGGTCGCGGATTTTTTCGGTGCGGCAGGTGGATCATCGTTGACTGCTGCTGGGAAAAAAGGAATGACAGCGGCCACGAGAATGCGGCAGAAACACGAGAAGAAAAAGTTGTTGCAGACGCAGGACAGTGGCACGTCGACTGGATTTGTCGAGGGCGACTTACTCAGTGAGGACAGTCTCGATGAAGATGAGAGCGACTGCTGGACCGATTCAGATTCCTTCTGGGATCACGATAGCGAAGACGATTTTGACGATTTTTCAGACGACGATTCGGAAGATGACGATGACGATTCGGATTTCACTGACGACGACTTCTCCGAACGAGATTACGACGACGATGATGAAGATGATAGAGACCACCACGACGACGATCTAGTTCTAGATATCGAACCAGTTCAGGGCAAAGGGCACTTTTCCTACCCAGGGCCAGACCCACCGACCGTCGAAATTCTCGGCCACAACAGCTCCTTGAAACACGCCACCGCCCTTGCCTGTCCCGGCGTGTTTCGGTTTGCTGAACACGAAGGAAGTGGCAGAATACAGCCAGAGGAATTCCACGCGGGAACTGGGACCCTCGCGTTCTACGTAAAATTCCCCTTCGAAGAAGCGCTTTACGACGAAGAAAAACCAAAGCAAATCTTCGAAATCGTCGGACTTGGGTACCAGGGCCCGTGTACGGATGTGAAGGAGTTGACGGTGTCTGCGGTGTCGGGGTCAGGGTCGATCGTGGTCGGGAGCAGTGACGACGAAAACAAGAACTGTCGAATCGAGAACGAGGAGTGGCCGTTCTGGTTCGATGACTGGATGTGGGTCGCGGTGACGTACGATAGAACAAGTGTGAAGCTCTACGTTGAAGGTTCTTTGACGTACGAGAAGGACGTTGAAGCTGACAGGTCGTGTGGTGAAAACGAAGACTCTCTTCTCTTCGCCACCGGCCCGCCGGACCTCGTCACGGTCGGGATCACCGAAGCGGACGAACTGGTCGGAGGGGGAAGTAAACCTAAACACGCATCCTACCCGGGTATGCAGCTGCAGGGTGTCGCGTTTTGGGACCGGGTGTTGACTGAAGAGGAATTGGGGATGGTCGAAAAGAAGGTTGTGAAAACCAGCGGAGTAGGTTCTGGAACGGGGAAGAACAAATCGAAAGGCAGCAGGAATCGGCGAAGAGTTGGAAAAGTGGAGAGCGCAGCAGCAGTACCGATAAAGAGGAATAAGGGCAATCGAAAAGACCAGATTCTCATCCCGGAACCGGTTGTCAGGGGCAGCCCCGATGCTGTTGGAGTGGGGAGACAAGGTGCGACAAAAAGTACTGCGAAGGTAACGCCGATTGGTGGAGATATCGATTTGAGTGCGAGCGCTGGTGGAGGACGAGCAGCTGCTGGACTTCTACCAGAACAAAAAAGGTCTGGCTTGTGCTGCTGCTTGAAGAAATGAACTGATGAAAATGAAAAAAGCAAAAAAGTAAAAGGAGCTTTTGCTTTGGAATGGTGCTGATAGATGTACTAACACGATGACCAATCGGACCATCAGAAAAACTCATCGCGGTTCTCCATGCCGTTGAAAAGTCTTGGTCCAATCTACTTTCGACATGTTCTTTCTCCTTCTACTCCTGATCATATTGCAAGTTGGCTCGTCCGCAAGAGGTTGGAGGCGGTTTTTGAATCATAAGAACCGATCCACATGATCTCCTGGCTCTTGGTGCTTGTGCTTGATGAGACTACTTTCCTGTAGTATTGAGACTGTTGTAAGAACAACCACGTCAAACGATTCTATCTCTCTAATAATATCAGGCATCTATCATGATCATCACATAATAATATCACTCTATTTTTGCTTTTAGCTTTTACTTTTCGCCTTTACTTTTAGCTTTTGTTTTTACTTTTTGGCTTTCACTTTTAAGTTGCGGAGGAGTAGTTTGGCCATCACGACTTTAGTCTTAGCAAGTGCAAGGGATAGATTACGCGTGCTTCCAGTATCAGAAAGAGACGAGGAAGATGAAGATGCGCTCGACAAAGCTGCTGATCGCAGTATTGACATGGTCTGTCGCGTGGCCTGCGCTTGTGCAAAGGAATGTTCTAGGCTCATTTCTGAGCTCCCGTAGCTCAACAAATGCCGTTGAAGGAAGTACTAGACCGGGTCGTGATCTTATTTCTCACGGAAATGAGCACCAGCAGGAGCAAACGGCGGATAATATTAACAACCACGGTGGTCGAAGCTCCACCAGCACGTTGTCGGCTGAAGCAGCAAGGAACACAGCAGCAGGAACAAACACGGGGGAAATGAAGACATTCTCCTTCCAGTTTCTGTACTCTCCTCGCCGGTTCTTCCAGATTCCCTCTTTACCCGACACGGACGTTCGTCTTTACTTTCAGCTTTCAGGCTGTTCGGAAAAGGGAAAGACCACGGTGGCCGAGTTTTTGGATGACGCGAAGAAAATGGCCGCGAGCCGCTTGTTGCGCATAGAGGACGACGCGTACAACTTAAAACACGGCGCGAATCGCATATTTTTCGTAACTCCAGACCGTGAGGAGGGAGAGCAGCGATTGCTGACCCTGCTGCGCGCCGCGCTCCACGAGGGCTGGCTGTTGTTGGAGGAAAGGCAGAAGGTGTCACCAAGTGGAATTTTGCGCCCAAAGGGATTCGGAGAGCCGTTTGCGCCGGACGGACTGCTTGCTTACACCGTTTCGACGAACACCCTGAGTCTGCGCGAGGAAGTCCTAGCAGCGCATTTCGGAGATCTATTTCTCTTGCCTGCTGGTGGTACTAGCGGCGCAAAAATCTTCTCTCCTCCTCCTCTCGCGGAGAAATTAGAGGAAGTTGGTGTCGAAGTGTCCTGGGATAACGATAATGAAGATGAGGTGCTACTGTTGAATTCCGCAGAGGAACACGCGGAGTATCAACTGCAGCGAGATCTGTTGACAGTGAGTCCTTCGACAGTAGAACCGATCGCGGCGAGTGTTCGCGCCTTCGAGACGGTGTTCAAGAACCTCCCCAAGCCGCCAGTGGATGTGCGAACGCTCCACAAGAAAGGCCTCGAGATGCAGGCGAGTGTGGCAGCGCACATGTCGGCCAACCTGGTTTCGTGTCCGAAAAGCGTCGCTATCACATCCGACGAAATAAGGCACCTGCTATTTTTCCACGTTTTGGAACGCTTGTTGCCCAGGGTGGCGGTTTTGGTCGGCTTCTTGGGAACCGTGCGGCGTAAACAGCGAGACCTCCACGCGTTGTTAGGTGGGGGTCCGATCCATCACGACGAGGAAGCGTCTTTATTGCAACAAGCGGTCAGCGGAAATCACCCTTTTCAACAGCACGAGAAGGAGAAAACGGAGTCGGAGGAAGGGGAACAAGACGAGGAGCAGTCTGTCTCTGTACCTCGTTGGAAGATATTAAATCCTTGGGCGTCCTTTATAGGCGCTCTACGCGCGAAGTTTCACTGGTACGATATCCATATCGTCGATACCGCCCGGATGTTCTTCCCCAGGCTGCCGCCCAACTTCGTCGCGGACAGGTCGATTAAATTCTGTGTAGATTCTCAGCTGCAAATTTTGCGCATTGCGAAGGAGCGTTTGAGTCAGGAAGTCGAACTGGCCCGGAAAGGCGGGTGGTGGGAAGATAAGCTGGAGGCGGCGAGAATACAGATGGGCGAGGTTCAGCAAAAGGAGGATCATTCTGTGGCCGAGGTCGTCGCGGGATCTCTCACCGCATTGGAAGAAAACGTAGAATTCATCACCGCTTCTAATCTAAGTGCATGAAGCTGCGAGGAGCCGAGGCGTCATGAACTCTGTTGCCTATGATAAATATAGGCCGCCACGCGAACACACGACCTTCATGGAACATTTGCTTCACGCGCAATAATGCGACAAGATCTACTGGTAAATTTAAGGGTAAGGAACATCTGACCTAGGCACGCGCTTCACCTTACGCTAATTTTTGCGCGCGGTGTTACAGCTCGCGTGCAACGCTGACATTACTTTTTTCCTAGTGTAGTCATAATCAACGTGAGTTGGCTGAATTACGAACGGGTCAGCATGTTCCACCTTCTACTCCCGATCATATTGCAAGAAATCGATTGAAGAACTGAATGAAAAAAATTCGAAAATCAAAATAGGTCCATGATGGAAATCAAAGAATCTGATAATCTTTCTGTGGGCCTCGTCCTCGTCATGGTCGGATATTCCATGTGTAGAAGATTTATGATCTTATAATCACAATCAGAAATCATATTCGTAATTCGATGGATTTCTTTCTTTCTTTCCATGCCTGGGCATGGCATCAAATGTTCAAGGCCCTAAAAGTTCCGTTGCAATCCCATTTTTTTTCTCTCTAGTGATCTTCCCTGTCAGCACCAACTCAAATCGAAAAGCTTAATAAACATCTATATCTATTTCTGAAAAGTAGTAACATCTATTTCTGAAAAAATGTCACTTATCTGCTCGCGATCATAATCAATTTCGAAAATAATTCTTCTTCGATCCAACTACAAACCTGTCTTGTACCTAAAAAATTGCAAATTTTGATCTGCCTCAACCTTGATTTCTTATATCGTGATGATAAAAATGGTATATGGACATCGAAGATATTTGTTTCTGATGCATGAGGAAGATTGATATCTTCGAAATTCAGACTGGGGTGGATTTAGAGGGTGTTCGATGCATGATTTTCTTGTGTTTTTTATCTATTGTAGTTTCATAATATATAAAAATTTGTGTGAATTAAAATTATTTTTTCGATTTTTTCGGATTTTAAGAAAATATCCAGAATCTCATCACGAAAATATTTTCCAAAATTAAATATGTTCTCCGATATCAATCAATCTTGATCCTGGTCTCCAATATTTCCTGTGTATGATTCATATCGATTCATTTCTCATCTTTATCTTTCTATTTACTAGAATTTTTCCAGATCCTAAATATCGAAAGATTCCATCGATCATTACCAAAATATTCTCTCGGTGGATGATGGTATCAATCGGATTTCAGATTCATATTTCTTCATGTTTCTGAGATTTCGAAAAATTGGAGAAAAATATCCGAAAGTTTTTTCATTAATCCAAAATTGGGAACCTCTAAAATTCATGATTATATCAAGAAGATTTTGTGATTTCCGATTCTTCTCCATCCTTTTTCGAATGGATTCATAGATTTTTCGATTTCCATATGGATACCAGAGAACAACGACATTTGCTATTCGATCAATAATCTCAGGAAATTTTGAATGATTTTCCCCAAGAATTATCATAGAAAATAATGAAATTCATAACCCTCATCATATTGATACACAAACATCGACATTTTCTTTCTTTCTTTCTTTCTTTCTTTCTTTCTTTCTTTCTTTCCATGCCAGGGCATGGCGTCAAATGTTCAAGGCCCTAAAAGTTCCGTTGCAATCCCATTTTTGTCGCAGTAGTGATCCTCCATGTCAGAACCAACTCAAACTGAAAAACTTAAATAAACATCTATTCATGAGAAATAATAACAAGACGATCAAAATCTATTTATCTGTTCGTGGTCAACAAGTCGTCTAAATTCAAATACAACAACAACATTTTAGTAAAAAAAATAGATCCGTCGATCGTAGTTCTTTGTTTTTGGCAAAAGTAAATCTAGATTTCAAGATTACTTTTTTCTGAATAAACTCAGCTGGGGCCACCAAAATGGTAGCTCCTATGTCAGCAGGATAAGTCTTGAAGTTTGATCATCCCAAAAATAAACCTGTTCTTCAAGATATCAATTGAATTCATACGAAAGTCGAAGTTTCAAGTTGTTTCTTTTTTTTTGGACGCAGCTGGAGCCAGCAGCGTGCTAGCTTTTAGATCATCTGTTTCTCTTTTCATCTCGGATCGTCGATCAGCAGACTTTGCAAGTCGTATTCCAATCTTTCCGCTTCCAAAGATAAGAATTTCGAAAAAATAAAAAAATAGGTTATGACATAATGGAATGAAGATAGATGCAAATTCCTCCAAATCCAACTATCTGATATTCAGAATTCATCCAGATCATCAGAATTATAGAAATGATTTCATTTTGAGTCTGAAACTGAAATCGATGGTGAGACTCAGATAAGTGCCTGAATCTGAAATCGATGATGAGCTTGACTCGGAATCATCCGCCTGCAGAAAGCCCCGGGTTTTTGGTTCTTTTGTCACCTCTATCCATTTCGTCAAAAAAAAAAATATGATAATTTTCATAACTTCGAGCTTTTGTCTGTCCCATTTTTCATAGGTAATCTCCAATCTTTTGCAGTGCCTCGGTATAGAAAAACAAAGAAGTGGTGTGTGGCTTTGCGTCTACATAATTGGAAATTGAAATTGTCCACCTCATCGTGTGCATGATAACTCGCTCCATTCTTGCCTTGATGAATCAATTCTTCTAGTGATGTGGGTGATGTGGGAGCATCATGCAATGCCAATGCAACTTAGATGGATTCCCCGAGTCGGATCATGGTCGTGTTATGTTCAAGTTCATACATGCACACGGCGAGTAAGTAGATTATGCTTATTTGTGATCGACATCCATGCAAAAGGGAAAGCAAAGCCACTTAGTATTTACAAATTTCGTACCCGATCGTCTTCCTTTGTGGCCGCCATACAGAGCCACATCGAGACCGACCTGTGCAGGTCTTGAACCGTTTCTATTGCAGTTTGCTTGTAAAAGGACTCATCTCCCAACCTTGTGTGTTTCTGGTTGTCGTTATTTGCCGCCGCTTGCAACATCGCCTTTGTCTTTTTCAGCCGAAACCCCTGATAGTTCACCACCACCTCGAGCATGTTTGCCAAGTAGTGCGGTGTCCGCAGTCCGCACAAGACGGTGCCAATCTGCAGACCGCCAAGAATCAGCAAGCTCTTCCCAGCGAGTTGCCCCGTGACAGCCGGGTCTTCTTCGTCTTCGTCGTCATCAAGGTTTAGGTCACTTGGTGCCGGGCTGGTGCCCGCCACTTTATTTGAGTTTGCAACACTGGGAGACGTGTCCAAAACAACACCAGTTGTGCTTGTCGCGATTTCCAAGTGTCTACTCAATTTCGATTCCAGCATATCCACATCCTCGGGTTGCAAAGCAGAGTTGATCGGGGTTTCCGACGCGAAACGGCACACCCCCGGCGCTTCTTTGAAAATCCCGTTCAGGGGGCGATTCGTCAGGAGGAAAAGGTTGTTTTCCTCGGCCTGCTCAATCAAAGTTTTCCCTTCAATTTTTTTTTGAGTTGGTAATGATGGAATTTGTGTCTTCCGCTTGCTACCGTCCGGATTCCTGGCGCACTGCGGTTGAAACAGCGCCTCTGGTTCTGCAAAATTGCACGGGAACTGCAGCACTTTGAAATTCGGCCCCGCGACGGCGAGCACTTTTTCCAGCACCAAGTGTTGCGGCTCGGAGGGGCGGAGAGGGTAGAACGCGCCCGACACGCCGTAGTACTGGATTTTGTTCGCCTTCACAAGTTCCTCGCACTTCGCAAAAGCGGGTTTAAGGATTGCGTGGTAGAAGTACTCTTCGAGGTCGTCGCGGTCTCGTGCGGTTTGTTGTTGAGTTGCACAAGAACCGGAACCACCACCAGCAGTGCTAGTTTTTCCATCCTCGCGACCGCCAGTGTGATAAAACCCTGCGAGATACAGCCACGTTTCGGGATTGTGCAGTAGCAACACATCCAGGGTCTCGCAGTTCAATCGGCGCAAGGTCCGCTCCAGTTCGGCTTCGATCCAGTCTGGGTGAACGCAGTGACACACGTCTTTCCGCTCCGAACCGTAGGACAGAATAGAGCCTGGCGGCTGGTAATGTTGACCGCGTTGATCTTTCCCATCACCACCATCGGTAGATGAAGATGAGTTTTGTTTTGCCTGTGAAACAAGCTGCCTGCATTTCGCGATGTTTTCTGTGCCAACCACGTTGCCGACCTTGGAAATCAGGACAATGGACTCCCTCGTACGCAGCGCCCCTGAGCCTGACCCTGACGCTGGTTGCTGACTCCCGGGGGCAAGGCTTCGGTGCACATTATTAGTTTTTGTGAACAGCTCCGCTAGCGCCTGTCCGATCGCGCACTCAGCTCCGTTGTAGTTGGGCGCGGTGTCAATCACATTGATGCCGTGCAGCAGGCACAGCAAGACCATGTCTCGCGAAGACAAACCGTCGTCGAAGTAGTGCGTTCCGAGCCCGTATGGGGAGAGAAAGAGCTGGTCGTCGAGGAGGAGGTGAGTTGGTGGAGCGGAATTCGAATTTGAATTGCTCCGGTTATTTCCAGCAGCACCTCCAATACTCCGGTCACACCGCTCCTCACTCCAAGTCGCCCAGAACTTTTCAAACACCTCGGCCCTGGTAGCGGACGTCGTGGCCTTCCCGGGGAAGGGCAAAGGGCCATTTTTGACCGCGATTCCTTGTGCTCCACTTCGCATGGGCATGGCTGTACTATCAGAAACGGTCCTAGTTCTTGAGGGAGCCGGTGACGAGAAAGCAGATTGAAGACCGCTTGGTGGTTGCGCGGATGAATATTCTGGTGGAAGAACTCCGTGCTGCGTTTCCGTTGGGGTTTGCAGCTGCACCAGGCTTCTGCTCTTATCCTGTTTTGCGAAAATACCAATACCGTCGAAGCAATTGCAAGATTGCAAGGAGAACATCTTGGGTATCTACGAAAACTTTCACAGGATCACTACACGACTTTCTGTTTCATCTCCATGAAGCATAACTTGTACGCGATGGTGCTTGAGTTCGTCTGTCCAGTATGGAGTACGAGTGGAACAGGCTGACAATGGCGGCTGTCCAGTATGGAGTGGAACAGTGCCGTCTGTCCAGTATGGAGTTCTACTGGTGGCGACAGGAACAGAGCTGAAAAAAAAGCAGCGACGACATGCAAACGATCGTCTGCAGCCAGTAATGTACAAGTCAGTGTTGACTCGTTGAAAATGCTGGAGCTTTTGTCACAGCCGATTTCTGAATCACCAGCACAAGAAGCCTGCTGTATCCATCGTACTTGACGGCACATATTCTCCTACAACACAGCAACTGGTGGACATCGTTTGTATTCTTTTTCGCGAAAATCCATCACTGCCCTATGACAGAGACATTCAAGACTATACGCCAAAATCCAAGCATCAAATGAAAAGCAGTTCTTTTTCTCGATCAAGTAATGTGACGAAAAGCAGGCCCGTGCCCGTCTAGTTCTTGTGGCGAAAGTAGAATTAGTAGAAGTTCCTATGTAGTACTAGTTTAATTATCGCTACGGTAGCAAAAGAAGTAGTTCTAGATGATCACTACCGTAGTAAGTTACAAGTTGACGTCGAGGGCTTTTTACACCTCGCACGCGCAGGTTCATTCTGAAATCTACATCACCAAAAAAAAAAGCAAAATCATACGCGCGATTTTACTCGGACTCAGTAGGAAGTATTCACAACTCTGGAGTTACGTCAGCATCTGTCTCGCTTCTGCTATTTGATGTCTAAAATCGAAAAGAAAATTACGCGTCTTTTATCAAACTGGCAGTTTGAGGACCCTTGCGAGGTGTCGGACCGCCGCCTGGCCGTTTTCTACCGACGCTTTCCAAATGGGGAACAAAACCGGCGAAGCCGCTTTGTAGAAACTGCTTTCCCGCACCACCCTGGGCAGGGTCATCTTGTCCGTGTCGCAAGTCCAATAGTCGACGACTTTGGCCCGGTGCGGCCTGCAGGCCTTCCAGGTCACGTGGTCTTTGAGTTCCTCCGGATCGCTACACTTGAGGAAAAAGTCTCTTCGGTGCGACCCGAAGACGCCGGATTTGTTGTCGTTGCTGTCCGTGGACCCCGTGCTGGTGGGGTCATCGTGCGTATTGAAGAAACGGTGCAGCTGGTAGGGGAAGAGCAGACTCAGCCAGTTCAGGTACCATGTGCTCCGCGAAAAGGGACTGCCGAGTTTCATACTCGGGATGTGCTTCAGGTAGGAGATGTGGCTCCATCGTTCATATTCTCCGTATCCGAGTGCACAAATTTTTGTCCGCCTCCCCGTTTTTGATTTTGGAATGTTATGCGTGAGCAGACGCAAAGCAGTTTCCTGGTGTTACTTTTGCATCACAAGTGTTGAGGGGAGGAGAACAACAAGTTGTGCACTCTGATAACCAGGTGGTAACGTTCATGTGCAGTGCCTTGAAGTTGAAGTAGTTCAAATACGTAAGAAACGCCGTCCAGACGGTGAGGAGGGTAAAGGCCACAAACGTGATGGGGGTCAGGAGGAAATACGGAAAAGGTTGGATATGCATTGCAAAAGTATCGCACTAGTATAAATTGCATCACAAATTTTGGCAAGAAGAAAAGTGGAATTTGTAATGCTGTTTTACCTTAGGATATTTGTCATGCATATTTGCAACTAGTACGAGTACGATACTTTTGCACAGGATATTGGATGCAGGAGAACCACTTAAACCACATGTTCTGCAGGAACAGGACTTCGAGGAAGCAGTAAAGGATGAAGTATCTGTGGAAGGTTTTGTGTGATTGCACTTCAACTTATGCTAGTAGCATGTTTATCATTATCAATTTTCATAGCTTGGTGACACATCAAATTCCAAACTCAAATCAAGGCTGCTTCTACAGTCCTGCAAGTTCAATACCGCTTATTCCTCTCCCCCACGGCCGTCCCGAGAAACTGACAGTAATGATCAAACGTCGGCACGCACTGCTGAATCTGGGGGCAATGTTTCGTTCGCAGGGGCATGTAGTGGTCGCAGTAGTAGCAAAATCGGAGCTTCACTTTCAAATTTGTCGCCGGATCCACGACCACTTCTGGTGCGAAGTACTCCTCTTTTGTCATCAGATCCTCATTTGAATTCTCTACATTTTCTGCCTCCAGAAGTTCCTGCTTCGTCGGAGACGAAGGCGTGGTGTTGGTACTACTGTTGGCACCACCAGTTTTCCTTCCCGACGCAGGCTTCCCGGGCGATTTCACGTCGTCGCCGAGCAATTTGGTCGAATCCGCGACCATGATTTCATCCTGGAGATTGTTCGAGTTTATTGAGGCGCTAGTAGATTGATGTTCCACTTCATCGATGTCGAAGGGGTCAGACCCTGCAATCCCGCACGCCAAAACCCCGCCGCCGTTTTTCTTGTCAATTTTTCCGCGGTAGCACTGTTGCGTGTAGAGGTAGACGGCGAAGCTGAGGAGAAAGAGGCCGAGCCAGTCGCCCCAGTAGCCGCCCTCCTCTGGCCACACCAGCTTGTGGAAATTTTCGTCCCAGGTGGCGATGAGCCACAGGAAGAGGTGCGTGCCATAAATGTTCAGAAACGCCGTGAGGCGCGTGGACTGCTGCATGTACTGGAAATCCAGGGCATTCCGGTCCGTCGCACACGTGAAATCCCACGGTGGCCAGGCCACATCAACGACCACATACCGGGGGTCCTGGTGCCAAACCGGCAGGTTTTCCATGGAGAACTGCTGCCGCTTCAAGATCGGCGGTGGTTTGAAACGCAGTTTTCGGCCCTTGATGACGGTCGTGTAACTAGCGGGCTGTGCGGGGAGAGTTGGCTGGTGGGAGCTGCAACAGGACGACCCGGTTGATGGACCGCTGCCGTGGCCATGCCCATGGTGACTGTGCTGTTGCATCATGCCCCCGTGTTGATGACCACAATTGCCACTCTGACAGGATGAACCCCCACCTCCGGAAGCCGGGATTTGAGAAGCTGGTGCTGAAAACGTCATTCTTGTTTCTTTGTACGATGTTTTCTTGGAAAGGAAGACGCGAATCAACACCAATTCTGGTTGATGTTCCAGGTGCGTGGTGTCATAGATTTTTGCAACGGAATAAGGTGTAACTGCAGGAAGACAAGATCAAGAGCGGGAGCGACAACCTGACACACGTTCATCTGAAAGCTCGCGCACCCTATCTACTTACTCTCCGGTCTCTCTGCTGCCGCTCTCCTCAACGGACGTCCACACACGCTCGAAGGGGAACAAACCCTTACGTAATTTGAAAACGCAAAAGCGATTCTTAAGTCGGTTCTCGGATGCGGAAGTCAATACAGTGTGATCTTCATCTTAGTAATGTTGCCTTCATACAACCGAAGAAGTACAAGTTGAAGCGCGTGCTGATCGCAACGAAGCAGTGTCATTCGTACATATGGCATAAACCAAAAACTTATGTGTAGCAACTCAGAGTGCGATTTTACACGCAGAATAAAGCTAAAGCTTGCTCAGTATGATAGTAAAAGCATCTTGGAATTGTTTGGAGTCTACCGAAACTTAGAAGTTATCAACATCTTACACATGAGTACAGGTTGTACTTAAGTTGTTCCTTACGCACCACACTTCGTCCATTCAAAAACTGAATAAATTCGTGCAGCAGAGGACGAGGCGAATGGAGTTCGTCCCATTGTCCTTCGCTTCCTGCTCTGCCACAAATTCTACCCACGCATGCACCCAAAGCACCCGCCTTTTTTGCCGCTTCCCCCCTTCCCGCCAGCCCCACCGCCATCGCCTCCGGGGACAACACTGGTGTATTGCTTTTTCAACAGTGGGGCGATCAAGGTTTCCAAGCCGTTCCGAATCTTCTCCAAAGCCGGCAAATCGGCGTTGGGGTTCTTCTCCAACCACTCTAGCGTCTTCGTGATCGCCTGGATGGCTTTCTTCCGTTCCGACCGGGAGATCAATTTGGAAAATTGGTCAGACTCGAGGGTCGACTTCGCGGAGTAGCAGTAATTTTCCAGCGAGTTTCGTGCGGCGAGGATCCCTTTCACTTCCCGGTCCTGGGCATTGTACCTGTGGGTTTTTTTTGTGGACGACGGGGCTTCATCATACCATTCTCAATTTCACCAATGAGGATGAATGTGTCACGTTGATGACGCGCAAGTAATCAAAATCATGCATCAGATTCAGTGGAAGACTCGTTGCAACCCGGGGCCCATGGTCGTGCTGCATGTGCTTTGCAAAATCTACCATTTTAGCATTACCTTGCCGCATCCTGCATGTGCTGTTCGATCTCTTCCTTCGTGAGCCTCCCAGTGTCGTTCGAAATCTGAATCGCCCGTCGGTTCTCGCTGCCCTGACCCTGTTCCTCCGCTTGCACCGTCAAAATGCCGTCTTTGTCAATGTCGAACATGACCTCGATTTTCGGCACGGCTCTAGGCGCAGGTGCAATATCGGTGAGCTGGAACTTCCCGAGCAAATTGCAGTCTTTTGTCAGTGCCCGTTCGCCTTCGAAGACCTAGGGATTGTTTTGCCAGATTAGAATTCCGCAATTGATGTGATATTGCCTCGCATGCAGTTGTGCAAAGCAAACTTGTTCTCCGAAAGCATCCATCTACCTGCACGAGCACTTGCCTCTGGTTATCGGCAGCCGTTGAGAAGCCGCCCCTTGTTTTCCTGACCGGCACTGTCGTATTTCTCGGTATCACCACCGTCATGGCGCCGCCGGCGGTTTGTATCCCCAAGGAGATCGGGCTCACGTCCAAGAGCAAGACGTCTGGGCCGGAATGCGCCTTCGTCAAAATTGCTGCTTGAACCGCAGCGCCGTAGGCCACTGCTTCGTCGGGGTTGATGCTGTTCACACGACGGCTGTTTTTGGGTTTTGTGTTTTTTTTGTCGAAAAAGCAAAATGCAAAGCATGTGAAGATGCTAGTACTGTAAGGACCGGTTGCTCTTTCTGAATCGTTGTACAGGAAATAAACGCTTACCCTCCAGCCTCCCCGTCGTTCCCCTTCCCGTTCGGGGATCCGACCATGTTGGATTGGAAACCGAAGTATTCATCCAGCATTTGCTTGATTTTCGGAATTCTTGTGCTTCCACCAACCAAAACCAAATCGTGGATGTCTTGTTTCCGGACCCCACTTTCCCGCAAGCAATCCTCCACGCACGACAGCGTCTGCTGAAAATGTTTTGTGCACAGTTTTTCGAAAAACGCGCGACTGAGCTGCAACGTAAAGTCGATGCCCCCGTATAAGCTGTCCACTTCAATGGTCGCCTGCGTGGACGCGGATAAAGTTCTCTTCGCCCGTTCGCACTGCGTCCGTAAGCGTCTCAAGGCTCTGCTGTTCATGCGTTTCAAAAGGTCCTCTTCGGAGATTTTGTCCACTCGGTACCTGCCGTCCGTCCGCTCCCGCGTCTCGTCGTCGTTCGTGCCGCCAAACAGGCCCCCGAAATCGGCGAAAAAACTGGCTTGCGGCTTGGACTCCTGCTCCTTCCGATTTGTTTTCTCGATGACGCCCGGGTTTTTTCGCTCAAATTCCTTCACGCAGTGGTCCACGAGCAGTGAATCGAAATCCTCGCCGCCCAAGTGCGTGTCCCCGGCCGTGGCCTTCACTTCGAAGACGTTCTCTTCCAGTTGAAGGACGGAAACGTCAAAAGTACCGCCACCCAGATCGTAAACCAGGATGTTGCGCTCCGAACCTGTTGATTTTTACTTCAGTTTGACTTGTTTCACATCAACGAAGTTTGCCACACAAAACTGCGAAAGTACGCAGTGCAAAAACGGAAGCAGTTTGCTAGCGTAGCCCATGCACTACAATCTGCATTACAACAGAGATAGCAGCTTCTGCTTATTACTACTCAATACTTCCTCGTTCCGCTGCCGAATTCATTCCGTACGCAATCGCCGCGGCGGTCGGTTCGTTCAAAATGCGCAAGACCTCCAGACCCGCGATCTTCCCGGCGTCTTTCGTGCTCTGCCGCTGCGCGTCGTTGAAATATGCAGGCACTGTGACGACCGCTTTCGTCACTTTGCGGTTCAAAATCGCCTCCGCGGTTTCTTTCATTTTCGTCAGCACCATCGCAGAGATTTCTTCCGGGTCAAAATCCTTCCGTTCCCCCTTCAACGTCACGGATATCTTCGGGTTTCCCTTGCTCCCCTCCACGACTTTGAAAGGCCACAGTTCCCGATCTTTTTGCACCTCGTCGTCCCGGAATTTCCGGCCGATCAGCCGTTTTGCGTCGAACACCGTGTTGACCGGATTTCTGGCCGCTTGGTTCCACGCCGCGTCGCCGACCAACCGTTGCGTGTCGTCGAAGGAGACGTAGGAGGGGGTGGTGCGGTTCCCCTGGTCGTTGGCCAGCACCTCGATGCCCATCTCCCTTTGCACCGCCACGCAGGAGTAGGTGGTACCCAGATCGATTCCCACCGCGATTTCGTTTTCGTCGGCCATTTCGTCGGGCACCGTGTCGGCCGGCGGTGGCGCGGACGAACTGGAAGAGGATTTTTTCGGCTTCACACCCATCTTGGGAGCAAGGTAAAGTCGTACTTGGATTGCCTTCGCTTGTTCACCCGCAGATGAACCACTTCGCCGGCAATTACAGTTTGACTACAAGAAGAACTGCGAGCGCGAGCGTATGCTTCGTGCTGGTAAACGTAAACTGAAAGAGCGAAGGCCTCGGACGCCTGGTGCTGGTGATCTGAAATCGTTAGAGTTCCTAGACCAGCGGGCTCGTTTCTCGCTCTGGTCTCAGTTTCTCTAGATTTTTATCCCTCAGTTTGATTGCGTGTTGACATTCAGGTTACCTAAACGGATCGCGGTTCTTTGTCTAGGGAGGCGGCACAGAGAAATCCTCAGGAACTCACTGCAGGCAACGGAGAACAGAATCAAGTGCAAGCGAAAGGAGATGTCGATGGACCGGCAACTGATATGGTTTGGCACCAAAAAATGAAGCGTCGCCTCATACTCACTTTTGTTGTGTTTCGCTTTGTTCTTTTTTTACTTGAACGGGCTCTTCGCCTCGTCAGTGTTCCTTCGAAATCGGGAAAAAATAAGACTGGAGGAAAAAAAAAGTTCATTCAATCCAGTGCATTTTTGTAAAAATGGCAGAGGCAGTTGTAGTAGGAGCAACTTGTTTGCCAAGTTACTTCTCATCTTACATAAATTCGGTTTTCAGACAAAGCTCCTTCGAAACAAGTTTACGTTCTTCAAGACCAGCACCACCAATCGCAGCGACATTCTCCAGTCTAGCGCACCAAGTGCCTCAAGAACGTCATGGCCGGTGGGTTCATACTGCCCGTGGAGTCCATTCCCGGGATCACGGCCGGAGCGGGGGCGGCCGGCGCTCCCATCGGCGCGGTGGGGTCCAACGTGCTGCCAGCCATGGTCGGCGGCGGCGGCGGGGCCACTGTGGCCGCGCTCGGGTCACCCATGGGCACGGTGGGCGTCAGGGAGGACCCGGTTGGCGGGGGCGGCGGCATCATGGTCGCATTGGTCATTGGCGGTTGGTCCTCCGGCATGGGCGGCATCGTAGTTCCGTTCATGGCCCCCGCCGCGGCCTCGTTGGCCATGCCCTCGATGTCGGTGGGGCCCGGGGGCGGCGGTGGCGGCATGGTGGCGTTGCCCGCCGGCATGGTCATGGTGGCGTTGGACTCCTCGTGGTCCGACAGGTGGATTCCCGCCGCGGCAAACTGGTCGTGGGTGATGCCCGCCTGCATGGCCATGTCGTGCACCGACGTGCCGTTCACGCCAAGCGGCACCATGTGCCCGTCGCTGGCCCCGGCCGCGTGGTCGATGGGCGGGGTTGGTTCCACAAAGTGCTCGTGGCCGCAGATCTGGTAGTGGTGGGGGAGAATAGAAGAGCCGATGTTTTATTTCTGCAGTACTGAATGAAAGACAAGTAAGATGACAGACTAAGAGCTACATTTGTGATATTGCATGACAAGAATGACACCAAGCTATCGTATACCATATCGCAGTGCGAGTGGCAGTCTCCGTCGTCACAGGCAGCGTGGCACTGCGCGCACTCGTCCTGGGCCGGATTGGCAATGTGGCCGCCGCAGGAATCGACATCACAGCGCATCATGCACGCGTGGGGGATGACCGCCTCCTTCTTGGCCTCGCACACCTGACAGCCGGAAAAGCCCTCCTTCTTATCGGCGTCGCAGAGCTGGTGGCAGGTGCCGTCGTCGTAACTGGATTTTCATTTTTTTGCTTGTCATGCATGAGCTACTTGTACTTCTTACAATCAGCAATGCAGGTGCTCAGGCGTTTTCTCATGCGAGGAACATATTCGAAAGTAAAGTCCGTACTTACCCCATGATGTCTTCACACCCATCGTGGCAGGCGTGGCAGCTGGAGCACTCGCGACTGCCTTCTGCAGCCATCAGCATTGGGTACGCCTGGTCGTAGCAATTGTTGTGGCACATAGAGCACGTATCCGCGACGGTTTCATTGGGGTAGTGCATGGCGGACAGCAGTCCCATTTCCGCCTCGCACTGCATCACGAAGTCCTCCCGCCCGATGCCCGCCGTGGTGTTCAGTTGTTCCTGCATGTGCATCGGAAGCATGTGCTTCAACTGCGCGCACTTCGGGCTGGTGGCGATCATCGCCCCGGAAAGAACCGGCTCCTGCGTCGCGGCGATGTGGGCATCGCCGACGGCGGCGTACCAGCAGTCCTCCCAGTAGCGAAAGCAGTCGTCCGCCGGATCGGCCGGGATGTGCTCGCCCTGCGTCATGCACCCCTCGTGGTGGGTCTCGTGGTGCATCCGCCGTGCGTCCTCCATGTGCAGGACGGTCTGGGTTGGAGTTGTTTAATTGAATAATATCATCGACGTGCTAGGTGTTTTGTCCTGAAACAAATATGGTGCCACAGCGACACAATTTCAATTGGAGTTGCGTCACCAGATGAAATGGACTCTATCTCTTCTTCCATTCATTCTCAGACACGCGTGCGAAGAGAGTTCACATCTTTCTTGGTGGTTTTTTCTCACATAGATGAGGCAAGAAGCACCACAGCAGCGAACTTCGTAAACAAAGCAAGCCGCCATGGCACGTCGAGAAACCACAAGTCTATCAACATCTCCTCCGTTGTGTCATCATGGTGTTACTCAGGTGTGAACGATACGTAGTAAAGAGTTCCAATCAGCGCCCTAACTTCTAGGTTGTATTGCTATAACCATGAAGCAGACTCAGATGGATCCCCTTCTTTATGTCATCATGTTGTAGTATACTTTTCTCTGTAATTTAAATTTTGCTGTCATGATGCCCTGAACACGACGCCCCCGACGCTACAAAATTAAAACTGAGAGTGAAAGCCAGCACAGTCGAAATTTCTCCTACCTGTTCGTACATTTCGCACCCCTGCAAGTAGTCCTCCCGAAACAGCTGCGGCGGGATCTGTTCCTTCATCAGGTGGCCGGCTTCGAGCAAGTCCATGATCCGTGTGCACTGCGTGGTCGCGGTTTCAAACGTGACGAATTCTCCCATGTGCGGGTCGTACTCTGGCCCCATGCTGTGGCACATGGACCACCAGGCCTGGCAGTTCACCGTCGGGGCGCGGGGCTGCGGGGGCTCCTGCCAGTGGAAAATGACGGAGGAGCAGCCCCACTTGTACTCTTCCGCGGTCCTGTATCCACAAAAAAGAGCAGCCATTATTCCCATCCGTCTTTCGCACGACACATAACACAGGCGTTGTTTCTTGTTGTGTTCTTGTTGCATGCTTTGCATGGCAAATTGGGTCATGGGGAAAATGGGTCTTTTTTCGCGCATACCATGCCGTGCTCTTGCGAAACCATCTCCGGATCGAACAATCCCTCCTTGATCAGCGCCGAGATCCGGGGGCATTGCAATGCGGTCTGCGCGGTGATGTGGCGGTCCGGCACGAAGGCCGGCTGCTCCGTGTGCTCGCACTCTTCCCAGAAAGTTTCGCAGTAGGCCTCGGCGACCTCCGGGGACTGCGGGGGCGGAATGGCGTACAATCCGGTCGTGTAGTTGTAGCCGAGCACGACCTGCATCGCCTTCTCAGCGTCCCAGTCCTCTTTTCTGGAGAATTTCCTTGTGCGCAGGGCGGAGGTTTTCGTAATGGAGAGGGCTGTCGTGGTGGCTTGAGTTTTTGCATTGTTGGCGGCGAGTTTGATGGCAGAAGTGGAGAGTGACTGGTGGTCGAAGAGGACCAAAGACGTAAGTGCACGCGAGAGCGACATCTTGATGGGAGAGTTGTGGCGACTGATTTTCACACGTATACGAAGTAGAGAACCGACGCCGACAGCTGTAGGCACGCTTGCGCTGCTGCGGAACTGCAGGCTCCTCTACGCCCTGGTAGCAGGACGACACTCGCTTCGTTCTCCTGCGTGATAGGGCGTGGCAGGGACGACGCTAAACAAAGTACATAGTTAGAGTAAGCAAGGGCGTTTTTTCATCGGTAAGAACAAGTGGCGCTTATTGTTATTCTAAGCGCAATAAGCTCAAGCACAACCGAAGAAAACCAGGGCACTGGTATTGAACTTCGGAAAGCAGAAGCACCACCACGAAAACTTGAAATAAAGCAAAAACGGCGTATCTCGTCGAGCGGAACACAACACACACGAAAAGAAATAAAGGAAAACACGCCATGGCCACCAGAGACGGACCGTCGGCGACAGAGGCTCGCTGCCGGTCGATGTGGTGCGAGGGAGTATGCCACCCTCCCGGGCGAGCCACGCCTCCTTTTCGCTGGTTGGTGTCGCGAATACCACTGCGGCACACACACACACACATAACAAGCAGGACGTCCTGGAGGCAGACTCGCGCCTGCTCCATCCGGGCGGGGGGTATGGCGGTGGCAATGCAAAGAAAGGGGCCCGCCCCCGGGCAGAGCGAACGGGGACGGGCGGCTGCCAGGCCCAAAGGAAGCTTCGCCCTAGGCGCCGGCGGGCGCGCCATACAAAAGAGGAGCAGGGCGGGGCCGTTGCCAAGGGCCGGGCGCGCCTCCGCTCTGCTATTGACATACTTCACTACCAGCCGGCCTGCACGGCTTTGGCGGCCGACCAATGCAAGGAGCCGGAGGAGCCCACGGACGCAAGCACGCAGGAGGCCCAAGGGCCGGCGGGGCGGGGCCCCGCCCGGCCGAGTGAGAGATACGGCGCCGGCAGGGAGCCCGGGGCCGGGGGGCCGCGCCAGTCGGGCCGGCCCGCTAGCCAGCAGGCCCCGAGGGGGCCCGGCGCGCGCCACCAATATTCGAAGAGCGCGGGGGGGGGGGCGCGGCGTTTTGGGCATCGGGTCGCCCGTTCCGGGATGTAAATAACATCGGAAGTACATAGATGACGGCCCTGGCCCCCGGCGCCACCGCGATCTATGATTTTCACGCTGGCGCGGGGCGCCACGCGCCCGCGCGCCGGCAACAAACGCCGGCCGGGCGGCCCGGGCGCTTTCGGCGCGCCCTACCGCCCCCCCGGCCCCGGGGGGCGGGGGGGGCAAGAAAAGCAAGGGCGCGCGGCCCCGGCCGGGGGGGCCGGCCCGGCAGACAGCCCGTCGGCCTTCGCGCCGCCCCTCCACACCCGGGTAGCGAAATGGGCGGGCGCGCGCCGGGGCGCGCGAGGCCTTCGGGGCAGCGCGGGCTACGTCAAGGGCCCGCGGCGGGCAAATCCGGCCGGGCCGGTCCCGCCAGGTATGGGGCCCGCGAACCGGATGGCGCAGACAAAACACCGCAAGCCCGGCAGTAGCACCTTCAGCGGGGCCATTCATTGGGTCGCCCGAAAGGCGTGGCGTAGCCTTCGCACTTTCTTCCCGCGCCCTGGGAAAGGCGCCGGCCGACGCGTGGGGCTGGAACCTGCCCCAGCAGCATCGCGCTAGAGCCCGCGCAGCTTTTGGCTTCCACCCAAAAAAGGCGGCCCCACATGCTAGGCAGATACCCGGGCGGCCCGCTGATGTGGAGTGGGCCCGCTGCTTCGCGTCTGTGGCCCCCCCGGCGGTACGCAGCGGCGCCCTGCCGGGGCGCCGGGATTCGCCACAGAATCAGGCTCGTACATTCCTCCCCGCTTTTCGTCGTCCATGTATCATCAGACACTCCGCCACCGCTTCGGTGCGGCGACTCGTGCCCGCCGCTGTCCCTTGATCGAAGAACTTTGAAAATGTTTAACTACTGACAAGCCCATCGCTGGTTCCCCCTCAGCGCGAGCAATGCCGGCGCAGTTTTGTATTCCAACTGCTACTACAACTACAACGTGGCTTAGTTAACCTTAGCATCATTGCTGCGCCAGAACACAGATGATCAACGGGCACTTGAGTTTGACCACTAGTGTGAACGTTCACGGTAACTAGTACATGCCGATCCGACATTATCGGCCACGCACCTCTTCGATCTGGAGTAGGTATGTGCTCATTCTTCATAGTACTTTTGGTTTTGATGTCTTTAGCTTTCTAGGCGTACGGAAAAAACAATTACTCTGATGAGCAGGGCGTGCTCTCCACTGTCATCTATGCCCAATAGGGCTACAAAATGGAGCCCTGCCCTGACAGCAGCGATCATTATCGAGCACAACCCAGCTGCAGGAGCACCAGCACCGCACACACTCAGAGCAAGCACACCAATTGCGCTCGTCTACAAGGAGCTACACGGCAATCCGCTGTACAGACTCGCCAGCTTTCCTTCGCCACCACACTTCTTCTTCGGATCGCCAGCGCACTTGTTCGAGCATTGCGCCGGGTTCACAATTTTCCCGATCTCCACAGTCGCGTAACAAACACAATCGTCCTTCTGCATCGTGAAGTAGGGGTAGATCTCACCTGTTGTAAATGTGTTTATTTTGATTTACACATTTTTCACATCATCATCAACATGTACATGCTCATGGAGATAACGTTCCCTACACCAGTGCGTAGTTATTCACTCACATCACAATCACCGACGTGCATACCTTATGATATGCAGGGCAAAAAAAAATCGTAACCCATGTCGTGCAGCTACGTACCTTGCGACACGCAGTTTTTGGCGCAATCTTCGGGCGTTTCAGCCCGGTTCCCGGGGAACGAAGGCGTCCCCTCCTCGATCTCGACACAAGCGTAAGGCAGTCCCACGGCCGTGGTCGTGGCGTTGTAGGAGCGCAGCTGGAATTGCAGGCCCGTTGCCAGCGTTGCGAAGATATTTGCGGTGAGGAGCAACCTGCGAAACGGAGAACAACGCTCCATTCTGCTTCCGACGCCCCTGCTCACCATCTTTGCTGCTGCGGGCGCTCCGGCACTCTTGTGTGCCACGGATTCTTTAAATAAGACAAATGGAAATCATCATGATCGCGCGTCGCACGACGCATACGCAGTTTCGGATAGTAAATTCGTGTTTTTGTATGTGGATCATCGTCAAAAGTGGTTGCTCGGGACAATATAGCATGCTTCTTGTTTAGATCTTACTTCGTGATCGTGACCTGGAGCTTTAGCCTTCGACTTCGTAGGACTAGATCCTGTTCTTTCACGCAGAAAGTTTTTCGTTGGCCTGAATCCTTTTCGAAATCGAGGAACATCAACACAGCAGTTCGTACCACAGCCAAATCTAAGGCGTGCTACTTTACGTGCGCCGCCACCCTCTCAGAGCTCGCGCAGCCTCAAACGACAACAAAACGGCAGGGCAAGACCGATTTTTGTCCAAAACGGCAAAAGTGTATAAGTGTTTTCAATTTCGGTTTCCGGACAATGCCGAAAGCAAAGGACATCTTCAACATCCACCACGAGCGTCACAGCTTTGAGGCCGCTGTATTGTTACACGGGTACAATTCCTTGATTTTCAAGTCGTTCTCCTCCGAAACGGAATTCGGCATGGTCACCGCGAAGTCCCGATTGGCTTTCATTTCCCGATCCACCGCAAACTCGGCATTTGGGTTCCGGGCCCAGGACCGACGGGTGATGCCGTTGTAGACGTCCCAATGCAGCATGCGCTTCAGCTTGGTGGACGCCTCTGAAGAGCCGTCGAGAAGAAGACCGAAGCCACCGTTCATGACCTGGTGATGTTGTGCTGGAGAGGTTGACATAATCCTAATCCCTCCCCTATGATTTGAACACATATGATGTAGGAGCTAGTGGTCACGTCTAAAGAAAGAACAAAGACCGAGAAGTCCAGTCACGACTACGCTTAAAAAGCAAGTACTTACCTCGCCCCACCCGACCCCTCCCCCGTTGTGCAGCGACACCCAGGTCGCGCCGCGGAAGGAGTCCCCGATGCAGTTTTGCACTGCCATGTCTGCGCAGAAGCTGCTGCCGTCGTAGATGTTCGATGTTTCGCGGTACGGCGAATCCGTCCCGGAAACGTCGTGGTGATCCCGACCGAGGACCACCGGACCTGACAGTTTTTTACTTTTTATCGCCTGGTTAAACGCCTCGGCGATCTTCATGCGCCCCTCGGCGTCCGCGTAGAGAATCCTCGCCTGGGAACCGACGACCAGCTTGTTCGCTCGGGCGCCCTTGATCCAGGTAATGTTGTCCCGGAGCTGCTGCTGGATTTCGACCTGATAGAATTTTGTGCAGAAATTTAAATTGACCCGTGGTCATGTGGTTGGGGGGAGGAGACGTAGAAAAGAGCTGTACCTCACGAGCAGTTTGAACCAGCTGGCGTGGCTGCAAAAAATAAGTTGCGACTACACTTACTCTGATTCAATAAGTACCGGCGACGTCTTCGCGACTTGCTCGAGCGCCTCGCAGGCGATCGCGTCGGTCGTCGCCAAATCCTCCTCCTTCCCACTGCAGCAGACCCACCGAAATGGCCCGAACCCGAAGTCGAAGCAGATCGGGCCCATGATGTCTTCGACGTAGCTCGGGTAGCGGAACTTCGTGTCGTCGTTCTTGTCGATGATGTCGGCACCGGCGCGCTTGCACTGCAGCAGAAACGCGTTGCCGTAGTCAAAAAAGTACATCTGTCTCTCCTCCGTCATGACGTTGATGGCCGCCGCGTGTCGTACTAACGTTTTCTCGACCAGTTGCTTGAACCTCGCCGGATCTTTTTGCATGATGCTCCGGGACTCGTCGAGAGGTAAATCCGCGGGGTAGTACCCGCCAGCGAAGGGGATGTGGAGGGACGATTGGTCGCTTCCGAGATCGACATGGACCTGATGTGGGTTTCACTACGATGCAATTCCCTTTACTTATTCCTATGGACCAAACTCCTTAAGAACTCCCCTTAAGACTTCCCCTTAAGAAACTCCTTAAAAAAGGGGGGGGGCGCGGAATCGATGACACCATGGGGGTTCATTTTTGCGCCGAGGGTATGCTGCGTTTTCTTATGTGCGTTGGCGCAAACTTTTGGCAACGAGAAAATCGGGCCCATAGCATGGGGATTGAGGGCGAAAAGTTTTAAGGCGATTTCTTTAAGGGGGAATCTTTAAGGGGCATCTTTAAGGGCATTCTTAAGGGGATCTTTAAGGGGGCTTTTAAGGGGACGCTTAAGGGGGGCCCATAGAGCAGCCCAAGCGATTGCGCCAGGGGAAAGGGCGCAAAAACCTATCTACTGGGGGGTCCTGCGTGCCATGAGCAGAACGGCGGCCAGCGACAACCAACACGCGCAAGGCAGCCCGCCGGCAGGCTACCTAGCGTGCGGCCGCGCGCCGGCAGGCTAGCGGGGACGGCCGACAGGCTAGCGGAGGCAGCCGGCAGAGTAGCGAGGGCGGCTGGCAGCGTAGCGGGTGCAGCCGGGACGGAGGGTAGCGGGGGCGGCCGGCCGGGTAGTGGGGGCAGCCGGCCGGGTAGCGGGGGCAGCTGGCCGGGTAGCGGGGGCGGCCGGCAGGGTAGCGGGGGCAGCCAGCCGGGTAGCGGGGGCAGCCGGCAGGGTTGGTAGCGAGGGCAGCCGGCAGGGTAGCGGGGGCGGCCGGAAGGGTAGCGGGGGCGGGTTGGCAGCCGGCAGAGTAGCGGGGGCAGCCGGCAGAGTAGCGGGGGCAGGCAGCCGGCAGAGCAGCGCGGACAGCCGGCAAGCTAGCGAAGGCAGCCGGAAGGGTAACGGGGGCGGCAGGCGGGGTAGCGGGGCCCGCCGGAAGGGTAGCGGGGGCAACCGGCAGGGCAGCCGGAAGGGTAGTGGGGGCAGCGGGGCGGCATGGTAGCGGGGGCAGCCGCCAGGGTAGCGGGGGCCGGCGGGGTAGCGGGGGCGGCCGGCCGGGTAGCGGGGGCAGCCGGCAGGGTAGCGGGGGCAACCGGCAGAGTAGCGGGGACAGCCGGCAGGGTAGCGGGGGCAGCCGGCAGGGTAGCGGGGGCAGCCGGCAGGGTAGCGGGGGCAGCCGGCAGGCTCGCTACCTGTCTGAGGACGGCACGGGCGGGGCAAGCAGCAGCCGGCACGCCGCCAGCGGGCGGCAAGATGCCAAAGAGGTAGCGCGGGCGGGGCAGGCAGCTGGCGCGGGGTTGTCGAAAGCCGGCGCGCGAACGCGCCCAGCTTCCAAACTGACATCGGGCCCCCTCTCCCGGTCTCCTTGCAGTTTATTCAGTCACCGATCTACCGGTCGCAACCGACAATCCCAAGCCCAGGCGAGCCCAGCAGGGCTCGCCCCGAGGCTTGTTCATCTTATTTTCAAAATCAAATGTAAGTAGCATTGCGATTGCAGGATGTTTTTCTGACATTAAATGACCTCTTCTCACTCTGCTTAAAAACATTACTACCTTTTCCCGCACCAAAAACTCCCACAATTCCACAATGTTTCCCAGAAACGCGAAGGACTTCGCCTTTTTCTCCACATCCTGGGCATACTTCACCTTCTTCAGCAACACCCCCAAATCCGATTCGATCTCGTCCACCCACCCCTGCGAATGCCGCTTTTTCGCCGCAACGGAGTCGATTTCCGCGGTAATGGAGATCATGTGCGCGATGTTTGCCGCTTTCGGCTGGGCGCCCGACATGCCACCGAGGCCGGCGGTGATGAAAAGTAGGGGCTTGTTCTCCGGGTTGAAGGCTTTTCCTCGTTTCTGCTTCAGAATCCTCGCGGCGTTCAATAATGTGATCGTGGTCCCGTGCACAATTCCCTGCGGCCCGATGTACATGTAGCTCCCCGCCGTCATTTGGCCGTACTGGGAAACCCCCAAGGCGTTCATCCTTTCGTAGTCGTCGGGGGTCGATTTCGAAGGGATGACCATGCCGTTCGTCACAATCACCCGCGGCGCGTCTTTCGAGCTGGGGAACAGCCCGTGCGGGTGCCCGCTGTACATGGCGAGCGTCTGTTCATCCGACATCGTCGCGAGGTACTTCATAGTCAGCAAGTACTGGGCCCAGTTTTGAAAAACCGCACCATTCCCACCGTACGTGATCAACTCGTAGGGATGTTGCGCAACTTTTGGATCGAGGTTATTTTGGATCATCAGCATGATCCCCTTCGCGTGCAGTGATTTCCCCGGGTACTGCTCGATCGGCCGCGCGAACATGTCGTAGTGCGGCATGAAACGGTACATGTAGATCCGCCCGTAGGTTTCCAACTCTGTCGCGAATTCCTCGGTTAAGTCTTTGTGAAATCTCTGCGGGAAGTACCGCAAAGCGTTCTTCAAGGCGAGCTGCTTCTCGCGGTTCGTCAAAATCTGCTTCCTTTTCGGTGCGCGGGAGACCGGTTTTGTCGTGAGTCTCTGCGGTGGGGTTGGGAGCTCGTCGAGGGGGATTCCGGTCAGAATCTGCTGCTGAAATAATTCGATGGAGTCCGTGGTCTGCTTCGCGATTGAGGGAGTACTTGATGTTTGCGCTGCTGGGTCTGTGATATTTTTCCCTGGTTTAGCATAGGGATGCGCCCGTGGAGACGGGTTTGTGACAGACGAAGAGGTGGCCGAGCCCGTCATGGTTGAGCTTGATGATGAAATTTTGTAAAGAGAAGGGAAACAAAAGGAGCTACTCAAGTACTTACACAACTTGGAAATTGACCAAGTGCGGGGAAGCGTTACAAGGGCTCAAAGTCGCATGGTTGGTAAAGCAGGCACAATAGAAACAGACAATTGCTCTGCTTCGGTCAGTAGGTGAAAGTAAACTTCTTATTTACCGCAAACTATACATTCCGACGAGGGCTCGTGCTGAAAAATAAAAGAATCCCGGTGGACCTGGATGTCAAACTGCCGTCTGGAGAATGGCATGCAGAACTAGTAGCTTTGAAAGCATGCGGCATTTGCACACAATCGGTACACGAGATTACTTGTAAAATTCATGTTCATGTTGTCTCACTCATAACTTAAACCACGTTTGTTTCCACTCTTTGTTTCGCTCCAAACAATGCCATTGTTTAAAAGGGTGGATATTAAACAAAGACATCACAAAAACAGGACACAGTGCATCTCGGGGAGGTTGACGTTGAGATGAGTACACTACTTACGCGTGTTGAGTTGTGCAGTTCTTACTCGCCCGTTGTTTCGTCAATCCACCTACCAACATGTTCGTGTTCTTGGACCCGTGTGTATTGAGAATGCGAACGGTTTTTGGAGAAGCTTTTTTCTATACTACACTGGTGCTTCAGGACGCGACCGCCACAGGGGGTCTCGGATAGCGGTACAACTACGACGGAGAATGTTGCCTAGCCAGCCTTGAAAAAGTGTTGTAAATTTGTCATGCAGATTCACCTACACACGAATTGCATAGACGGCATCTACAACTCATCATCGTCGTCCAGGTCGTCGTGCTCCACGTCCACCATGCTCTTTCCCAGATTATCCAAGTGATGAAACAAGATATCGTTTCTGCAATGCTACCCCAGCCGTTTAACTACGCATGACAAAGTCATGCACAACTAGCATTGCAGAAACGATTATCCTTGTCACATCTCATAGAACATCTCACCCAACAAGCTGTTGCGCTTGATGACCCAGGCCTTCTTTTCCGTCGTCATGTTGCCCAGCGCCAACTTTTTCAACCGGTTCCACCTTTTGTCGTTTTGGTTTTTGGACTAGGACAATGCATGACAGAATGTAACAAGGTATCCATTCTTGATTCAAGTTCAACGTGCGAAATTGATGTGTCATGCAATCCCAACAATGAATACTCCTTATCCTGGTCGGTCTTCGTTTTCGGTTGCCACTTCGCAATAAAGGTCTTCTCCTTGTCGCTGCACTCCTTTTGCTCCTTAACGCTGCACTGCGAGGCCAATTTCTCTTTGACGAATTTCGTCAACGAGTCGCCGTCGCGACCTGAAAAGAGTAATGTTCGAAAAAATGCAGACAAGTATTTCCGCATGACATGCACATTGAATAAAAAACCGTCTGCGCATCATATCACATTCTTGTGCATGAATTAAGTGTTTCACTTTTTCGACGTCCTTATCCCTTGACGTCAATTTTACCTCCTTGATAATCCTGCAGTGTGACCCCAGACTCCGCGTTGTAGTACTTGAGGGTCGGGTACCCGCGTACGTCAAACCGCTGGCAAACGGAATCTTCCACGGTGCAATCGACATCGGCGATCAAAACGCTCGGGTCGTTTTTGAAATCATCGGCAAGCTTGTCCCACGCCGGACGGAGGGCTTTGCAGTGCCCACACCAGGGCGCGAAAAATTTGATCTGATAGATTGGTAAATTGAAATTGAGTTTCAGTTTTGTGTACTCGGAAGGTAAAGAACGTAGACCTAGATGAGAGCGCGTCTTCGCACTAATTTCGGCTATACACAGAAACGTCTACACGGCTGTCGCTGTGATTAGCGGCATGCATGACAGAAAAAGCACAAAATTCATACGAGAGCTCCTTTCCCGGATTTCATCGCTTCTTTTTCAAAATTTGCTTGCGTCAAATGAGCGACGCTGTCTGCAGATGCGAGGGACGCAAGGGCAGCAGAGGCTGCGACGACGAGCTTTTTCGTAGCGGAAACCATTGGTCTTGTTGTACTTCCCGAGTACGCAATGCGGCGATTCAAGCTCAACTTCTACCTAGACTTGTCTGTCTAATGGACAATCCGATGCTCCAGATACGGAGTACGTACTATGGGGCAGCAGCTAATGGACAAACGAAAATCCTTCTCCTATTAATTGCTTTAATATCGCGTCAACTTCAGCAGAAATGCAAGTCATGCGGTTGGTAAAGGATCCCAACTTCTTCATCTTCGGGAAAGCAAAAGCATTGCGTTGGGTTGCGCTTTGCGGTGCGACAAAACGGAAAATCAAAATAGAGAGAACGCGCGATCGCAGGGAAAACACAAAAAAAAATAAGGATTGCGGCCCAACTTTGGGACAGGGACGAGGATCTTTGTATTTTTTTCTGAACAGTAACAGATGAAAGGAAAACAGAAACAAACTGCTAGAAGATGAGACAAAGACACCAAATCACATCTGAGAACTATGAGCATCAACATGGACATGAACACACTCAGTGCCCGCAGGTGACAATGTTAAATTGTTCACCGCACAATTACATGCCTTGCCGTCGCTATCCCCAACACGGGACTGGAATAAAAAGCATCACAGTAAATTGCAAACGGCTATCGCAGCAGCGACTTACCAAAATTAAGTTTTCTATGCGCAGTTCATCCCTACTGAGCTCTTTCTTCTTGATTACGAATGAACATGATGACGAGCATGGGCTTTACTTTGAAAAAGAAAAAAGATCCGATACTTTCCTCAATACAGATACCGTCGTTACATCACGCAGATCAGCGCTCTTGCAATTTGTCTACTTCATCTGGTTTCTTTGCGAAATCGTATTGATCATTCCAGTCTTTGGTCTTTGTTCAGTATGTTCAGTGCTACTTGCAGAAGTTTATTCCGCAATAACGTTGTTGACTTGAAGTTAAGATAAGTTTTGTTTTCTGAAGAGTACTACAACCAGCCGTCAAAAAATCTTTTACAAACCAAGTACCTCGTCGCACACTAAAAGTACAACTCGTCACCCTAAGAGCGCGATTGTGGTGAAATCGAGACTTCTTTCATTCCGTCGGGCGAGGAGTCCACTACAACTTTGCTCCCTCCAGCACCACCACCTTCTCCCCGCGCCGCCGCTTCCCTCGCTAACCTTTCTTCTATTCTCTTCATTCTTTGCCGGTAGTGCCTCTGGACCTTCGAAGCCGCGACGTGGTGTTCTAACGGTACTATCACCGGCCGTTCCACAGGTTTGAATAAAACGCGATCCCCGCCAAAAGCCCGCACGACTCTCCACAACCTCTGCAATCTTCTCTGCTCCTCGTCATTGTGCAACGTGGCGTCCAAAGAGTCCGACGTCGCACCCGTAGACAACTTGTGGCTGTGCCGCCTTATTCCTGCAGTAGTCCCGCTGTCTCGCTTGTCCGGCGAGAGTGTCGGCATGGTCTTGTTGCGGGAATTACTGCTTGTCCAACAGGTCGACGGCTTTTTCGAGGGCGACACGTTCCTACTCCCGGCTTGGCTGCCATACTGCGAATTTGCTCTACTGCGGTTTTTGTTCTGCCTATTCGCTCCGACATAGGACAAAACGTTGTGCATCATCGTCGAGAATAGGGTAGAGAAGATATTCTCGTCGTTCTCCAATTGGTTGGAGTGGTGCAAGAGCTTCTCATTCACAGAATCCAACTCATTTATCACCTGCAGCTGCGCTTCTGGTAAATCGTCCGAACTGTGGATGATCAAATACCGAAAAACGGACAAAATGGCCGCCGTCACCGGCACCAAGCCCTCGTTCGTCACCCGGAGGTAGAGCGATTTCGTGAATTTCAAGTCGAATTTGTTGTATTTCTTCGACTTTTCCAAGTCCCGGGAAATCCTGTTGAAGTTCGAGTTGCTTTCCTTCGCACCCCTATTACCGCCGTCTTTGTTGCTCTTTTGGTCATGTTCTACAGGATGCTTGTGACTACTTGCACTTGTAGACACCTCTCGGATCACGTGGTCTAAATATTCCAACGCTTTCGGAAGCGGCAAGTAGCACGTGCAGTTCGGATCGTATTGCTTCCACCGCTTGATGCACAATTGCACCACTTCCGAAAATGTCTCGTCCCGCTGCGCCGTCTCGTCAAAGGATTCAAAAATCACCGCGATGAACAGGTTCAAAATCAAATACGTGATCAAAATGGTGTACGTAGTCCAGAACAAATAGCTCCACTTCGTCCCACACTCTACCGGCTGCTCGATCGCGTTACTGCCTTTGTAGTCCTTCCAATTTTCGAAGTCGATGTTGTTCGAAATCCGCATTTCGTCCACGCACTCGACCTCTAGGAAAGTTTTGTAGAAGAACTTATCCTTCGCGAAGTTGTGCATCAGCACGTTCCAGGCCTCGCCCGTGCAGGACCGGAACAGGGTGACAATGGAGGTTTGAAACGTGCGGAAATTTGCGTATTGGTTGTGCTCGGCTATCCGTACGTCGTCCCCGAACTGTCGGACTTTTGCGAACAGGTGAATCCCGAGCAGCGCGTAGACGAAGAGAAAAAGTGCGAACACGCCGCCGACGTTGACCTGATAAGTTTAGCGGGTTAGCTCTCGGCACTTGTTTCTTGCAAATCACGAGCAAAATCAGCATCAGCAATTGCATTTCAACATGATTATTGTGTGCGCTGTGCAGCATCAGAAAACGAATCCATAAACCACATACCAGCTTCGGTATGGACAGCAGAAAAGCGTGGAACAACTTGTTCAGGCCTTTCAAGAATCTCGCCAACCGAAACAGCCGGGCCACCCGAAACAGTCTTATCACCGCGAAAAACCCGACCGCGGAAAATTTATCCACATTCGACAGCTCCAAAATCAGTCCCACGTCCGCTACCACCACGCACAAAAAGTCGAAGCAGTTCCAATTCACTTTGAAATACGCCATTTTCATCGCTAGCAACTTCAACACCGCCTCGAGATTGAACACGAGCACGAAGAATTCGTTGAAAAAATCCAACAGTCTGTGATACCCCGTCGTCGGTTCCGGAACGACTTGGGAGGCGAGGGTCAAGGTGTTTAACAAAATACACAGCGTGATGATCGCGTCGAAAGAGCCGGACGAGACGAAATTGTACAGTTTTCTCCTCCATTTCGGAACTTTATGCAGATTCGTCAACAAAAACAGCTGCTGCAGCTGCTGCACGGAGATCATTCGGTTGCAGTCGACCCACTTCTTCTGCGACTCGGTTAAGAACAAAGACGTCTGCCCGGTTTCTCTTTTTATCTTCGTGAAATTCTCGATAATGACCCCCACGGCTAAATTCAGGATGAAAAACGACCCGAAGAAGATGAAAAGGACGAAAAACAAGCTCCAGAACTGGTTCCGATCCCGCTTCGGGCTGTGGTACGGCTTGATCGGTGAGTCCACGCCGTCGTACATCACGTCCACCCAGGACTCGGTAGTCGCGATTTCTAACAGCGTCATCATGCCCTGCGGCAACGTGTCGAAATTCTGGTCGCTGGTAATCCACTTCCCGCCCTGTTCCAAGCAAGTCGCTGCCTCGTGTACGAACCCCTGACAGGCGTCGGAACAAAGACACTTGGAAATACACTCCTTCGCGCAGCTGTACTTCGCGAGGTTAGTACTGTCAGAAGATGCTGGTAAAGAAGTAGCAGTAGCCACCGCCTCGGCGGACTTGCAGAAGTAGGGGTGTTTGGAATCCGTGCAGTGGTCGAAACATGAGACGAATTCTTCATCGGCTTCGTTTTGGACGAAGGCGGTTAAAGAGTTCCAATCGTGGATTTTGTTTGTTTCCACCGTAGTTTGTTGTTCTTTCGCTATCACGGTGGTCTTCGCTGGATCCAGGATGGTCAAAGTGGTTGATTTGCTACCGGACGGTGTTGTTTCTGTTGCTGAAACATCGCCACTTTTCACGACCACATGCACTGGGACGGAATCGTCGGCGAAGAAATCCTTGCTCGCCGTGCAAAATTCCCTGTTGCAATCTGAGCACTTCATCGCCTTGTAGCCCCAGATATCGGTTTCTCGGCAAAATCTCGAGTCGTCCGTTTTCTGACAGCGGAGAAGGCATAGTGGCGTGTCGTCGGTGAGGCGCTGGTACGCTTTCCAGGAAGACGTTGGTAGGGCAGTCGGATTAGTGATGTTCTGTACTGGGATCCCCGTGGCGGTGAATTGCTGGCTCGCTAGAGTCGAGTTAAAGGCAAGGATGTTCGTTGTTGGTGTTGTCACTGCAGCTGCTGTTGACGAAGACAGAGATAAAGAAGCTTTTGCGAAGCTGTGGTCTTGGTCGTCTAACAGGAGCATGGACCGGGAAGAAGGTGGCGCTGCACCAACAGAACCGCCAACACCTCCTTCGACGAACTCAAATTCCTCGAAAAACTTGTCCTGACACTTGTAAAACCTCCCCTTGAAGTACGCGCAGCCCCAGAGAGAGAAGACGAGAAACACGATGCTGCCAACCAGGATTAGATTTCCCAATTCGGGTAGCGATTGCAGCAAGGTGTTCACCACGAGCTTCAGTGACGGATTTCTCGACACCAACCGCAACGGCCTCAGCGCCCGAAACACGCGCAGGGTCCGCAGTCCGCCCATACTCGTGTTGTCCGGCGCCAGCAAGTCGATCCAACCGACAACAACGACCAAAAAATCCAGCCAGTTCCACCCTGACCGGAAAAACGGGACCCGCGGGTCGTTCTTCCGTTTCTGCTCTCTCAGTAGTTCGTTTCTCTTCTTCTCCCACTGCTTTTTATTCTCCTCCTCGATGTCTTTCCTTGATTTCTGCTGCTGATTGTTATTTGCCGCGTTAGTGCTAGACGCTGCCCGTTTTTTGTGCAAAACGAGTTTCTTTTTGAACTTGTCCGCTGCTCTCAAAGTTGTTTTCGAAACGCCGGTTAGCTTTAATTGTTTCTTCAACTTTTCCGCTTCTTCCCGCCTCCTTTTCTTTTCCTCGTAGTAGTTCACGCCGCGCACATACCGGTTCAAATGTTTCTTCGGTAAACTTATCCACCCGAACCCCACTCCCTTCAGTAAGCATTCCAGAGTGAAGACGATGGTGAAAAAAGTCGAGCAATTCTTCAAAAAAACCTGATCGTCCGACTCCGGATCCGCTAAAGGGTTTTGCCACGTCATCAGTGCGCAGGAAAGCAAGATGCAGATCATGGAGGTCTGCTCGAAAATCGGGTGGAGCAAGAACAGCGTGACACATTCCTGGAACCGGAGTTGCTGCAAGTCCTGAATCCAGTCGACAAATTTGTTCTTCCGGTTGACGAGAAACCGGACGAAGAAGTTCGAATAGCGTCTGTATGTCTTCCAAGATTCCGACGCGGCCCGTCGGAACATCTTCGCGGCGTGGTGTGTTGACCCGCGGTTATTTCTCGTGTGGGAAGAAAGCCCGGTGGACAAACTGGACTTACTGATCGGGGACAGATTGCTGTTCTCGCAGTCCTCCAATAGCTCTCCAAAAACATTCGGCGAGTGGTGTCCAGATGTGGATTGCGGGACGGTTAGGAGGTTACCCTTATTGTTGTTTGTTCCAGATGCACCTTTTTGAAAGCTGCTGTTCGTGTTGCTCGGTGAGTTCGTGCCGGAAATATCATTGCTTGCTTTCTTCCCGGTGAATTTCTGACTCAAGCGCGAGAACATCTCCTGCTTCTTTTCCTGCAACACCGCCATGGAAAGGCTGCGCCGAGGCCGACGATTATTTCCCACAGAAGTTCCGGGATAGGAATTGGTCGCGGCAATTCCACCTACTAGATTGCCTTGCTCGTTCTCGGAGTTTCCAAACACGAAATCCGGCAGGCTGTTTACGGAATTTGTGTTTTTCACGAAGCTGAGACGGGACCACATCTGTGTCCTTCTCGCTTGCTTCGACTCCTTCGATTTCTCCTCTTGTAACCTAGACTGTTCGTTCTGCCGTTCGAAGCTGCACATGAGGATCGCGAGGAACACGTTCAGGATGACGAAGTTTCCGACACAAACTACCACGCCGAAGTACAGAATCGACCCGATCGGCCCCCGCGATTTCACCGCGTCGTAGAAAACCAAATTCCAGTTTTCGCCGGTTAAAACCTGGAAGATCGTGACGCAGGACCAAAGGAACGTGTCGAAGTGCGCCCGGGACTGGCAGTTCTCGAAATCGAAGTTGGAATTCGATGATATCGCATCTGCACTTGCTGTGGTGGAAGCAGAAGCTGCTCCTGAAGATGATCCGCACAATTGCTCGCAGTGTTCCCGGTTTTTCAAAAACCTCGCGTGCGGCGTGCACTCAGATAAGAACTGCCCCGACACGGGGTGGAACAAAAAATATGTCGCGTAGAAGTTCTGGCCCGCGAGCGCGAAGATGTAGATCATCAACGCGAGTAAAAGCATGAAGTTCCCGATCTGCATCACCGTTCCGTAGATCGACTTTAACAACAGCCGGAACGCTGTGAAGTTTTTCGCCAGCTTGAAAACGCGCAAGGCACGGAAAGCCGTCATCGCGGACGTGGAGGTGTTGTCCGAGGAAGACTTTGTATTCGCGATTATCAGTTCCAAAATCGACGCCAGCAGAATGAACCCGTCGAACGCCGTGATCGCCTGGGTCCAGTACAACCGTGGCCCGATGGCGATGTGGAGCAACAAGGCCTCCACACAGAAAACCGCGAAGAAAATCATGTTCGTGAGATTCAAAAAATCCACAATTTCCTTCTCCCGCGCCGGGAAGTCGTCGAGGGACAACGTGATTACGTTTGCGACGATGAAAAACAGGATCACCCATTGAAACGACTCGTGGTCGGTGATTTCGAAAATCTTCTTCTGGATTTTCCCGGTGAAAGTCTGATCCCGCTGGCACAGTTCCGTGTACCGCCGGTTCAAAACATTTGTGTCGGATTTGTTGGTGTGACTGTTGCCGGAGTTCGAGTTGCCGGAAGTCGTCGAATTGTTGCTGTTGCTAGCGTTTTTGTTGAGGCCTATGCTTGACGTGTTCGTTTTACTGGCCACGACTTCCTGGTGTGGGTGCGGTTTCAGACCGCCGCGATTCGACCTGCGCTGTTTGGAATTCGGCCTGCTATTTGTGCTGTCCTCTTTAGTGTCATCAAGATCATCCGGCGGGGCATCGACTTTGAGCTGGATCTTTTCTCCTGACGCTTTCTGAACACTTGTTCCATTTGCGGCGCCACTGCCGCTGTGCCCCTGCTCATCCGCAGTCGTAGTCCCCTCGTCCGCGGTTTTGGTCCCCTCATCCGCCGTTTGCGGTCCGGAAGTCAGCCCAGTCACGCTCGTATCGTCCTGCGGGAGAGCGAGGTTGTTCTCAAACAAAGCTGGAACTTGCTCGCTAGTCCTCGCTATCCCGTCTTCATCAACTACATAGGGCAGACTCCGTTCGTCAAGCTGCAAGCTGCTCACACTCTGGTTCGTTTGTGGTATTTGTTCTTGACGACCCTCCTGTGCACCACTGTCGTCCGACTTGTGCGCTCCCTCTTTCAAGGACGCTGTGGCATTCACCGGTGCAGATGATCCTACTGTCGCACCACCTTTACCAGTACTGGTTTTCGCGACCGTTTTGCTGTTATTGCTCCCTAACTTGTCGTTACTCCCGATGTTCGACCCGCTGTCGCCTGGGTCTTTCATGTCCGCTAACGGATTCGGCACGCCGGTTTTCTCTTGTTGACTCGAAAACGCGTCGAACACAATCGCCAGGGTGACGTTTAAGATGAAGAACACGCCGAGGACAATTAGTAAAAAGAAGTAAATCCTCGAGAAATTCTTGTCGTAGCTGTCTTCGTACAAGTACATGATCGACACCCACCCCTCCAGCGTCAAGGACTGAAAAATCGCGAACACCGCACCACCTAGATGGTTGAAGTGCGTCACGCCGAAGTTGTACGACTCCGTGTTTTCGGTGAAATATTCAAAGTGCTCGACCGGGTTTTTCCTCGCTAGCCCCTCGTACTTCCCAACATTCGGGAACTTCATAAATTTGTGGTCTACCGCAGCTTTCCGGACGCCAGTGTGGAGGAGATCAAGTAAGTCCGGGATTTTCTGAGGATACCCAAAGATTACATCCTCCGCCAGCATACTGCCACAAGTGATTTCCCGGTTCTGATCCTGGAGGTGCTGCTGCTGCTGCTGGGATTGGGAAGGTACTGACACGCCACCGCCACTACTAAAACCGACACTGCCTTGCGGGTACTGGAACAATTTTGTGTAGTGATCGGTGGTGCCCCCTGTCCTGCTTGTGCCTCCGTAGGTGAGGAAGACGGTTGTTGCGTCTTGTGTTGACGAAGCACCACCTCCCCCACCAGTACTTGTTGTCGTAGCATTCAGCAACGCCAGCTGTGTTTCATTCACCACCGCAAATCCCGGCACGACCGCTCCTTCCTGACTGCACACGCGGCCGCCACAGGTTCCAACGTCGAAGTCTACGTCGTAGTCGTGATTCTGGTCAATTCTGTTCCCCGCGTCCGCCAAGGGCCAAAAAACGAACATTCGGCCCTCGGTTTTCGTTACGTAGTCGCAATAGGAATTCGGCGGACAGTAGCGGGCCAGGACGGCGGCTTTGGATAGGAGAACTTCAGTGGAGTTGTTTGTTACCATGCTCGAAGCCGTTGTAGCGAGTGAAGATGTAGTTGTCATTGTGGTTGTTGCGTTAGAAATCCCAATCTTCAAGCACTGTTTGATCTCATTTTCAGCGTCATCTTCTTCGCCCGAACCAGAAACCGGATTCGTTGTTGGGTCGTAGTCGCCGAGGGCGAAGGTTTTTGCTTCTTGAACAAGGACAGCAGAACTTGCTCCAGAAGATGTTGAAGCCGCAGCAGCAACTGCCGCTTTGCTCGACGCTTTCCTGCACTGCTCCACGTTCCAATCCTGGACAGAAGTTACTAGGTCGGAATCAAAAGCGTATTTCAGAAAATTCAACTGCTGTCCCGTGATGCGGTCGGTGAACTTTCCTGAGGGCGGTGAAAATGGTGCAACGCCACTGGTACTACTAGTGCTTACTGCTTCCTCCGCGGAGTCGATCAAGTAACTGCGCAGATTTTCGATTACCGTTTGGTCACTGTGGAAGGGGAATTCGTGGTCTTCCGCGGAGGTCAAGAGCAAATTCTTGCGGCTGAAAATCACGACCGGCTCGTCCGTCGCACGGCAGTGGCGGTGGAGGGTTCCGCCGTAGAAGTTCAACCCGACAATCCCGAAGATCACGACTAGAAACACAAACAAGCCCGCGACGTTCGCCAACCGCGGGATGGACAACAAGAATGTCTTGATGATCGCCCGCAGGCCGGTGAGTTTGGAGAAGCCGCGGAGAGGCCGCAAAATCCGGATCGTGCGGATCACCTTTAAGCCCTCGGAGTGGGACTCCCCGTCGGAATTGCTGTTTTGGGACTGTTGCTGTGCGAAGAAGGAAACCAACCCGGAAACGACGACCAAAAAGTCCAGCCACGACCAGGCATCCCGCAGATAGCTGGTTTTGTCCAGAATGAACCCAAGCGCGATCACTTTGACCACCATTTCCAGGAAGAAGCAGAGCGTGAAAATGTGCTCTGTGTTTTCCACGAACGTCGTCGCGAAGCCATTGGGATTCCTGTAGTCAATGAACGCCTGCATGATGGCGTTGACGAGGATCAACGTGAGGATAAACCGTTCAAACCAGACGTTTTTGATAATCGACACACATAATCTCCTCGTCGTGCTGTGCTCGGCGAAGATGCACAACGACCGGCGGCAGAGCCCGCGTAGCGTGTAGGTGATGGCGTCGGGCTGGGGCGGGATGCGACTGCTATCCCCTGGGAGGAAAATGGGCGGCATCAGCCAGTAGTAGTACAAATTGGTCAGCGCTCCTGGGGAGGTAGATGTTGTTGAGGGCTTTAGTTGCTTGTCATGATTTCTGTAGAAGTTCTGGTCGCCAGTCTTTTTACTTTTCCGAAGTTTTGATAGTAAAGAAGCAGTAGACAGTTTTGGCTTCTTAATCTTCGAGAAAAGCCACAGCAACTGCGCCAAGACAAATTTCGCCCAGCTGGCGGGTTTCAATCTGTCCATGCCCCGGCTCCTGCGCCGCTCCTTCGCAATCGCCTCGAGGAGCTCCTCCCGCTTTTCGATACAGGACAGCGGCGACCCCGCAAAGTTGTGGCTGTTTGTGCCATTGTTTTCCTCCTCTACCGTGGTTGCCATACTCTCCGTGGACGCGGATTTCATTGAGGCATAACTGTTGTGTTTCTCCGCACCACCTGCTTCCGTTTCTCCACCATGACGACCTGCGGCGAAGGCGGCCTCGTCCGCACGCCCGTCGCCCCGAGCAGCTACAAGATCCGAGTTCATTACGGCCGGACTGGACATGCTGCTTTTGTTTTTATTCGTCGTGTTATTCGACGTCGCGGTTGTCGGCGAGACAGTGTTTGCGTTTTGAGCAGTATTATCGCCGGTGCTTTTGTTTTTCTCCTGTTCTAACTTCTCCATCGAGGAGTTGTGAATGGAGAAGAGCAAGCGGTTATTTTTCGCCAACTCCGCACTCAATTCCTTTTCCAAACACTGCCGGCAATGGACCACGGCTAAGCCGTCGTACGCCAAATTCGCGAAGGATTTCTGCAAATCCTTCCTTTTCGTCTCTAAATCCTTCGTCGCTAAATAAATGGCTTCGCGAAGCTGGTACAGTTGCTCCAAATCGCTGTGGAGTGCGTCCATCTCCTGTTCGGTGTCTTGGCGGAGCAGTTTTTTCTTTTTGTTGTTTCTCCGCTTCGACAACGCGAGGTCGACGGTGGTGCTGTGCTTTGCGAGTGCCTCTGCTTCGGAGTTGTTGCTTTGCGGCGCGTGGTCGTCAGCAAGTGGAATTCGGTTATTCATGACGCTGTGCGAAAACCCACCTGCCGCTTGCTCCACTACATCCGCGAAATTCGTGAGTGGAGGCTGCGGTGGCTGCTGCTTCGCAACAATCGGGTCCGGGTTGTTGTTCCCAGCGCTGTTTCTTGTTCCTTCTACAGTAGAAAGCGGCACTGGTTGGTCGCCACCAGCCATCGCAGTTCCTTCCGCGAGCGGCCCCAGGAGGTTCATGCCCTGAAATATCGCTGGTGGCGACCCCAAGACCGCGATGGACGGACTCACCAGCGTATCATCGATTTCCGAAATCCGCTGGATATCGGACTCGTTGTTGGATGGCCTTTGCGGGAGCTGCTGGTCGGCGGGGATCTTTGGATTTTCTTTTTGGTCTGCTCCTGCTGCTTGCTCAAGAACCGCGGCTTGTACGATGCTGACCGACTGTTGATCCGCGTCTGTTTCGGTAAGCGTTTCGTCTAGAAGTGGCCCCTTTGGACTGCTTTTGTGCTTCCCCTCCAGGTTGTGTGGCTGCTGGTTTTGCGATTTTTCCTGGTCGACGTCAATAGCAAGAACTTCGTGCTGTTTCGTGCTAATAGTATCCGCGCCACCAGCAGCAACATTCTCATTCAGAGCAGCGACTCTCTGCGAACTGGTCGAAGACGAGGAGGCACTCATGCCGGAGAGCTTCTTCGACGTTGTGGAAGCCGCGACTACACTGGCCGTGCTCAGCGCCATACCCCCTACACCCGGATGTTGAATCGCGGCCGGATTGCTGCTAGTTGAAGTACTTATGTTGTTCACAGCTCCTGCCCCCACCAACTTCTCTGGGTGGATGATCTGGCCCTGCTGGTGATTTTCGGTTTTTAACCTCCGTACCAGCTGTCGCAACTTTTGGCCCGTGCCGACGATGGCGTGCGACTTGGTTTGCTCGGCGAGCGACCGCAAAGTGTGCTCGCTCGTCGTGGAGGCACCGGACGGGGAGCCGGCTGCATACCGGAATTTATTGTTGTTGCTGGACTTCGAGACTGTCGGGCTGGCGGACGGGGTTATGATGACTCCGGGTTGGTGGAGGGGTTTTATTTGACCATGCTGGTTCCCCGTCTCTTGGTCTTCCACACCCGTTCCCGTGGAGGATGCGACGCTGTTGAGCTTGTTCTGCGTTAACGAGGTCGAGGATTTTGTACTGTTGCGCCGCACCACTCCTGAGCCGCTGTTCCTCCGCGAATCTGGAGGATTAGCAGTATTACCAGCCTGCTGCTGCTGCTGTTCGCGAATTTGGTTCAGCGTCGGTTGCCGCTTTCGGCTGTAGCTGACGAAGCGGCCCATTCCGAAAAACATCGGCCGCTGCAGGAGAAGTTGGACGGACGAAGGGACAAGTTTCGCCGGGAACCTGGACAGGGAACGCTGCTTCGTGACAACCGGCTTAATATTGCTCGATTCGCCGGATTTGTCTCCTGTCGCTTCTGGCGGAACACTTTCATCCATGTTCTCTTCTTCATCTCGGTCCCGTATCCTTGTTGCGCTTTTCCTTCCACCGTCATTCCCCGCGGGCGCAGCGCATGTCGAAGAGTCGGGTATTGGAAGAAGTTCTGCACTGATATTATCCCCCTGCTCGTCTCTCTTTTTATCCTCCAACTCCAGCAAACTCTCGTCCCCAGCAACAGCACCAACACCCCCGCACTCCTTGCTTCCAGTTTCCTCGTCCGCTCTTGAAGCTGTTTCGGAACTGCTACCTCCGCTGTCCTCCTGGTCTTGCATGCACTCGTGAAAGTTGCTGCCGATGATCGCCACGGGCAATGCGATCAGAAAAATGCCCGTCACCATGCTCAACCAGCCGACCATGCGACCCGGGACCGACTGCGGCACCACATCCCCGTACCCGACCGTAGTCATGGTGACGATCGTCCACCAGAACGCGCGTAAAATACTCGGAAAGCGGACCGCGTATAAAGGTTGTAAAATGCGGATTTCCGTGTACAAACTGTCCAAATAATGCGGCTTTCCTTTCCGCTTCAAATACTCCTGGCGCTGTTTGTAGAAGGAAAAATCGCACAGAGGGGAATTCGGGTCGTTGCAGCTATACCGACAGCACATGGACCAGGGTTTCCCGATTGTGTCGACCACGTGCTGGCTTTGCGGACTTGGACTTCCCGCGGACGCCGCCGTCACCTGCATCTCGCTGACGATCCCGCCCGACAAACCGTTCGTCTCCAGACATTGGCTGGTGTAGAGACGAAAGCGGTCCACATCTTGTGTGACGGAGAAGGTCGGACACTCGAAAAGTTCCGCGTAGAAGACGAGCGAGCCGAACAAAACCATCCCCAACCCGACAAAGAACAGCAGGATTTGGAGCGCCGGGAGGGAGTTCAGCAGGGTTTGGGCCAGCACGCGGAACCCGGTGTTGTATTTGGAGAGGCGGAAGAGTCGGAAAATTCGGAATAGCCGGGCGACGCGAAGGATGCGGAGAACGGAGGTCCCGGAACTGGAGGAGTTGCGGTTATGCAGGAAAAGGGTAAAGAAGAGCGGGAGAATCGCGAGCAAATCGGCAATGTTCAGCGGTCTGAGGAACATCCACTTCAGACGGTAGGTGACAGAGGAGAGAAGGGAGTGGAGAGCGAGGCTGGACCTAGCTCTGCTCTGGCTAGTGCTTTTCGCAACGCTGCTCAATTCTTGCGAATGAGGTCGAATCGCATCGATTTCATCTTCTTCATCCGTAACCACGAGGTCGGGTGAATCTCCCCCTGCTGAATCCCCAGAAGACACGACTCTCGCATCACCATGCGCGGATGTTGCCGCGGTGTTTCGGTGCACTTCTTCGGACTTCGTCGCATCATCCAGTTCGGCCGTACATGCAAACAATCTTCCACAGTATTCCAGCACAAAGCCCGTCGTAGTGACGACTTCCAACACCAGAAAAAATGTCCGGTATTGATACAATGTCGGGTCGGTTTCGAGCACGAACCCGAGAATGGACGCGATGATCAGGCCTAGCATCAAAATCGAGATGCGCCGGGCGGCCGCAGAACTGTGCGGCTGCTCGAGCAACTCGTAGACATGAATTTGGAGCCGGTGGAAAAGGGGCTTTTCGTTGTGTTGAGCGGATCCCTGCTTGGGCGCTGCCGCGGGTGCAGCTGGTATCAGCATGCTTGCAGAGGAAGTTCTTGGCACTTTATCGTCCTGTACGCCGGCGGCCTGGGGGTGTGAGAGCATGTTCACGTCGACGGAGTCACTCTCGCCGTACTGGTGGGCCTCGGGTGCGCTTTCCAGGGCTCTAACGCTATCCGGCGTTGCCATTTTTGTGAAACTTTCTCCGGTCGTCGTGTGTGGTCTTGTTGATGACAACTTCCACGAACCCGCGTCCTCCAGAGTCCGTTCGATTTCGTTACGACCTCACAGAAAAAGGTCGCGATACTTTCGCGCTTGCAGCAGGGTTATGCGGCGCTAGGGTACCACTACTACCCGGAGCTGCTCCTGCTCCTGTTGAGCTACAATCCGCCAGGGCCGCCGGACTCGCTTTCGTTGCAGCAGCTTCACTTCTCTTCCTTCTTGGCGCGTGATCTACGACTGCTGCCTTTGAAAGGAGCCTCCACCTCGCCATTCGTTGCAAGTACGGAACACAAGAATGATAATGAACCTGAGAATCCGCAACGCCAGCGCCTCAGCCCCGCGGGAGGGTAGAAATGCAGCTGTCCTTGTCCTTCTCACCCGGCTCTTCTTAAAAATAGGAAAGGCAGCGCGTCGGAGTCTTTAATAGCGCATCGCATCTTCGATACTGCTTTGCCCAGCCGCACAATGTGTGACGCAGTTCGTTGTATTGCTGCGGCCCGCTCAAACATAGAAGATCTCTGATGCGCAACACGACCCTGTTTTTAACATTCAAATTAGCTGCCTCTGTGTGCTGGCTTTACCAGCCGGCGGGGCAGCGAAAACCTTTCTCTCCCTCTCGCAAGTGCGGAGATCAAAACAAAAGCCCTCTCTCTGCAGCTTCGCGCAACAATTTTCAATTTCACCAACTCAGATCATGAAGCTGAATAAATCAGTTGAGGTTCTTGACTCGACTCTCCTCTCTGGACATGCAAGAAAGGATGAAGAGATGGCAAACGTTGAAAGACCGCCATGAACAAGACTCTCCTAGAACGCATCTCTCATCTGGAGTTTTCCCTACAAGCACGGTAGGCCGGGGTTACGGTAAGATGACGACCAGCCCCTAGCTGCACAAGTGGCTAGCAACCATTTTGCAAAAAACACAAACTGGTACAAACAAGGTAAACCCCCAGGCAGTTCAAAACAGGAACTTCCACATGCTCACCACAAGCCGGGCGGTGCCTATAGCTGATCGTCCAATTATCTGAAAATTTCTTGCATCAATGTCGTGCAAAGTGCACTTTGTCTGATACGGATACGGTAGCAGAAAATATCCTCATTCAGTCGCCTTGTTGATAGCATGATGTTATTCGCCGAGTTTGCACTACACCAAAATAATGCTGATGCCAGTGGCGAATCTTCAGCATCAAAACCCGCGTCATTCTCGTCAAATAACGCGATCAAACACGGCAAAAGTCTCAATGTGGTCCGCTCCGGGGAAGAGCACAAAGCCCTCGGCTCTGGTCAACTTCCACATCCCGCTGGAAACCAACTTTTCGCAATCTCGCTTGAACGCGGGGAATCCGCAACTGATGTAGATGACACGCTGCGGCGGGGACGATAAGCCGCTTTTCTTCCCGCTAGCGGTGGGAATCGCTCCTGTCTTCTTCTTTTTCGATGCGGACGGTTTATTTACAGAAGCATGATCATGATGAAGATCAGTTTTCATGTCCTGTTTCGTCAGTGCCTCGATCACTTCTGCGTCCAGTCCTTTCCTTGGTGGGTCCACGATCAGGACGTCATAATGCGGAATCCGGTCCACCATCTCCTTTGCGGGCTTCGGCGTGTAGGTAATCTCGGTTTGCTGAAAGATAGACGACGGGCGGCTACCAGCGCTACTAGCCTTGTTGTGCGGTGGCACGGCAGCTGCACCACCCGCAGTCGAGCTCGAGCACTGCTCCATCAGTGCCAGACTCTTCTCAAAACAGGCCTTGTTGAATGGGTTCGCGTCCGAGCATTCGTAGCGGGAAATCAAAGCCTCTGTCCTTTGAGGAGCTTTCGGGTCCTTCGCCGAAGTCTGTGCTGGCCCATTGTTTTTGTCGCTTGGTGTGGAGGCGGGGGCCTGCGTTGTACAATTCAACAGCTGCAGGCCGATAGTCCCAACCCCGCCGTACAGCTCCAGGACGCTGATGGTGTTCTTGTTGGCTTCAGCAGCTTCGTCAGTGTTGTGTGCCTCCTTCTTGTCTTTCAAGGAATGCTCAGCACCACTCCCACTCTTGCCCGCCTTCGCCGCCGCACTCGCCTTCGCCGCCGCAAAGCCGACGACGCACTCTCGCACCTTCAGACAGATCTGCCCAAATTCTTTCAGATTCGCCTGTCGAAACACGTTCGGAGGGAGGAAAAGATACGGCGTTGTTCCATGATGATCCGCACTACCATTGCCTTTCACCATCCGCTCCAGCACACAACCATCGTTCGGTCCGAACACGTTAAGCCACCTGCCGGTGTCCTCGAAAAAGCAGTTCCCATGGATCGAAAGTCGGTTACTGTGCACCCAGAGCGAGTGGAGGAAACAGGGTGAGGGTGATACGTTGTTGCTGGAAGATGTTGAGTCAGTGCCATTAGCTGCCATCTGCGTCATAATCTCGTGCACAAGCGTGCCTAGATTTTCGCATTTTTCGAACTCGTCGCTGTTCCAAACGAGCGTGATTTGCGCCCGATTCGTCGCCCTTTCCACGCCGAAAAAGACGTAGCGAAGCGTATCGGATTTTGTTTTTCGGAATTGAGGGTCGTGGAGAACAACAGGGTGTGAGGCTTTATTCGAGGTGGTGTCCCTAGAAGCCGTTGATGACACCCCTTTTGTTGTAGTAGCTTTGCCTAGTTCAGCTGGTTCTGTACTTGCTGAAGCTGCAACTTTTCTCTTTTTCCTGGGCGGCGGTGATACCTCTTCTTTTTCTTCAAACTCCACTTCCCCACGCTCTACAGCGGAACGAAAGTCTGGAACCCCGCACTGTTCGATACATTTGCGGAGGAACTGGATTGCGCGGTCCAAAACTGGGTGGTGTGCCTCAGACTTGTGTTTTTTCCGGCTTAAATCTACGAGCGTCATCGATTGTGAAGGAAGATGGGTCTTCTTGGTCGTGTCCACGGTCGAGGACGAACTGGGGCACCTTGCGTGCTTACTGTGGCTTTTTGCCTTCTTTGCTCCAGCTGGTGCTGTCCCCGCCGCAGTCGGCTCCAGCATTCCGATTTCGCAGTGGCAGACTGGTTTTCTTATTCTTTGTGCACCTGCTCCTCCGGTGGTGACTTCGACCGCCGGAGCTGTGCCGGCGGAGCCCGGTTTGGAAACTGCCAGAGAGCTGGATAATGTTAATGCAGCTGAATCCGTGGCGGTTACCGTTACGGTTTTGCTAGAAGTGGTGCAAGAAGTTCGCGGCTTACCTGGGACCTGAGCTCCAAGGGACGAAGATTGCAATCTATTCAAGGAAGCACCAGCGGCAGCACCCAGTAGCGACGCCTTTTCACACACAACCTGCTGGCACCGGCCGTAGGTGTCGAAAGTTACATCCTGTGCAGGCGCCTGCAGTGAAACATGAAAGCGCTCTTGCCGAGTCTGCGCCGTTGGTGTGCCCGCCACGGCTTGGAGTTCATCAGAGCCATCATATTCTTGTGAAACGGTAGGTCTAACTGCTTCGCATATTTCCTGTGCGTTAAATTGTCGCTCCCACCGTACCCAGGAACTGACAGACGGACCCCCTCGCCGACCCCATGCTTGGCATTTATTGAGTTTAGTGTGGGCTAAGACCTGGAAAGTACATCTTGGTCTTGCTCGACTTCGATCTTCTCGTTCTTCTTCTTGCTTCGCCTTTGATGTTGTCTGCCAAGCCTTCGTCGCGAGATAGTTCGTCCGGACGTGCAACTTACTCACGGTTCGCCAGCCTTTTGTGCTGCCCAGATGCACGAGAAATTTTCGGTAATTCGGCAGTTGTGCAAAGAAGAACTCTTGTGCATCACTCACTGCCGGGCAAGATAGCGGGTGGTCGAGGTGCAACGCACTAGGGTCATTGGACTTTTGCCGATTGTTTGCTAAACTTGTTTCGGACGCAGCCGTGTCTGCTCGTCGAATTCTTCTTTTCTCTGTTGTGTGCGGTTTCTCGTCCTTAATCTTTTCTCGATTCCTTTCTGTCGTGAGCGGTTTTTTTGAATGCCCACTCTCCCGCTTGCGCTCTGTGAGCATCATCGCTGCACCCTGCTGGAATGGACAAGCGTTTCGGATTCTGTTATTTCACAGGACTGGGTAGTTCTCCTTCTCGATCATCTTCGTGCTGCCTGCATGTGCATGCATTCCTCTCGGTAACTTCATATCACGATATTCATGTTCGAAGCTTCATGGTCTGTCTTCTAGATCTAGTACTTACTGGCAGTGGCACTGGCTTTATGTGCAACTTCATCATAAAATATCCGCGCCGACCCAAGACCACATATTTTGCTTTTGATTTTGGCTACACGAATGATCGATGACGATCGATCCGTTTTGTTTGACCTTAATCGAGGAAAAAAGAAACGAGCACTCTCTGGTGGTGCCCTATCTTATTATATCTTTGTGTGCTTCTTGATGCTCTGACGGCTAGCGATAGCGTTTCTATTTCAATTTTCTTTTTTTCGTCTAAGTGGTCTCTAGTCTTACTGATCTTTTTTTCTTTCTTCCTTTCTTTCCATGCCCGGGCATGGCGTCAAATTTCAAGGCCCTAAAAGATCTACCGGAGTCTCAATTTCTTCTCTCCCGTGTCTGGATCATAAATCATGATTTTGGTTCGCTCGAACGAACCAGGACAAGCACGGTGCGGTGAGATCTGATCATAATATTTTTTCTACTATCTCCGGGATGCCAGACGCAAATTCAAATTTCGGCTTCCACTTCTGTCTTGTTCTCTCACGTTTCATCCAACTTTCAGTTTGCTGTGACTGAATTCATTCTACCATCAATAATGTCAAGCTCGCGCTAAGCATAAGCTTCTTTTGTGGCATGTACCTGGAGCCTTTAGCAGGATGATAGCGATCGATTTTCGACGAAAACCGACTACGCTTTATTCAATAACTCTTCAAGTTCAACACCATGGACGAGCCAAGGGGCCCATATATAAAACACTTCATACATGCCAAACAGGTGTGACCACGATGGGGGGCTTCTTACTTTTCACCGAGGTAGATAGTGAGGAGCTTCTTTTTTATTTCTTCGTATTTTTTATTTCAATCCGTGGCCGTGGTCTAGCGACATTTGCTTGGCACCGTAGATAATCGCATAGGTTCTTCTTGTTGTGTGCTTCGTAATTCGGGAATGTGTTCTTGATCCCTGATGAACGAACTCGGCCGGTGCCTTCCCGCTGTGATCACAAAACAACAAAAAGAATAGTTACGATCACGATGTCTCAAAATAGACGCGCAGAGGTGGGAGCGCGTTCTTCTTCCTTATCCTTTACTTATTTATCAACGTTTATGAAAAATCATGAGCTACTACAACTACTACAATACCCTTTATACTACACGGCAAGGAGCAGGATGAATGCGATTGAAGTATCCGGCAAGGAATGCAATTGACGTAGGTATGGCCCGACTTCTGCTAGTATGTGAAATCTTACTGGTAAGGAAAGTCCGAAAATTTTATTAGTAAGCTGCGTTACTAGTAATTTGGACCAATTTAATCCACACCTTGTTTTGTAATTGTTCTAAACAAACTTTAAACAAAAGCCAGAAGCGTCAAACTATTGAGATCTTCCAGATAGGACCCAGGACGGTTTTGATGTACGTTGGAAGTGAGCCTAGTATCGGCGCAAAGGCTCGTCCTCTACGCAGCGGTACGAAGATCTCTTTCGCTTGCGCTCGCTATGACATCCTTTCCCCGAAGAACAAAGCGAACAACTTCAGGACGTCTTTCTTCATTAGTTCTATACCTAAAATTACTTTTTACTGTTCACATTCCCTTCATCTTCAGCGCGGGTGCTGCTGCGTTGCTGTGTAAAACTCGACTCCGCTCGTTTTGTCCACGCGAAACCATGTGGCGCTTCCCAACTTGTTGTGGACCATCCTCCAAGTTGGCGAGAGAGGACTATGATTGATCGCCACAACTTTATGAAGCCCGTCGACCTCCGTGTCAGACGAAATGGTTGCGATTCTGAACCCAAACGCTTCGCCTGCTCGCTTGACACTGAAGAGATTATAGTAACCGGTGCCACCACCTGCGGCGTTGCCGAGCTCCTGCGGATTTTTTTTCGCGATTAGATCGAAAAGCACATCCCTATCGCCTTTTGCCTCGTTCGTCGTTCCCGTGTTGATTTTCAACGGGGGAAGTAGGTCGGCAATGTAGCGCCACTCCATACTGGCAAGTCTCCCCAGGGTCTTCTCCTGCCGACACACATCCTTTTTGCCCTGGTGTGTGAATGTGTGTTGTCATCTTTAAAGTAACATATTTTCATTTTGCGCTTCGTTAAACGAGTTCGATTCGAGCAACGCGGAAGAGAAGGCAACACAGCTTCGCTCTGGATTCTCGTGGCGATCTGAATCTGAAAGAAGCTGCTCGGCCCTAAGGGAAAGCACAGCGTCAAGAGCCCTACGTACGCGACCTCAACACATCACTCCACGACAGCAGTCCTGGCCGCCGAGTGCTACTGCTATCCAAATTGGTCCAGGAAGCAATGAGCTTTGCTGGCTGCGCCACGGGGTTCAGGCAGAGGCATCGGGCGTCTCAAAGTCTTGCCGGAGCTTTTATCTCCGCGTAGGAGATGCTAGGCCCAGATAAAACAATCACCCACGTAGAGGGGCATCGCAGGCTGATACACTACTAGACACCCAGATAGCCCACCTCGACCTCTCAACCACATTGCTGTAGTGCCGTCACACACCAGAGGTCGCCAGAAGCGTGCGCGGGCGGAGCGTGGGCCTGTTGGCCTTTTCGGTCCGTCCCTTTCGCTAGTCCGGCGCCGCGTTTTTTCATTTCTGCAGCAGCCACCCTTCCCGCTAAATGCCCTTAAAGAACTGGTGCAGAGACTTATTCTTTCGATGTCTTCACCAAGACACACTTGCTTTTGCAATGTGGAGAATCATCAAAAAAAACAAAATTGCAAGACGATCATGACGATGGCAGGTCTGCAAGGCAGATAATTATAGTAATTTGCCATACAACAGCTGTGAAACACAAATCCGCGCGGCGAATCTCGTCGTGCAGTGCAGATCTTTTCTACCACGGTCTTACGCGAATAAAATCAGTCGAGTGCTCGCTTGTCAAGGCGGGCGAGTCACTCTTATGCGCGCTATTTGGATTCCTGAGAGTAAGTACGTCGCACATCAATGTGTCTACTCAACAATTTAGCAACGCCAGAGTCCCCCGCAATCTGCAGTGCCTGAGCTCGCCAGGCGCTGAACCAGAAATGAGCGCTGGAATCTCTACATGTTCAGGAAGTGCCTCTAACTCTGGCTCGCACGCACGGCGCACGCCGGGCATTGCCGACCGGGAGAACCGTCTCGCGCCCGGGTCGTTCGGGAGGAGAGCAAAAAGTCGTGGCACGGGTCGGGGTGAGCACATCCGGGCATGCGACGGATGTCTTTTATTTGCAATTCGTAGCTTTTTTCTTTTTTATTCTTTTATTTGCCGATGGCCCAGCAAAGCCAAGTCCCCTAAAGCTGCCCTGCGATCTGTCGCCACAGGCACGTCGACGCCACGAGTGGCTAAAACAAGCTCCCTCGCTTTTCAGGTACTGTGCAAGCGTAGGAACAAAGAACGCATTTTTTCCCAGTCCTCAGCCAGTGCGTTTTTCACCTGCCGTATTTCCTCAAAAAAGGAAGCTCCCCGCAATTATAAAATACCGCGCATTCTAGTCAATATCAATTGAGACGACATGAAATCTTTGAAACGGGCTGTCTATCGCCATTCTCGCACAAGACTGCAATACATACGATGAACTTCTTGCACTCCAATGTTTTGTAAGTATGATGAGAATCTGACGTGGCCGCGTGTAAGTATAAATCGCGCTAGCGGTAGCGTATGGATGAAGAAAAACGCATGCCGTTACCTCGACTTCATGTGCAGGGCCGGAAATCTTCTGAAACTCTTCAACGTTCTCCTGATGCAGTGCGGTGACTTGTGTCTGTGTGCTTCTTGCATCACGGGCGCCGAAGCAGCCTGGTGGCTCAAAAATTTGCACCACCCGCGGCTTTGTAGCAGGTTCGGCCTGCTCAGTGCAGCTCCTGTGTTTGAGTGTCGGGCATTCTCCATCGATTGCCCACTCGACCCCGCGTGTCATGTCCGGTCTAACCGCCCCGCCTAGGCCTTTATGGTTTTTCTTCAAAGTCGGGTGCGTGGGCGAGCTCCAGTCAATGGAAATGCCTTGGGCAGTCATCTCGTCGCGTGAGTATGATGCAATTTGTAAGCTGCCCGATCGTGTACGGTAGCACAAGCATCTAGCCGCTACGTCTTGTTCTGGTGCTCCGGGGCATCGTATTGAAAAATGCTGCCCCTGTGTTTCTTTGAGGATGTCGTACTGTCTCGATTTTTTTTTCATTCATGACTTCGCAGGGGGCCGCGTGCCATCTTCCATTCAGAAATAACAACAGCTAGGTTTTTCTTTTTCGATTTCGCTTTAACACACAGGAATCGCGCAGCGGGTCCAGCAAAGTGTTTGTGTGCAGCTTCCGTAAAGCAAATATGCGCGAGGGGGCATATCGCTGAAAAGCCCACAATATCATGCCCTTCCTTGCGTCGATTCACTAGGCAAATCTGGATCATCCCATGCATAGCAGTGCTGCATGCATCTGAAAATCGAAATCACACAGGGCAGCGTTTTAATCAATTCAATATGTGTTTGCTGTTTGCGTGTTTGCTATGAAATAGACTGTCGACGCGGTCGCTGCCATTTTCTTGTTCATGTGATATGGCGCTCGGATTTTGTTCCACAATTAGCACTTGGCTGAGAGTGATGGGAGGTTGTGAGGACTGATCTGAACGCTGCGCACTGCTGTCCGAGTCAGATCCATCTTCATCCCTAAGGCTTGTCGCCGCCTTCCTTGTGTCAGCCTGTTCCTGTGCTCTATCCTCATGAACTTGTTGCTTCAGTTGAGCATTGGCTTTGGAAGCTCGCAAGAGCAACACTCTCGCCAGCTTTTTTGCTTGGTCCTGAGTCTCGTGGCGACCATAGAGCATTTTCAAGTCCTGAAGCTCCTTCAGCTCAACGACATGGACGTGATCACTCTCGGTCTCGGAGCCCGCGCCATTGTCTTTATGCTTGTTGGTCACTGTCGTCGCAAGACCATCTTGTGCAAGATGTATCGCAGGTGGCTTGGTCTTCAAGTAGTTATTCAGCCACTCATCACCATTTGCCAGAATATGCTGTTTGGCGTCCATGTCCTGAGAAAGAACACGCATCACAGGATTAATGTCTCCGCGCTTTATTGGATTTTTTTCATTTTGGCGGGCGAAGTTCTCTGCCGGACCTTCCAACACCAACCAACGCAGGGCGTCCATATCTGGTATATCCGCAGTCCCTACTACGCCGTTGTAGTTACGAGAAGTCATTCTCATACTCGTCTGTTCCCATGTGTTCCCAATATTCGCCATCATCTCCCTATCGCGACTGAGGCGGAATTGCGAAAAATCGCCATACTCTTGGCTCTTCTGCTCTGCGGCCTGAACTGCTTCTTCAGCTTTTGTTTCTTCAGCTGTCGATGTAGGTGTCTTTAGCCTAGCAGCAGCCTCGGCAGCCTCGGCAACTTGCCGGTATTCAGGCAACCATTTTTCGATGAAATATTCAATGACATCACGTGCTGCGCTATGCCAGAAGAGAAAGCCGCGGAATCTGATACTGACCTCGACCTGCAGCTGCATCAATGCCGTCGCAAGGCTCATAACGAGAGTGAGAAACTACATCAAGTAGGGCTTTCTTATTCTTACAATTAGGAAATAGCGTCATTCTAAAACAGCTTCAGGAATACACATAAGTACAGCTGCTAGAGCTGGAGCTTTGAACTAATGTATAGCTATTTTTTGCCACCACTTCGAGCACAACGCTTCGCTCTGCACAGCAGTGGATGAGGAAGGGGCGACCAAAAAGGCCGAAATAGAAAAGCCGAGTGCAATGGTCAGGGCGGCCAAATAAAACGCTCTGACCTGAGCCCGAGTTGATTATTTGTCCTCGGTGGCCAGACGCTGACACAGCAGATGGCTCCGGACGAAGGGGCATCAGCTTAAGGCCACCGAAAGAGAAAGCGTAGACGGAGCAGATGAGCCCTTCGGCTGCTTTTGAAGATTGACCTTCAACATCGAAGCTGTTAATTTAGCTCTGCGAGCGTGGTTTAGAGCTTTCAGAAATTAGTTCCCAGAGCAGTTCCTAAAAGCTTCGGCTTTCAAAAATTTTGAAGCAGGTGCGTAGGATCTGCGTTTTGACCGATAGTCCCGGTCTGACTACACGTCCTACGCACGCGACTTACAGAAATCAGCTCCCAGGATTTCCTGGTAGGCGTAGTTTTTAAATACGTCGATAGCGCAGTAAAAACAAGCAGCCTCGAACTCAACGTCCGGAGCTTCTATTGAGCGAACGGCACGACTGCCAACAATCTCAATCTTTGCCTACGCCATGCAGCTGCTGTACGCACTTCAAATACCTCTCGTTAATGCAATTGCAAATCGAAGATAAAGAGGACTACACGACGGAAGGTCTTTTGGCATAACGAACGTAGAGTCTTACGAAGTCGCCCACGTGCTCCGCGCCTCCGATCTTATCCTCCACATTCTTCTTTGTCTCACGTATCGCGAGAGCTTGCCAGCTGGCTGGCTTATCGGCGTCGGTGAGAGCCTCGGCCCAAACGAAACCGTCCCCGTAGACCTTATTAAAGGCTCTAGCAACCGACGGAAAGACCAATGCACGCGTGCGCAGCATTTCGTCTTCGGGTATACCCCTGTTGATATACTCCTCTCCGGTCTTAAGCGATGCCCACTTCTGAGGCAAGGAGGTCACAGTAGATAAAAACACATCGAGGCGGTTTCTGACGTCGTGAACATCATGACCACGCGCGCCGTCCACGCCGAGTATTGTAGATACTTCTTCTTGATGCGGTTGCGGCTGCCGCCCATCAAGTTGGCTTCCGCCTTTTGCTGTTGTTGTTGACAAGCCCACGGCATCATTCCCACTGCTCGGTTTTGCCTGCGCCGTCCTTGACCTCTTTTTGGGTCTTGGCCGTATTCTCAGAAAATGCGCGACCGTCACCGCTGCGCTTACTTTACAAGTGTATTAAGTGAGTATTTCCAATATAAAACTGCTTTTAAAACAAACTTACTTTCTCGACAGAGCGAACGAAGCTGCTTCACATGCAACAAGTTGCAAACTAGCAGCAGCATGCATGTCGCGGCGTGGCGAGGATAGACAAAGGCAGCCAACATTGATCAGCAAAACGTAAGAGAGGCAGGTTCCCAACACACTCGCAAACGATTGCGCTTGATCTTTGTGGCCGCGAGCATGCATCTTTCTGATGAATGTAGAAAATGTCGCATTCTTTTTTGGCGAAAATTAAGCACAAACATGCCAAAACGATGGCAGTGACAAATTTAACTTTTCTCTGGATAAGTTGCATGATTCCACTCTTGACGTCTGCGTTGGCGTTGCTAGTCTCTTGTTTGACTTGAGCATGCTGCGGCGCCTCGTTCTGGTCCTGCATCTGCTCCTAGCATCCACATGAAATTCGAGATCAAGCAGTACGTTTTCCTGCTACTGGCTGCCCTTGCCAATCTATGCCATGTAAAGATCTGACAATCGTCATAAGAGGGCATGGGTGCTGAGGCTCCAGTGCAGGGACGATGACGAGACTCCAATGCAACAACGAAAAACCATGAAGGCCGACAAGAGCAGGGATAAAATTAGTATCCGCGATCCACCAGCGAAGCCGAACCTCTTCTGTGTATGATAACAAGAACTCAACTACTCAATGTCGCGTCTATATGGCAGCACATGCCGTCATGACCAGCCCACATATTCAGCTCAACAGCGGAAGCGACTTGATCCACGAAGCAAACATTCACTGGATAGGCGTGGGCCTCCACCTTGTAGGCTCTTTTCTTGCTCAGCAATCTTCTCCCGCATCGACTCCGACATCTGGATCATGTTTATGCAGACAAACAGATTTGCTTTTCACCTGGTCACCTCCATGTGTTCAGCCTCATCGCATTTGAAGATGACATGCTTGACTTTGCAATTCATTACATTGATGTTGCGCCATTTATTGACTTCACAGGCTTCGCCTGACTCCAACTTCCTACTGCAATTTATGTTCGCAGTATGATTTTCTAATACATAATTTTCACACAGCTTTCGAATACATGCAGATTGAACACATGCACGCTCTGGAATAGATCAATTCAAGAATGTTGGTGCATACATCAATACAAATACACACAAAATAGTATCAACGACAACGAAGCATGACAAATCTAAAAAAGTCAGGAATTCGGGCAACGACAACTTTGGAAAAACAACTCGACCCCAAAGCTTCATATTGGTAATTTTTGCGCGCTCGAGATCATCACTTCGCAATTTTGAGTCAGTTGCATAGTCTGGATCCGCCTGCGGGAGACGGGGCAGCTGCAAGTCCACTCTCTCAGGCTTAGCTGTTCTAGCGGCCTGTTCTACGACGTATGGGCAGCGAGCTGCAGGTGCAGACACTGAGGCATTGCGGTGCTTTTACTGCAATTTAAAACTACATCATACGAAAAAAGAAAACTCGATGCAGAAATCGAATCAACTCAAAATTTCGCTTGGATAAAACTCGTAGTAATCATTGTCAGTCTCCTCCGTGTACTCGTCGTAGTAGGCGCGCTGCGTTTATCCAACGAAAAAGTGCCCATGTCCATTGTCACGAGTACGTAATCGATCACGATCCTGGGCGCGCTAAATGCCAACACCGATAGGGCGCGTTGCTGCACATACACAGAGGGTTATCCTATGCGAAAAGCACAACCAAAATTCAGCAGGCAACTGTATCGTCCTGCTCATCATCCGTGCCAAGCAGGTGGGGGGGGGGGGCAGAATTTTCTGCGGCTCTAACGTAAAAAAGTAATGCATGAATATCGGAGCAAAAACTTTTTCGCTTGATAGCTTCTTCCGCTTCTTCTTGCCGGACTTCCGTTTTAATATGGGGAAGAACAAGAAAACTCATGATCCTCGACATCTCTTCATACATCAACTGTGTCCACGTTTGCAGCAAGCTGCCCACTAAAGTACAAAGTTGTAGGCACAGACAAATTTATGCGACCGCCGGAACGCAACTCTATGCACTACATGTTGAGCCTTTAATCCTACTCCTGGCGGCCAATGTGCAGCCGCAGTTTTTCTTGCGGAGTTACCGCTGTGTGTGCTTCTTTGCACAACATGAGCCCAGCCCTGCTTATGAGACGCGTCCCTTCTCTCTGGTGAGTGAGGAGGATTTTTCTTTTTTTCTTCTTTGATATGCTTCTTGCTTCCCGACTTTCGCTGTTCCTTCGCCCCTGCCGCAGCACTTGGAGTTGGAACTTCCAGGTCCGCTGCAATGCTCGGCCGGTCCGACGACTTTCCCTCTGCGCTCTCGTTCGCGGTACCGGATTCGACTTGCGACCCGGCCTGATGCGTTTGTCGTCCTTGAGTGGGAAGGAGAAATCCGAACTCGATGGTAAGAAGAGAAAAAACGGCGAATGAAGACTTCCGCAGAGTCCGCCCCGCAGGGAAGAAAAGGTCGACGTTGTACATGAACATGTTGATGCGCTTTTTGTCCATGCGGAGAGATGAAGCCAGAGGTCGTTGCTTGTGAAATCGCAACTACAACAAGTCTAACCTACTACGAGCACGACTAGTTGCTCGCTTTCGACCCAGCAGCTGCTTCCTTCAGGGCGCCACGAATTGGACTCGATTTTGTTCTTTCCAGCGAATGTACACCTCGGTCCGCCTGATTTTTTTTTTCGATGCCTCCGATTGTCAATGTTCTTGTGGTCGTGTATGCTGCAGCACGAGATTGATTTTTGTAGGATTCTTAGTTCGCGGCTGAGCTGTTTCTTGAATGATGAGTCTGCTCGTGGCGTAGTTTCCCAGCTGCAGCTGCTTCCTCAGGTTTATTCTCCTCGATTCTTGAGACGTGCTTCCGTCCTCCTTGCACGACCTAGTTTCAATTTAATTGCAATGTAATAAAAATAAAAGGAAAAACCTTAACTCAGTTCTCTTGGATGTGCCACAGCGAGCACGAACTGAGATCGTGAATTCTGGACAACAAATGAAATCTAGGTGTACTCATGGAATGAATATGAAAACAAAGCGACGAAGCAAAATAATGCAGTTTCTGAGTTGTAATTGTAAATCACAATTTCAATTAGAAAACCTACCAGAAGTTGCTTTCTGTCGACCCGCCTGCTTCTTCAATTGAACGCGATTGTTAATTTTGTGCAGCTATCTGGCGGTCGTATACTACGCGGCTTCACCCCTTGTGAATGTGGTCGTGCAGGCACAAGAGTGGTTTTGATATTTGCGAGTCTTTGGGTGGGTGCTAAATCTGAATGTTAGTGACGGCTCGGTTCTTGGCGCTTACCAGCCTCCTCACCTTTTTCCTCGCTCCTTGATTTTGGGGTAGGTGCTTTCCTTCTCGTTGCACCTCTTTATTTGAACAAATTTTCGTATGAATTATTGAAGTTTTAAATTTTTTATGCTCTGGGGGAGCAATCTGGAGTCGTAAATTTGGGTCAAAGATATATACAGAATGAGAAATTGCAAGGGATGAATATGATATACTGCGAAATGAAAAAAAAAATGTTGATGGTGGGAATGCAAAGACTTAGAAAGACCGAGATAAGTTGTAAATTTAAATGTAATGTTCAACAAGAAAAGCTAAATAAAGAGAAATGCGGCAATGCTTAACGATAAAGAAAAGGGTAATGCTTAAGTTTAAATGTAAAACAAGTCAAAAAGGGGTAGTACTCTTGTGTGAAATTGAAAACGAAATAGGCTTTTTTTTTTATTTTTTTTTGAATTGATGCAGCTGAGGGCTGCTTGGTAGAGATAGGAAAGTAAAAGTAGGCGGGGGAGAAATTTTGAAAATGAATTGTGTTGCCGAAAAGCTCCGACTCGATCGATTGTTGTAATTTTTTTTTCGCCTTAAGTGTGAGAGAGTTGAGTTTGTGAATTCGAAATTAATTGTTGTAAGGGAAACAAGAAGTAGAATAGCACAAGGCTATTATCCGCTAAGACTGACGGTAGATCAAAATACTTCAAACTCGACGAGTTGCGTAACAAAAACAACACATACACAAACTCCTTCGATAACAGAAACTACTACAGCGGACGGGTCCTCGTAGCTAGAATTGTACGTGAAGGGAGCGTGAGTGGCGATCGATGTCACACAGGTCGGCGGGGGAGAAATACTTGACATAATATCAGCCTGCATTGTCGATTTTCGATGAAAGAAACGATAACGCGTCGCGATGTTTCGGTCGTGATATGTGTTAGAAAAGGGGCAGCAGTAGGTCGTTTGTTCGTTGAAGGCGCACGATGGCTGGTGAACGTTTTTACGGGAAGAATGCGTACGAATTAATACGATACCGACATGAAGCCGCAAACATCCGCTTTTGCACGACGAGCGAAAAAATAAAATCAAACCGACCACACAGCTGAAAGACTCTTCACTGCGAAAAAGACACATCTAAAAGACCGAACGAAAACAGACCACCAGGCACCGACCAGGATTTAGCTCCTGCGGCTGCTATCAGGCCACGATTACGCAAAAGACTTGTGTAAGACCAGCAGTCCACTTCATCTGGATCACGAGTCTTTCATCTTGCAACGAAGAGAGCCGATTTTACGACCGAGTCAATCTTTCACCAAAAAACCGACGGAAAGAGTCCCCGCTTGGGGGCTGAAGTTGGCTACTGAATATACTTAAATAACTATTAGCAGTAAAGCACCAATGCAACACACGCTGAGGCATCAAGTGAAGAGGTCCGAAGAAACCGAGGCTGACTTTCTCCGTAAGTTCGTTCAGACACATTTTCTTTGTCCGAGTCGTCTCTCTTCGTAGACTTGTCAAAGCACTGCACCTCCCCGTCACGAATAGGGAAATGAAAAGCAGCACTCACACTACAACTTCTTCATGACAACTGTCAATCAACACACGAGGCTCCTGATGCACACAGTTTCTGAATTCGACTGAGCAGAGTTTCTTTCACCTCCTGCTACTTTGGAGGGTTCAACTGATGTCTCGGCACATCAACCGATTCCTCGGCACATCAACTGATGCCTCGGATTTTCCACCAGCGCCAGCAGTTCGCACCAGTCGGTCCAGTCATCTGTCGAGCGGACGCGTTCGCAAAAAGGCCTGCAAGAAAAATTGCCGCCTTTACTACCGCAGCCCGGTAGTAATCGAAAATCCGCAACTGACGGTCGTGAGGGAAGCGGATACAGTCCCTTGCTGCGCTTCCCCTCGTCCGTGTTATCGCAGTATCCGTGTTTTGTCGTTGAAGTGCCACTCGCTCGGCGCTTTCTCCTCGACGTGCCCGATATTCATGTACTCGGGAAGCTTTTTGAAGCCGAAAGACCGTATCACACAGAAAAGTAGGCCTTCCTTGTCGTGCGTCTAGCTACTTATTGAAATGCTTCGAGACAGGTACAACGAGAACGCGCACGCATACTGACTCTCATGATCCTAGACCGACCTGTAGCTGCCGCAACCGAAGAGTGCAAAAGCAATTGGCTTTTCTCCCCGCTCGTCTGTCGGTCGTCCAGCTCAGGCACGAGCGGGTGCTAGAAGAACAAACAGAAAGTGAAAGACATGCTGAATGATGTTATTTCGGATCTTTCAATGCAAATATCGTATCTTTTGCAAAGAAGCCAGCATTATTTCAGCGTGATAGGCAATCGCGGCGGCAATCGAAAAGTTGGCACGTGCCCTCGGTTTTGCGCGTCGACGTAAGAAAGCTCTTGTCCCGGAGACGGTGGTGGACCGCCACCCGCTGCGCCTGGCGTTTTGCCATAGATCGCATCGTCTTCCTGTTCCTGCGTTGGCTTGTCGGGGGAAAAAGTAGTGAGTCTCTAATGACTCGGGAGGTGCATACAGGAAGCACTCCGAGGTGGAGGTCTCAGAATCGCATGAAAAATTGAAATACACTCTGCAGCTCCTCCTCGTCCATGCGTACAACTGTCTTTCTATTTCATCAGATCAAATTTATTATGTAGCAAAATCGCAGAAAAATGAAAGGTCAACTGGCCAGTTTGCCATGCCCGTTTTTCATGACTACGAGCGGCCTTCCTGTAAGTACAGCGACACATACTAGATCCTCCTACTTATTTCACATCCCATATGGCCACCCGAACCTGAGTTCCGTGTCCAAACTCGGGTCCTCCGGCGGTTTGTAGAAGTCGAAAGGCGGTCTCGTCATGGCATCCGGCGGCACCCGATTTTTCCGCGACGCGTGCTTCGGAACACCGCCCACCCGGGGCTCGTTTTTGCATTCCATACCGCATGTGTAAAAGTTCTTTTTCGACCCGTCGCCGCAGCAGAGGATCCGTCCGTTTTCGTCGCGGGGAACGCCTTTCATGCTAAAGCTAATTTGCGGCACGGCAAACGAGGTTATGGGATCGTTTCAACGATTAAAATTAAAAAAATTAATTTTTATTTATTCAAGAGGTCATACAAAATGAAAATCATCAGAGTGCGACGTGGAAACTGCCGTCGTCGCGGGCCTCCGAGGTGAACGTCTCCGGATTGTGTTTTGTTTATGGTAATGAAATAGCTAGACACGTCCCAACTTCAGCTAGTTAAAATGGTATGTAGTTGAACAAGGTTTAAGAATGCAAAGGAAGCAGGAAGCTTGGCTCCGTCTTTGCGGCCCACAAGCTGGGCGTCTGCGTGGTCCCTCGCTCTCCGGCTCGTCTGGGGCCCCGTCACGTAGCAGCGACGCTATGCTGGTTTCGACCGGTGGAGTTTATGGGGCAATGTGATGGCTTTCGAATACATCCCAAGAGGAAGCTGGTGCGGCAAAGCCTGAAAATGTGTGGCGTTGTAGTATTGAGATCTCGCACCTCAACGGACGGAGCAACTTTCGTGGTTTTGGTCATCAGTTTCAGAGTGGGAGTTCCTGAGTTCCTTTTAGAGCTGGAGGATCGCGATTAATTAGACGCCCAGAGACGTCCAAAAAGACGTCTATTTTCCGCGATATGGAAATGGATTGACTAAGTGGGAATAGCCAAAGTTAATGACGTCCCTGGGGACGTCTCTGGGAGACGTCCCGCAAGCTCATTTTTGGCATCAAAATGAGGCGCGTCAAAAGTTGACGCTTTTCCTTACGAAAAAGCTACTCTTTAGGATGCTTTTGCCCAACATATCCGCAGCGTCGCCTCCTCCACCGTTCTGCTCGCGATACTCCTGCAGGGCCTCACTGGGCTCCGTGTCGGTTGGCGTCGCCTTCTCCGGGCCCAAGATATCGGCCAGCAGCTCTTCTCTGCGCGCGTGGATCCCCCCCATGTATTTCCGGCGTCCGGAGGGGGCGCGGAGGAGGGCCCGGATCGCCCTGGCGACGTTCTCCATACCAAGGCGCTTGGTATTAGAACTGCTCCTGCCGCGATGACAGACTCCAGCTTCCATATCATTTCAACTAGCTTAAGTTGGGACGTGTCTAGTTATTTCATTACCATGAACAAAACACAAGCCGGAGATGTTCACCTGGGAGGCCCGCGACGGCGGCAGTTCCCGCATCACCTTCTGATGATTTTCATTTTATATAACCCCTTGAATTGCAAAAAATTAATTTTTTTTATTTTAATCGTTGAAACGATCCCATAGAGGTGAAGGCTCTGTGGGTTTTGTTTCGGAAAATCATGCTGTTTGTGTTTTCTGCAGAAATAGGACGAAGGTGGTCGTGTCTGGCGCGGCTCTCGCAGGCACCGCTGCTGTTCGGGGTAACGGCCGCGACCTCTTGTTGGGACAGCAATCCGCCGTCGGTATTGATAGAAAAAAGTTCCTGCAACCTGAGCAATGGCATCTTCGTCTGACTGCGATTTGTATTTTTCGTTTTATTGCTTGCAACTCCGAAAGGATTTTGCCGATTTCTCTTTCTGGTGGTTCTATCTTGCTAAAATGAAATCGGTAGTCCAACTAGATGTGGTGATCGACGACCACAAGGCCCTTCCTCGCTGCGGATATGGAGTACTGATGTGTACGAAATGCGATGATGAATGTTCTTGGAAGAGGAAGACGAGGGGGGACAATGCTTAATAACCGTTCGCCAGATCGAAATGAAGCACTGCAGTGTTAAACACATCTGCGCTTTGGCTTTTCCCTCACAAAAACTGCGCAGCCGCGACCGCGACTCGTCGGCAGGGCCGGTTTTTGCGGCCAACTCAGGATGAAAAGCGAAACGAATACGAAAACGACTGGCACAACTAACTAGCTCTGCGCAATAGAAGTACGAAAACCAGTGAAGGAATTTTCTCGTCGCACTACACCTCCTGCTCTCCTTCCTGTTTGCGCCTCCAAGAAGGGCAAAGTAGTGGTTAGCGAGCTAGTGGAAGCGAGTTGTAAACATCTTCTAGCGACGACAACGAAAATTAAATGAAAAAGCGACACCGACAGGCAACGAACAAAGAAGGAGAGAAAATGAACATCCTTCAGTTCTTGCAGTACTCAGAAATCTTGTTTTGTGTTACAGGTAGCAAACTCGTCAAACTTCTAATGATGGTTCGAAACATGCGTTCTGCTGGCACTAGAGGTCGATTTCCTTTTGCTTTTGCAGTAAACTGCATATGGAGCAGCTGGTGTGTGTGCGGCAGGTAATATTAGCTGTGACCGCAAGACGAGGTCGACGGGGTGGAACTGGTGCAGCCCCAGCTACAGAAGTGCAACAGCTTGTTCTGTAAACGCACTTGTTGATAGACAAGCTATGTGTTTTTTTAATTTACGTAGTCTGACAAAATTTCTCACGTGAAACCGACAAAAAAAAATGAAAAGACCGTAGCACCGGTAAGCGCAGCGCTTTCGAATGGAGTAATTCCCAATCCCTATGTGAATATAGTAGGCTGCTCTGCAGGCTTACTAGGAAGAAAGGATGCATGTAAATTGAAAAAAAAGCGACGGAGAATCGTGGTGACAATGAAGTTCAGTCTTCATATGAAAGACATTCAGAACGCAGGTTAGCTACGAGTCTATGTACTTAAATGCACGCAAAATGACATCGCATCAATATGTCACACTGCTCGAAGCTCAGTAGGCACGCTGCTCGCCCATTCGGGTAAGTCAATGAATACATGCCGACGAGCAACCATAGCGTAACTTCATATTTTTAGACCTAGCAGCGCATTTCGAAGGAGATCATCCAACTGGGTGTTGGGTAGACTCCACAAGTTGCACCGAATATCGTAGAGAGGTAACGACAGCTGCGAAGAAAGCTACTGCACGACCAATCCAACACTACTTTGTGACAGCGCCAACTAGCGCGTAAATCACGACTATCTTTTGAATCCATACATCGAGGACGACCTACGAAAATTCAAATTGTCCATGACTACGTCTACTTCAAGGAACACTGAAATTCCGTACTTTCCGCTGGTTTCTCGTGCCATTACCGCAGGCACGAGCCCGCAGCAAAAAGCATCATCTACCGTGCGATGTTGCCAATAAATGATCTCTTCTTACTCCTTATGCACGACCTCGGAGCGGATACTGCGGAGCACGGGCTGCATGGTGTTGATATGTTCCTGCGATGGCAGCGGCACGTCCTCCAGGCGCCGCGCGTGCTCTTCCGTCAGCAGGGCCGCGTGGGAGCGGCGGTGGCTCTTGCGTTCCATCTGCGAGGCGGACTGTTCCAACTCGTGCGAGATCGCGTGCGAGATCGCCTTCGCCATCTTTGCCTTGCTGTACTCCTCCTGCAGCACCTTTTCGTCCTTCGTGCTCATGCGCCGCTTCTGCTCGGCGTCTAGTATGCGCTTGACCAGCGTTTGCTTCTCCTGGCGCAGCTGCTCCTGCATCTTGTCGATCAGTTGCAGCTTCGCGACCCGTTCCAGCTGTTCCTGGTCTAACAATTCCTTTGCGTGCTGCTGGCCGTAGCGACGGTGCCGCTCCTCGAAGGACCGCATGAAGGTCTGGGAGTGCATGGCCTTTTCCAGACACTCCGCGGACGCCGCCTTCCCGAAGACTTTGTTCACCTTCCCGGTCCCAAATTCCTTAATCCTGCGGTTTTGCTCGCTCCAGCACTGGAGCGCCACCTTGTTCTGGTCGATCTCGCGCAACTCTTCCGCCATCTCCTCGTCCGCCTTTTGCTGCGACACCCGGCTGGCCTTTTCCTCGTCCATCAGATGCAGGGCGAGCCGCTGCATCAGCTTCCGCTGCATATTGTCGTACGACACCTCCAACTCGTCGTTGATGGTTTTGCGAAACGGCGCCGCCGCGGAGTACTTGTGGCCTCCGCCGAAATCCAGGTACTTGAAGTTCTGCGAGCCCGCCTTGGCGGATTTGAAGAACAGCCTGCCGTTGACGGAACTGTTGTTCTCGCCGTTATTCTCCACGTTAGAAAACACTGTCGTGGCCTGTTTCAGGACGTGCTCCACAAACTGCTCGTCGCTCGCGTTGATCGGTTCCTGCATGTGGTCGAAGAACAGCTGGCAATTCTTAAACACCGTGTTGCGAATGCGCTGCTTCAACGCCTTGCACTGCGCCTTTTTCATCGGGGACGCGTCCTTGGGGCACACGAAAAACCCGATGGGCACCATCTCGTCGAGTCGCTGACCGGACTTGTCGTTGTGGACCACACGGACCGTGTACGAACACCTGAAGTTGGTGATTTCAAGAATCCGTTACTAGTTGTTATGTGTGACAATCTATAGCGAGCTTCCGACATGGTATATTGAAAATCATCGAGGCTGTTGTATCTAGCTGCATAAATCAAATCCCTCTATCCAATACCAGTGCGGTTCGTTTTTCGCGCACAGGTCCGCGGAAACCAGCATGCACTCGTGGTGACTGGAGTCGTCGGAATGTCCGCCGGCCTTGCAGACCTCCAATTTTTCGAACCGCTTCGTCCAGGTGAACACGGCGAAGCACGGATCTTTTTTCGTCACCGAAGTTTTGCACAGCTGTTCCCAGGAGGTGATCGCGTCGCCGAGGTTGGCGTCCTTATTGGGTTCGAACCACTCCGGCTGGGAGTGGCGCACCAGATCCAGCTGCGAGCCCGAGGACCGGTGGCCGGCGAGAGACTTCCGCGCCTTGCCGTGAAGCCCGGCCGTGGAGTTGCTCGGCGACGTTGCGGGGGAAGAGGCAGCCGTGCTTGCGTTGGAAAGATTTCCGGAAGACTTTTGCATCTTCATCGCCGGAACCGCAGGGACGGAACCCTGGCGGATCGGAGGACGAAAAATGGCGGTGGCCATCGTCGGGTGTTCGGGGGTTTTTGGCTTCAAGAAGCAGGGACTCGCTGCTTGTTGTTGTTCTTGGAATTGATTCGTTGTTGTTATTCACTGCCGTACTCTTCGTAGCCCTCAGTATTTTACTGTTGGTGGTGTGCTGCCACGACACGACGATCTTCTTGTTCTTTCTTTACACTGAAATAAAATTGACTAGGATACGTATGTAATGCACTATCGACTTGTTTTGGAAAAAAGTAATCGCAGGTGAAAATGTTCTGCAGTAGTTTTACTTTTGCTTGTGCACGACAGTACTAGAAGCCTAGCGGCGATAGAGAGTGAGAGCGTCGTGCACTGTTTTTAAAGGGGGAAACAGAAGAAACGGGGGGCTGTGGTGCACTACACCTTGTGCAACCTGGTACTCGAAAAATTGGCGTGATTACGGAACCAAAAAATGCTGATACACTTTATAATGAATGCAAAAGAATCAACATCACCGACGTTCGTAGTAGAGGCACGTCGTAGGTAGGTGATACACTTAGCGATTTCAAGATGAAGCTGCACGACAAGACGTTCATCTGCATTGTGATTGTTCTTGTACGACTTCCGACTCAATAAGTGCACGAACCGATCTATGTTTCTGCAGAAAACGGACAGACCTACTAGCAATCACCGAGTAGAGTCGTGCTAGTGCTAGAACTATGATCATCATATTAGTTGAAAAATTTCTATTTGTCACCGTCACGACCGAAAAGCTATATCCGTTTCTTGTCTAGCTCTAGCAACGGAAGCTGCAACGTAGCAGCAGAAGCTGCCACGTGGGAACATATTGCAATTCTTCGAATTTCGTCATCTCGCGTGGACAGACACGGAGGTTGCACAAAAGTTGGCTTTGTTCTTCATACTAGAGCAACTGCAGAAAAGTTTCCGACGAAGGGAATCATGTAAAACAATCACAGTGTTTACTTTGTCACAAGCAGAACCTGGATGTCGTGTGAGACCACAAATCAAAAGATCTACTTTGTTCGTGATCGCGATTATCACTCGCAGGGGCAGCTTACACTTTTGATTTACTGATGAACAGCCGCATATCCATCCGAGGATGGTGGACCTGCTTAATACTGCTGCGAAGCGGCATCTTACTTCTTCTTCCGTCCACCCTTCTTTTTCTTTCCTCCGTCGTCGGAGTCCCAATTTATTGGCGCCTCCTCCTCCAATGTAACATTTGCCGCCCCGCGTTGCTTCTTATTATTTGCAGCGGCGCCGCCACCTTGCTGTGGCTGGTCCCCAGCACCGTCCGCCGCCGCGGCCGCCTTCTTCGCGCGCTTCTTCGCGGCCGCGCCCATCTTCTGGCCTGGTGCGGCTTGCTTGTTGGTGTTACCTTCGTCGTCGTCATCTGAGTCCGGCGCGCTGGGGTTTCCGGTTGCAGCTGCAGAGGGCGTGTTGCCGCCAGAGAGATTATTTCTACTCGCAGTGCTGTTCTTCCCACCGCCAGGTGTCCCCGCGTTGCTGTCGTTCTTTGGCTTGTTGCTGTTGCTCGCATTGCTTTTCCTCTGCTCAGACACGGAAGTGGATTTTGCATCCACAACTTCCGGCTGTGCGACGTCGTCCGCAGCATCGTCGTCACAGGACGAGCTCTGCATCTCGTAGTACTCGCCAACCTTCGCTTCAAACTCATCCGGATCCAGAACGCCAACGTCCCGCGCGGTTCCCTCGATGTTCAGATGGACGCAGGAGAGCAAGAGCCCGTTATTCCAGGCACCGCCCACTTTCGCCCGTTTTACCTCTTTGCCGTCCGGGCCGACTTCGCCTTCCGGGACAACGACCACAATGGCACCCTCGGAGGGCACGTCGTTGAACTGGTTGGTCACGATGGAGATCGTTTCATTCGTGATTTTGTCGTTCACGTCAATTTCCAGTGCGTAGGTGCCCTTCTTCTTCATCGCCTCGGAGCTGGTGACTTTGCCGATCTTGTACTTCGTGAGCTTCGAAGTCGGCGCTGGTTTTGCCGCAGCGGAAGTGGAGGAGGTGGACGAGGCCTTGTTCGCTGGTTCTGCTGGTGGTGCAGGTGCTGGCTTCGAGGGTGTTATTTCCTCAGTTGCGTCGCTTTCCTCTTCTTCGACCACAGCGGACTTCTTGTTGCCCTTTTTGTTCTTCGTATTTCGCGCTGGCGGATCGAAGTTTTTCTTCTTATTCTTAGCGAGCGCAGCCAAATCGACTTCGTCATCACTCTCTTCCTCCTCAGACTCCTCGACCTTTGCCGCTGGTGCTTTCTTCTTGGCAAAAGCGGCTAAATCCACTTCGCTATCAGAATCCTCCTCTTCGGAGTTGTTCTGTTCGCTATTCGATGCCTTGGGAGTAGGCTCTTCCTCTTCCTTTTCGTCTTTGCTACTAGAGGACGGTGATGGCGCGGATTCCTTGCCTTTGGACTTTCTTTCTGCAGTTTCGTCTGGTTCTACTGCTACGGCATCGAACTTTTTCTTCATCTTGTCGAGCTTTTTTGGGTCTTCCTTTTTCTCTTCCACCTCGTCCGACTCCGAAGTGGATTTTTTGTTGTTTTCGACGTCATTTACAGTAGATTTCTTCGGCTGTTCCTCCTCCTCCTCATCCGACTGCTCATATTTCACTCGCTTTCGCTTCTTTTTTTTCTTTTCCTCAAGCGCCGCCGCCTCCTCGTCGCTGTCCGCGTACTTGGTGGATTTTTTTTTCTTCTCTTTCTTTTCCTTTTTCTTCTTTTTCTTCAAATCCTCGTCCTCGGAATCCAAATCCGGCACGTCAATCCACGGAGCTGCATCGTCAGACGAGCCGGCTGTGCCGGTCAGAGTCGGCTTTCTGCTGTCGCCGTCGAAGAGGAGTTTCTCCTTTTCCGCTTCGGCTCTTTGCTTCTCTGCCTCCTCTGCGTCCTTCTTGGCTTGTTCCTCGGCCTGCTGCTTTGCTTGCTCCTTCTTCAGCATCTGCCGCTCCTTCGCCGTCATCTTCTTCTTTTTCCCGCCCTCGTTGCCCGGGGAGGCGTCTTGATCGGCGTTTTCCTCCGCCGGGGCGTCGTCGTCGTCGTCAGCTGCAACGGTCTTGTTGGCCTGTGGGAGGTGGAGTCAAAAGTTGAGATTTGAAAGGAAGACCAAAAAGAAACACAGACGGATGAATTTGGATTGCAGCTTTGCGTGGAACGAGGGCATGACCATTAGCGAAAGTAATTCATTTGCAGTATGACATTAAAAGCCGCACTTCCACTACTTACCTTCTTTTTCGCCTGAATCCCCGCACTGACGTCCACTTCTCGCACTGCCAGACCCAACTTCTGTCGCTTTTCCTCCCGTTCCCTAGCACGCTGCATCGCGATCAGCTCGATCTCCTCCTCCCGCTCTGCGAGCTGGGACAGCACGTCTTGCCGGTAGCCTTCGAACCCGCGCGGGTGCCTTCTGATCTGCGCCGTGTTTGGCTTGACGACGGGGTCGTGGAGCGCCACCACCCAGAGCGTGCAATCCACCGCTTGGATCAATCGGGCGTCGTGGGTTACGAGAATAACACCGCCGTCGTATCGGCCGAGCTGTTTTTGTAATTGAAAAATTTGAATATTTTTATGATGCTGTTGATGCATCATGGTCGCGCACGACTCTACTAGCTAGCGGCTCTGATGCAGGACGACGATGATTTCCTTTGTAAGAACCATCCGCATGATCGGCATCACACATACGGAAAACAAGAAATCAAACGACCCCTTGGAAGAAATTAATACCGCGTCAATAAGCGCCTCCACGGATTCGATATCCAAGTGATTTGTCGGTTCGTCCAACACCACAATGTGCGGCTGGCTCAACGACAAAGCCGCAAACGCAACCCGCGCCTTCTGACCCCCGGACAGGTTGCCGATTTTCGTCAAGTGCGCAAACGACGGCAATCCGAACTGGCCGAGAGACGCGCGCGCTTTTTCCTGAGAAGAAATCCCCGCCTTCTGGAAATCCGACATCAAATACTCCACCCCATTCTTGTCCAACGGCAGTAACTCATCAAAGTGCTGATGGTAGTGCCCGACCCGCAACGCGTTCGCGTGTCGCACCTCACCCTCGCACGGCTGGAGCTTCTTCAACATCAAATTTAAAAATGTCGATTTACCGACACCGTTGGGCCCGACGATCGCGATGCGGCTCGTCGTGTCACATCCGAAATCCAGCTCATCCAGCAAATAGGGCTGCTCCCCGTCGTAGGAAAAGCACACGTCGGACACGTTCAAGCCGCCAATACCGGAATCTTGCCCGAGGCCGAAGAAGTTGAATTTGACAATGTAGTCCTTGATCTTTTCGTGGATGTCGTTGATACTGTCCAGATTGAACTTTTTCTTCACCTGCTCCTCCGCTTTGTCCTTCGCCATGCCGGATCGTTTCAGCATCTTAAACTCGTCCTGCATCTTCTTCAACTCTCTGGCATGCTCCAGCTTCTTCTGCCCAAGCATCTTCTTAAACCCGGAGTATCCCCCACGGTAGTAGAAGAGCTGCTGCTGGTCCAAATGGATCACGTCGGTGCAAATCGCGTCGAGGAAGTCGGCGTCGTGGGAAACGCAAATGACTGTGTGGGGGTATTCCTCGGAAAGGTAGTTGTCGAGCCAGAGGACCGCGTCGAGATCCAAGTGGTTGGTCGGTTCATCGAGAAGGAGAAGTTTGGGCTGCAGGAAAAGGGCTTTCGCGAGGGAAATGCGCATACGCCAACCACCGGAGAAGGTTTCGACCTGAGCGAGATTTTCGATGGTTGAAGATGGTGTTCTGAGCGTGATCTGATGCTGACTTTCTTGAAAAAACAAAAATGCTAAATGAATATGAATGCTTTTGTTCGAACAGGTAATGGCAGATATTCCGCAATCATGGCCAATGAATCATCACCAATAAAAGCACTTCCGCTATTTGGTATACCGTCTGCGTCTGCATTTTCTTGGTGAACCCGAGGCCGGTTAAAATTTTCCTCACGGTCGACTCCAACGCGTTCGCGTTCCGCGCGTCCAGCTCGGCGGAGACTTCTTCCAACCGTTGCCTAGTTTTTTCCATCTTATCCTGTGCAAAAGTATCGCACTCGTATAAATGCAAGTCTTGCATTACAAATCTTTTTCATAAGGCAAATCCGCATTACAAATTTTATTTCTCATGCTGAGCCAATTTGTAATGCATTTATACGAGTACGATACTTTTGCAGTTCATACATCTCCACCGCGTCCAATTTGCTGTCAGCATCGTCGGCCGATTCCAACCTCTCCATCAACGCCTTCTCCTCGTCTAACAGTTCCACGCACTTCACGTCCGAAGCCATCACCTCCTCGACGACGTTTTTGTTGCTCGCCTTCGCCTCCTGTTCCACCAGCAAGATGTCCCAGTCCAGCGGCACGGGCAGTTCCCGCTTCGCGATGTGCCGTAGCAGCGTCGTCTTACCCATACCGTTGGGCCCGAGAAAGCCGTACCGGTGTCCCTGCACGACTTTGAAGTTTGCGTTTTTGAACAGCCAGTTTCCGGCGGCGGCGAGGGAGAAGCCCTCACACACCGCGGAGTCGCCGGAGGGCGGGTGGATGACCTGCCCGCCGGGTACGACGATAGAGAAAGCTTTCAAATCACCAGTAGCGGCATCGTCGTCCGGGTTGTGATACCTGATAGATTGTGGGGGGGAGGGGATCATTTGCGCTGCGAAAGAGCTTGGTTTCGTATGTATGAGGCGTAGGAAAGCACAAGCAACACCTACAAACACGGTGCTACGGCTACCATCAAAAAAAAGCAGTGAAATAAAGAATCAATACTTTGTCTCCGCCGTGTGTCTTTCCAACATTTTCTTCTCCTTCGCCGTGAGTTTTTCCCCATTCGCTTGTCGCTGTTTCAGATCTTCGACCTTCTCGTCCAAAGTCTTGTCGTTTCTCGCATCGACCACCAGCCCGACGTTGACCGCACTGGATTCCATATCAGCGTTCTCCTGTGCCTCCGTCGCCGCGAAGGACTTCGCGTGGAAATCCGGTTGGAAAAAAAGGAGTGATTTGGACTCCTCGAGGGTGGTTTCAAATTCGATCTCTTGCTCTTCGGGTTTCAAGATTTTTTTCTGTTTTATCGTCCCGTAGTACCCGGCGCTGGTTTCGACACCCCGTTCCCCGGTGTTATCATTTAAACTCGTCCACTTCTTCACCGCGGGGTCGACGTTTGCCGTTGGGGCCATCGTGAGAAAGAAAACCGTGGTTGGCCTGGCGCAAGTGAAGGTCAGTTTCTTCGCTTTCCCCGAGCAACGGAGAAAACCGAAACCGGTCGCGGGCGTGAACTCCCCGAGGGAAAGAAACTCCTCCGCATTTTTCGTGCCCGCAGCGACACCGGCGCGAACCAAGCCGGACCCGACATTACGGACGGACGGTTGGAGCTTTGGGTCGGCCTGAAATGGAGAAATCGGAATGATGGTGGAAGGTTTTTTTCCGAAAATAGGTTTCTTTCACTACGGTATACGGCTGCTACTAGGAACTCATGGAACGTAACGCAAGATGTAGATCCATCGTGCGTGAGAAAACGTGTTTTTATTTCTGGTGAAATTTGCAATTACACAATGAGTATCAGAATCATCAGCTATCTGTATACATCTGTCGCCAGTGTCTTGAACGTTCCCGTCGCGAGCAGATCGTGGACCACGCGCCCTTCCATCATGTTTCCAATTTTGTCGGAGACCAATGAGTCCCCCTTCAGGTCCAGCTCTTCCAAACTTCTGTCTTTCTCCCCTCCGGCGTCGTCCAACCCGGCGAACATGTCCTTTGCCTTCTCCGTTTCCTGCTTCTTTTTCTCCTTTTCCGCGTTTTTCGTTTTCTGTTCCTGCTCTTTTTTCCTCAAGAGCTCCTGCACGATAGACGTGTTGCCCGACGCATCGTCGTCGTTCATCTGGATCTTTTTCGCCGCCGCCTGCTTGTTCGCGGTCTGGTCCTTATTTCGCTTGTCCAGCGCTTTGTCCTTGTCCTGTTTCAGGTAGTTATCCGCGTTGGTCAGGTCGGTTTTCTTGATATCCCCGACGGAATCCCACATCGTCATCTCCTCCTCGTCCGAATCGCCGCGGCGCTTTGGCCGAACTTTTTTCTCCTTCTTCTCTGCGCCATCGCCGGTCTTGTCCTTCTTCTCCTTCTTTTCCTTCTTCTCCTTGTCGGCCGCCATTTTGGAGGGAGTTTTTAGGCGATCAAAGATAGAAAGGCTCTACGTAAATTAGCAGAAAGGAATCTAAGAAGATCTTCACAAAGATACACAGGAGGTTCAGATTCTCTGATGTCAACTACACAATATCAACCAGTACTTGATGTCGCTGTAAACAAAGTATGATAGGCCTCCAAGTTAGGTAATCGGTTGAGTTTTTCTTTTCAAAAATCTGTCGTCCTCGAGCTTTGAGAACATGAGAGCCTGCATCCAGTACTTCTGTATAGGGTCTTCTTCTTTCTTTTGGATCTTCAAGGAGAGCGCGTGTAAATTTTGATCAACATGGTCAAGCTTCAGATTCTATTACCGGTGGTTTCGATGTTAATGGCATCAGGGGAACAAAATTTGTCTTCGAGGCAATAATTCTGACAGGTGCAAAGGGAGCACTCCATGTGAGGTAGCTCCCGGCTTACTAGTTTTTTCTTCAAACAAGCAAACTTTGTGAAAAGTTCCTCAATTGTGTTTCGGTTTATGAGGTAGATGCGGCCTTTGTACACACAAGCTCCTTCCGGTGCTTTTTTCTTGACATACTTCTTTTGTGCGCACACAGCGCTCCGTGGCAAACGCAAACGATAGGCATTTTGTATCTATAGAATTAAAAATTGAAAACATAAGTAGAAGAGAAATGGAAGCGCAATTACGACATATCAAATCTTTTATGACCCTCTCCTCCCAAACACCGCCCGCACCCCGGTGAATCCCCTGTGCATCATGCGCAGGGTTTCCAGTGTCTTCGGCGCGTAGTTGGTCATGTGGGGGACGATGTGGTATTTCCAGAGCAGGTTTCTCCGATTCTTTTCCTTCTCGTTCATGTACAGGTCCCACGTGTCCTGTGCACCTTTCGCCTTTGAAACGCCGGAAAGTACTTGTTTCTCGACCATCGGGAACGGTGACCTGAAGGCCTTGTTCCAAGGCTGTAGCTCCTTCGTCCCGCCTGATGTTGACTTTGACCCGCCGGTGCTATCTCCATTTGGAACAAGTTGTTGGAGTCCATCAGGGCGTTTTAGATTCAGGAAATTCTTGGGGGATAAGGTTTGGGACAAGAGACTCTTAATATTCTCTTGCACCACGGGACATAAACACCCATCCGGCATGGACTCCTCGAGCCCGGCGACGAGCATCTTGAAGCCGCCGATCCAGTGCATCGCGAGGCACTTCATGAACCCCTCGAAGGCCGGGTGCGGGTCGAACAAGTGCCGGTTGGCGACGAGCTCAAAGTAGGTTTTGGAGAAAACCACCTCGGAGAGATTGCCCTCGTACAACGCGTCGACCTCTTTCGCGATGTCCTGCTCAAGCAACCCGGGGTGGTCCTGCTCGGGCGTGATGGAATCGTTTGGATTGTCGCCGTTATTCCCCGCCTGGGCTTCCATCAACTCGAAATACTCGTCGAACGCCTTGCGGCTCGCGTTCATCAGTCTCTGCTTCACGTACTCCCGTTCGGATTCCGACACGTCTTCTCGGAAGGGAAAAACGCGAAAAATGCGCTCCGGCTTCATCAACATCCCGCCCTGCAAAAATTCATACATGCACCCGGAGATGCCAGAGGGGTAGTCGCGACCGAAAATCTCGTAGGAATTCCCGAAATCGATGATGGAAAACCTGTTTGGAGTAAAGTAGAGATGCATCGTGGGTTTAGGAGTTTGGCATGTTCTGTAAAAGCAAAAATAATTATCGCGCAAACAAGGATGAAGACCAAGATCATGATCCGAAGTCCTTTACCTTTGTAGAGCAAATGGAATCTATCATAGACAATGACAAACCCAAATCATCCGCTTTAATTTATACCTTTTGCTCTTGTCGCACCAGAACAAGTTTCCGAGATGCGGGTCGCCGTGGAAAAAGGTGTGCCGGTGCTGCTTCTCCAACGCGACGGACAGCCAGACCTCAAACGCATCCAGGTAACTGTCCACCGCGCTGTGCCAGTCGATGATTGGCGTGTTCTTTTCCTGCAAAGCTTGCTGCTCCGCGAGAAGACGGTCGAATGGGCGGCCAGGAGCCATCTCGAGGATGAGAATACCTGAGCGGGGGAAGCAATGATTTGGAAATGCTTTAGAAGTTAGAACGAAGCCATGTGCTGTAGCTGTAGTAGCTGCCACCGCACGTAACTTGTGATGTGAGAGTCCAACTGCAATTCCATGGGCCTGAAATGCAATTCGAAACCGAAACGCTAATGCTATCATAAACACATCAAACAATACCTGGGTCTCCCGGCGCAGCAGACAGCTGCCCCGGTACATTCGTACCACTATTCCCGTTCCCGTTCATCGACGAGTACCCGCTATTTATCGCCAAATTGTTCCCGTTCTTCCCATTCACCCCCTGCGGCCTGGCCAAAACCCGCGGCACCACGATGTTTTTCTGCTTTCCCTTCCCGTTGTATTTCTCGTACCCGAGCTCCAAGTACATTTGTTCCTGCTCAAAATCGCACTCATACAACGTTTTGTCCACGTAACTCTGCAATAAATACGACCTCGCCCCCGGCAATTCCTCCGTGACTTGGTACAAAACTTTCCGTTCCGCCTCCAATTTCTGGTAAACTTCGGGCCTCCGGATTTTCAGGAAGATCTCCGGGAAGGTTTTCCGGTTCAAATCCATGGAGTCATCGTCCGACTCAACTTCTAAAAACTCGTCCATCGACGTCGTCCGGCCGGGCAGAGAAGGACTAGTTTGGACTAAATGGCCGCCGTTGTTATATGCCGCGCTTTGCTTGTTTTTCGTGATCAAGACCGCGTGCTCGCCAGCGGCAATGCTCGCGTTGTAGCTGGGGACCGCTGCCATCGCGTACTCGCCGAGCGGCTCACCGGAGGGGGAGTGGAAGGCGGAAAGGTCTAAAATGACCGTTTCTTGCCCCGCATCGTATCCGTTGAACAACATTTCTTCCTCCTCTGCGGAGTAACTGTGGGAATTCGTCGTCGTTTTCAGAATCTTCGCCTGCTTCAATACCTGCCGGACTGCAACTGTCGACATGGGCTTCAATAACGATTTGAATTTCGCGAAGCTCTGCGTGACGTCAAACGGTTCGACGGTGAGTTTGGCAGTTAAGGGCGAGTGGATCTCCGGGTACTGGGTGATTTTGTACACGGAGTCTGTGATGTAGTCCCTCCTTGGACTATTACCTCCGTATTGCTGGAAAACTTTTTGTAAGACAGGGCCCGCGGCGTGAAAAATGGTCAAAAATTCGAAGTTGATCACCGATCTCAGGTTTTTCAGCAACAGTTCCGGCCGGTCCCTCACGTCCAAGACGAAGAGTTGCAAAAAATCTATCACCATCGGGATTTTCACGTCGCAGTTGATCAAATCGAAATAATTTGCGATCAGCTGTTTCAGCGCTTCCACGTTCACTTCGGGGAGTTTGCGGAAGTGCAAGTCGAGGAAATTCGGGTCGCGGACGAACGCGGAGCCGAGAAACGCAGCGAATTCCGACTGGGGGAAAAAGCACTTCACAAGTTCTTCCAATTTCAACTTTTCCACTTGCTGTCCCACGTCGGTCACCGCGGTGGATTTTTTCAACAGATTTTCGCTGTCGTTAAACGCTGTGTGCATAAACGCCGAGGTGTCCGCCGCACTCGGGTCGTGGTACCCGTTGAGAACGCCGGCGGTTGTCGCGGAGAAATTCAACATCGCTCCAGATGTGGAGCTGTTTCGCTCTCCCCGCAGCATCGCCCCGCTTTGTCTACTGGAGGGTTGGTAGTCGTAGGAGCCAGTACTGTTCGCAGCGCCAGCAGAAGAAGTTGTGCCGCCATTTCCGTAATTCGACGTTGACTTCGTGCTGTTTGGCGTGACCATGATATCGCTGGACCGCGATTTCAGCTCCTCCTTCAACGCCTGTCGAAGTTGCGTCACTGCGTCCAGTGGGAACCGGCAGAGGAAGTGCAGAAACTGCTGCTTGTTCCGTTCCTCGGGAGAAAGATTCGGATCGAGCTGCATGCTCAGCATGGCGCTGCCACTATTTCTACCCACCTGTGATGTTCCTGCAGTCGTCGATCCTCGTCGGGATTTGCCACCCCCACTTCCATGTTTTCGGCTGGAACTCGTGGCAGAGTTTGGGGCGGTGGGTATCTGTGCGCCGTAGCTGTAGCGGATATTTTGCTCCTGGACAGCGGCCCTTTCGGCGGCTTCATCCAGAGCCTCGGAGCTGCCGAAGAGATACTCTAACATAGCGAAGAACTGATTTATTATTTATCGCATATTATAATATCTGCAGCTTCAATTCATCCGGACCCGACAAATAGATTGCAATAGCGACACCCTGGCTGCCTCAGGGGTGCCGTGGCAGGAATGTCGGAAAATGTTAAAAGTAAGTACTAGTGTAGAGCACCTACTTCTACGCTCGGATAAATAATAATCAATGTACACATTGTAAATGATCTACTCACTTTGAAAATAAGGATGATAATTGCACAGCTTTGGGTCCTGCATCAGTCACAAAAATCCGGAAAAATCTCCTTCGACCACAATCACGTGAATTGGTGCACAGGAGTTTTTGCTGCACCCATGGAGGCCTCCCGGGCGGAGGTGGAAAAGCTAAAGCACGATACTACGAGGATTTTTTGCACGAACGGGACGTCTTGCGATCGAGAAGGAATGAACGATGACCGATGATTGATAAAATCTTTATGCATAGGCACACGCACACAGGTTACAAAAACGACTTCCTTGGTTATGGTACATCAACAGATAATGTTGATGCAGTAGCTCATATGATAACCGACGGCGAATGTTTTGTCGTTGCTTTTCGTACGCCGCTGATAAGACCGATCTTGATCTCCATGGTGATGGTCACATAGATAAAATTTCTACGACCGATAAATTCTACACTCTGATTCTTTTTCATCGTTACCGATGCGCTTTCGAAAAACTACGTGGCCAAAGCCAACGAATTCGAACATTACATCCACCAACTGAAGATATTCATCAGACTGTACATCATAAATCACTCTTGTGCGTGCTCTTCGTACATTTTTGTGCGTGTAGACATCAAAGACTCAAAAAATGTTATTGCCGGAGCACATGCAGTCATTTACGAAGCGCTATTTCCCTCGACATATCGAGGTTGCAACTTCGATGGAATGAGTATGACATTTACCTGGCATGATGACTAGAATGCTTTTCGAGTGTGTGGGTGTGCAAACTCATAATGATTTTCTCGCGGATTCTGCGGTCGTGGTCGCGAGTGGTTTGTGATTGTAAGAGGTAGCGGCTTTGCTTGCGACTCCAGCTGTTGCGAGACCTCCACGACCAAGACCTTCCTCAACAAGACCACAGCCACTTTTTCCTTCCTCTTGGAGGAGCGGCGTTCTTTCCTTTGCAAGTAGACAGGACGAGCCGTGGTCTTCTTTTACCTCCGACTTGGGCGGCGCACACGACACGTTTTCTGTGCTCGCCAACCACTCTTCGACGACGTGCAAGGGCCTACCCCACCAATCTGCCCCAACTTGCAAGCGGAAGCACCTCGCCACCATATCCACGAACGGCTTGCGGTCGCAATCCTCCGAGGTGTTTGCGCCAAAGTGGTCCAGCCATTTCCTTCGCATGTACACGTTTTGGCACAGCTCGTTCTTTTCCATTTCCTCCTTCGTACACGGCTCAAGCTGCAGTGTGCCATCGTGAAATCTCGTGAAAATTTTGTCCAGCAAGAGCAGCACGACCAAACGCTGCAGAGATTGGCTTATACTCTCCAGCGACGAGCGGCCGCTTTTACTCTTACTCTCAAAGCGGTCTAGCGAGGGACTGTAAAACCCAGCTACTTCTGGTTCTGGCCTTTCCTGAAACAGGCACTGCAGCGCTCCGAGCAACGCTTCCACGTTATTCGCGACGCGCTTATGCGGCTCCCGGTTCGCGTCGCGGCAAGAAACTAGCCAAATTGGGATCTTTTTCCATTCCGTTTGCAGCGGGTTCGCTGGCTTCCACTTTTGGTGTTGGCGCTCGAAGATTTCCACCCCGGCGCCGTAATGAAGAACGTCGTTGTAGTTCAAAAGCTCCACGAAATGGCCCAACCAAGACAGGCACTTCCTCACTGCACTTTCGGCGCCGCCGATCGGGAAATCGCAAGTAATGTTCTCAGGAGGAGGAGGCTGGTCACAGTTATTGTCTTCCTCATCAAGGCCCCAGGCCAGTTCGACGAGCGCGTGTTGATCCACGCGGAACAGGAGGAAATCCGCGTTCCGACTGTCAGACAGAGCCTTCAGCCGGTGGTTACGCAGGAAATTGCCCATCGGAAGAAGCATCTTCCGGACGCCATATCCTTCTTCCGCCGTTTTTTCCCGAAGGGAGCCAGGAATAAGCCCTTTCTTGTAGCCGTGTTCGCCACCTCCGATGAATTTCGCGTCGCGGAACACGTGGTCGTCAAAGTAACTCTCTTTCGTCGTGGTTTTGTCCTTGCTCACGGGCGCCGACAAACCCACGACAACCATTCCATCATCCTGCCACATAATCTCGTCGCGCGTGGCGCGCAAACACTCGCCCTGCGTTATGCACCCGAACTCGTCGAATTGCGCTGGGGAGTACTGATGTTCGTGTGGTGGCAGTAACGTTTGAAACTTCCACGATCTTTCCGTCGCGGCGGAATTTGGGAGCTTCCTGCCCTTCACCCTTTTGTGGCCCGCGACTTTCGCCATTCGCAACAGGTCCCAGGCAAGCATCCGGCACTGCTTATCGCCGATGGTCTCGCAGACTTTGTGAACGGAATGGGGCCTTTGCTCCCCGCGATTCCAGCCCTGGGGAAGGTGCGGCGCAAGGCGGTGCACGCCTCTGATGATCGCGGATTTAACCGCGGTCCGGTCGGCTTCGCTCAACCCGGTCCAGTGCGTTCTGTTTTTGAAAGGCATGGGCTTGAAATAATGGCCCGCAGAGAGCGCCGCAGGAGGTTTTTTCTCTAGCTTCTCCCTTCTCCTCCTCTCTTTCGCGGCTTTCCGGTCCTTCTCACTCAGCGTCTTTACCGTTCTTGCGCTCGTTGTACCCAGCTGCGTTGAGGTCGGCTTCGGCGTCGTGCTCTTTCTTCCCGGTAGTTGAAAAGTGATGCCGCGATTTTGCTTTTTCTCCGAGTTCTGGGAGTGCGAGTATTCGCTGTTTTCATCATCAGAGTTTGAGTGGTTTTTCTTGTCGCGCTTTACTCCTCTTGCGTCATTCGCTGCCCGGATTGGCGCTCTTGTTTGTCTTTCTTCCTTGTTGTCGAGTTTCTGTTTCGCAGCAAACTCCCCGGCGAAAAACTCTTGCAGTTTCTTCTCCTCCCTTCTCATCTTTTGCAGTTCTTCTTTCTCCCCTTCGCGATTTATCAGCTTCGCGCACAGGTACGGTTGGACGTGTCGCTTCAAATGGCGAACTCCCGAGGTCGGGCTTTGCTCTTCAGCATAGACCAACTCTTGCTTGTCTTCTATCCAACATTTGTACTTCTCGAGATACTCTGGATCCTCTTCGTAAAGGCGATTCTGGTTCGCTCGAAGTCTTTCTTTTTTCCTCTGCCTCGCAAAATGTTGCCCGTGAGCCGACTGCGGCAGAAACGGATAGCGCTCCCACAAAGATGAGCCATAGCCGAAGCTGTTGTAGGCGTAGGGAGAATTAAAAGTGCCGCCAGCAGATATTGTGTCGGAGGCGCGGATAAAAGGGCGCTGGCAGAAGTTCGTAGCCGGATGAAGCGCGGAGGATTGCATACGAAGCTCGTCGGGTTCTGCGTTTTGCCCACCGAGAGCAAGCTTTTGCAGACACGTCTCTAAAGATTCGCGAGGAAAGGCTGTATCAGCATCATGCGGATGCTGTTCTCGAGCTCCACGCCTCTTCGTACGAATGATCCGCCCCTCGTCCGGAAGATCTGGAGTCAGCAATTTGCTCGAGGATTTGTCAGCACGACCAGCTCCATGATCTGCGTCGCCGGTTCGTCCCGCACTAGAAGATGAAGAAGCTTCTAGTTGTTGGTGCAATAGCGCTTTTGGTTTTGGCACCGGCGGTTTCTCTTCTTTCTTCGTTGGCACAGGTAGAATTTTCGACGCTGCACCTTCGGCTTTCATGGCCCCACCACCTCCAGTCACTCTTTCCTCGCTTTTCGTGGCAACGGCGGCGTCAGTTTTGACTTTCGTTCGACTGCGCAAGGATGCTCTCTCTGAATGTGAATCACTGTCCTCGTCCAGGGAGCAAGAACCTGTGAGCATCGTCCTCCCTGCTCCACACACGCCCGCGGCGGCAGCATCAGGCTCAGCTCTCGCAGCCAGGTCGTCAGGAGCCAGCGGTAGATCATCCGTAGTCGCAGCTTTCGTCGTGGCGGTGTTTATGGAGAAAAAAAAGTTTGTCACAGTCACTAACTTGCAGGCTTTCGCTTTGCGTTACAAATTTTCTCAGCATCACAGACTTTTCATGTATTGCAGAAACACTAGGGAAATCCCTACCCTAATAAAGTTTGGCTGTGAAGACGCATTTTTACGCATGGCAAACAATTTTGTATATGCAAAAATGCGCATGAGTGATCTTGACGAACATTTTTCTTTGATAGTGTTGTGACTCGCTGTAGTGGCAGATTTCTCCCGATGCAAATTTTTCCAAGGCTTGAACTTGGAGCGGGTCTTGTGTCTCCCCCTGGTCGTGGGTGTGTCTGTTACGGTTTCTAGTCCTGGTCGTGGCGTTCGTGTGCCAACAGTGGGCTGCTGATGCTGCCGCGGAACCTGCATGCGGCTATGTGTGGCCCCGACGAGGGCAGGCCGCTGTACTGGCGAGCCCGAAGACTCATCCCCTTCATCTTCGCCTCTGGACAAGTAGGATGAAAGCGATTCATCCGGCAGAGTTGACGATCGTCGTGTCTTTTTCTTTCGTGCTCGTGCTCCTCTTCGTGACTGGAGATGAAGGCCCCCATCGTCTCGGAACAGCTGGTCAAGGAAGGGAAGCACTTCATCCTCTTTTTCCATTCCAGGTCTACTTCGATGGTTCACGTCGTGATCATCGCCGCCGTCGTCCTCGAGCACAGTAGAAACTGGCTTTTCATCACGTGGCAGCAACGTGAAAAATGTCGCTTGTGTATTCGACCTACAACTTTCTGTGTTCTTCTTTTGCGTAGAAGCGGTCGCCGCCTTCTGTTGATCATATCCCCGCATTATCGCCGGAACCGGTCGCGGTGAGCCCGCCTCGTCCTGGTCTTTAGAGCTATTTCCATGCGAAACTACCTTTGATGATGTTGACCCGCTACTACCGCAGGCCTCGTTGTCGATTTTCTTCTGAGTGCAGCCTCCTGCTCCTCCTCGTCCTTCACCATTCGCATGAAGATTCGCGTTTCCGTTTCCCGCCACACCACGTGTCGAAAGCAGTTTCTTCTTCGGCCGTGAAGGAGAATCGAATCCAGCAAGTCTAGCGGTGCTGGACGAGGACGACGAAAACGACGAAAACGTGGCTGACGCAGGTGCTGCAGACCTACCCTGCGATGTCTTCCTGGCTTCTGTTCGGACACGGACCAACGACTGCCGTGGTGAAAAAGGCGACGACGACGACGACGACGTTGATGAGGTGGACTCGCGACTACAGGTGCTTGTGCTTGATCCGGCGCTCGATTCACCACTACCTCTGTCACGACTCCGAGATTGGTGGCTCCTACTGTCGTGAATCAGCTGCCTCGAGGAGCGCTTCGGTGTTGATCGCGTCAACATTATATTTCAATTTGTTCCTGGACAAACTTAAAAGACAGTCATCATAGGTAAACCAAAAAAGTCAAATCTGAAGTTCTATTTCACGTTGCCTTGGTTCGTACACACTGACTTCTACCTCGCGTAAAAATAACACGGACGAAACTGCGATTGACTGAGAGCAGCCGGAACATCCACTGATGCTCTGATGAAAGACCCTCAGCATCAACTGCATCTCTTTTGTTCCACACGACAACTACTCCACAGATCCACAACCCACTCTTGTTTTATGCGTGGCATCCAGGGCCAATTATTAGTTCGATCAATTAAGTATACTATCTTCCTCTATTGGTGGTCGTGAGTCTCAACCTGAAGGATCAAAGTCTTCACCTTGCTCATCGCTGCGAGGTTCTGCATCGTGCGAGTAAATTGGACCAACTTGAATCCACCGTCGAACAGAAATTAACCCAGGGTCTGTAGTTTTGCTTGCCACGTTGTGCAGACATTGCACCTCGCTCGTCTAGAGTCAACACTGGCATACCCTGGAGGAGTTTTCAACTCAAATCGAACTCAATTTCAGAGATAAAAGGCAACATCATCAAAGAACTATTGAGTGGTAAGCTTACCGTCAAACTTTACCTGAAAATGCAAATCAGAGCGAGCAGCACGACGGAATACAAGATATTTCTATCAACATCACGAATGGATTCACACTGAAGGTAGGCGTAGCACTAGGTTGATATTACTACGATACTGAGGAAAGCGCATAGTTGAAATTAAGACCACTCGCGAGAATTTTCGTCGTGTAATCGATCACTGCATGAAGTGCTGCAACAACCATATAGTCCCTGCTGATACGACCACGGCCATACTTGAATCCTACTTCCAACTTCCATTTTTCGTTTTTTCCAAATAGTTTTTGCATTTACACTTTTCGCGAAATAAACAAGTGTTTTGATGTAATCCAACATAAACATGTTCATTTTTCAGCTAGTCTTGAAAAAAAAAGAATAAGAAAGTAAATGGTTTCAGCAAACGGAAAAAAAAAAGTTCTCTAAACACCTTAGTCTCAAACTTTTTGGTAAAGTGAAGTGAAGTGGCACAACATAGCTATAGCATCAAGAGTATTATATTGCTTCCTTGGGAATAAAAGTGAAATGATAAATAACGCACCAAATAATGCTGACGATAAGTTTCTTAGGAGTAAAAGCGCGATCTTCTTTTTCTCGGAGACTATGACTGAATGACATGCGATAGCACAAGACCACCGGCTGAGCTACTTTGGCTAAGCCCGGTGCAATGGAAAAGATCAAAGAACTAGAGCCTCCATTAGACATGCGAAAGATTTTTTTTGTCGTATGGAATGATGAGGAGCTACAAGAACTACAGCTTGCTTTTTCATCCCTCGACGTCAGTCTTTGTCGATAGTCTCCAACTGTTTTTGCAGTTCCTCGATGGCCCGGTCGATATCTTCCAGGCACGTGGATTCCTGCTGTTCCAGTTCCTTTAAGTCTTCGAAGGAAAAATCCAGTTCGTCATCAGCAGCTGCAGCTCCAGCTGCTCGATTCAACGACCCACGTGCAGCGGACGACGCTTCTTTGTTGTTCCCCCGCCCGCGGTTCAGATCCTCGCCCGGGAAGTAGTCCCAAAGGAAGTTGATATCCTTGTCAATCGACGCCCGGGCATTTTCGAACGTGCGGGCAGAGGTGAGTTTCGTTTGCTTCGAAGAAGATTTCGTATTCTGCTGAGACGACGACGGCGCGGACGAAAAGGGAATGATGTTTATTCCCTCGGAAGTACTAGTCGTAGAGGAAGCCCCCGCTGGCTGGAAAGGAGCGGCAGAACTAGTAGACTCCGCAACAGCAGGGTTCTTGGTTTTTCGCTTGTTCCGGTTTTTGTTCAGCAACAAAGCGTGCGTCTCCTCCACCATCTGCTCCATTCTCTCTAACGACATCATGCTCTTCGCCTTCCCCTGCTGCAGCAGGCGCTTCTGCTCGAGAAGCTCCTCGGAACAGAATCTCAAATTCTGATCCACTGGGTCGACTACTTCGTCCACATGTTCGGACGATCTGTAGTGTTTATTCTGAGCATTCTGTTGTGCAGCCGCCGCTACCCCTACTTCCGTCCTCGTTTTTCTCTTCTCCGATGGTGGCGTCAAAATCCGCAGCTTGTTCGATTTCGACAGTTCCCGCTCCGCATTCGCCCACGACCTGGCGGCTCTCTCGTTGCTGTGAAACAACTGGTCCGCGCTGGCGGCGCGGCTTGGTCGCTGTCTGGAAGTAGAGGTGGGACGCGATGAATTCAGTGTCGTGTTGCTGTTGGTCTGGCGAGAGAGCTGCGGTTTGGTAGGTTTGCTCGTCCTGCTTTTCACGGGTGAAAACGCTCTGCTTGTTTTTTGGAGAATTTCCTCTTCTTCTGACAGGACCTCGTCAACGATGCCCTTCGTTGTGATGTCGATCTCGTTCATCTCCTTCTCCAGCTCCTTCATTCTCTGCCGCCTTCGATCCAGTTCCAGGATCTCGTTTCTATGCGGCCCGGAGTAGCTGTAGATGGGTTCTCTCGCGGGCGCCGGGTAGAGCTTTTCCTTTTGCTTCTCCTCGTAAGGGTGCAAAAGACTATTGGTTATTTGCAAGGACGACCCACGGGCGGCACCGCGACGCACGTTCAATGCGCCGGTGCTTTTACTCCGTGGCCCAGCTGAATGCTGCTGGCCGAAAGACTTGCTCGGAGTGAGTTTGCCTTGCTTCGCTTGCTTGCTGTTTCTGCGCGGACCGAGCGTCGTCGCTGAGGAGACGCGCCTGGGATTATTTTGAGCTTTGACAACTTGAACTTCCACCACGATCATCAGACTCAGAGTCAGAATGCAAACGCTATCGTCTTTGTTTGCACTCAAGTCGTGAGTTGTACTACTCAGCACGGATTCATTCACTACCTGTATTCCTGATCGCCGAAAAAGATTGTTTCTTCTGGCTCTTCTTTCAGCTTTGCACTAGCGGCAATTTTGTCCCTTTCGTCCCGGAGATCCAAGTAGTTCGCCGCTTTGGTCTCCGCTGCTTTCATAGCAGGACCTGCTCCTATGCTAGAAGAGCGGGCCACTGCAGCGCCCCCAGATACGGCTCCTGAAACAGCAGCAGATGGCATCACCACGTGGAGTAATGGGTTTTTAGGTTTCGTAATACCCCGCGCAGCTGCAAGTCCGCCTGGCCTGGTGCTTGTTCGACCGTAGTAACTACCCGTGGCCGTGACATCCATCGCGTACAAGCCCCTTTCGCTGTCCTTGGACGCCGTTCGGGAGGTCGGCGCTCGAGTGGAGCAAGCGGTTTCTTTAGACGTGTTTACCGAAGAGGAAAGTTTCGCTTTCTGCGCGGGGGTAGAGGTTGTGGCACTAGCCGTGGTCGCGGCTGCGCCATGGCCGTACACCATGCCGGCGGGTGCGGAAGTTGCGGACATGCTGTTTCCCCAGCTTGGGCTTGCGGCGGAGGAATTGGATACGAAGCTGGATTTCGACGTTCTCGACGGCGGCTGAAAAGATGAACTCACCGTAGAACTTCGGGCTTTATTCTGTTTCTTCTTCTTTGCTGCGCTTTGCCGTGTTGTGCCTCGCGCTTTCTCCACCATGCTTCTGTTCATTACCGCTTGCGGAATCACTGCCCGTCCGAAGGCCACGTTGATGTGCTGACTTCTGGATTTCGGCATAAATTCGGACGGGGGCGGAACAAATTCGCTGGTGTCTATTGCAGCTGGCGGCAGGGTCGTCGGCGAGGAGGTTTTCGTCAGTTTTCGGGTCTTGCTCCCCGTTCTTTTGCCTAGCTTGGGGGCGGAGGCGGATCTGGTGGGTTTGGCGGAGAAGGCTGCTGGCGGAACAGTGCCGTCAATGTCCATCCCAAGTTTCGCCGCAGACTGCCGATACAAACGCTCGAAACCATCGTACTCCCGGCTGTCAGCGCGAGATCTGTGGTGGTTCGATGTGCAGGTCTCTGTGCATCAACACAAATAACCCATACGATTGTTCTCTCTTTCATGATTCGCAGTCTGTGTCTGCTGCTGCCGCATGAAGACAAAAAGCTATTATACAACTCAACATCCATTCTACCAATACCTGACTGGCAGTTGATAGGTCGTGTCGCTCCCAGCGGCACCTCCACCGCTCCCCCTCCTCACTGGCGGCCTTGCGACGTCCACGACCGAACTCGACGTCCTTGACCGCAAATGCAGGGGAACGCGTCTCCCCTGTCGGCATTCGCGGAGAAAATTCTCGGCAGATAGCAGAGCCTCCTCCGCCACCGCGAGGTCAATGGGGGTGGAGACCTTTTTCTTCTTTAGCGGTTTATTCCGCGCTCCTCCTGCAGAACTTCCTGCTGCAGATTTCGACTTGGTAGCTTTTTTCTTCTTCTTTTTCGTGCTGGTTCCGGCAGTTCCAGTGGTGGCGTTGGAAGACGAAGCAACGGAAGACTTGGACGCGGAATTCATTTTTTCCTGCTGCAGGTCGCCCCGAAGCGAAACGGAGTCCGGTAACGGCGAAGACGCGAGAGAGGTTGTGCCCGGGGAGGACACAAGGGTCTGGTTTGTTTTGGATAGGAAATGCATTTTTTCGATTCTCACTGTTCGCATCCGTATCATGGATGCCCACGAATGTATAGAATCCAAATCAAGTAGATTCTGGTCCGAAAGAAAAACGTAGAAACAAGACTTACCCTCCTAGGCGGTCTGGACGAAGAAGCGGCATGCGAATTCCCAGCCCCTCCTCCTCCACTCGCGGCCACCGCTCCCGCACTCGGTACACGCGCCGCGGGCTGAAACGGCTTGGGTACCATCAGCATCGCGGCCGCCTTGCTCGTGGCGATGGCCCTGGCCGGAGGGCCTTTGCTGGACACAGCTACGCTGATCGGGCGCATCGGCACCGAGGTGGTCTGTAGTTCCGGCTGCAGGTGGGAACCTTGTTGATGGGGGGAAATTTCTGGCGCAGTGGTCAAGCATTTCATTTCATTTTTCATTTCCTCCAGAGCTGTCGCCGAATATAATTATCGATCACACCGCTCTTATACCAAGCTGCACCCCCGCTCGATTTCCGATGTCGTACCCTATTTTCTTGCAAGACACTGCAGAACTCGGCGGAATCGGGGTGATTCTCTGCGCCGCCGCAGCTCCAACAGAACTCATTTGCACAAAGTGCATTTTCGTCTCGTGCTGAACTTGATTAATGTGCTGCGAAGAGGGCGCCGTCGATGGTCGAGAGAAAATGCCACCATCTTGCGCTTCAGTTTGCTGAAACGAGTAGGGCGGGAGAGCAGTACCAGTAGCCGAGCTGCTTTGCTGACTTTGACTTTTCTTCTGGTATTGCGGCTCCTTTTCCGGCGGATACACTAGCCCTCTGTAGTCCTCTTCAACACTGTTCGGGCTGGTACCGTGCTCGTACACGTAGACCTCTTCTTCGTCTATCACATCGTACTTCGGCAGTTCCCGTTTCATCGCGTTGGCATTTAAAGCTGACCCACCTGACGCAAGAACTTTGCTCCCCGGAAGCGACGGTGGGCGTACTTCGGACGCAGCAGATTGCTGCGGCGCTGCAGCTTTCGTACTATTCTGAACCTCGTGGTCCAACACCTCGGGGGACGTGGGGACGTTTCGCGAAGTAGAACTGGAGCTCGAGCTAGGAAGGGAGAACTTCACCTGATAGCGATAAAGTAGAAGTACACGACCATGCTGCAATTTATATATAATAAACTTGTGGTGCTAGAAGTAAAGCAACAGCAAAGCTTAAGCTGCTTGGAATCATGACATATGACAATCACAATTCGAATTCTCGATTTCATCTCTATGCACGACAAACAGAACTCCGCGTTATCCGACGCAACTATACCTTCGCAAAGTTGTTTCCCCGGGAAGGCGACACTTGGAAAAGCAGCTCCGGCGGCAAATCGTCCGCGGGCATTTTGTTGGCTAATGGCCCAACCGGACTCCTCGCTTCCAGCTCATCCATACTACGGCTGAGCAGCTCTTCAATGAGAGAGCGATTTCTTTCCCCGGTGGTGAGTGCCTGATTATGATTTCTTTGTCATGAGCAAGTCAGAACTTCGTAAGAATTCAGGAAAGACACATGAGTGTAGAGAATTCTAGGCGTGGACGACTCAATGCAATTGCAATGCCAAGAGCAAGAATCTGGTTCTGGGGAAATAAACGTTTTTAGAAGTTGTACCGGGTGCAGATCAGACATGATGGAGTGATTCCCCGCCCCGCCTTCTATGGCGCTGGCATCACAGAGCTCCGAGGCCAGCTCTTGCAGGCTCCGCATCTTTTTCGCAAAATCCGCTTCGGACATAAATTTTCCCGTTGATATACCACCAGCACCGGCCGGGTTGCTTGTCGTTGTAACACTTGTTCCTCCACCAGCACTTCCTTTCATTTTTCCCCCACCACTGCTCGTCGCATGGGCAGCACGGGAAGCTGCCCCAGCCGGTCGCGTGCTGGAAGCAGCTGGCGCTGCGCCTCCGTGTGGGTTCGTCACCACGCGGGTGGCGGGTGCAAGGCGGATCTCTGGCATAGTTTTTATTTCGAAGAAATACAACTTAACTTGTCATGAAGTGAGGTGAATAAAGATAAACTCACCCGGAATATCAAAATATAGTCATCGACATCGTTCAATAATCAGTGGCGGGATAATGATCTTCGCACTTAGCATGACTAAGAACAACTACACACTTAGTATCCTTTCCTTGCCACATAGAGAAACTGAGGGCAAACACTAGCATCAAGATCTTAAAATCAAGGCCACGAAGCCAGAAACTCGTTAACGTTTGCCACCCACACAGAAATAATGCTCTCAATTCTTGGACCAGTTTGCTTCCCTCAGACAGACACACTGGAAGACGACACGGACACGGGAAATAACGTGAAACACAAAACAAAGAATAACGATGCGACTACAATGACCAAGAGGAAAAGCCACAACCAAGAAACTGCCCGGGGCAAGAACATACGCCATACTGCGAACAGAATCTGCTGTGTGTAGATTTTTTCATCCTTGTCACTTCTTCATTTACCATATGAAGCTGGTCGCGCGCATGCGACACTCCATCGCGATTATTCCTGTTGAAAATTCTTGAAGCAGTCTTGCCTAGCTTGCTTCACAACGATGTACGTAAATGAGAATGTAGGTGATTTGCTTTTTTTTGTGTAGGAATTGACTTCAATATCTCAGAAAGGTTTTCTGTAGATGGCTTCAAATAATTTCAGAAAGATTTTCTATCCATGACTTCAAGTTTCAGAAAGAAAGGCTTTGTAGATCGAGATATGATTTCCATTTCCTTTTGTTCGACAAAATCAAGGAGTGATAGTGAGACTGAGGGCACTAGTCCTACTGCTTATCCAAAAAAACCTGCTCTGCAGTTATACTATCGCAAAAGTTGTTTCTTCGTTTCCTGTCGCAGTTTTATCGCCTCTGCGTGTTCCCGCACGATCTCCTCTTCGACAGAGTTCAGGGTCAGAAACCGCCACACGTGAATCTCCTTCGCCTTCTGCCCGTACCGCCGAATCCGCCCGATCGCCTGTAACTCGAAGGAAATGGCTTTATCGACCGTTGTCGCGTTCATGGGGTGGACGAGGAGGCAGTGGTGGCAGACTTCCGCTAGATTCGTGCCTGCAGCGGAAGTCTCAAGGGAAAGCAGAAGGATGTTGGTGGACTTCGGACCTTTAATATTGCCCGTAGTGGAGGACTTCGCTAGTCCTGCTGCGGATTTACTAGTAGTATCCTTGCTGTCTGGAGGTCGTGCAGTGGCAGTACTCATGTTCTTGAACTCCGACAGTTTCTTGTTTTGCGCGATTGCGTCCCCGGTCAAGGTTCCGTAATTGAACCCGTATTTTTCCAAGCAGCTCCCAATTTTGGTCATCAAATTCTTCCACTGACAAAACAAAATCACCTTCGCGCCCGGTTCCGTCTCCTCAATGTGCAGTAGAACCTGGCAAATAGCCTGGATTTTCGACCCGAACTCCGCGTGCTTTTCCGGATCCCGGATCTTTTCCGAAATCAAATCGTTGTCGTACTTCTGCACTTGGTAGGAACTGGTAGTAGGTTGCTGAAGATCCGCAGAAGTGGCACCTGCTACTGCAGCACCAGAAGCAGAGGATGAGTTCGCAGCCGCAAAAGCGCCTCCGTTTTGATGTTCACTTGTCGGCTTGCCTGGTTTCGATTTCATTTTCGCCTTCATCTGCTCTAATTGCAAGTTTTCGTCGCGCAGCTGGTCGATCTTCTGCTGCTCGTTCTTCGCTTCGATCTTCACGCCCGCAGACTTCATTTCCAGGGCCAGCGAGTAGATGTCTTTGGATCCGCGGAGGGGTTTGCGGCAAAGGGCGCACTGGTTGTGCTCGGCCCGCATCTGTCGGTGCACACACTCGACGCAGAAAACCTTAATTTTTGTGTTGGAAAGATTTTTCGTTGTACTTAGACGCGCTGCATGGCATCGTTGTAGCAGTGCACGCATATTTTTTGTTGAACACTTTTTCCATTTCCGTCCACTAGAACTACTTCTACCCAAGACAAACCAAAGAAAAAAGCAATACATGTCCGCAGCTGGTTATCGACAGGCTGCTCACCGGGAGCTGGTCTTCCAAGCAAAGCACGCACTTTCGACCTGATAGGTTTTTGGACTCCGACTCGTCGATTTGTTTTTTTCATAGATAGTAATACTCCCACAAAAATCAGTTTTGTCAACACGCAGGATGTGACGAATCCATCTAAATTTGAGCTATCGCTAGTCGTTAGCGATGTTAGTAAGTAGCTCGGAGAAGTTGTAGCAAACAAGATGTATCAAATCCATACCATCATCATCGTCGTCCTCCGGTTTCTCTTGCTGCTCCCCTCCGTCTTTGTTTCCGTAAATCTGCAGCGTTTTCCTGAAAAAGGCAAACACGTTCACAACCTCCCTCAACGCGCTGAACTGCGAGAGAAACTCGCTGATCGTTTTCTCCTTCAGCCGCTCCAGTTGCACCCCTAGCTCCTGCTGCTTTTTCCTCCCTTTCGCATTGGCATCGACTTCGCCCTGCTTTAGCGGTGCCGGGGGCTGGTAGCGGAGAAAGGAAACGGCGTTTTCTGCTTTGTTGTTCTCTGCTTTTGCAGAAGACACGGCTTTTGATGATGATGATGAGCTAGAATTATTTGTTGAAAGAGGTATTTTGTTCATCGTCAACTGTTGCAGCTCTTCGTATTGCTTGTTCTCTTTCAGGTCGAATTCTTTCAAAACCTTCTTCTTCTCCTTTTCCGGAAGACTTTCGAAAAATTTCGGGTGAAATTTCGCCCTGGAAACCTTCTCGTGCTGTTCCCGCTCATGGTCCCACTTTTGCTGTATTTTCTGGATTTTCTTTAAATTATCAGCTGTTGGAAAGAAGCTGGACAACACGTTTTGCCAATCGTAGCTATTGTTCTTGTTCCCGTCCGCCCACTTGATGTTCATGGATGAACTCGACTCCATGTTGAACAGTTTCTGCACCGCTTCCCTCGTCAACCCGCTTTTCTCCTCGTTGTTGATCATTGCAAGAAACGAATAAGCCTGAAACGGGAAGTCCGCAAACGTCTTCGCCAACCTCCGCTTCTTCTCGGCATCCTGCTGCTTTTTCCGCTTCATTTCCTCGAGATCGACGTCCTTGCTGTTCACCCGTTTCGGAAATTTCTGCGAAGCCGTAAGTGGAGCAGCTCTGGTGCTGTTCGCACTCGCGACATAGCTTTTGTCTTTCTTTCTCAATCTTGGATTTTTAATTCCGTCAAGGTCGTCGAAGTCAACATCAAGATCCCCGGCGTCATTTAAAACCGCATCTAATTCGTTTATTGCCAGCTCGTCCACAATCGGCGGGCACACGAGGTCTAGGCCCAGTTCCTGCTGTTCCGCGTTAGAAGTTTTGCCCTCGGGCGAGGAAGCTGCGCCAGCTCCTTCTTTGTGAGAGACAGAGGATTTAGTCTGGTTGTTTCTTGCATTCGCAGAAGAGCTACTCGCAACGGCCCCTTGTGCACCACCAGCATTGGAAATTTTCTTCATTGCCGCCACAAAAGTTGCAGAACCTCCCTTCTTGTCTGACAAATTCTTCATCTTCGCCTGCTGCTGCCGCACGTAAGACGCGGCGGTTTGCGACACGGGGTCTAGAACCTTCGAAAAGCCCTTTCTCCTCTCCTCCGGGTCGCTGTTCGAAATCGCCTTTAAAACGGCGAGTCTCCTACAAACTCCCTTGATCTGCGTGACAGCCTGTTTCACCGCGGACAGCTTTCGCTCGAAAATCCGGCTGCACTCCGCTCCGGTCGAGCTCCCCTCGCCCCCTAGAGTGTGGTGGCTGCAAAGCTGAAGCAGCTTTGCCCGCTTCTCCAAGGCCGTGTCAGAGGCTGAAGATAAAGCATTGTTTCTGGAGCTACCGCTCAGGGGTGCACCAAATGGATCAGCAGGTGGTCCTCGTGCGGTACCAGTGAACGTCGAGCTTCCAGCAGCTCCACCTGGCTCCTCCGTAGAGCTGGTACTCGCACTTTGGTAGTTCATCGCGTTCGCTTGCGCGAGGTAAATTGCGCGCTCCTCTGCGGTGTGGGAGACCGCGATCCAGTGTTCTTTTGTCACGATTTTGTCCGCGTCGGTCACGGCGGAATTTTGGCGGACGAACCTTTGCAGGAATTTCTCGCAGTTTTCCCTAAAAACTTTCGACCGGTCCCACGGGTGACACTCCTGCAGGTATTTCAGCCGCTGCTTCGCAAACGCGTTTCGGCTGGCCGTGAAGTAGCAGTCCCGCACATTCGCGCAAAACCCCTTACTGACGTTCTGCACGTGGTGGCTGTAAGCGCCAACGGTGTTTTGGTTTTCCGTGAAGCCCTCCTGCAGTCGCGCGCCGTAGACCCCGAAGGGCTCAATCTGGAACGTCGCGGGTTCGCTGCCGTTGTTCCCCCCGCGGCCTCCTCCGTGCCTGTTGTTCCGCCGCCGGGCTTCGCCGTACAGAAAGCTGTCTTCGCTTGGCGTGTAGTCCGACATGGTCAAATCATCGGAAAACCCTTCGTCGTCCTCATCCCCGTCCCGGTCAAAGTCGGTGTCGAGCTCCGATCGCATGTCGTTGTGATTCACGTTGCTGGTCGTGTGCTCCGACTGGAAGGAACTGTCAGGCGAGGATTGCATCAGAACATCTTCTTGCACTTCTTCGCCCAGCAGAAGGTCTCCGGGGAGTTCCGGCTGGTGAATATAGTCATCATCGTCCTCCTCCGGGGGGAGCAAAGTTTCCACTGCACCGGCGTTCGCAGTGGTGGTGTGTAGAGCTCTAGCTGTACTCGCAGACGATCCACCGGCTTGTGCTTGTTGATTATTTGCAGTGCCTCCACTTCTAGCCGCGTTGTTCGCATTGTTGGCAATCAGCCCAGCCTGGCGCAGCACCGCGTTGCTTGTCGCCCCCCGGATTGGCGCCGCTGAGCCCGCACGTGCTCGATTTATGCCACTGTGGTCACCGTTCGCCCTGCCGTGGTTCAGCTGATTGAGCAATTTCCCATTCCCGCCAGCAATGAAGAGATCCGCGGTGTGGTTGTGCGTGCCGCAGTGCTGACAGATAAACGCCAGCTTCGTACTGGGTTCGTGCGACTGCGGAAGAACCAAAGAATTATTTTCCGCAAACTTCACACTCTTCACCGTGAGAGATCTTCCATCTGGCACGTTCCCGGAGACGTAGGGCTCTAGACAGCAGTTGCACTTCCACTCGGTCATCGGCAACAAATCGTACTCATACTGCCTATGATCGTTGGATCCTCTCCGCCCGCCGTCCGGTTTCGCCGACTTCTGACCGCGTTTGAAGTTAAAGTTTGGGCAACTCACCCCAAGCGGATCCATCACTGCGGACAAGCCAGAGCGGGGGTCTTTGAGGTCGGCTCTCATCGCTAAGCGGTGGAGCCGGTCCGCGTACTCGGCTTCCACTTGGGACACGCCACAGAGGTCGACACCAAATAGCGACGCGGTGGCGGCGACATTCCGAACCGAGTCGACTTGCGGCGTGCCGGTTAGCCCGAATTTGCTGAAAGCCTTCAGGTTCAGAAGCGAGGAGACCTGCTTGTCTTCAAACGCCTCCAGCTCGTGGAACTCGTCGAAAACAATCCTGCGGAAGTAAAATTGCTCCAGTAACGGGAACAGCAGTAGCCGGTATTTGTCGTTTTTTATCGAAGAAGATGAAGAACTAGAACTACTTCCGCCGGCAGAGGAAGATTTCTTTGGATACACACTGTCCATGATAGTCCGGCTCTTCGACGCCGGTGGCACAACAGAATTTCCGAACAACTGACTGGCCTGCGACGCGGCTGCAGACGGCTTTGACCGCCCGCGCTTCATTACCCCCGGCTTAGACTTGCTGGCGTCGGCGTCGACAAGGATGTTGGTGCTGTCAACATCCATCATGTCGCTACCTGTCGTGCCACTACCTCGTCCAGGTACGGAAGAGGTTTTTGCGTTGGTCTTTTGATCATTCTGTTCTTTGTCTTCCTCCGCAACCTCATCCAAATCCACCAAAACGTCCTCCTTTACCTTTTCCTTCAGCGCCCAGGGTTTAAACCTGACCGGGAGTTTTGAATGCGTGCTACTCATGAAGACTCGCGTGTTCTCCCGTAGTTTCGTAATGTACTCGTGTTGGTGGAGTTGGAAGTCCGTGTCGTCTTTTTTTTCCTCCTTTTTCTTCTTCTTCGGTTTAGGTCTACGAATACCAAAGACATCGACCTCGTAGTCCATATCATCATCCGAAGGCGATCCGGTTAAGTCGTCGTCTTCAAAGTCGTCGTTGTAGTACGGCCGATATCCCAGTGAGTTGTGGAATCGGCCCAACCTCTGATCCGCCTTTTTTCGCCGGGCTTGCTGCTCTTTTTCCAGCTTTTTCTGCTCTTTTTCCTTCTCCTTTTTTTTCTTCTCCTCGAGTTTTTCCTCTTTTAATTTGTCGTCGCCTAATCCGGACAGTTCTTCGAAACGCGACTGGTGGACGGAGCTGTATAAAACCCGGTACGTCACGAGAATTACGTCGTACTGCTGCAGATCGTACACTGTCCGGATCTTCAAGGGGGAGATGTTCTTGCAAACCAGGATATGCAATACAAATTTCCCGTACAACATGTACAAGATGCATCACAAATTTCACCAATTTGGAGCGTCAGATTTGTCATGCTTAACTAGGATCGAAGCCAAGTTTTGTCATACAGAGACCGCATTTGTACGAGTACGTCTACGTGTACGGGAAATTTACTGTGGATACAGGATCTTCAGCTTGTTGTTCGGCAGGAATTTTTCGATCTCGGTGCTCCACTGGTCGATGAGGTGGGAGGGGACGAGAATCAAGGTGGTCTTCGGGGCTGGGAAAAGACCGGCGGATTCGTGAGTAGAAGTCGAAGGAGAGGAACGATTTGTACTAGAACTGCTGTTCGTCCACAGCATCTCTTCCTCTGAAGCCGAGGAGAAAGGACCACCGTGCGCGGAGGAACTGCTGGAGCTCGACACAAAGCCTCGTCCTGATGCGAGATTTTGTTCACTCGCGTTTGATGTTCCAGCGGCTGCACCGTCTTCCCTTAGCAAGATCTTGCACATTTTCGCGAAGGTCAGCTGCTTTTTCTCTTCTTTGCCTCCTCGCTTAGTTTCGTTAGCATCCTGCTGCTCAACGGTTGACTTATCTCCGGCTGCGCTACTCGCGCTCGCCGAACTGCTGCGTTCCTGAGTAGGAAGCTCGTCTTGCTCAGGAGCCGCGGTTTTCATTCCTTGTTTCTCTTTCTTCATTGCCTGCTGCTTCGTGCCTCCTTTGTTGTCCTTCTTCATAACATTCGTGCTAGAAGAGCCAGCTGCTTCTGCTGCAACTGCCTTTGCTGCAGCTTTCTTGCCCTTCTTGCTAGTGTCCTGCTTCTCGTCCTCGTCGACTTTTCGCTTCTTCAAAGGCGGCCTGCTTGCATTTTTCGTTTTCACATTGTCGTCCGCCAGCAGGTCGTCTTCTTCGTCTTCGATTTCATCCTGGTCCTCCGCTTCTGAGTTTTCTGCCGAGGAGTTGGAGAATTGTTGTTGGTTCAGCTTCAGATCCCGCTCGCTCTCCAACTGAAACCGGTCTTCCTTCGACAACTTTCGTTCCATCACTGTAGTTGAAGAAGCTCCTCCTGCGTAATTGTCTTCTGTGTCTCTGTTCGCCAAACGCAGCCAATTTTTGATCAATCCCAAGTCCATCGCCTTGGAACTTGCCAACAAGCCAATACACGTCGCGGTCTTTCCGAAGCCAATTTTGTCCGCCAGAATACCGCCGCGATTGTTGTAATTCGCCGTCATGTTGAATTCCAAAGACCACGTGGCCTGCGACAAAGGGCAATTTTTGATCGCCTTGTACTCCGCAACACGGCGGTGAAAGGAGTCGCTCGGATCGTGTCTGTGCGAGCCTTCCAGTCTTCCGCTGTACGGCTGGTGTCCCTGGAATCCTCTTTTCGCAGGAAGATACCGCTTGTACTCCACTTGCAAGTAGTCGCTGTCGTGCTCCCGTTTCTGCATCCAATAGAGGGAGCGGAGTTGCTCCGGGCGGAGCGGGTGGTGCCTCGACCAACCGGGGGGCATTTCGCCGGTTGGGTCGTTGTCGTTATTCATGATTTCAAACCGCTGGAAGTCCTTGGTCTGACTTTGACTGTGGAGGTCCTTCTCACTGTTATTTTTCTTGTTCTTTTTCTTCATCGCATTAGTTCTGGTGTTCAGAGGACCTCCGGTCAAGCCGAGCAGGCCCTTGTTGTCTTTTGACGATGATTTCATGGCTTTACTTGATGCGCTCGCGCCTCCTGCCCCCGTCGTTCCGGCGAGAAGTTGGTCCTGCTTCTTTTTCATCTCCAAGATCGTTTTCCGGTCGATCACATAGTCCCTGCTCGGCGGCCGGCAGCTGTTCCAAATCGCGACGCCAGCCTCCAGCTTCGCGGGGGCAAACCGGATTCTTTCGAGAAAAAAGCGCTGAAAGATCCGGCCGAATTCCACTCTAATTTGCCACTGCACGTGCTGCTCGCGAAGAAAGTTGCACTCCTTCAAGAAGTTAACTTTTTGTGCGTTCACAACGTCCAGCACCAATTTTAACGAAGTGCCGGTAAGGTCCTGATCACCAGTGTCGGCCTTCTCCTTATTTGCAGAAGCTCCGGCTGTTCCCGCTTTGCCTCCAGTAGTCGCAACTTTTTTCATCGCTGCTTTCGCTTTTGGTGCGGCTTTTGCTTTCGCTTTGCTCTTCGCGGCCGGTCCAGTTTTTGCTTTTGCAGCAGCTCCAGATGGTTTGCCATTTTCTGGCTTAGATGCAGTCTGCGTTTTGACAAAACGCAGTACATCGTCCTCCAGAGCGGCCTTCTCTTTTTCCTTCGCCAGCCCGTTACAACCGGCGAGCATCCGCTTGTAGACGCGATCAATGGCGCTGGCTGCTTCCTGGGTGTTTGTGACATCCACAGCACCCCCGCCAAGGCCCGCCGGGTTGTCCTTTTGCTTCTGCAGGGTGGTTAGTGTCGGTACTAACAAATGTCGTTCCGTATTGATCACCTTAATGTCGATCGGAACGACGCCCAGTAACGAATTGTGCGCCTGCTCCGTGTTGTTCTCAATGCTTCCCTTCCCATGGGGTTGGTAACTTGACAAGAAAGAAAAATTGCTGGCGGAGTGATCGGACTTGACGAACCGCGGCACGCAGTCGTCCAGCCGGTTGTCGCGGATCAACAGGCGGTCCATCAATTCCAGACGATTCATCGCCGGGTTAGCCCCCTCGTGGGCTCCGAGACCGTCTTTTCCCAGGCCAAACACCGGGTTGAATTTGGTTTTGTCCAACGAGAGCGTCGCGTCCGGGTTTTCTACCGCGACCGCCATTTTCTGCAGAAAGTCGTCCCGGAGAAAGTTGACTTCGTCGTTGATCCCCTCATTCAAGTGCATGCAGTGGATGTCGGAGTAGAACCGAAGGTGCAGCCACTGGAACCGTATGCAATGCAAATTTCCCGCACATGTACAAAATGCATGACAAATTTCGCTAACTTGCAGTGTCCAACTTGTCATGCTAGACTAGGACTGAAGGCAAATTTTGTCATGCAGAGACTGCATTTGTACGTGTACGGGAAATTTACTGTGGATAAACCGGGTCACCGGCCGGTCCTCGTTTTGCGACTTCCACCCCGTTATCAAATGCAAAAATGTCTGGGTCTGGAACAAAGAAACTTGTCATGCTAAATCTCAATCACGTACGAAGTCTGTGTTGCATGATTACCAAAAGCTGTCCACTTTTGACCTCATCGAGAGGCAGTTTCTCATGCAGGATAGGCATGATATAACTCTCACGGAGTCTGTCATGCTATGCCCTACATACCAGACCGCTTGGGTCATGGAAAACCTGCATGACAAGTCTGGCAGTTTTCAAAGACCCAGACATTTTTACATTTGATACCCGTGCTCAAGTGCGCACAGTGCGCCTGTTCCCACTGCGCCTTGCGCTGCGCTTCCGCCCGTTGCCGATGGTGGAAATTCATGAGCCCGATCTTCCGCTTGTCCATGCTGAAGATGCTCGGCGGCAAAGGGGCATTCTCCTGTTCCAGACGCGACGGGCCAATCAGCAGCTTCTGGCCTTGGGTCGCGAACACGTCGGTCAAGTCCGTCTTGTCCTGACCAACGAGGAAGCAGGGGTTCTGTTCCAGGGCGAGAGCGGTCAAATTAGTCGGGATCGAGAAGTCTTGCTGGTGGTCGGGTTGATGTTCTGACTTCTGATTTTCGTTGTCGCCTAAATCGCGCTTCGATTTTCTTCCATTTTTTTCTGCTGTTTTATTATTTCCGCCGACGTCCTTCTCGTGGTCCTTCTCCATCTCTTTGGTGGATTTCATGCTCTTTGCTCGACCTCCTGCAGCTGTGGAAGTTCCGATTGACGGTGCGTTTTTCAACAGTAATTCCGTGATATCCACCGGAAACCGCTGCTGAAAGGTCGCAGAAGATTGCGAAGTAGAACTCGTCTCTTGTAAGAACGAAGGCCTGATGTTGTCCAAGGAGGACGTCGCCTTGTGCTTCTTCATCGTCTCTCCCATTACGTTTTTGAAAGCGTTGGCAAAGAAGGGATTCTTGCTCACCACGGTATCGTCAAAAGCACTGCTGCAATTGTTTGCTTTACCGACTACCTGAGAGGCGGCGTCACCCGCGGCTTCACCGCCTGCAAGAGAATCAGTCGCGGCTCTCTTCGTCGCGCCCGAGCACAATTCCTGCAACGGCATCAGACTCGGTGTGCAGTTCGCCACCGAATCCGGCCGGATTACCCGCGCGTGTGTTTTGTTCATGTCGGTTTTGTGTTTCGTGTTTGAGGGCTGCGGAGTGCCGGACGCCATTAAATCGACCACAACGAAATCGGAGCCGGTTGCTGGTGTCTCCTTCACATACAACTCCATCTTGCTAGAAGTTGAAGTCGCATCTTCTACGCCACCATCTTCCTTTTCCTTATCTTCCTTCCCGTCCGTGATCGTTAACTGACTAACACCTTGTCCTGCTCCTGCTTTTTTTCCCACCGCGCTCCCTCGGATCGGTAAAGTTTTGTGCACCTGGTTGTAGGTGGCGGCGAATAGATCCTTGACCGCCTTGCAGCAGTCGTTGGTCGCCCCGGGGAATTTGAAAAAGCTGGGCAGATCGATGACAAAGTTCGCGAGGTTTTGCAGCATGTCATTCGTCATCTCCACGTTCAGCGGTGAGCCCTGGTCCCAGTCCGACCCGGACACGTTGCCGTAATTCAGAGATTTGTAAAGATTTTCCACGTCGGTCAGGAAGGAGAGCTCCTTGTGAAAGTGCGAAGTGGGGTGCTGTCGAGGTGCAACTATGGTGCTGTCAAGCGATTTCAACATCTGGAACTTCTGATCCGTGGTCCTTGCGTGATTCATCGCGTTGCTATTTATTTCCTCAAAATCCACATCCATGTCGTTACTTTCACCTGCAGGACCGGTTGCTTGTTCCCCGGTAGTCGCCATCGGTTCTTGGCCTCTGGGATGAGCGTCAAATCCTGGAATCTGCGGGGCCAAATGTCCGCTCGCGGGAAGATTTTTCGTCTGCGACGCCAGCAAAATTGGTTCCAACAACTCACAGAACTTCAACAAGTCGACGTTGTCTTTCGTCCCGAAATCGTCCGTCATCAGCATTATCAACATCCCGACCATCGCACGAAGCACTTTCTGCCTCACTTCAAAAACCTCTCGATTTTGAGGTAGCGAGAAGATCTTGTCGCGCAGCAAATTGTAGTCGTGGAGAGGAAGGGGAGGTGGCAGGGAAGCAGCTGCAGCAGCAGTGGCGGATGACCGGAAAGTTGTACCATACACATCTAGATCTTCTACTTCTGCGTGGTCAACATCACTACCGTTGGTGACGTCATTCTGCTCCGACGCACGCCACGACGCTAGGATCTGCTCGTAGTTTTCCACAACCTCCTCCACAATACCGTGCTCCACCAGTCTGGCAATGCAGTGGTCCAGCGCGAACCAGACCTTGCAGAAGACCATTTTGCTACTGAGCGGCTTGTCCGCCACCCCAAAATTTGCCGGGTTGCTGTCCCCCTCCAGAATGGTGGCCGCCGTGTCCTTCATAAGGTCCTCCATCTTGAACTCCCTGTCTTTATTGGAATACTGCAAGCTGTGCTGCCACCGCGGAGAGGGCATGGTGTGGTGTAACCTCACGAAGTCGCCGGTGCCGAGGAAGTTCTCGTTGATGTAGCAGTTGTCCAGTTTCACCGCTTTGCTCATCTTCGGCGCATTGAAAGGCGTGTGGTGGTTATGGTGTTTCGACGGCGCAGCCTTTGAAGATGCTCCTGAGGTGTTTTTGCTACTACTTTTTTGCTCAGCACCATCTTTCTTGCCGTCCGCTGCAAAGTTCGGCTTGTTCAGAATGTGCGAGCTGGTAGTCAGAATGCTCTTCTCTGTCGTTTTCAACATGCTGGCCATATCCCGGCGGGTTAGCGCGGGGAACTTCACGATGTCGTCCGGCTGCGCCAGCCAGGAGCTCACTGCCTCGTAGTAAACGACCTCAGAGGACGCGAAATAACTGGATTCATGCGGGTAAGCGTGGATAGCGACCTCTCTAGTAGTTGCAGTTGTGCTGCCCGCCGGCGCTGTTGCAGAAGAAGTTAATATGTTGTCTCCAAAAGTTGCCCTGTTTTCCTCGTCCTCGTCGCGCACGACCACCTGTTCAATGTCAGAGATCAAGCAGGTAGTTTTATTGTTGTGACCAGAAGGCGTTATCTGCTGCTTGAACAGCTTCGAACTTTTCCCGTTTTTACTGCCGTTTCTGCTCTTGTCTTTCTTCTCGCTTTCCGCCCGCTTGTGCTTTTTCGCGGGCGAGTTCTGCTTCTTGTTTATGTTTTTGCCCTGCATATTATTTGGCACGCGCTTCATCGCCACAACGCTTTGCCAATTGGCCACTCGCTTGTACACATGCTTTTGGCCCGCCCGGACGCCGGCCAGAAAGCTGAGAGGCCGGGGTTTGCTACTCTCCTCTTCCTCGTTATCGGTATCCCGATCCTCCGCATCCTCGTCCTCAATATCGGAGTTTTCGGACCGTTTCTCACCAACAGCATTATGCTCCTTGTCCTTGCCAGCACCGCGATGAAGCAGCTTTCCAGTTTGGAAAGGATGATCCGACGATTTGATGTTCTGCCTCTTTTCATACTCAACTTCCATTTCCCTATCCCGTTGCCTTCTTTTCTTCTCTTCCGCTTCCCTCTCCCTCCGGTGCAGGTTGTTGACCAAGTCAAATTCCCTCAGATCAGCGTGCGGGCAGTGTGTGCGGAACAGAAAAGGATCAACGCCCGTCTGGTTGCAATCCACGTCGTTAGTGGGCTCGCATTGCTGAATCTGCATGACCGCCTGCTTCAAAAGGGATTTGTTCTTCTGGAGGTGCATTTTTCTGCTGCTCCTACTAGCACCAGTAGTGGGTTCTTGTCCACCATCACTTTGGCAGGAATTCTGCTCCCGTTCTTGCAACATGCGCTCGAGCACGTTCAGCATCGGAGCGGTGTAGATGTCCGAGGCTGCTGTTGACGGTGGTCGTCGCTCGCTCGCCCGATTCTTCTCGTTCTTCAGAGAGCATTCGTAGACGAACCGCAACTGCTCGATGTATTGCCTTGTTGAAGGACTCAAATCTCGCACGGATTCGTAGCGGGCGGGAGTTATTCCTTTATTTTCCTGCAGCATATTGTTCAATTTTGCAGGAGCCTTGCTGCTAGAAGACAAAGAGGAACCGACAGCTTGGTTCGTGCTGGTGTTTATAGTTCCGCACTGTTCATCCGCAAATCCGAACTTCTCTAGCTTCTGCTCCATCTCCGACAAAGCTTCCCTTAGTTTCCCCTTCACGTCCCCAGCACCGCCGTCGGTAGTGGTCCCGCGAAAAAGCATTCGGTTCAATTTGATCCAGCCCATATGCGGATCGACTTGGTCCTTACTGAGAATGTCGGCGAATTTATTACCACTCTTGTTCTCCGCTTTGGACTTCATTTCTTTCTTACTCTTATCCCCCTGCTCAGCCTCGTTTTGCGCCGCTAACTCCTTCTCCCTTTTCTCCAAATCTTCTAGCAGGTCCAACAGCCGCTTGTTCGGTCCACATTGCTCCAGCGGTATCTCGCCATCCAGATAGCTACCCGCTCCTCCTGCTACCTCCTCCTCAGCACAGTCGTCCCTCCGTTCACAGATCGGGACGCGGTGCACGGACAGCGCAAACCGCCACATAATGTCGCTGATAATGCTGTCCGGGCTATTTCCCACTTCCTCCTCTTCTTTCCGAGAGTCGTAACTTTTCATAGCTGCGTCCGCCCGTAAATTCACGTTTTTCTGATTGTCTAACTGGAGAAACGTCCGCAGGGGGTTCTTCCACTTTCCGAGGAGCATCCAGTTTTTCAACGCGTTTTCAATGCTCTCGCGGAGGAACTGCTGATTCCGCCGGTCGAACGACTGCCGGCTTTTGTAGAAAGAACTGTCTTGGTTGTACTTGGTTGTGGAAAATTTCGTGCCGAGTGTGACAACCCGGGTCACGCACTTCAAGAATGCGTTTACTTCCTCCAAAAGAAGCTCGGGAAAGCGAAAAAAGGTTCTTGTTCTACTTGCCGCGTCGAGGTGCTGCTGTGTTGATGAAGACAGAGCATTTTTATGCCCGCCGGTAGTTGTTGAACAAGACACTAAACCACGACGTTGTTCCGACGAAGACGAAGATGAAGATCCTGACAAGAAGTTCTTGTTGTCACCATCAACTTTGTCGAAGTCAAACACCTTGAGCGTATCCCGGTAGCTGAGCGGGCCGCTTTTGTACTCGTAGTCCAGTCTGTAGTTCGTGTTGTGCTTGTGCGTCCGCCTCTCGTCCTGCGTGTCGGGCTGTTCGGTGAACCTGGACCGCGTTAAGCCGGACAGTTTTTCGAACCGCATGTCTTCATACACCAGCTGCTCCCCGTATCCACAGTAAATTTCCCGTACACGTACAAATGCGGTCTCTGCATGACAAAACTTGCCTTCAATCCTAGTCCAGCATGACAAGTTGGACTCTGCAAGGTAGCGAAATTTGTCATGCATTTTGTACATGTACAGGAAATTTACATTGCATACCCCGTACTCGGGCGGCAATTCCTCCTCCCGGGTCGCTTCGGAATGATGGATGTGTCAGGTTTGAAATCGTCAAAGTTGAAATAGTTTGAGTTTGTCATGCATAAAACAGATACCAGTCGGAAGCCCACTTATCAAGCGGCGCATGACAAATTTTCCGAGCACCGGAATCCAATTTGTCATGCTGTTTGGGCACAGAAGATTGCTTTTGTCATGCGAGTTTAGTAGCTCTATTTCAAACCCTAAATAGGCTCATAATCTGCCTCATTTGCCATCCCGGCAAGACAGGCACTTCATGCCTTGCACTTTATGCATGAGAAATCATTTCAACTTTGTCGATTTCAAACCTGACGCTTCCATAAGAATCCTCGTCCGAGTAGAAATCGTCCTCGTCAGAAATAAAGCTGTCGTCGTCATAGTGGCGGTCTCGGTTGTTCCCCCTCCGATGGTGCTGTGCGTAGTTCCGGTTGCCGGCCGGCCCGACCTGCTCGCCCATCGCCGCAAACCGCATCGCAAGCTCCGCGTGGCTGGTCGGCGGCCGCAGGATAGATTCATTTATGGTTCCCACGACGTCGCTGTTGTCCTCGTTTTCATCAACTACACCTTGTAAGATAGCTTCAACATCATCCAGCACCTGATTGTCACCGACAGTTTGTCCAGGAAAGTTTAAGTTATTCGTGCTATTGTTTTCTTCATCTCGTTCTCGCCGTCCTGTGATGTTGAGTCCGTTGTTCTGGTCTCCTCCAAGTCCAACCTCTTGATGTTGTTGAATTATTCCGGAAGAGAAAGATGCTGGTGGAAGCCTCTCCACGAGCAGGTCCCGCACCACTTTTCCGTACCGGTCCTCCAATCTTTCGCCCGTGAAGTCCCTGTGGTACCCCACCAGCGTCTATCAAATGTAAAAATGTCTGGGCCTGGAGGAGTCATGCTGTTTTTGCATGACACAGAAGGTCTGGCATGGAAGCTCTGGCATCACAGGTTTCGAGAAGCTTCCGTCATGCCGAATCCGCATCACAAATCCCCCATTCTGGTGACAGAAATTGGGCAGCTTTTGCTACCTATGCATGAGAGATCTTTCTGTGTTCGGAAATGCGCATCACAAGTTTGTATTCTTCCAGACCCAGACATTTTTGCAGTCCATAGCGTCCGAATGGACACGAGCGACCGGTTGCGCGCGTCGGCCTCTTTGTCGCGCTCTTTCATGTTGTGGTAGTCGTGCGGGGAGGTCGTGTTCGTCATCGCCGTGAAGTCCTGCCGGCTCCCCATAACCTCGTAGTTTTTCGTGCCAAAATAGTACCCGGGCTTCGCACCCAGAAACTTGTTGGAGGGAATACAAAAGGGAAGCGAGGACGAGGATGAAGACCCACCAGCACTACCTCCGTGCGTTCTACTGTACTGTGCGAAGAGCTCGTCCACCGTTTTCGGCTCGGTGCTTTTTGTGGTTGCGAGCAGGTCCTTGGACTCCTTCAGGACCAGGGCTTCGATCTGGAGGTTTGGGAAATGGAAAATAAATCATGTACAGATATCAAGCGACAGTTGCGATATCATATATCACACAAGGAACTTACTGTTAGACTCAAAGCAAACTACTGGGTCCTGGCACTGACAGTGATGAAAAAACTAAAAATTAATTTTTGAAAAGCAAGAAAGCCTTTATATGTTGATACGGTTTTTCGAAGCTCCTCCCGCTTTGCAGCGTCCATAATACTATTTGGCTCTGCGGTTGTTTGAAGCGCGGAAGACGAGGATGAGGATGCGGAGGCTCCTGTAGGAGGTGCACCAATTTTGATGTTTGTAGCCAAACTTCTATCCCCGCCCCCGGCTACAACATCTAGCAACTGGGCCGCAACCTTTGCCGCGGCTTCCTCTGCGAGTTTCATCTCCTGGGTCGTTTTACTATTTGGTAGAACTGCGTTGTGGTAGTTTGCGAACGCATTAGCTTGATGCATCGCAGCAGAGCTACTACTCGCAGAACCGCCTTGCTGCGCGCCATTTCTGGTGCCGGCACCCCCTCCGGGGGTATTATTTGCGTTGACGTTCATGGTTGCCACTAAATTGGCGAACCGCTCCGGATTCGACAAATATTTGTCGCAAGCCACGTCGACGGACCGGAATTTCTTGATCAACGCCTTCGCGAGCGCCTCATCGACGGACAGGATTTCGCAGACCGTCCGGACCTGTTCCGAAAATGTCGACCCAGCCATTTTGTTTTATTGGAGCGTGGTGTGGTCCACTCGCACTCGGTGTCAAGTAGTAGATGCTTTACGGTTTATTTTTGCTCGCGACCTTGGATGTCGACATACCTAGCGTTTCTTGAAAATCAAATCTGTACTATGTGAAACAACGAGTTTTGTCAGTAAAATCTTCACTTGTCGAGTTCAAAAAGTCGCACGAAAGAGGTAGATTGATTCGGTGAAACTACTAACTTGTAACGTTCACCTCGGTCGTCGCGTCGTTCGTCATCGTACAACGTGCCAAGCCTGCTAAGCAAGTAAGATTCGGATAATTTCAAAACGCTTTGACTTTTTTCGCAGCGTCGGGCGGTGTTGCCCTCCTGCATGTGCAGTGAAGCAAAAGGCAACAGGACAAACATGAGCGGTTTGTTTCTGTCCACTAGTGCACGACGCAGGTCAACCGTCTAGTGACGTCGACATCATTAGCATTACCAACCGCGATCGAAGAGATTGTATTGCTATTTCCATTTGATATTTTGACGAGCGAATTTACCTCCATTTCAACGACGATGACAACTACATCGAAGTAGACCATATTACCAGGTTCACGTCAATGAAGACACTCAGTCTGACGCAACCTTTCCAAGAATACAGTTCCGGCGAAACGATCTGACTTTGCTCGACCGCCGGGAAGATCGAAGTGCAGGCCGATAAGCTTCGTATAAATATTTACTCCGAGGCGAAGATCGAGAAGTCTGAGCCGTTGCTTTCACGAACGAATGAAGAGACCTTGAAGCCACGAGGACATTGAAGATGATCCAGTTCTTTATTCGAGTTCGCTCACGCTTTCGCAAAAAGATCTTCGCTTTGAAATAAGTACTTGTTACTTTCACTTTCTCGTAGTTCCCAGATCGATGTTGCATAGACCAATGTCGGATCCTACTAAATTCAATCCTTTAGGGGTTGTATTGGCCGTTTTGCCCTTCGGCCAGCCACAGAAGTTGTCGTGAAGCGGCTTTCGGCGCCATCGGAATATAATAAACAGGTACAGGATCGACCAACTTTTGGAACATCTGGTATGAAATTGTTTTCGGATCTCTTTTGCAAACTCTGTTTCACCGGAGTTTTTAGTCGAAGTTTCGATCGTCAACTTCATATTTTTCGATCTGTGAGGCGCTAAGTCGGGTCACGAGGAAGAGAAAGGTCTTTGAAGACGGAAGCTCTGCTCACCATGCAACGGCGCAGTCTTGATGTCATGATAGGAGAGCTCCATCATCAGTCAAATGATCTCTCTTAAAAATCCGTGGGGGATGTCTCATGCAATTTTCTTGCACGGCCACGGCCGAGCGGCGGGGGGGGAGGTCAAGACTAAATACTTAAAAAGGGGGGATGACTTTCTTTCTGATCATCTCGATCCACGAGACTTGGGTCGCGGTCGTTTCGCAAATGATCTCACGACAAGACAATTTATGTCTTCAATCGTCCTGATAAGGAGCGGACGAGGAGGGATGCTTTTTCCAAACAACATTAACAAGCAAATGTGCTATAGCTATGACAATCTTGATCTTCGTATCCTATTTCCGTTCGCATCAAATGCGACAATGTGCTGGACGAGTCGATTGCAGTATGCACTATTCAGCACGCGCCTCGTCCTGTCTTCTTGTCCTCAGTCGTCGTCGTTCATCTACTTAACGAAGGAATTGCTTGGCTTGGTACTACTCATGGAAAAATCATTCTACAATCACACAAAGACGCGTGAGCAGGTGCAGGACACTATCAATCGCACACGATGAAGATAAAAACTCACCGCAGATTTGAAGATTGGTCCAGTAAGAACCCAAAATCACCTCGTCCAACCCGGAATACGGTACTACGTACTACTGTGCGATCGATGTGTCTTTTCCTTTTGTCGTAAACATGAAAAAATAAAGAAATTATACCATGTTGGAAAATCTTCCATTTTTTTTTACTGTTGGTGCATCATACAGATTGCAACAAGCATCGTCACTGTTAGTCAACTGAAAAAACGAAAATAAATCTATCCTACAGATCCACTACTTACTTTTCTTCAAATCTCTCCCATGCCCATCCGGTCCCTACTACTTCCGGCCTGCACTCCTCTTCGCCTGACCTCCGAGTCTGTGCTTCTTCGCAAGTAGTTCTGGGAGGCTGCGGACACCAACTTGTTATCGTCGTTCTCGTCATCCGATTCCACCCCGGCGTACACCGGCGAGTGCTCCACGTCCGTCCCCTTCGTTTCGACGACAAAGAACACCACGAAGAGCAGCGCGAGAATACAGAACACCGAGAACATCCCGTACAACACAGTCGCCTTGTCCGAAAGCATCCCGAGGACAAAGAGTATCGGAATCTGTACTAAGTTGTTGCACAGAATTGCCGCCATGGAGCAAGAAGCGGCGATGACGGTCGGGTAAATATCCCCGAGGTAGACCCATATCACGCCCCCGTACCCAAACGCGAAGCCCGCGACGTACAGGAAAACCATCATCATGACCAGAATGTCGTCCCAGTGAGAAGCGAGATCACCCTTTCCGTAGAACAAGTCGTTCTTCTGTTCGGGGGTGAGAGTTTGCTCTTCTTTATGGCTAGTGGTGTACAGCTCGATGGCGAAATTCGTTGTCATCGCTACCGACATGACGATTCCGGAGACCAAAAGGAGCGTCTTCCGCCCGAGTCGGTCGATGAGGAAAACCATGGGTAAGGTTGCTAGCAGCATCCACACCATCATCCCTGTCGTGTAGTAAACCGCCTTGCCGCCGGAGATGCGGCTGAAAATGTCGTTGACGTTGGTCATGATCAGGTTAATACCGGTGAGTTGCTGCATGATCGACAAACCGCAACCTAAGAGAACCCCCCGGCGGTACTTTTTGGAGGACAGTGCCCAGCACACGCCCTTGTGCTCGCCGGTGCGCTCTTGGGTCCTGTTTTTAAGTGGAGATGGGATGGCATTGGCATTTATGTGTTTTCCAAAGCTGTGATGCGCCCACTAATAGAAGTAGAACCAGTCTGACTTATAAGGCAGCCAGTGGTGTAGCAAAATTGTGGGCCACTAAAAATCTATTTACGTATCCTATTTCACTTCTAGCTCTATATACCTTTCGATGATTTCGTTTATGTCGCCCGCGTCCAGTTTCGGATAGAGCTGCTTATACACCCCAGCCGCTTCCTTCAGCTTTCCCTTCGTTATCAGCCACTTCGGCGATTCGATCCCGGGTAACACCACCAAACAGAGGAAGATCTGGAGGATTAGTGGGATAATCGGGAAGGCCAACATCACTCGCCACCAAATTTTCACCTGGAAGTTCCACTGGTCTTCGCCCCCGGGGAAGCTGTTGGGGGAAATCACGGTCACATTTGGCACGGCCTTTGCGAAGTTCAGTTGCGTGGTCATCGCCATGCCCAGCAATGGGGCGATCACCTGCCCGATAACCGTCATGAGCTGAAACCACGCACCATACTGCCCCCTTACCACCGGGGGGATCACTTCGGCAATGTAGGTCGGCACGATCCCGGCCGCGCCCGTGGTGGCGAACCCGCACAGAAATCGCCCGACGAGAAACATGGGCCAATTCACCGACGCGGCGGTGAAGGCGTAGGCAAGGATCCCGAGAAACGCGAATTCCATAATCGCCTGCCGTCGGCCCCGCAAGTCGGACCACCACGGGCTAAGGGTGCAGACCACGACCATCCCGATCGTGAGCATCAACGCCGCGCCGAGTATCGTGAGGAGCTTTTTCTTCCCAAGCAATTCCCCGTCGTCGTCGCACTGCACGATGACATTCCCATTGGCGTCGGTTCCGCAGGTTTCAAAGGCCAAGTGTATTATCTCCATGGCAGTTTGGGCCCCGGAAATGAGTAGACCCATGGTCAAACTGCTCATGACGGCGGTGAATACGATCAGCCCCATCATCTTTTTTGACGCGTAGTCGCCGATATTCTCCGACCCGAGAATCGACTGGGTTTTCAGCAAAGTCGGCTTTTTAGACGACAAAAGCCCGGAGGTTTCGTCCGCATTGTACAAGTAGTCTGCAGCTGACGTGGCAGAGAAAGGCTCGTCATTGCCCTGTTTCAGCTTCCGCGACTGTGTTCGTTGTACCACAGGTTTGCTCGCGCCTGCACTTGGTTTTGGTAGTACGCGCGACATCTTTTGTGCCTACAGATGATATCAGATGATATCAGAAGATATCAGAACACTTGTTTTGCAGTAGTTGTTAGAATCGAGAGTAGAGTGAGGTAAAGGTTGGAAAAAGTTGTAAAAGATAACTTGTTATACTTCACGAGGCGATGCATAACGCAACAATGTAGTTGTGTTTCTTTTGCGGAAAGGAACTTAAACGCTTACTCGAAAAATAGCAATTTCATTCTAAATTGTGATTTTCTACTCCGTGGATAGTATGTTTCCGTTTCGGTTGATTGAGTTTTTCAGCGCCGTTCGTCTTCCGACTGCACTGCAAGGAGAACTTCAAGTTGAGTGGTTAAACGTGAGAAGTCCTCCCTACAATATCGGAATCCGTGCAGCAAGGTGCTTGCCCTGACAGCAATTTATGCGCTCCACCCCTCTCTACACAGAGAGATTCAAAACTTTTAAAGTCAAAAAGGGGAGGAGTGCCAGAATTATGCGTAATCGTAATTTAGAGCAAAACAGAAGAAACGTTTGTGAAGTAGATGGGCGCTTTGACTTTTGACCGTGGTTTTACTTCGAAGCTACTCTAGTTTTCCTTCCACAAAATGTTAACTACATTGCTGGTCTGCGAAACAAATGACAAGAAAAATCTATTGTCGCGAAGAACGGTTGGAAGTAGTTCTACTTTTTGCTAAGTAGCATTTGCTTTTGTTAGTGTTGAGCTTGACCAGATTAACGAGAGCCGAATTTCAAAAAAAATATCGACCCGGATCGGATGAAAACCGACAGCCTCGGTGATCTTTATTCGATTTGCGTAGCCGCGGCGAGACAACCGAGGTGGAAATATCAACAGTAGAGCGCTTTGATTTATTACTAGTTCGCAGCGGTCTTCTAAAATTTTGGATCTTCGATGGATCCAGCCAAATTTCCGCAAGCTCTTGCAGCCAGCTCTGAGTCTGAACTTTAGTCGACGACAGCAGCATGCAATCGCGTTCATACGACCGACTCGTGCTTCGTCCTCAGATTGCTGAGACCGAAAATTATGCGTACAAATTAGAGATAGAGCCTCAGCCTATAAATCTAACCGATATCTTCGATCACCGAGATAATCAGAAGAATGCTCCTGCTCATCTTCATTTCCAATAGGACCAAGGCATAGGCAACATTTGCTCAGGTACATTCAGTTACAGTTTCCAAGGAAAGAGCATTTGCTCACTGAGAGCCGGTGTGTCTTTATTAAATCATTTTGCGGCTTTGTGTATTTTTCAGTACTCACCGCGTAGTACATTTTCTCCAGCCCGTTTTTGATTCAGATTCGTTTATCTTGGCTTGTGTCTGCCAGCAGCCTCAGACATACACCACAGTGGAGAAACTTCATGCCCATTCAATTGCAAGAGAACACACTGTTCGAATGGTACCGTCCAAAATGGTGCGTGCACCCATGTGACGAGCTCCTGCGTCTTTCTGAATGGGCACTCAATAAACGTGACAATGATTGCTGTGCGTGTGTGTGTAGTAGTTCTTCGCCGAAGTAGAAGCAAGAGTAGTTGTTCCAATGCCTCCATCGAGCACCGAGAGCAGAAGTAGAGCCAGCAAGTGCATGGAGTACATATCATTTTGCCGGTCACCAGCTACAACTACGAGAGTGAATGATGCTAAGACCGGTTCACTCAAATCGCAAATTTTCCCTCGGCTCATAGGAAGCCAACCCTGGTCCAACTCGCAGCTTTCGCGACAAGGCAATTTATGACTTCAACCACGAAAGGAGGAGCGACCGTAAGAGTCAATGCGTTCTCTGTCGTAGAATCACAGTCGCTAGGAGTCGTAATCTTTACTCATTTTAAGGTGTTGCTGATGGGGTCGGAGGACCAATCGATCCGAGGAGAATTTTGCCGCTGGGTGGAATAAGGACGCGCTTTTAACGTCCATGATTTTCTTTTGGTTCTTCTTCTTGCGTGAATTACAATTACTCACTTCAGACTTTCTCTATAATAAACTCTCTTCTGCTAAAACCTAAAAAAACGTAGTAGCACACATGCGAGTATGTGATATTACATACGACTAATTGACCACGAAGAAGCGCACACAAGGGTGATACACTGCGCCTGTAGTAGTTCTACCAGAATTTTTTCCGGCCGCCTGTTCTTCTAGACGGGAGGCCATGCCAGACGAATCGCAGTCACCACCAACGCGGAGTTCGGTAGAGAAACTGTGCGACAACTTCAATGCTCAATATCACGTACTACATTTTGCGTACTTACGCTTACCGCAGCGTCTTCCGCAGCAGAAGCGAATGCCTGAAATAACCTGGGGGCAAAACATCAAATTCAAAATGCAACACTTACTATATGACATAAGAGTCTTAAGTGATCCTTCAAAAAAAAAAAAATGCGTCCTCCTTTTTCAAATCCGTCCTGCCCGGTCCCGACCCGCGTGTACGCCACTTCTTCTCACTGCGGAATCGGTGCTCCGTCGCAAGTAGTTCTGGGCGGCGGAGGAGACTAGCCTATCGTCGTCCTTCTCGTCGTCTGACTCCACCCCGGCGTAGACCGGCGAGTTCTCCACGTCCGTGCCCTTCGTCTCCACGACGAAGAAGACCACGAAGAGTAGCGCGAGGATACACAACACGCAAAACATCCCGTACAGCACCGTCGTGTGGTCCGCAAACATGCCCATGACGAACAGGATCGGGATCTGCACCACGTTGTTGCAAAGCACCGCGGCCATGCAGCAAGAAGCGGCGATGACGGTCGGGTAGATGTCCCCCAGGTACACCCACATCACGCCCCCGTACCCGAAGGCGAAGCCGGTCACGTAGAGGAAGACCATCATCATGACCAGAATGTCGTCCCAGGTCGACGTGAGGGTCCCTCTCCCGAAGAACAGGTCATTCTTCTCCGCGGGGGTTAGCGTGTCCGCCTCTTTGTGCGCGGACGTGTACAGCGTAATCACGAAGTTTGTTGTCATCGCGATAGACATGACCACGCCGGAAATGAGCAACAGCGTCCGCCGTCCCAGCCGGTCGATCAACACCGCCATCGGGATGGTCGCCAGCAACATCCACGCCATCATCCCCGTCGTGTAGTACACCGCTTTGCCGCCGGAGATTCTGCTGAAAATATCGTTGACGTTGGTCATGATCAGGTTAATCCCGGTCAGTTGCTGCATAATCGACAAACCGCAACCTAAGAGAACCCCCCGGCGGTACTTTTTGGAGGACAGTGCCCAGCAGACGCCCTTGTGCTCGCCGGTCCGCGCTTGGGTCCTGTTTGATGAAGAGAGTCGAGGATTGAGTAATGGTGCGCATTCATGTTCTATCGTTCGTATCTTTCATCAACTACATCATGTGGCAGCAAATCTTCACTATTCCTATTGCTTTCTTTCAGTAAATTATTGGTTTGTGCCTGCTGCTGGTACTAAAGAACCAAAGATGACAGCAGCACCACTACCATGTGTGCACCATACAAAGCATGAGCCGCAAACGCGATGAATCATAGCGCAGGCACCCACTGCCAGCTCGACGGCATTACATGGAGCGCGAAGGGGAAGGCGCAGCAGCAACCCGCACTTTTGCTGCAACTGCAAGTTTCAGTATATCATCAAGCTACTTCTAGTTCTACGTCGATAAAATAAATTTAAATTACCTTTCAATGATCTCGTTGACATCCCCGCCGTCCAACTTCGGGTACAGCTGCTTGTACACCCCGGCCGCTTCTCTGACTTTCCCCTTGGTGATCAGCCATTTGGGCGACTCGATGCCAGGCAACACCACCAGGCACAGCAGGATCTGGACCACCAGCGGAATCACCGGGAAGGCCAGCATCAGTCTCCACCAGATTTTCACCTGGAAATGCCACGCGTCCTCCCCTCCCGGGAAGGTGATCGGGGAAATCGCGGTCACGTGTGGCACGGCTTTCGCGAAGTTCAGCTGTGTGGTCATCGCCATGCCCAGCAATGGGGCAATGATCTGCCCGATGACCGTCATGAGCTGGAACCACGCGCCATACCGTCCCCGAACCACGGGGGGAATCACTTCGGCAATGTAGGTCGGCACGATCCCGGCCGCGCCGGTGGTGGCGAACCCGCAGAGAAACCGCCCCGCGAGAAACATCGGCCAGTTGACAGAGAGTGCGGTGAAAATGTACGCGACGACCCCGAGAAACGCGAACTCCATAATTGCTTGGCGCCGCCCGCGCAAATCGGACCAAAACGGGCTGAAAGTGCAGACGACCGCCATCCCGATTGTATGTATCAACGAGGCCCCGAGAATCGTGTACATCTTTTTCTTCCCCAGCAGTTCATTGTCGTCGTCGCATTGCACGATCCGACTTCCACTCGCGTCCCTTCCGCACGTTTCGAAGGCCAGGTGAATGAACTCGATCGCGGTTTGAGCCCCGGAAATGAGCAAACCCATGTTAAAACTGCTCAACACTGCGGTAAACACAATCAATACCATCATCTTTTTCGAAGCATAGTCACCGATGTTCTCGGACCCCAGAATCGACTCCGGTTGCTTCGGCGTCTCCAAAAGCGCAGCTTTTTCCTTTTCGTCATCTGCTGCATAACGATAGGAATCCGAGGCTGAGGCTGCAGAGGAAGGCTCGTAGTTGCCCAGTTTCGGAATCTTTGCGGTCTCGTTTTGTGGCGGCCGCGTCATTTTTTCTCGGTTCGAAAAAATTATCGTTGGCGTTGAAAATGTACAACTGAAGACAAGGCTTTAAAGATAAAGGATTTTAGAAAGAGGTTTGGCGAATGAAAACTTGATGTGCTACTTCACTTCTAGTAACAGGAATGCTGTATGTAGTAGATGTGCTAGAATTCTTCTATCTTAGAAGTGATGCGAATCTTCAATCAGTGTGCTTGTTGGTTGTCGAAGGAAAACGCTGCTGCTCTGTTCCGTAGGGAAATACACGAAAGAGATTGTAGTTTTCTGGAAGACGATGACGATGGTGCCACAAACTGTGAGTATGATCGGTATAATCTATTTGCGACATCACACATGGCGAGGGGGAGACGGACCGAATCGAACCGAAAGGATTGATCTTCACGATCCAGGATCTTTTTTTTTCTGATCTTCAACGTTCAAAATTTCGATTGGCAACCAACAACATGGAGCGGGCGGTTTATTTTTTGACACGGAAGATGAACTACTTCGAGTTCGACCGATGGCAATGGGATCCAAAATCAGCTGGATCAATTAATTTCATTCGATCGTCGTCACAGGTAGTTAAGACGTATCCCACACGGAGTTTCCGTCTTAGTAGTACTATGGCTCATATCAATTGGAAACAGGTCTCTGCTAGAAAAGGTGCTTGTTACCGAACTTTCGAACTTCAACTGCGTGCGGCGCGCTCCGGGGTTGATGTTGATCTGTCACCTTATGATCATAACCTTTTTCTTGACATGCAGAACAAACAGACAACTCACAACAAGACCAAGTTGTTCAAGGGCGCCAACTGCTGATGTTAGGGCTGGATCTCGTCCTTGCAAGAAGTAGCAACTCGCTCAATTTTTCTGGATAATGTACATTCTTGACGATACAATCCTGATTCTGTAGTCCTCATGGCAACATTCTTTGGTTTGTGTCTTGGTCCTCTACTACTTTTCTATCTTCTTGTCAAGCGCAACGAGCGGGGTTTGGTAGGTGAGAGCTCCCACAGACCATACGTCTGCCCCATTGGAGCCACAGCTTTCGCTTATCGCAGTAGGTCGCGTTGTAGGAATAGTTGGAAAATGCAGACGCCAGCTCATGGTGCGACTTCGTAACCACGAGAGCGAGTAGACTACAATCTTTTTCTTGTGGCGTCGAACTCTCCTGTGAAAGTGAAATACAAATTTACATAGGACCCGGGCTGCTTGAAGCGACGTCAAGAGCGACGAAATCCTTCTCCTTGTCGCCTCGACGTCGATATTGATCCTTTATGTTCTCGAAATGCAATAGGAGTGCAATAATGAAAAGCGATAGAACAAGTTAGCAATAATGTTTCCAACGAAAAAGCGTACGCAGATATCGCTAATATGTCAGGTCGTGTCATTAGTAAGCATTCAAACTGTACCTAGATAGATACCGGAGCTGTTTGTTCTAGCGCGGTTGTAAATTTAAATTTTGCGATTAGTTGTATGATCTAGGGTAAGAAATAGGAATCATTTTTTGATGCGATCAGGTTTTTTTGCGGTAAACAAAAACGCGACGAAGAAGTTAAATTTGGTGGACTCTTCAGGCTTCTTCCGAAGTAGCCGCTCCAGCTCCCGCTCCGAAAATGGACGCCAGCAGTCCTCCTTTGCTCCCAGCCACGTCAGCATTGCTCGCTTTGCTCCCTGAGATAAAGTTTTGTGATGAAGTAGATTTATTTCGGGATAAGTGCGATCCCATTTTTTTGTACAGTGACAGCTTCGACCAAAAGAAAATTTATCTTCATCAATAGTTGTAGCTGCAGTGCTGCAAGTCCTCAACATTCTCTCCATGACTACCTGGCCCCCTGGACGACTCCGCAACTGCAGCTGGTTCTGCCGAAAAACTGACCTCGTCCTCCTCCACTACATCCAAACTCCCCTCCGCATCGTCGTCGTCTGGTGACAGTTGGTCGTGACTGTTTGTCAGGTTCCCGATGTCGCTCCAATCCACGGTGGAAACCCGGTTCGGCGCAGCAGTTGTAGGCTTATGATTTGTTCTTGTTGTAGCGGGTCCTCTAGTTATACAACTAGTTCTTGCGACGTCGTGGAGATGAAGACTCTGGCTCAACATCTGGTCGTGCGGTGAGGAAACTGAATTCTCCTTCTCCGGATGCTGGTGGTGTTGCTGACCGGGACTGTTCATGGCGAGGAATTCGTCCCCGATGAAGACATTTGGCTCTTGATCCCTTTGATCTTCATCGTCGTCAACCACAGAACTAAACGTCACCGAAGGCAGTTCTTCGTTGCACGTTTGGAACGACTCGCTTGTGCAGTTCGAATTGTCGCGCTGGTGGTTTTCCAGCAGAACTTTCTGTGCTGCGTGTGCAGCTCCAGAACCAGAACTTCTACTATGATGGTCGGAGCCACTGGACGCAACGGTGGGTCCCGTAAGATGAACTACCACTCCTGCCGGTTGTTGTTGTACCAACGCCGGAGAGAGCTCCGAGTTTACGACCAGAGTCACGTCCGGCGCCGTCCACACGTCGTTTTCGTACTCCCTCGATTCCCGGAGGGGCTTCACTTCGGTCGGTATTAACGCACCAGCTGCGGTAGAAGTCGCACTACTGCTTTTCGGAGAGTTCAACATGGAGGGCGCAGCGGAGGAGGATGTTGTGGTTGCGCCAACATTCATCCCCGTCATGATCCCACTACTGTGCACCGTACTATTTGTGGTGCTTTTCGTGGTGGAATCGTTCTTGTCGTCGATAAACAAACTTCCAGGTCGCATCTGGTCCAACTTGACGAGCAGCTTGCTGTTGCTTTCCTGCTCTGACGAGAACGTTGAAACTGCAACTGTTTCCTCAACGAACTCTAAGGGCGGGGCTGAACTAAAAGACGAGCTACTCGCTGACGTTGTAGTTACCACCGTTGTCGAGGTCTGCAAATCCTCCTGGATCACATCCGTGATCAAATTCTGATTGGTCGTAGATTCCCTCGCGTTGTTAACATTGTTCAGGGAAATCTTCAACGACCGCGGCAAAAACGCCCGGTCCTTCATCGACTCGTCCTGAATTGCGTTCAAACTCGCGTTCAACGCCGCGAGATTCTCCAGGTTCAATTCGTGGCAATTCTTGTCATTGTCCGAAAGAATAGTTTGTTTGAGCTTGTTCTTCTTCCTTTTGAGGGACGTCGAAGATGAAGAGGCTGCGGTTATTTGCTCCACACAGCAAGCCTGCTCTGTGCCTGTGTCGCAGTTCCCCTCGTTGTTCAAAACGCCGTCCTTTATCGCGTTGTCGTCCTCCTCTTCGTCCACCTCTGACGGTGATTTAGAGCCGTAGAGCGACCCGAGCAGGGAATTTGGGGTTTCGCAGTTGTACAAGGAGCCAAGCGAGCTGTTCGAAGCGGCAGAACTGGTCCGGCCGGATCTGCACCCCGGTTCCCCGCAGGGCTCGTCCTCGTAACTGTCGGAGTTGTTGCAACCATCCGAAACGGAGTTGATGTCATCGACGACGTGCATGGAGACTTCGGTACACTGAGAGGAGTTGTCGTCATCCTCATCCTCCTCCTCTTCGAAAGCCGATCGGTCTGGTAACGGCGGACTGCCCGCGCGCTTGGCATTCTGGATCGCGGCGGCAAGACCGCCTTTCGTGTTGGTTCCGATTTTATTTTTCGCGGAGCTCGTCTGGAGGATGGATTTCGGCTGGTTTGGATTTACGTGTAATAGTGCTGGCGGTTGTAGCACTTGTTGTGCACTTTTATTCTTCTCTTTTTTCTTTTTCGCACTTGCTCGTGGTGGCGTGCCCGGGCGGAAATTTGTATGGATATTTTCGTCATTTTCATCCTCCTCTTCTTCCTGCTCGTCCTCGTCGTGGTCAAACCAGTTGCCGATGGGGTCCTCGGATTCCCGCATCGCCCGGGTTCTCGGCGTATCGGCAATGTCGAAAAACTTTACCTCTGCGTGCTCCTGCTCCGGCGGGAAGTTCAGCATTGGTAGGCATTTCGGGGGAAATTGCTGTTGATGTTGTTGCTGTGCTGTTCTGTTCATTCCTGGTCGCGTGGACATCACCATCGCTGGTGCGCCTTGTCGATTCGCGTTGGTGTTCCGGAGGGTCGCAATGTCCTTCCGGTCTTCGTCGGGAATGACTGACAGCAGCATCCGCTTCGCTTTCGCGATCTCCTCCTCTGCCTGCTCCATTGCCTGGAGTTTCTCTGCCAGCTTCTCATGGTCCAGCCGCTTCGTGGGGTCCTCCCCGTCTTCCACCTTCGGCGTCCGGGCCTGCCGCGGGGGCGCGGGTGATTTACCGCGGGTGAACCGGACCTTCTTGCGCTGCTCCCGGAGGCTTCGTGGGGGAGCACCGGCTTTCTTCATTTTTTGCTGTTGATGATGATGATGAAAAAGCGGACTTTATTCTGTGTTACCTTCGAAATTCTTCAAGAAAAAACTGTACAGACTGTATTCTCTGAATTCGCTATAAGTTGTGTCCTAGCTTGTTCCGTTTCTTGCAAGTGATGTGTCGAAAAAAGCCTGCCGCGACTGCGGTATCACAATAGAATTGGGAAATGGCAACCGATGAAAATGGAACGGATGAAGAAAGAAAATCCGGTCATTTTTAGTTTTAGTTTTACAACCCTCTCTCAAACGTGATACATAGGTGGCGCGCCGAACCAAAAATAGGTACGTGATCCGACATGACTTCTGTAGAGCCAGCATCAAACCCTAATTGCAAGAGAATCTTGCTTTTGACAGACGGAAAAAAGGTTGACGTCTCACGGTTACAATTTTTCGCTCGAAGAAAGCAACAGCAACGTGTAAACTAGGCACCCCACGTCCCATGACTGATGATCCCAACGATGAACAAGTTTACGGATTCATTGATGTTTGACTGTACGTTCTAAAATACGCAGCACGCGACACGACTCTACGATGATTCACATTCATGGTATTTCGAATAAGTGGGAAAATCTGCTCCGTATGGCGTATGGCTGGGTGATTTAGGACAACCACAACTCGCTTTATTCAAAATTTTATATATACACGTCTCCGCAGCAACGATGCTAGTGCCGACGTGTTGTATGTGGTGACAGTATGTGCCAGTCTTCTGTTTCGTGTTGCCGTGATCAACATCAACCATGTCAATGCTGATTTAGGTTTCCAAAATATCACTTTTCGTCCTCGACGCTTGGGTGTCATATCGGCGGCACTCACCAGTCGGACTCGTGGAGCAATTCCACCCCGATAAGCGCTTGCACGGTCCGTCATTCATCACTACTCAAAAAAACCGCGGTTGGTGGTGCTGCTGCGGCTGAGAGAAAAACATCTGCTGTTGCGGCTGCTGCTGGAATTGGTTTTGATGCTGCACAATTGGCACCTGCTGTTGCGGGTGCTGGAATAGCTGCTGTTGCTGCTGTTGTGGCGCTCCTCCACTTCCCGGCTGTCCTCCGAATAATCCGTTCGGAAAAAGAGATTGCGGTGGCTGCTGCTGCTGCTGCGGCGGAGGCATACCTCCACCGTAAGAAATAGAAACCCCGGGGGCTACCTGGTAAGTCGTTTGGCCCGCCGCGCCCTGCGCTGGAAATTGATGTTGCTGGAACACTGGTGGTTGCTGCTGTTGTTGCTGCATCACGCTGCTGTTCTGTGGCATGATCGTATTCGCCAGACCAGACAGTGCGGCAGACGCCGACGCAAACCCCTGCTGGGCCAACGTCTGTGGATGGAACCCTGGGGAGGGCGGGACAGAACCTGAAAACGAATTTCATGTGCTACGTACCAGGGTGATAAAACAAAAAAAAAGGGTCAACAAACACTACTTCACAACAAAACATGTTCATGTGTACGATGCATATAGTTATACTACTTCCCTCACCTGCTTGCTGCTGCTCCATCGGGCTGGCCGCAGAAACGTTGCCTCCACCACCACCGCCCCCACTTCTCACAGACGCCAACAACTGCGATTTTTCCTCGCTTCTCGCGAAACAGTAGTCCGAGATCTGCTGTTTGCACTGCCGGAGGAAGTCCCCTAGTCTGGTGTAGAAGTTGATCCCATCTGCTAAATCCTTCAACACCGTCAACAGCATATTCGCGCACGCAGTCAAAGCAGTGATGATCTTCGCCCGCTCGGAGTTTTGAAAGGCGGACTTCCGCGCGTTCACCGTCGTGTTGTACAGATTCAGTAGGTTTTCCGCCTGTTTCCTGTACTCCAGCTTCAGATCCGGTATGGAAATCGCAGGGAGGTTTTGCATCGAAGTGCCATCCTCGTTGATCATTGTCGTACTATTTGACGCGGACCTCAACTGCGTCAAGTGCTGCTCGATCTTCCCCTCCACAATCTGCCGGCAGGTTTGGTTCAGCTGCTGATTGGCAGACAGGCCGGAACAATTTGCGGACACAGCAGCAGCATTTCCATTTCCCCCTGTCGTCGTTGTATTCACTGCGTCTAGTAATTCGCCCTCCACCGTTTTGTCGTTCTTAATCAAGTTCTTCGCTTCGTCAATTTTCTGCCTCAACTGCTGCTCCAACTGCTCCAGCTTCTGCAAGGCTTGCCGCACCGCGTTGGTGTGCGACTCCAGGACCGACAAATCTCCGTTCCCTCCCTGCGACTCGGCCAATTGCGCCGCAGACGGGGTGGTGGAAGCCGGCAAGCCCTGCTCGATTTCCGCACGCGTTTTGCCGATCCACTTCACATTCGCGTTCTTCATCAACGCCTCGCCCCGGGCCTTCAGCACTTCGTTGGCCTTCCTGGCCTCGGACAGTTTTTTCTCGTACGACATCAAATTCTGCCGGAACTGCTCTTGCAGAACCTCGGATTTTTCTCTTTTCAAAATCGAGTCCTGTCCCGCCTGCGCGATGCGTTGGCTGAACAGGTTGTCATCCTTCATCTCCTCCTCCAACTTCACGACGCATTCGTTCAAAAGCGATCCGCAGATCCGATCGTACTCGGTCAACGCTTCCAAGCTAGCCGTCAAACCGCTGACGCCGCCCTTGCTGGCCGCATCCTGGATCTTCGCCCAGGTCTCTTCGGGCAGAGGTTCGATAGAAGCTTGTGGGTTGTTCGCGGAAGTTCCTTTCGTCGTCACGCCGAGAGTCGACGCGATCAAATCTCTGACGTCTATCGTGTTCTGACCGGCAAGAGGACCACCTCCCATTGCCCCTGCACAAGCGCCCGCGGCTTGTTCATCCGAAGGACCACCGGCTGCAGTGCTGGAAGACAGTATCATGTCGACCTCCTGCTTCGAATTTTTCCACTCGTCGTCCAACGCAAACAAAACCGACTCCTGCCGCATCTGGTAGTCTTGCAAGGCGGATTGGACAAATTTTGGGAGCAGCGTTGCCAGCACCGGTTTGTACTTCAACCCATACGCCTCGTCGAAGAACGCGGGGTCGGTAAACCCCGATTTGGAGAAGGAAATAGGCTTGGAAACCTCAATTGTCGTGATAATCGGCAACTTCGCAAAATCCGTCACTTCCGGCGGGAAGTAAATGGTCTCGCAGTCGTGCTTCACCTTGTTCAATTCAATCTGGATGGCGCTTTTCAAGCTGCCAACGTCGCTGTATTCCGATTTTCCCGCGGTGAACACCGTTTGCTCCGCGTGTTTGAACCGCGCGAGACACTCGCCCCAGCCGCGCATCGTTTTCTCGCAATTTTCCTTCTCGAACATCGCCTGCTGAAAGACCGCCGCGGCGAGAAAAGTTTTTTCCTGCGCGTCGAAGATCTCCGCGAATTGCGGCCCAATCGACCCTATCAAATGCAAATATGTCTGGGTCTGGAAAGTTGGAACTTGTAGTGCTAGCTTTACACTCCTGGGATTGGGAAATTTGTACTGCATAACCGACAAAAGCCGCAGCCATTTTTGTCATGCAAGAGCGCAGTTTCTCAGTCTCATGCAGACTACCTATGAGAAACAACTCCGGGAAGTTGTCATGCTGGGCTGCATATGGAAGCCTTTTCATCATGCGCATTTTAGCATCACAAGTTTCCAGACCCAGACATATTTGCATTTGATAGACCCGGTGAGCTTCCTCGCGGCGGTCAGGCACTGGCTGTAGTCATTGGAGACACGCATGGCCAGCTTCGCCAACAGCGACCGGAGTTTCTTCTCCTTGACCGCCTTTTCGTAAACACACGTGTTCGCTTGCGCGATCATGACGCAAGACCACATGTGGAGTGCCGATTGCGACAAGTCGTGCGTGGCGATCCCCTGCAAATCGGTCGCGACGAAATCTCGGAGAAACGCGAAAATCCCCGCGGACCGGCAAAAGAGCTGGATCGCGTGTCTGGAGCCCTCCTCCGTCGCGGTGCGGTTTTGGTTCACGGCGGACGACCCCTCGAGCGCCGCTAAATTGTAGACGCAACTCGCTTTCTCGAGGAGAAAAGAGGACTGCTGCGTCTTAACCTTCGGGCGGAAGGTGTCGTACCAAACGAGATCCACTTTGTAGCTGCTGGTGGAGGTCTTCTTCGTGTTGGTGTTCACCAAGTTCGCGAATCTCCCCTCCAAGAGTTGCAGCAACGCGACGTACTCCGTGATCAGCTGTCGGGAGGTGTCTAAACTCGCGTCCGAGCTCCGGACGTCCCGGCTGATCCGGTCGCGGTGCTTCTGCACGTCTGTGGCGAACTCGAGGAGGAGGGGGCTGGGGGGCGGGTTCGGGTTGAATCCCGGCCCGGCGTTGTTGAAAGTGGAAACATTGTTCACGATATCCACACCAAAGGCTCTCTGGCAGTAAGTCGTGATGGCGTCGCGAAGGTTCGCCGGGTCGGTGGGTTTCACGTCGGGTTTTAGCATTGTGCGCACTTTTGTTTTGACGTATACTTTCGTGGTGCAGATGTCAGCGGTTGCCAGTTGTTGCCTATGCCCAAGACATCATTTTTATTGACGTAGATGGAAGAAAGTAAAGTTTTGACCAACTAGAAAAAGCACGGATCCGAGCACTTGATGCTGCACGACCTCCAAATATTACCGGGGCGCAACAAAAATTTTTGCTCATCTTTACGAATAATCACTCTGAAAGAATGTACACACAAGAGAAACGGATGCCGTCGGAGGGCCTAAGAATGAAAGGAGAATCAATAGCAGCTGCAGCGACCATGCGAAGGACATCTTTTGAGGTAGTAATGCTAAGGACTCGCCTGCCTCTGCCGAAGCATGACGGCGCGGTCGGAACGTAGGCGAGTACGAACATCGAATCCTCGGATTACGCCCCAACATAAGCCTGCACCAAATTCAAACGTAGCCCGCCTTGTTCCTTGTGCTGCAGTGGCAGCAGCTAATACGGAGAAAAAGTGCGCAAGCAATGGGAATGGCAACACTGACTGGGCGTGGCTGCAAAGCAACCACGCCCGGCCGTCCTGACAGACCGGCTTCGGTCACTACACTTGCTAATGGAACGGCTGCCGGAGAGGGCCACGCAGTCTCGGCCTGCGTCATTGCACATGCATGGACAACCAACACAGGCCCGCGCGCCCTCGCGCCAAAGAGCGCGCGCCGGCCATCGGGGGCGAAACAGGAAAGATGAAAAAGGCAAGGGCCGGTGGGAAGGAACGGAACGACCGACCCGAGGGAGCCCGGCCGGCACCGGGCCAGAGAAACCCCACCCCCCGTCTGCTCACAACGCTGCTGCGCGCGCGCCTGTTTGTTTGCCGGCGGGGTCCCGTTAGTTGGTTTCAGATGAACAGGTCTGCGCGGGCGGCGCCCGGGCAGCAGGCCCAGGCCATAGGCATCGGGCCGGCGCCCCTGCCCGGCCGGGCCGCCCTGGGGGACGCGCGGGGGGGCCAATTTGCGGCGGCGGGCAGCGAATCAATTCGCGGGCCGGGAGGGCTGCAAGAGGGGGGCAAACAAAGAAGCGCGGGCGTTGCGCCAGGCGCGGCGCCTACCGCTCGCCCCCTGATGCGTGGCAAGGCTCTTCATCTTTTTGAACAAGGGGCCCCGACTCCACCACGGGCCTTGCTGCACGCCGCCAAATGCGCGCCCGCGGTCTTCAAGCCCGCCCAGAAGAGCAAAGTCCTCCGCGGGCTCGGCGAAGTTCAACGCCGTCGAAAGGCTCTCCGGGGTCGGGCCCTGGCTGGCCTGGTTCCGCAAGAAGGCCACGGTCTGCGTGGTGCAATTGTCCAGGGAGGCGCTCCGGGCCAGCGGCCCTCCAGCTCCAATTGACTGCCTCGCCTCGGAGCTCCGCCAGGACACACTGCCCCTATTCTGCGCGTTTTTGGCCGCTCCCTCGTCCGCCTCTGTAGCAAGCCGGGCGGGCCTGGGGCCGGGCCTGCTGCAGCGCACGCCTGCCAAGCACCCGGGGCGCCAGCGGCCAAGCCCACACATCGGGGGGGCCCCTCCCCTCACCGCAACCAGCTGCGAAATCCTCTAACAATAGGACTAGGAGCGGTGAGGTTTTCGGAAGGTGGTTCCTGCTGAAAGGAGGACGGCTTTCGAAAAGTCCAACGCAGGGCCATAGGGGTCGTAGAACTCGCGATAGCAAAAAAGAAAAGCCACGGGCCGGGCCGGCCGGCCGGCGCCCGCCCATAAAGCACAACACCGCGCGCCCTCCAGAGTGCGCGCGCCCGCCTCGTCGCAATGTGGCCGAAACGCACGGGGCGGCAGGGTTGGGCGGGCCACCACAAAAAAACAGGCGAACGGACCGCACCCGAAGGCGTCTCGGCGCAACAGACCAACCAGGCGCGCGCCCCCGCGCACACAAGGCCCACGCCGCGGAGGCTCGCGCGCGAAATCTCCCCGCTTCTTTGTTTGCTAGAGGCTTCTCCTGCACTTGCTACGACGTGCGGCGAGCCTGCATTTCATGCAAAGCGTTGCCCTAACATGGGTCACAACTTTTGCCGAACACTAAAGCCTGACACACCTGCCATCTTGTTGTGTCCTTCCTTGGTCAACAAGACGACTCAGAAGTGAGCGAAGCATGGCGCTCTCAATTGCGTGACATTATGCCGCGGTCTCGTTGTCTTATTTCAGGAGGCCCTAGATCGTTTATTTTCATTCTTCATGTACTCGAGATTCGTTCCTGTCACTAGTTTGAAAATGTCTTTTGGCGCACCTTAGCCTCCACAGAATTAGCCATCTCGGGACCAGACCGCGACAGCCAAAGTATTGAGGGTTCAACATCGCCGTCGAATAATCGGAGTAGTACACATCATAAATCAATAAATTTAAATTTTTTTATTCTTTCTAGTATACAATTACCACGCACTACCGTTGCACAAATGGCAACGCGTTTGGTAACTTCACACTCCGTACCAGGAACGGATGATTTTCCAACAGGTCCGTCGCCGCGATTCGCTTGTTCGGGTCCAGCGCCACGAGAGAATTCAAAAAAGACAGACACCCGTTCTGCGTTTCCTTCTCCTGCCTCACTAACTCGTACAAAGCCACGCTCCAGGAGTTGTTTCGGTCGTATAGTTCTTGCCGACCAGAATTATCTGCCTCGTTGCTTGTTCTACCTTGTTCACCTTCGCGATAATGTTGCTCCAACACTGCCGCGTTATTTTTACCTCCATTTGGTGCGGTGCGTCCCACAACAGCCCCTCCTATAGTTGTAGCAAGCGCTGCTGCGCCGGTAACGGTTCGTCCAGTAGCGGAAGTTCCATCTGCTCCTGCTGGAGCCGGGTTGCCTTCTGCTATCTCCATCCGTCGCCAATACACAGAAACCGGGATCATGGTCTGGTCCTCCTGGTGGCCGTTGTCCGTGTCCGAATTCACTCCAGCCCCCGGGATTGCCTGCCCGACTCGCTCGATTTCCGGCCAAACGGACAGAATCTCGCGCCGGAACTTCTGTGCAGAGGGGATGGGCTTTTGGGTCAATTGCAGCTCTACCCGGACTTCAGCTCCGGTAGTAGCGGTACTAGTTGCAGCAGCCGGAGGTGCTGCCTGCGCAGGTTTTTCTGTTGTCATTGTACTTTGTCGTCCGTTCCTTCCACCATCGCTCATCCCGGCGGTGGTCCCGTACGAAAGCATGGAATTCAGGATCAGCGGAAGCTGTTCAAATTCCGACGGCGATTGGAAGAGAATGCTGCCGACCACCAGCTCCGCGAAAATGCACCCGACCGACCAGAGATCGATCCCGAACCCGTAGAAGTAGCTCCGCAGCAAGACTTCGGGCGCGCGGTACCACAAAGACACGACGTTGGGCGACATCGACCAGACCGGCTCGACATAGTTTGCGTGAGGCTGCAGGTGCTCCACGTTCAGGCCTTCTTGTTCAAACTGCGTTGTAGCAGATGAATCTTGTGGTCCACCACCACCAAGTATTCTTGCGTCTGTGCTTGTCCTCTCCACCGTCTTGATTTGGTCGCCTCGCTTCTCCTCGTTCATTTTTCCCAGGCCCTGCTCCGTTCGTCGCTTCTTCGAGGAGGGAGAAGCGGTTGATTTGAGCAGCAACTTTTTGTTGCCGTTGACCTTCCGCAGGAGCTCCTGCTTCCTTGCAAATTTCTTCGGCTCCACTACCACTCTTAGCACCGATTCCTCCTTCTCCTCGTCAAAATCTTCGTGCCAGATCGGGTCGCCAACCGTGGATCCGGTCGCAAGACCAAAATCCGTGATCTTCAGAAGACCCGTATTCGCGTCGCACAGCACGTTATCCGGCTTCAAATCCCGGTGCACGAGGTTCAGCTCCTCGTGCAAATACGCACAGGCGGTGAGAATCTGCTTCATCATGCAGGCAATGTCGGCGTTGGTGAGTCGGGTAAAAGTCGTGTGGTAGTTATTCTTGTTGTGCCACCTATGATCATCCGCCCCGCCGATCCCAAACGCTTGCCGGCTTGATGATGTTCCACCTGGTGGCGGTGAACCGGCAACACCAGAAGCAGAAGCTCCTCCAGAAGACCTCTCCAGCAAATCTTCTTTTCTCTTTTTCTCCCGGTACCTCTCCATCAATTGCACCACTTCCTGCTTCTTCTCCGCGATCAAGGCCGCGTTTTGCCGCGTCTCCTGGTTCGTCAAGTGCTCGATTTGCTGTTCCAACTCCGCGATGAAAACTGGGTACTTCAACAAGAATACCAGGTCCCGCTGGTGTTGCTCGATGCACTTCCGCAAGTTCAGGTCCAAAAACGGCATCACCAGGATCAAGTCCTTCGACTTCGCGTCCACGAACGCTGTCACCATGGAGATCAAATTGTCGTGCCTGCAGATCGACATCGTCTTCAGTTCGCGGATCGACGAGATGTGCAGCCCGGAGATTTGGGAGGACTGGGCCTTGATCTTCTTCAGCGCTACGGTGCTGGAAGTCAAATTGTCCCGACATTTGATCTATCAAATGCAAAAGTGTCTGGGTCTGGAAACTTGTGACGCAAGGACGGGAATAGTGAGCTCACTGTAATGATGCGCTCCACAGCATGACAAGTTTTTTTTCATGGTTCTGAGTTGCGTACTCCGCATAAGAAACTGCGTTTTTGCATGACAGGCAGGAGGAGCTCTTTGCGACCACGCAATACAGAGTTCAGAGTCATGCCAGACTAGCATGAAAAATCTCGCAATCTCCCAGACCCAGACATATTTGCAATCGATATGATCACCTTACCGTAGGTTCCCTCGCCGACGTGGCGCTCCAGGACCTCGAAGCGGTCGTTCTCGCCGTATTTCAACATTTTACCTTTAGAATTTTTTCAAAATAGTATCCAAATGAATCAATTTAGGTGTCAAACTCGATGAAAAACTCTAACTCTTGTTTTTACTTTACACTTAAAAAAATGTTTATGCGAAACTTTATTTGCTTTTATTTAAGGTGACACACTATAACTCTGGAGGAGGATACGAAAGAAAGACCAGAGGAAGTCGTAGTAGTTGTCGCCTCAGTTGTGATTTGTTTCGATGTCGATTTGTTGGAAGCTGAGAAATATAAAGAGAGAACGGGAGCGAAGTGCACAGACTTAAAAAAGATACGTCAGGTACAACGAATAATCTATCAGTGGTCTTGCTCGATTTCTTTTTTTTTGTGTCAGAAGTTCGATAAAGTCGCTACAAGGAAGTAAGTACTCGCTGGTGTGTCGCTGTCGCCTGTGTAATTTGAAAAGAAAAATGTGAACGATGAAACAAAAAAATGCTTTTGGAACAAGGGATGCACCACACGCATCCTTCAACATCAACGCACGAATGGGAGTGGCTTTACAAAAATGAAGATCGTGATCGCGATTGTTTTACTGAGCCTGTTAACAACAACAAGAGCGAAAGACCTTGAGAAATGAGGATCCAAAAGAAGATCTCCACCTTCAAAATCCCGCTGAGATCCTTGCTCGAAATGATCATGTATGAACTGTTAGAGCGCCTGCACGAAGTATGATTCAACTCCAAATAGAACACTGATTCATTTTCTTTCATCCGTGCTGAATTTCTTGCAGGTACGATTCACAATATCTTTCCAATGGGCAGCGCCATGTCATTTTTCATGTGATCTGGCTCTGGGGGTCGTGGGCGCAGCACTCCCGGCAAGAAAGAGAGTTCCGCTTCCGAGCTTTTTGATGTCGCGATTGAAATATTAAGTAATCTTCTATCACTGCAAACTGTGCCCCTTGGCCATCATGAGACTTTTGAGAATATTGCTCATTCTCGGCTGGCCCTTCTTGTTTCGCTGGTTTTCGCGCAAGTGGTTTTTCGTAAACCGTTTGTTCTTCGTTATCCTGCGCTTTTTCGAAAACTCCTTTTCCTGTTCCAGCTTCTCGTGTAATTCCTGCTGTTTTCTCCTCTCCTCCTCCTTCTGCTGTTGCAGGACTTTGCTAAAACGGGTTTTCTTCGCTGCAGGGTACGATGCTGTACTCCAGTCGTCGGCTTTCGAAGATGACTTTGCGCTGCTCATCTTCGCCTTGGACGTTTTTCTTTCAACCTTGCTCGAAGCTGCTGTGCTGGCGTTTTGCTCCGCGCTAGCACATTTTCCTATCGCGGTACCTGGCGCAGCACCGGTATCATTGCCGTTCGTCTTTCGTTTCTTCTTTTTCTTCTGCTTGTCGGCAGCGCTTGTCTCTGCTGCTGCAGTACTGGCATCTGCATTTGAAGTACTGGTAGCGGTAGTTGCACTTTTCTTGACCGATGGAAACGCTAAATCTCGCTCGTACGCATCTTCGTCTACTCGACTGGAAAATTTGTCATGCGGATCTTCGTGTGCCACCCCTGTTCCGTCATCGTGTGCAGCTCCATTTCTGTCACCAGCGTCAGAAGATATCCCCATCTCCTTCATGATATGCTTCTTCTGTCGGTTCCACTTGTTCTGCTGTTTTTTCGCCGTGAAGTACTTTTTCTGCCGCTCCTTCGCCACGTACGCGTTGTACGGAGCGCGCTTCTTCTTCTGGAAGTTTGCGCCCTTCATAATTTTTTTAGTTTGTCACAGTACTAGCACAACACGAATTCAAAGTTTACCGTGATTAGCAGTTTCGTACAATGTATTGTATTTGATGTCGCAACAACAAAACTTAAAGAAGCAGGATAGGTCGCTGTGACAGTGACATTGAAACACAAAAAAAAAATCGTTCGGGGGTAGTGGGACTTAAATAGAAATGCTGTCCCTATCAAGCACTGCTATTCCCTTCAACTTTTTTTTTCGTCCTTTCGGGATCTTCTAAATTTCTTTTCTCGATCGATCTGCTCCGCCAATGGATCTTTGACTCCTTCATTCTGAGCGATGTTTTTCTTTGGTTCTGGAGATTGGACTGTGCATCAACAGAACGCAAAGTAAATTTAGATCAGATCTGCATCTCACAAGTCAAGCTAGAAACATCACTACGAACGCGGCACGACAAGCACCACAGCATTCATTTCTCTTGATCGCGTGCAGTCGACCGTCGCTGAACAAAATTTCCATGCGATGTAGAGGAGTTCTGCCACAAACAGGGCAGGAACCAGCTAGCGGATAACGCAACATCGCCCCTCTTCACTGGACTTTTCCTCGCTCCTTATTCATCTGGGGGTTGCTTCCTGCAAGTCTCGTTTCTTAATAAAACACGTTTCTGCAAGTCTCTGTTAGTTGCTCCTGGTATACGTAATGGATATTCAGGGAGGCTGCAGGGCGCGAGCCTTTACTTTCGGGGACTTGCAATGTGTTTGCTTTTCGAACGTAAGCCTAGCGCAAGAGGAATAGTTAAGGTTTGCTCAATAAAAAAAACCTGGGCAAAACACAAGCTCCACTTTGGGATGTTGGGTTACATACTAGGAATTTCTACATTTTGTTTCTCCTACTCCTGCATCTTCGGAGCAAAACGAAACTCACACACGTCGGTCAGTACTCTTGAAGTGCTGAGCATAATCTCGCGCCACTATTGTTCTGTGCCTTTAATTGTTCTACTCAACTTAAATACTGAGAATGCATCTTCAGCTGGTTATGGTTTCGTCGCTATATTTTCAAATAAGATCCGTAGGGAAAAATCCATCAACTTTGTCGTTAGGTGTCGTCTACTTGATGTACTTCATTTCATATTCTTGTCGTCATTAGATTTCACATTCTACTATGTGGCTTTCAGGATGGGGGTACCACCCTCTTTTGCCAACACATAGACATACCTCATTCTTCTTGCTCAAGTGTCCCACTCTTCAGCTCGTTCCTTGTTAATGTTATGCTCCAGAAGATGGAGGAACAGAAGCAGCAGAAGGCGAGCCCGGAGGTGGCAACACAACTGCTTCTTCTTCCACAATAGGGCGATAATCTGGTAGGTGCCGCACCCGCGGCCGCATCAAGAAAATAACCGGCTCAACATCGCAGAGACCACCGTTGGAACCACTTTCAGCTCGTCCTTGACGAGCATGCCGCCCTCGCCTCAGTCTTCTTCTTGCAGCTCCTCCGGAATTGAACTTACTGCTGGCGTACAGCTTCTGCAGGTTTTCGCAAATCAGTTTCTTCGCGGTTTCAAACGCCGCAACAGAAGCTGGTGACAAAGATGATCCTCCTGGCGACGGCGAGGCTGCTGCCCCGGCTACTTGTTGCCCTTGTGGCGACTGTCGGTGCGCTTGGACAGATGCCGGATTGTGGTGGTAAAGCCAGGCTTGCCAGTTTTTCTCGATCGTTCGCTCCAATTCCTTGTACAGCTCTGCGTAGCTCAGATTCATCACCGTCTTGTAGTACTTCTCCGTCCCGAAGATCGTGGGTAAGTACGTCAGAAAACACCGGCTTTGGTGCTGAAGATGATGATGGTGCTGCGCACCACCGTGGCTGCCTGCGTCAAACGCAGCTGGTGCTATCACCCCGTCCGCCCCGAAGGAAGACGCCAGCCCGTTATTTCTGTTTTGGTTTTTGGGAAAATAGGAAACCGCAAAACAGTTCGGGTGCGCCTCACACTGCCGGAATTTCGTCTCGCACTCGCGGCCGAGGTGGGGAGAAGAATATGAAGATGATGCGCTAGAAGGTTGCTGGTCGTAAATAACATCTCCAGTGACTTGGTACGTCTGCCAGGGGAAGAAGTTCTTCGAATTTTTCCACGTATCGGGGTCTCGTTTCACCACCTGTTCGCTAAACTCAAACGCTGGCTGCAGGTAGATCCACTGTGTGGACACCTTTCTCGTCACAGAAGCATTCTGAAAAAGCGAAACCAGCGGGAGCGTTTCCTCGAAAGTTCGGGTTCCGGTGACTTGCTTTGCCGCGGGCTTAGGCTCCGCGGCCGCGGGCGTGGCACCGGCGCCAGCGGGGGCCGCGGCTTTTGGGGGAGCAGAAGAAGTCGCCGAGTCGTTATTCGCGGGATTATGCACTGCCGCGTTAGTTGTTCCGTCAATCTGCTGGCCAGCTCCCGCACCGGAAGCTGGAGCTGGATTCTGTCCCGTTCCTTGCTGTGCTGCTGCAAGACCAGCTGCCGCCTTCCCCGCCGGAGGAACTGTAGCTGTTGCTCCACCTCCACTTCGCTGTTCGCTTTCCCACAACCCTCCATCGGGGGAAAACGCGACTGCCCGCCGCAAGACCGCGTCCGCTCGCTCGTGTTCTTTCGCCGTTTCATCCAACAGGCGCAACAGAAACTTTTTCGCCGACTTCGGAATCCGGATATCCGCGTACTCCTCCGCATTCCGGCCCGCCCGATTCTGCTGTCTCTGCCGCCGACACAGCTCCTGCGACGCGTTGCAGATCGAGTTTGAGTACGCCTGGTTCGCCGTGTCGGCCAGTTGCGAGTAGTCGCGTACCTGGAAACGCAGGTCGACGAAGTCATCGGGGTTCTCGCCCGGTTGCACGGACCCGGGACTCACCGGTGGCAAAACTCGGACCTTGTACCGCGTAAACCGCAAGTTCGTTCCGACGTATTTCTCCCCACCGTTCGGCACGTCATTCTTCGTTAGAAGGAGCTGTCCGCAGTCGAGAGTGCAGTCGAGTTTCATGTTCGTCATCGTCTCTTCGTTCTGTCGGTTTAGAATGTTGTGGACGTTTGTCTCCCGCAACAGAAACTGGTAAACCTGCCGAATCGACGTGTGGCCTTCCACCTTTAGATCCCTCTCGATCCGCGCGCGGAGGTTCTTATCCTGCCCGAGTTTGAGCAGCGTACAGGGGACTTTTTCGTGGTACGCGTACGCACCGGCCTCGTTCTGCTCGTTCTCGTTGACGAACGCTTTCAAGAGCGAACGGATGTTCACGTGCAGGTCCAAGCTCAACGGTGGTGGGAAAAGGTCGTCTCGCGGGACAAGTGCCGCGGACGAAGACGATGATGAACCTGCAGGGGATCGTCCTCCAGGCACGGCATTTACTCCTCCTACCGGGCTTGCGGCTGGGGAGTGAAACTGTGGCGTCTGCTGCGGATCCTCGTCGTCAACAGCTGAAGAAACAAAAGCCGCATCCGATTCCTCCGGATGTAGAGCGTGCACCTCGAGTTGAAACGGTCTGCCGCGCTCCAGGGCGCTCAACTCCGTTTCCGTCTCCCCGACGTAATGCGGGTCCTCGACGCGGCCGAAGGCTGGCAGAATCAGCGGCAGCTTCGAGTTCGTTTTCGCTCGGTTCAGACTCTGCAGACTGGCGGATAAAATTCCATCCGGAGAAGAGCCATTCGTGCTCGGGCCTGAAGATCCCCCGGCCGCGGCGCCAAGCGTGGTCCCCGCGCCGTGGGGGAATTCTGCGTGAAGGGAGACCACCACCGGCTTCGAGCCCTGCCACGTTTCTGCATCGTCGGCGATGGCTAATTCCTGCAGCGAGTTGAACACCGGCATGTTGCTCTGTCGGAGATGCTCGAGCACCTTCATGGTCACCGAGAGCGGTATCGGGCTTGTTTGCATCTCCACGCAGCGACTGTGGACCTGCCCCATCTTTTCCAGCGTGAAAACGTGCTTGGAAAAATCCGAGTGCAGCGTCTCCTGCACCTCCGCGAGGGGGAGCAAAAACGGGTACGACGGGTCCGATACCACGTGCTGCTGCTGGTTCGCAAAATTCTGCGGCTTGGGAATCAGAGGATCGATCAGCCTGCGCTTTTTGTTATTATTTCCGTTGTTATTCCCGCCCGCTGCCCCGAGCGGTCTGTTCATTGCCGGAGGTTTGTTGTTCCCGACGACATTGCCGCCGTGGTTTCGGGCGAAAAAGCCAGCACCTGCAGCTCCCGGCTTGTTGTTTCCTCGGGTTGTTGACTTCAAACTTGTTTTCTTGACGAGAAAGTTGATGTCGATTTTGTCGCCGGATTGCGAAAACGCAACCTGGGAGTGCTGTGAGCGGAGTCTGTCGGGCTTGAAAATCTTGTTCAGGATGGTCAGCATCTTGTTTCGCAGTTTTCGGTCCTTGTACAGCCAGCGGGAGACACAGTCGTCGAACTCCACGTCGTGCTTCAAATAGTTTTCCAAAAGGATTCGCTCCCCGTACTTCGTGCGGGTTCGCAGCTCCCTTATCACACCAGTGTTGAAAAGCACCTCCAGGATGATCACGGACTGGTTGTTTCGGCTGCTGCTGTTATTGTTCATCCCTGAACCATTGTTTCCGCCAAACGACTGATGTCCACCACTCCCGTCTGGGTGCGGTGTGCCGGGCGGACTGGGCGACACACTGCCCGAACCACTTCGCGCCGCCGCAAAACCCGCACGGGAGGCGAGCGTTTGCGCGAAGCTGGCCGGGACCTTGTCGACTTGCACGTACTCTAATCTCGTGATCACCCCCTTCGTGCGCTTTTTCACTTCGGATGCGCCGCAGCAGGTCTGTTCCAACCCCGTCGCTAATATATCTGTCCGGGCGATGACTCTCTGGCCAACGTACCAACGCATCGGCCCGCCATTCGGACTTCCTCCGAACAAATTTGTGTATGGTGCCGCAAAAGCAGTAGAAGCCGCACCGCCACGGTTAATCTGTTCCGCGATAGAGGTCGCGGTCAGGTACAGCTGGTGATCCTGCGGACTTCTTGCGTTGTTGGGATTCGTTGCGCCTCCAAGACCTGCTGCGCCACTGAACGGCGTCGCGACCCCGTCGAAGCTGGTCATGCGGCTGGTTCTGAACCCCGGATAGTAGAAGGTGCTGATCTGCGCACGCCAGATATCGTAGTCATAGAAATTCCTCGGGCGCCTGACCGAGGTAAACTTTGCGTTGAGCGGCACAGCGGGGCCGGGGTTGACGCTCGGGCTCGCGAAAGCTGCTGCTGATCCTTGTTGATTCATGTTATTCTGACTTACCAGCACCGGAGGTGGCAGCACATCGAAGTTCACTCGTACGGATTGGTTCAGCTGCAACTTCTCCAAAAAATTCAACCGGACGCCGTAGAACTCGGGAATGCGCTTGTAAAACCTGGAATGCGGATTCTCCTGCTTGGAAAACAGAATATCTGTTTCTGGGGTCCGCAGCCGCTGGTTCCAAAACAACTGGCTTTGGCTGTCTTGGTGCATCTGGGACGCGACTTGAGTCCTGGACAAGTTTGCAGCTTCCCCTTCTGCGGGTGTGGCTGATGTCGGCTGCTGGGCTGGATTGTTTGGCGAAGCAGGGGGAGGAGCTGTCGCCCCACCGGCACCGTTTGGTGCTGCAGCAGAATCAGCACCACCCTGTTGCTGTGCTCCCCCGGCGGCGCCCTGGGCACCATTCTCTGTCGAAGGCGAAGCGGCCGGCTGCGGCGGTTGGTGATTCCGTCCATTTGCGTTATTTCCCGCCGGTGTTGCGGATGAAGTGTCTCCATCACCAGTCCCTCTGTAGTTCAACCCCTCGTCTTCCACGTCGCTCCAGCCAAAGTTCATGCTATTTTGGTCGTCTTCGATGGAGCAGCTGGGAGTCATCGTGGGATTGAAAAAATTTGGAAAGTTGATCGGCACTTCGAGATAATCGTCCCAGGTGACGCCGACCGAGGTAAAATCTTGCGCCATGTGGACGCGGATCTCGTTGTTTTGCTGCTGTTCTTGACCATTTTGGTTTTGCTGCCCGAGAACCTTGCGCAGCGGGTAGATTGTGTTGCTCTGCGGGTGTTGATGATGATCGTCCCCAGTTCTACTTCTTTCCGAAGCTCCGTAGTAGTCCAGCACCCGCATTTGGCAGAAGTTAGAATAGTAGAAGTTGATGAAATACGGAATGTACCCCATTTTCACAATGGCGCGCTCCATATACCGGTTGATGCTTCCAACGAGATCTATCGGGTACTGCGGATGGTCTCCTGGGGTGTTGTTATTCGCAGAATCTTCGGACTGTGCATCGTCTTCGTTTGCAGCAGCACGACCTGCGGTAGCTGATTGGCCGGAAGGACGAGCGGGATCACTTCTTCTATTCGGCGCCGAACGGTCGTTGTGGTGTCCGTGGTCCGCGACATTTGGAAAACCGATGTGAACCTCAATGTCCCGCTTCGGCTTCTCCTCATAAGCGGCGCTCTGTTGCTGCTGCTGCTGTTCGTTTCGGAAGTTGTGGCCGCGATAGTGAAAGTTTGGATTTCTTCTCCTCCGCCGATTATTCAAGGGGTTCGCTGACTGGTCCCTTCTCATCTTCTGCAGCAACTTTTGCCGAAAGCGGCAATAGGGCCTATTTTTGAATTTCCGAGTCGCCAGCGCGCCCGCATCTGCTCCGGTGCGGCCCCTGTTTGTGTGATTGACGTTTTGATGCTGGTGCTGACCCCCAGCATCTGCTCCTTCTTGCGCCAGCCCGACGGCTCCCTGTGCGGCGATTTCTTCACAATCGCCGGAGCTGCTCGCGCTGAGCCGGTTGTTCGCGAGCTCCTCCTCTACCTCGTTTGGATTCGGCCGGTCGTGCACCCGGACGTCCATCCGCATGGACACCACGGTCGCCTTCCTTTTCCTGCTGTACAGAATCCGGATTTTCGACAGCCACTCGCGGATGAAGCGCTGCTGCGAGTAGGAGATGCTGCGATTGATGATGGCGTTGATTCCGTCCGTGGCGATCAGAACGGAGGACATGAACCGCACGAACAAATTTCCGCCCATCCCGAAGCCCGGGCCGTCGTTCGCATTCGGGTAGTTGCACGCGTGCGACGGCCACAAGCTGCCGAAGATCTTGGCGTACAGCGAGCCCCCGCCGGAACAGAGCAGCACGGAGAGAAGCCGTCGCGGTTTGCGACCCATCTGTTTGGGGCGACGGGTGGAGGCGGCGGGATTGCTCTGTTGATCAGCTGCAGTGGTCCCAGAAGTGTTTCCGCCTGCTGTCGCCCCCGCGCTGTTAGTGCCGCCGGGTGAGGATCCGGAGGCCAGCGAGCTTCCGGCCATATTCGGGGCCCCAGGAGAATTGCTCCTCTGTTGCTGCTGCGCCGCCTGAAAACTTCTGCTCGCGTGGGGCGGGATCAAAGTGTCCAAAATCCGGTCTTGCCTGTCGTTTTCCGCGTTCGATTCTGCGAAGTTGTCTTCCTCATCCATCAAATCCGCGTTGTTCAGTACGTCTGAAGACAAAGTGAAAAAGTCCGCATCCACGTCGCGTTCGTCAACCTGCCCATTGCCGTGGTTTCGACGGTTCTGAGCCAGATTATAGCCAGAGGACCCACCACTTCCAGTCCCGTCTTCGTTTTCATCAGAGTCGACATCTTCTGAGTCGGTGTTGTAGTCGGCACCCGCATGATGATCTCCGTCGCTGCTCTCGATCACTTCCTCAAAAGCCGCGTACTCGATGATGAGCAGCGATATCTGTCCTTCCATCCACACGTAGGTCGGCATCAGACTCGCGAACACCCAGTGGAACCCGTCCATCGGGATTCGCAGCCCGTTCACGTTCACCGAGAGCTTCGTCAGCGTCACGCGAGACGACAGACAGTAGTGGAACAATTCCCGTTCCTTCTCGTTGTCCGGAAATAAATCCTCCGGGGTGAGTTGCGACAGCTGCTTGGAGCCGTTGGGTGCGTATCGTAAAGACACGGTCTTTTTCACCCGCCGGAGAAAGTTGTCGCATTCGTGCGCCAGATTTTTGTCATCCGGGTCCTGCTCCTGCTGGTTGCTACTACCGCTGCTCCCGACCTGCCTCGTGACCGTGCGCATCAGATAGGGCTGGTTCATCTTTCTGGACAGCAGAAACAGCGGCAGGGTCGAGAGGAATACGGGGAAGAGGAAAAACCAAGTCAGTTTGCGGAACTGCGTATATCTCCGTTGCCTCTTGATTTCCTTCTGGATCTGCCGTTCCTTCGCTAGGCTCGTCTCCGAGACGCGACGGCGACGACTACTCGTGTGGGGTGGATGCGTTTCGTGCGGATTGCCAGGGTTCGAACCCGCGCCAGGAGCCCAGACGCTACTGTCGGAATGAGAGCGGCGCTTGTGGAAACTCTGCCTCATCGCGTCTGCAGTCACTTCAGGAGATGCCTTTCTCGAAGATGACAATACCGTGTTGACGTTGTCCGGATGCAGCTGGCGACTGTGGCGGTTGGTCAAGACACTAGCACTAGCAGTGGATCCAGTTGCGGTTGCGCCGACATCTTCGACTGCTGGCGACATAATTCCTGCAGATTTTTGGACGTGCTCCGCCTGCTGAAGATTCCTAGCTGCGTCATTTTCTGCGCGGCGGTGTGGATCATCGGGAGAACAGTCTTCGAGCCCGCCGCCCCTACTGCCGTGGTGCGGAAAAGCCTGCGGCGACGCCTTCTGCTTCTTGCTCCCAGAAATCGACCACGAGTGTCTTCGCGTCGCGCACCTCCGGCGGCGGACATTCGCTGCAAGAAGGCGGCCGCCGCCACTGCGACCTCCGAGTCCTCGTCGCGCATCAACATGGTCTGGCGTAGTTTCAACATCTTCTTCTGACACAAGAACATACTCGTCGTGGTCGCTGCTGGCAACTTCTTCGTCGTCGGTTGCGACATCGCTGTACTCGTCGGACCAGTCGTCGTCAGAAGAGCAGGAAGTGAGAATCGACGACTCGTCGTAGAAACTCGTCGAGGTCGTGAACAACTCTTGTTCTGCTTCGAACGACTGCTGGTGGAAGGGATGTCGACTTCTACTTCTGCGTTGACGCGGAGGACCTTGTCTGCAGTGCGCGTCACCGCTCTCAGGCGTGTTGCTGGACCGAGACATCAAAGACGACCAGGAAATCCGTGACAGCCGCGGCACAATGGTTTCGTTATTTTTTCTCATGCGATCATTCATCATTCTGTTGCGCGAAGAGGAACAAGAAGAGCTATGGCCACCTCTTTTGCCGTAGCTATTTCCATAATTCGACCGACTTCTCGTTCTCAACTTCAAACCTCGTCCCCCGCTCTTGGAGCCTCGCCTGGCCGAGCTTTTGGACCTCAACCTGCCGCTTCGCGTCCGGGGGCAGAACTTTTCGACGCAGCAGGCCGGAAGAAAGTATTTAGCGCAAACCAATCTCCCGTCGCGTCTGCTCCTGCCACAACAGGTCCTTCTCAAACGCGCCCGGCAGGTTAATCCGGTTCGATTGCAATGCTCCCCGATCACCTTGAACAAGAGGTAAAAGACAAACGAGAAGAGCATCACGTGCAGGTAGAGAAACGCGATGAATTCGAAGGAAGAAAGTTGTGCGAAGTTCCACCCCTCGTAATACCCCGTGCGCTTCTCGAACTGGAAAACAGTGGAACTGACGGACCTCTTCTGGTTTTGGGTATTTCGGTTTTGACTCTGCTGGTTTCGCTGCACCGCCGCATTGCCGTCATTGCTTGCCGGTGCCACTGTGGATCTCAAGTGGTCCTCGCGATCGCCAGCGAGGCGCACAAAGATGTTCTCAATATTCCAGGCGTTTTCACTCACCTCCAGCACCGCCTCGGCCTCTTCCAGCTTTTGCTCGAAATCCACGAACTTCTCAGTAGCTGGATAGCTTTGTCTGTTCGGATTGCGATTGCTTCCTCGATTACGAGCATTATTTCCACCCCTCCGTCTGTGCTGGTGCCTGTTTTGGTTCAAATTTCCATCTCCACCCCCTCCTGCGCGTCTGTGCGGTGGGTGGTTCCTGGGCAGCACGCCATCGCTTTGCTGCAAAGCGGCGAATTCCGCCTCCTCTTGGTCCTCCTCCACTTCGCTGGCATCAGAAAAGAACATGCTGTTGCGAAGATTCGAATCATCATTTTCGGCCCGGCTTCGTGCAGATTCCATGTCGGATTCATCTCCTGGTGCTGAGTCCTCATTTTCATCCTCATGATCGGAGTTGACGTTCATATCAGTCTCGTCGTTTTCAACCTCACTATCGGAGGCTAACAGACGGAAATTATCTTGCTCCTGTTGTCCATTATTTCTCCTGTTGACCGCCACGCCATCAAATCCGCTACCGAAGTGGTGCTGGTCTGCACTGTCCACCACCTCTTCCTCCACCCCGCCGCGAAACTCGTTTTGCTCCAAATCCTGCCGCAGTCTGGCGTTCTGCGACACGTCGAAGGGGTAGTATCGGTCGGTCAGATGCCGCACTTTCACCTTCGACTTCAAATGCACAAAAATCCCGGACACCCGCTTCAGCCACGGGAAGACGGAGTTGGTGGCAGGAGCGACGTAGCCGCCGCCGCTGTTCGGGTAGTTGCCGGCTGCGTGCTGGTGGCCCGGGCCACCTCCTGCAGCTCCAGGGTTGAGGGTCTGTTGTTGTCCACCTGGATTACCAGCTGCACCTGCTCCCCCCACAACTCCATTGCCGTTCAACATCTGCGCACTATTCCCATCCTCTACAAACTCGAGAGCCGCGTCCTGCAATTTGGTTTCCAGCTCCACGTAGCCGAAACTGGGCGTCAACTGCACATCCTTCACCCGCAACACCTCCACTTCCTGATCCTCCGCCGAGAGAAATTGCTCGTTATCCGAATCGTCGTCCTCCGAGTTGTTCATGGAGCTGTTCGAAAAATCGCTGTTTCCTGCTCCAAACGAGCTCTTCGTCAGCCTGACGCGGTCGGTGAGCGGTTTCAATAACCCCGTGAGCAGTCGGAAGGGCTCGACCACGAACTGATTGTTCAGATTGGCATTCGCGTTTTGGTGATGATGTCCTTGACCTCCGCCGGCTGCACGGTTAGCGTTATGAATCTGCTGGTGGTGCTGCTGAAAACTGCCTACGCCGTCAAAAGTGTTGAAGTCGTTAAAATTCTGCTGATGGGAATTATTCAGCACATTGTGCCGCTGTCTCTTGTTCGCGTGCCACACGCGAAGGACTTTGCCGGTACGAGCAGGGGATGAAGATAAAGACCCCGAAGGTGGAGGAGAAGTACCTCCTTGTTGATTGCCCCGCCCATCATCTACTGCCGGCACTACAGTCGCCTGCTCGTGGTCCAGTAGTGCCATGTCCAGCGATCCCGCGAGCATCGCAGTCGGCCGGGGGATGTTCAGCAGTGCGTAGTAGGGCTGTTTCACTTCCACCGTCCCGCACGCGTCGCGTTCCAGCAGAACCACTGCGCCCGTCACAGGATCCACGCTCTCGCACTGCTTCAGGTTCGCGATGGCCCGCACCTGCTTGAAACCCGGACTGATCTTGAATCTTTCGGAGAGGGTGTAGGCGAGGATGGTTCCAAACCGGACCATCAAGGGCTGGAGCAGCAGATCCAACGTCGGGATGATCGACGAGGCCGCGTTCCCGTCCAACAACATTTCGCGCACGAAAAGCGCCACGTGCGGCTTCACGAGCTGCTCCATTTCCGGGGAGGACGTCCCGGAGAGGGTCTGCGCCAACCGGGTCAAGCCCCCGATCATGGTGTGTGAGGGGTTGATTTTCAGGTGCTCGCAGCGGATATTCTGGATGTCCACAGCCTGGCCACCCTGCGCAATCTCCGCGGACGCGGTGGTGGATTTGGTAAACAACGGCTTCCCAATCATCGTCCACTGCCAGTTCGGCTCAATCAGCACGTTGGGGTTGAATTTGTACGGCGGCCGGTCCTCGGCCGAGAGGAATGGGTTTTGCTGGTTCAAATTGTTGTTCGCATTAATACCGCTGATGTTCATCTGTGTCGCTGAGCCACTAGAGTTTCCCTGCAACTTGTACAAAAACCGGTGCGCCACGGCGTTGGATCCCGCCTTTGGGTGTCGCGACGGGAAGACCAAGTGTCGGTCGCGCAGCGGGCGGGTGGTCGGGGTCCTCGTAGTAGGAGTTGCACTACTCTGCTCTCCTCCAAACGCACTATTCCTGTTCCCGCTGGTCCGGGTTGTCGACGACATGAGCCTCTTGGCCACCAACTTCCGGTGGAACTCTTCCTCCACCAGCGTCCGGCTGGCGCGAAAGCCCAGCGCGAAGTGAAAGTGCGGGAGCTGGATTTTCTCCACCAGCCCCGACCGGACGCACAGGAAGCCGGGGACCTTGGTCCAGACATCGGACAGAACGAGGTTTTTGATCCCGACCCCAGCCTCCTTCAAGTCTCCCTCGACGACCAGGTCGCCCAAATCCGTCTGGGATAGGCCGAACTCAAATTTCCCCTTTGTCAAATACAGCCTTTGGAGCGCGACAACGTCCAAAACCAAGTCATAGTCGCTGAAATCGTCTTCGGGAGGGTCGCTGGCGGGCGCTGGGGATTGCGAAGGGGGCGTCGCGGGCTGTAGTTGACTTGATGTTGATGTCCCTCCCTCTGCAGGAGGTGGTTGAGAAGACGGCGCCTGCGGCTGTGGTTGCTGATGTGTAGTTGACGTTGCAAGAGGTGTATTGGTTGGGGCTATACTGGGTGGGACTGAGCTACCTGGCTGCGCGGACTGCGCTGGCGGTGCTCCGGAGGTTGCTGCAGAATTGGTCCCTGACCCTGCTGCGTTCGCTCCGCCACTTGCTCCGGCTGCGGCACCTGTCGTGCCCTCTGCCGCCGAGGATGCTGGAGTTGTTCGTCCTGTGCCCGCACTACTAGCACCAGCAGGAGCTGCTACACCTGCTACACTCCCCGCCGCGCCACCAGAAGCCGCACCTCCTCCATTGGACGATGACCTGTTCAACACCCGCGTCTGCAGCCACTGCGCTGCCGTCCGGACCGCTTCCAGAAAGGGTCGGATCCGCTGCAGCATGCTGTTGCCCGCGGCGTTCGCGGTCCCCGCGAGCAGCGTGCTCAGTTCGGAGATGATCCAACCCGGGGCGTTCTGCACGGTCACTTGCTGCGAGGCGTGGTCGAAATTTCCGAACAGGCCGGGGCGCTTTCCCCGGTGCTCCCCGACGATCGGGAACACTCGGTCCGCAGTGCGCGCCTTGTCGCAGGTTTGCTGCTCGCTCTGCCACAGGTAGTGCTCGTAGGACAAGTCGTAGTTGACGCCCAACAGCTTCATCGCGCCCTCCGAGTCGAAGCCTTCCTCGTCGGTGCGGGCAAATTCGATGAACCGGTTGCGCCGCCCGCAAATGCTCTGGTCGCCGAACACGGTCACGCAAAAATCCCGGTCCCCGCGGAGGAAAGCGGGGTCCGTGTTTTGCGGAGTTTGGGCGGGAGAGGCAGATGACGTAGAAGGAGCTCCCCCGCCGGCAGGTGTAGGTGTTGTCGTTCTTGTGGAGGAAGAAGTACTACTAATAGACGACCGTGCTCCTGTCGCCGATGTTGCACTAGTACCTCCCTGTTGCTGCTGTTGGAACGGGTCGTTGCCGTTCGCCCACGGGTTCTGGCCCCGGAGCAGCTGCGTGACGATGCTGTTAACCGGGTCCCGGTAGCTGGACAGGAAGTGGCCCCCGGCGAGCAGCACCTGCGACAAGAGGCCGAACTGCGGGTCTTGCCGCGCTTCGCCGGTCGCGCGCCGGCGCAGCTCGCGCAGCGAGTCGGAGTCGTGGGGGGCGAGCATGGGGGAGTCCGCCTGTAGGGTTTCGTCGCAAATCACTTTGGGCTCCTCGTACCCCTGCAACACGCGGGAATACTCAACCGGGACGGGGCGGTTCTGTTTTTTATGAGAGTGCATAAAGTTGTTTTGCAAAAAAGTATACTTTTGGCAGAAGATGATGAAAATGCTGAAGAGGTGGTAGAAATTGATGTCGCGCTTATTCCCCGACAGCCTTCGGAAAATCAAACCAATCTCCTCTGCCAGAGGCGAGTTGTCTGACTGTCACACTCACAGGCACGTGCAGCTGTACTGACTCCCAACCTTAACATGAATGTGATTGTGAAGCAGAAGTGCACAACCACAAAAGATCAAAGAGCATGAGCATTCAGGCAAAACAAAGACAATCCTTCTTCAAACTACCCACTCACGACTTACCTTCAATTTGACCTTTCGTTCGTTCGTGACGGGATCACGAAACACGTTCTCGACCGTAAACCCAGTCACCCAGTTATCGTGCGCCAGCGGATCCCGCACCCACACATTGTCGTTCGCCGCGAGCGCCTTCCGACTTCCCCAGTAGCACAAGGGAAGCAACGGCGGAATGGCTTCCATCACACACTTAGCGACTTTTAGAACCATGCGCGACAGCAGCCACAAACTCCCGAAGCCCATCCGGTCAGGGAGGGAAAAGCCGGCTCTACTAGTTCCGCTTGTGCTTGTTGATGTCGCGCCAGGCGTACTGGCTGCAGGAGGGTTTTCCCCACTTCCATTGCTCCCGCCGTCTCTATGATTCCCGCCGAACACACGTGCAAAGCCCTGCAGCAGTTCCCGCATCGCGTTGCCGCTATCCCGTCGCATGCACCGTGCGAAAGTGGACTGCCACACGCCGGAAGTCGACCCTGCCACGTTGCGCGCTGCCTGGGCAACCCCTCGGCCCGCTTGCCCCGTTGCCGCTCCCATGGCGCCCGCGCGCAGCCGCGGGAGTCCAACTCGTCGCAAGAAGCCGAACAAAGAGGTCCATGATCGAGCAGGAGTTGGGGTGGGGCCATTTGAACCAACTGCTCCCTGCGCAGTGGTTGCTCCTCCTGGGGACTGCTGCTGTGGACCCGTTGCTGTTGCATCTCCGGGTTGTTGAGGTGGCTGCGCATTTGACGTCGTCGGGGACGATGATCCACCCATAGAAGCTCCACCAACGCCTCCACCTCCAGCGGGTGCTGCAGGCGAAGCTCCTGTGCTCGGCGGCGGGGTCGCCGGCGCCGGTACTGTTGCTCCATGACTTGCGAGCGTGTGCTCCACGTAGCTGGTACTGGTGATACAAAAGAGAAGCAGCAGCAGGATCCCACGAAAGGGCAGCATCGAGTTTTTACTGGTGGTGCAACAACCGGCGCTCATAGTACAAGAGCTCCTCGGAAGAGATGAATCTTCGAAATTCCGCGTCCGGATCTATAATTCCCAACAGCTCCACCACGTGCTGTCCTTCGTTAGTTCACTCAGAATCTAGTCAGTGTCTGGAGGGGGTTGCGCCGGTTTTTCGGTGACGTCGGTTTCCTGCGAACTGGTACTTCTTGAGATGCCCATTGAAGAAAGAGGCTGCGGTGCGATCGACGAGTAACTTGTGTCCCAAGTCGCAGATGTCCACCACAAATGAGATATGGCCCGGCGCATGCTGCTTCTTCTTCAGAAAATCAGATATTCGAGCTCGGGGAAAATTGGAAATAAAAATATACAAATGTCGATCGGACAACACAATTTCAAGTTAAATCGAAATCGAAAACGCGATCGACGCGATTGGGCCAAGGGGAATAAAAATATCACACAACCTTCAAGTCAATTTCAAAAACGTACTATAGTGAACAACCACTATTACCAAAACCAATTCCAATAGATCACGATTCAGCTACAGAGAACATAAAAAACCGGACAATGACTATGATGCTCATACTGGCTACACATATTCTTCAGCAGCTCTCGGCCCAACTAACCGTCCTGTCTATTTTGAGTTTTCTTCTTTGTATCAACCGTGATTTTTACTTTTTCGTCGTTCTTCATCGTCATGATGATGATAGCGATGCCTTGGATAACATCATTATTTGGATCCGATCACAAGAGATTTTTTCTTCCGAAATTATGACTTTTTCAAGATCCATCTGCATGAATACGATTTGCAGACTTTTGTGTTGTAGTCCGTGCGGTATTTTCTTGATCTTCTGTCTCTGTCTGCCTCTTCAGGTCTATCTTTGATGGGGATCCTGCATGTAGAGCATGCGCACTGGCACAAGCGGAGTGCCTAATCATGTTCATTTGTAAGCTGCAAATCTTGGTATCACACTTGACTTGCTGCTACTTGATCCACAAGGTGTGTGATCGTGAAGATTTTTGCGGATCCGCTTGGTCATGCGTATTCTTTGTCGAAGCACCTCAACACGAGGGGCGGAAATGTAGTCAGAGTGTACCCTGTATCCGGAGGACCAGAGGCAAGAACGGTTGCTTTTTTGATCTCAGCACTTTTCGACCACCTGCCAGCCTAAGAACCACCCTGAAGCGAAGAATCTAGACCGACGTTTGGGATTGCTCGTAGTACTTTCTTACTACTAAGCTGCTACTGGTACTGTTATCGTGTTTTTTTTTCGTCGAAACAATCATTGTACAAAGCATTTTACTATCTTCATTCATCTTCGGCATCAAGTTGTGCAATAAATCGGTACCTCCTTCTGCTCTTTGGTGACTCTGACCACAATACGATCATAACCATCCTGCCTTGCTGAGTCACTGAAATTCAACACTGAACGCTTCTTACGAATTATCCAGGAAAAAAAACCCATCATTTTTTGCTATTTTTTCATCTAAAAAATGAACCATTTTTTTCAAAAAGTTTTCAGGTTTGTGCGGATAGGCTTCTCAAAATATCTATGTCAAAATGATCTAGCTAAAGTGGCGTCGTTAACAGGCACAGAAGGAAGATATCAAACTAGCTAGGTGCAAAGCAAAACACTCGCAGCTGATGACGGGTCGCAGATCTCGCACAAGTCCTCCTCGCAGGCGCAGATCGCCGCTGGCCCCATGTGGGGCCAGCGAAGGTCAAATCGACGAGACCAGCCTTCTCCTCGGTTCTGTACTTGGTCGCGCGGCGTATCTCGCTTGGGCCTAGCTAGCTTAAAATCATCTAGTGATACTATGTGCCATGGACGCCACTAGCTAGTTGCGTTAGTTACATTTCTTCACGTGCATCATGCGAAAATAATTTTAGAATTTATTTTTTTTTTCATTTTTTTTCAGGGTTTTTTTGCATAAAAAAAACAGCAAAATGGATGTGGATGGGTTTTTTTTTCTGGATACGAATGTGGAGCACCATACTGGCTGCTTGTACTGCAAGGGGGTCTTTCTACTTCCAAGAGTAGGCGCAAGTCAAATTTTTACAAACCGAAATAAGCAATAAATGTGAGCAGCAGGCCACCGGCAGTGCCTGTGCTGGTCATCGATCTACCTAGGTAAAAGTCGATGCCTTCTAAGTCTAACTTCAATTTTGAATTGGTGCTTTCTGTTCTAGATATTCTACAATTACAATGAGAAACCGGTACCAGAGAGGATGACGACGAGATGTCCTAAATTATTGGAATTTAATGTCTGGAAGTGACTTCGTGTTCTAAAAAACTGAAATTCATCCGAGCTAAATTAATACTTAACTGCAGACACGGCAAGGGTGGCTGTGGTCCAGAGCACAAGAAGTGCATGGATTAAATAACCGCATGCAAGAAAAAAGTTACGAGCAAAAGGAAGCATGATTAATCTTAATGATGAAATTGAAAGATTGATAGACTTCGACGACGAGGCCGGGTGGATAGCCGGACCTGAAAAAAAATGAAAGACGAAACCCTTCGAACAAGTAGACAACGAAACTTCTACGGTGATTTCTAGCCGTCTTGACTCACTGCTGGTATATATACTTTGTTACAAGAATGAGGTGGTTGCTGAAGCTGTCGCCACAGGAGCGGCCGTTCCTGCCTCACCACCGGCTTCTTGCGAGGTTGTGGATGTAGCAGTACTACCATCTTCGCTGGTCGTTGTTGAGTCCGAGGTTGTGGCGGTGAGGTTTGAAGACGACCCAGTAATTTCTTCCAGTCCCATCTCGATCGTTGCGTACGAGGCCAGCTGGGCGATCCTCGTTGCAAAGGGCCACGAAATGTTGTCCAGCGTGTCGTCGATTGTGTGCCCAAATTTGGCCTCCGCATCCTAATATGCATGACAAACTGTTCTCAACTATCTCGAAGAGAAAAAAATAGTTTTGATGGCAAGCCTCATTGGTTTCATTTGGGTCTTCTGGGCGATACATCACGAATCTGTATCGCATAAACAGAAAACCAAAACGAGGATCCGTCGTTTTCTGTTTGCGACCTCCGTCGGAGGTCGCAATATTTCGTGCAATCTTATGTCAGGTGAGGCTTATCCTCTAAGCAGGGCCGAGGCCGTGATGATAGAATGAAATAAAGCTGCATGATCGACGTGCAACAAGCATCTTCGTTCTGCCTACATATGCCAGACTTGTTGTTCGAGACAGGGAGGAGATTAATTTGCGCTGCATACCAGGTTGTCGCGCTCGATGAGAAGAACCGCCGGGAAGTGGTGATTCAGCATGGAGATGTGGTCGGAACCGAAGCCGTGGTAGTTGACGGACAGGTCCAGCTTCGAGGGGTCGTCGTGCGACACGATGCGCTTCGAAAGTTCGCCTAGAAGGTTCACCAGGTGCTGCTGGGGTTGCTTGGTGTGGTCCAGGCTGGGGTCCGGGTACTCGCCCTTCGTTTCGAAAATCAGACCGGTCGGACCACTCGGAGTCTTCTGGTAACCAACCTGGAGAGAATCGTTTTGTATGTTTAATAATATCGGAATGTTTATTCTTCATCAACACATGTTATACTGACACGAAGAACAATTCCAAAAACGATCATGCGGAAACGCAATGCTAAACGAATTTGTTTCTCTTTTGCAGATCTCCCTTGTCGCTGACTCACAATACTACCTGGTCCATAATCAAGGCCTGGTAGACGGATTTTTTCTGCTCCTGCAATTTCTCTGCAAAAGCCGCACTACCGTACAGCCCCTCCTCCTCAGCGCTGAAGGCCACGAAGTAGATGGGTATGGAACAGGAAAGATAAATCGCAATCGAATCGTATTAACCAATGCGCGTAAACTAAATCCATTTTCATTTTTTTTTCATTTCTCGTCCTCGTGTCTGAGGTAGGTTTACTCAACTTACTACGGAGGAAGGGAAAAATATCACATTTCGACTGCTAAACTAACGATACTTAGCAAATCATGGGCATTCTTTCTACTCGCAAGATACAAGAGCTTAAACTTCCTAGAAGTTTCTGTCATTGCGCGGCCAGTGCCCTGTTAATACAAAAGACATGCAGCGACACACTGGGTTTGAATTTCATTGCGTGCGGTTTTTCCCGTGGCGATACTCGGTCGGTTTGGTGCCGTTTGCGCTTTCTCGAAGTACTTCGTAGCCTTTTCGGCGGCGATCAGCATTGCTGTGTGGTTTTATTTCAAAGTTGACGCGATTCTCATTTCCGGAATAGATCACTCAGACAATGATATTGTGACACTAAGGGTCAGGAAGAGACTAATAGAATACTTTACGCTAATTTAATTTTCTGTACATGCCACTCCACTGGCATTGTCGTCGGCACCGGGGGCGATTTGTCCGAAAGGACGGCTGTCGTAATGGGCCCCGACCGCAATGATCGGCTGATTTTCGTTACCGCTCTTCGCCTTCAGCTCGGCAACGACGTTGTAGCACTTTACGCCGGAGTATGAGAGTACTTAAATCCACCTCCCCTTGTTGTTCCCTTCATTTGAACGGCTCGGCAGCATACTGTTTCACAACATGAGTCACCAACCGCTTCTTGACACATTCACTTGCACGACCCGGCGTGTGCTAGCCTTTGCCTTGTTCATCCGAACCGACTGAAAAGTAGATGTGCTGCTAGAAATAGCGAGAGTGATGAAGAGTGGACGATTTCGATAGTTCTTTGGCTTTGCTATCTTGCATATACCTTCAACTCAAGAAGACAGCGGGGTAAAAAGGGGGCGAATTCTTGCACTCTCATACGGAGCAGTCGAACTCCTCCTCGCGCACGTCCAAATTCGGCAATTTTTCCGGGATATCGCACAAAAAGCATGCTTCTCGTGTAAACATGTATGACTTTGCAGGATCTGCATCACAAGTTAAAGTCTCGCTTCACATGACAAAGAATAAGATCTGCCATACGTGCTTTCCAAGAGAGAAAGACAGCACGGCTCAAATATGCATTTTTGCATGATACTATTCGAAGTTTACAGTGCAGAAACGCTACGTTTTTTCTATCCATACAGGTAGGCCTTGATGTATTCCCGGGCCTTCTTGTTTCCGTCGTTCTCGATGTAGCGCGATTCCTGGTTGTTGACGAATTCGGTGAGTAGGCCTTTGTACTCCGCCTCTGGCAGGGATGGTACGCTGATCAGGCTTGGCGTTACTTGTGACAAATCCTCCGTCGAGACAAACGCCTCCAGCTGCTCGACGATTTTCGAGTGTCGACGCGTGATTTTTTTGCTCTTCTCGACGGCCGCTTTCTGTTCTTGTTGTGCAGTGGACTGGCTTTTTTCCACCTGCGCCGATGCGTTCTCGTTCATCTTTTGCAGCTTCTGAGCTTGTCTTTGCTTGGTAATTTTTCCCACCTTGCTGTAGTTCAGCTTTAAAGACGATGAGGAAGCAATGGCCGTCTGCCCGTTGCTCGACGTCTTGCTGGTAGATGAAGCGGTAGCGGTGCCGACATTGACTTTGGACGCCGCGAGCTTCTTCTTTTGCAGTAACTGCAGGGTAGATGAAGTGGATGACAGGCTTTCGTGTCGCCCCCCAATCTGGTCCTCATGGTGTCTCCGCAAAAATCCGGTTGGTCCTCTCCGGTGGGGATTTCCGCCAGCCAGCTTTCCTAGTTTCCGGAGTTCTTGACTAGCCGAACCAGCGATATGCAGTGCAAAAACATCTTTCATCTGGCACACGCACGTAAGTACAACTACGAGCTGCAAGAGCAAGACGAGACGAGCAGAAATGTGCATGCCAATGTTGATGTAGCTCTCCATCTTCTTCATGTTCATGTAGTTCATGCCCCTGCTCATCCTGTGGCAGGAAGTTGTGGTCTTTTGAACAATCCCTCGAAACCGTATGTGCGTGGGTATGATGACGACAAGCAGTACATTCTTGCAATGCATAAGCCGCGCCACTCGAGGACGACGGGGACGAGGCGCCGGCGATTCCACCTGTCGCCCCTCCTGCTGCAGCAGCTCCGCCTGCTTCTCGTCGTACAAGCTCAGCAAACGCTCCTGTTGCACCACTCGCTGCTGTTGCAGCCCAGAAAGCGACGAGCGAGCGACAAGTGGATGTAGCACTGGAGGCGCACTTCCGCTGAAGTTTTCTAGTTTGATTCGCTTTAACATTCCGCCCCTCTGCATTGTTTCCGCTGCGATTCATAGGCGACATCGTTCTGTGATATAGTCCAGCCGTTGTAGCACGAGAAGTCGTTCGCACTATAGAACGGGACGCGGCGGGCGCCATTTTGACAGTCTTCGTCTTACTTCTCTTGCTGTAGTGTCATCGAAGAAAATACATAGAATGCCATCGACGCCCTCTTCTAGCACAAGCACGTTTACGCAACTACCAAATCACAAAGATCCACACGAACGGAAAACCAGAAGGGCTATTTTATCCGGTTTCAAGGTCAGGTGACTTTCCCATCTGAAATTAATGTCACTTCGGATCTACTTCTAGGTCTAGCAGTGCCACCACTCCTGCTCGTCCAACCTCAATAAACTCAGTGACATCACTCTATCTCCAAAACAGGGACGACATAGAAAACACTTCCTCTCGGTTCAACAACCCTTTTCTTCTTCATCATTATCTTGATAAAGTTCTTTGACAGGTGTAGTAAATTGCAATTGGTGTGAGCAGAGCTAGTAGATGCTGAACTAGCATACGCACCCGTTTTCCGAACCGACAACACCAGCTCCTGCGATGATGAATTTACGTAAACTTACAACGTCTTCACGCAAAAACTCGCGAGACTGCAACTCAATTTCACAACAGAGGAGTGAGTGTTGTGAGAAGGAGATTCCATGGCGATTCCCGAAAGCATTGACGACGATTCTCGAAAGCAATTGCAATATGAAGCACCCTGATTTAAGTAGTAATCGACTTAGATAACTGGGCACCATGGTGGGCAGGGAGCGCGCCCAATCGTTTGCCGCAAAATTTTCCTGAAAGAAACCCCATTCCTGATTATTCTGCTTTCCACCGAAGATCGAACTCTTAGAGGCGCAAACGCAAGCGCGATCCTGTCCTTAAAAACCACTTGACGCTCTTTCAATGCTCAAGATATCCCAAATCATGCAGAGGCGAAAGAAACAGATGTGATAGTGATAGATCCCGTGCGTAATAGCGATAGACGGTGTAAACTTTGGTATTCTTCGAATCGATACGGATCGTACTTTGCAACTTCTACGAAATCTGTACAGCAGCAGCCATTGAAAAAAAACCTGCTTCTGTCCCGCAATAGCATAACTCGAGTCATCTTTCATCTATCTATAGGCTTTATAATTTTGATTAATCTTTAAATTTGAGCAACTTAGGTCCTTGTCACCGCCAACATGTTTTTGAATCCATAAAAAAAGCTTCTGCGAGACAATTGTTCTCAGCAATCGGTTAAGTAAGTAACAATGACATATTTATAGATATACCGTTTTGAAATACCGACGTTAAGAGCGAGGGAGACGAGAGGTTGTCGACAGCTTAAAAAAAAATCAGTACTCGTGCCTGTCTTAATTTCTTTGAAAAATTCGAACTACAAATATGCATAAAAGTCCCTTCACTCGTTTTTTGATCTTTGCAGGAGGCAATGACATGCATCTATAAGTTTTTCCGCAGCGACAGCCCCCGGCTGCTTCTGCATACGCAAGCTTTCATAAGTGTTGTACCTTGTAATGCTATGTATACTATATCGAACGTGATTGCATTGCTTGCACCCTATGAATATGGGTGAAAAGCCTTCTTAGCGCTCATGGATAAAAGTAGTACCCTTTACATTTTATGAAAAAGATGAAAGTTCTGAGAAACTTACTACAGCGTGTGACACCGCAACTCAATTGTACGTACGGTTTGTACGTCGGCCGCTCAGATAGTAATCACTTCCTCTTGTTCGTGTTCGTGCAAGGCAAACTCGTGGCTATGCAAAAAACAAAATTAAACAGCATGTACGCGTCCTCGCTTTTCATTTTCTCCATCGACATCGATGAGCCCATGCTTCAGCTCAACGAATCATGCGGTAGAAGAAAATACCATCCACGTATCCACACCCAGAACCAGATCCAACTCACTCACATACTATAGTATGCATGCCCAAGCGCCGCCGAGGACGTATCAATAAATCGAGATCGACTTCAGCTAAAAAAAATTGTGGCTGCAAATGCTGTTTCACTCACTGCACACTGTTGAAAAGCCAAAATGTGAGTACGTGGGTCGATAATAATGACTTTGAAACACAATGCAGACGAACATCTACCAATGCGCTTTGCTTTTTCATAACCATCGCCGAGAATTACCCGCCAGCGTCCCGGAAAATTCGAATAGAAATAGTGTCCGCTTGGCTGGTCGTCGTGGGGCACTTATCAAGCTAGACACGCTCCTCGCGAAGGATGGTAATACACAGCTGCATCACCTGTGGTCGGAATGTGAACAATTTTCAACATCAACATCAAAAACGCAAATTGACTGACCGCGTGTCTACCCGCACGGGTGCGGCTACTAACTTTAGACCGACGCAAGCGCACGCGGATAAAAATCGGTAAGAGAATGCGAGAGGCATTGCAGAGCACTTTTCGGCTTCCACCAAACGCACGCGCGCTGAGAAGTAGCACGTGCACCAGGTCGCATACTTATAATTTTCTCAGGTAGTGCCATCGATCAAAAATTTCCGTGTGCTGGATTCGGTGAGGTAAGGCGTGTCTTCTTCATGATAAAAACGTGATGACCGCCGTGCCGTCCGTGATGGCCAGAATTCAAATATCCCACGCGAAGTTACCGCCGCCATCATATTAAGGCTTTGATTTTATTTCGGAGAAGAGATGCTTTCACGTTCACATTTCAAGCTTATCATGCTTACTCTGTGTAGTTCTCATGCATGGGTGTGCGCGTACTCGTACATAGACATACCTATCACGAAACAATGCTGGTGATGCCGCCGGCTTACTTCGTTTCTTTTGTAGGATAGCCCAGTCGTGTGTTGTACAAAATGAACGCGTCGTACATTTCGGACAAGAAGATCGGCTTGACACCGGTTGCGCTACAAACGTGCGGCCGGATGCTGAATGGCGCGATGCCTCTTAATCCTTGGTACATACCAAGATGCTTGGCAACAGTTTCGCCGTTTTGTCCTTCTCCTTGCTTGATGAGTGCTTCTTTGTTTTCGATGAGCCTCTCCAGGTTCGCATTTTCTTCACTTGGAGGTGGTGGTGCAACGACGCCGCCTAGTGGTGTAGGGAAAACGAGAATCACAGTCAATAAACTGTCTCGCATGATAGATAGCATTAAGCGGCAGGCGGCCCCCGCCGCAGTGCTCAGTTAATATCAGAAATTTACATAGTCATAGCCCAACACGGCCACATCTGTGACGTGGACGCGACGAACGATGCCGTCTCTCGGAGCTCTCCGATCTGCCAACTGCCTGTGCCTATATTTGATGATCAGACCAGAAATTGAAATTGAAAATACTTGCGCGTACCTTTGACCTGTATTGCGTATCCCAAATTTTGTGCGGCCAGGCTGTCCACAGCCTCTTTGATCGTCTGGCGCGAAAAAGGTACCAAATCCGGGCGCTTGTTGTCCTGGTAACCGGTATCATCATTTTCTGCTTTCGGGTCCCGCAGCAGCTTGGAGCCTCGGGGCCTGAGGTCTCCGTCTGCTCGGACAACACGCTTCGCCACTTTACACTCAGCGAACTCGTTGCTTTTGGGATCGTGTGGACAGAAGAACGCAACCAAGACGAGCGAACCCGAACCGCCCCCGCCCGGAGCGCCGCTACCTTCACCAGACGCCTTCTCCTTAAGTAATTTCGCCTCCTCGTCCGCGACAACGACCTCGGCAATTTCTTTAGGGCCGGCAGTTTTTGGCCCTTCTGAAGCAGGATACACTCGCTGGAGCTTCAGGCGTGTGTGACGTTGAGTAACTGTTCCGGGTGGACTTGAAATCGAGCCGGACCCCTTTCCTGTTGTCGCATCCTTACTCTCTCTGTCGACAGTGACTTGGTACACAGTTATCTCTTTGTCGACAATCTGCATCTTGTCACGGATAGCATCTCCTAGGGCTTTGTGAAGTGTCTTTTGCGGCCCTTGGCCAAGGCCAGCCTTTGCCTCCTCTTCGTTCGCAACAATATACACCCAAGAGGCGGTTTTGGGCTGCCCTAAATATCCCTGTGCGCGCGGGTCGAGTAACCCTGTATCCAACGTACAGGCAGGGAAAAAACTATGGCTCACTCCGCCTACGCCGCGTGCCTGCAGATCTGGACAGGAGTACGAAAAGGAGGCACACGGGAGGGCAACTTTCGTCGACTTTGTCTTGCCCTCCTGGGCGAACCAACCGTCAGCACCACATTTGTCGCCCGCTCCGCTTGGTAGTGCCGGTTTTTGGGCACCAGACGGCGACACGCTGCCAGCCCGTTTCTGCAGGTCCGAGACCTTGAAGTGTTCTATGCGGGCAGCGGTGGTTTGGCTAGGAAGCCACCAGGCTTCATAGTCTTGGCCATGACTGCGCGAAGGAACTAGTGGTCGGTCTTTGATCCACTCTGCTTTGTTGATGTCGGAGTCCCGTGATGGCCCACACTCCCCGTAATCTGTTGTCGTTATCAGCTGCGGGTATTCCACGTCAGACCCCTGGGAATCTGTGCTGCCTGGCACGAGGCAATCTCCTGCGAAATTTCCGTCCTTGGAGAAAGCGTACGTGGGGCCATAGATGTGATGTGGTGCTGGGTCGCCCGAAAGGCCGAAGAAGAGAAACGAGTTGTCCTGATTCTGCACCATGCTGCCAGCTGATTGCCCGGCAAGCAAGAGTTTCTTCTCCCGCCAAAGCCGTAGAATTTTGGAAAAATACGAAGGAGCGTCTCGCACTTCGGCCATTACGTCAAAGACATTTCCGCCACCGATGTAATACATCGTCTTTGCGTCTCCTTCCTTGGGAAATAAGCGATTGATGAGCTCGCCTTGAGGAACAGCATCTTCGTGATCGGTATCGTGTGGAATCTTTTGTACCATGTCCGGCTCGTCCGCGTCAATTTTCCAGCTCAGGTTGATAAAATTTTCGCCGTCGCTGTGGGGGGAAGGCACCCTAACCCGTAGCTTGTGCCGGACCAAATCAACGTAGAACACTGAATCGTGCGCGATCTTTTTGTATTCGGGTACCTGCCGCAGCGAGTCGGTAAATTGCCGCAACGAATTGGCGACGTGTGCTCGGAAGGACGGCGTCATCAGGCACTCGACAAATTCGTATGGTGGCTGGAACTTTTTCGCTTCTTGTTCTTGTTCTTTCTCTTCTTCTGCTGCTGCTTGCGTCTTTGTTTCCAGCTCCAGTGTGCTCTCTGTCGTGCCCATCTCATCTTCATCTACTTCTCCGCGGCATGCTTCGGGATTCCGCAGCATGCTAAGCTTGGCGTCCGCGTTCATGATGAAAGTGAAAGGCGCTTTTCCGTTGGTGCCACCGCCCCCGCCTTTGCTAACAAACTCCCGGAACAGGTTCACGAATGCCAGCTGCAGGCCGCCATTGTCGATGAGGGTGGACAAGAAAAACCCGTATCCATAGGACGCAGATCCAGCTTGGGACTGCTGTTCCCGCGGTTGGCCGGCGCTGGACGACATCGAGGCCTCGAGAGCAAGAATGCAGGTCACATACGCGCGCTGCGCCACGTGACTGGAATCGGGATACGCGAGGGCAGCGCGTTTCCCGGCAGGTAGGCAACCTGCAACCAACGCCCCTTGTTTTTGTTCGGGTCCAGGTCCTTGGCCGTTGTTCGCTGTGCCTGCACTACCCTGGACGCCCCCATCTGGTGAAACTACATTCGCATCTTGGATGAGTCGCCACACCCGGTCCTCGACGTCTTGCTTTTTGCCGCCTGTCGGAATGCATACAACGGACAAAGCGAACAGGGAGGAAGAGCCCAGCGCCTCCGACGACGATTTGGGAGTCTGGGCGGGCTTCTCTGGGCACATGAACTCCATTGCCTCGAACACGCTGCCATCGCCGCCTAGATACGTGTACTCTCTTTCTTCTTGTGTCTTCGCAAAACCTTGCGCATACATCTTGCACGTCGCCTGGTGGGTGATTTCGGCTTGTTTTCCAGTCCCGCTATGGGGCTGCTGCGTGGCCGCCTCATTCGGGAACGCACCCTTTTGACTTGCTGTGAGCACCGGCGCGCAATAATCTTCAGGGCCTGGGCTTACGCATTGCCAGCTTTCCTTTTTCCCTTCGGTAGTGGTGCCGCAAACCTTGCACCCGGCGACCCGGCACGCTTTTTTCGCAATTTTCAGCACCATCTCGTTGTCGTCACTGCTGCCGCCCGGCTGCTGCGTGTACGCTTTGCGGAACCTATCGTAAGTCTGAGCGAACTTATCAGCGTCACAAGCGTCGTCGGGCCCCGTGACGGAGCGCGAGTGCGCTTTGAAGAGTTCAGCGCCTCCCTCTTCTTTTCCTTTGTTCGAGAAACCCCATGAAGTCGAGCTCATCAATTTCGTAGATTTTTCGGCCGGCCCTTCTCCTCGCACAAGGAGGAACTCGGCGTCCCCGAGGATTGCCCGAGACAGACCATCAAACGGATCCCGGTCGGTCGTGCCACGGACTTCGCCCCCGGGCGTTGTGACGACAGCCATTCCATCGGTAATCGCAATCATTTCGGTTTCGGTATTTTGCACCAAAAACGTTCCGTACATTAGGGACTCGAAAACCGGCTTCGGTCCCGTGGCGCTGCAGACATGCGGGCGAATGCTGATACCTGGGCCGAGCCCCCGCAGGCCTTGATACATTCCAAGGGCGCCAGCTCCTACTGAAGCTCCGCTCAGAGCAACCGTGACGCCACCTGGATAGAGATGTTTGTCAGCGAGCTTTTTCTATTTTTCAGCGCATTTTTTTGCACTGATTCGGGCGCCCACCCTGATCTTTGGCTGCGATTCATGGGCGCCGCTGCACACTCGCATAGCGGGACATGGCGTCCACAGCTCATTCCGTACCTCTGCGCAGACGGCGGGCAGGGCGGCGCCAGAGCTTTGCTGTGCTAGCGGGCCGGCCTGCTGTTCGGGCCGGCGCAAGCCAAAAACACGCCCCCGACCAATACTGAAGGCAACCGGGCACACGGTTAACAACCGCGGTCATGCTGCTGGCCGGCAGGCACGCACCCACGTGGAACCCACAGGCGGCAGGGGTGGGCCGCCCCTTCTACTCCGCAAAGAAGGGTCCCGAAGCGAAAGGAGCCGGGTTGGATTCGCCGTCGCAAGGGCAGCGCGGATACATGTACCGTGCGCGCGCCCGCTACACCGGGTCGCGGGCGGCTTGATGATCCCCGGTGGCCCGGGGGAGTGTTAGTTTGCCGACCGGGTGTGTGAGCCGGCAACCGGGCACATGCGCACGGTACGCGGCGCGTTTCATCGGGGCGGCCAAGGCAAGCAAAGAAACACGAGGCGGAAGGCCAACGCAGTGCCTCCCTGGGGCTTCTATGCTGGCTTTTCGCCGGGCACCTAGGCCGGGCGGGCCCTTCTTGGGTGGCCGGCTGGGCACCTCTCCGAGCCGGCTAGCTAGCTTCGGGGCCTTTTGGTCGCGCCCCCGACGCGAGTAGGAGATTCGCCCCCCGGCCTTTTTCAATGGCCCCGCCCGAGGACAGGAAAAATCGCAAAGCGCCTCACTGACATTCGTTCGTATCTGCCGCGTGCATGAGACGAGGCGATCTGCGCCCATCCGACGCGGCCGGGCGACCGAGCGACCCATCCCCCGAAGGCGTCACTCGGGCCTTGCGAAACGTCCGCTCGGGGTAACAAAGAAAAAGAACCGCACCGCCCTTCGGCCAACCCATCCGAAGGACGACCGGGCGCCCAGATAGAGCACATGGCCAAGGCCGCTCGGACCCCTGCCTCTCCACCCCACCATAATTAAATTGGGAGGGCAGCGGCAAAACCAACGGAAACCAAGGCCCGCCAAGGCATATTTTGCGCAGCTGCCTAACCACCAAGCAAGACACCCGCCGCGGAGCACTGCAAAACACGCAGGGCACGAGAAAACCGCGAACCCGGCGAAGGGGCTGGCGACAAGACCCAAGGGCCCGCCCGAAGCCGGCCCGCGCCTTTTTTCCAATTTTGCTGGGTTTTCTGAGTGACACACAAAGAAAAGCCAACGAGGGAGGCTACTTCCACTCGACAGAGGGGTTCTCGCGCAAGATTCTCGGGCGCTTCACTTCGAATCGTTGGCGCACATCCATGCTTGGATGGCTGGGCCAGGCGCCACTCGGCTTCGTCCGTTGGGTTCCTTGCCGTCTCCCCGGGGGCGCGGCAAAAATAAAAAATGCACTCACGGTGGCTTGGCTGTCTGCCTGAAACTACCTAGTAAAAAACGAGCGCGAGCGGCCGCTAGATCTTCATCGTTTTTGCCAAAAAAGCGAATGCCACTCCCTCCCCTTGACCTGATCCCCAAATTAAATGAAAGCGACCAGCCGGCCCTGGCGGTGGTGGCAGCTGTTTGTTATTTAAGCCCAGGGACATGCGCAAAAGTGCCAGCCACACCCTGTGTGGCCGGACTGTTTTTTCCCGCGCCGCCGCCTTTCTCCCGGCGCCAACCGCCTTTGGGCGCCCACAGACACCAGATACATTAGACCCCAGCGTGCTGGCTGGGCACCTCAACCAATAGTAGCCGCCCCAGCGGGGGTAGTGAGGTCATGGCGGTTTTTTTGTCTTCACGCCAGAAAAAGACGCGAACTCTCTGCCCACCATGCCATCGCGAGTAATGTTATGCAGGACGGCACGGCGGTCGTTAAAAATCTCGATCCAGAACTGGCCCTCGTTTGGTTTCGAATCGAAAAACCTTCCCCGCATGCTATTGACCCGCCAGGGCCCCCGCCAGGATCGGCCCCTTGGGAGCCCCAAATCGGGCCCATAGCATGCGGGTTGGTTTTCTGCTTTTGGCGGACTTTGGTTTTTATTGTTTTTCTTTGTGAAAATGCCGCATCTTCTGGCCTCAAGTCCGCCTCTGAGATGGCGGATTTTGGTGGCGTCTTTTGCGGGGCCCGAATGTGGGTCAAAATGAAGCCCATACCATGCGGATTCGCTGTTTTTTCGGAGTGCTACTTTTTGGGCGTCCGTTTTTGGGCGCCCCAAACCGCCAGAAATCAAGGCGGTGGGCGCCTCAGAAGGGCGCCCCTTTTGCCGGCTCCCCTGCGTCGTTTTATCAAGCGGGAATCGATAGTTTTCGACCGGGCTTGTTTCACGGCAAAGCCCCGGCCGCTTAATAATTGAAAATCTTTCTTGTCGAAAAACACTTCCGGCCGCTTGAAAACTGCCGGCCGTTTTGCAGGTGAGGTGCCAAAAAAACCGCTAGGATAGAACGTTCGTGACCTCACTACATATAAGGCGGCGATGGGACCACGAACAGACCGACCGGGCGCACCCACGGTCGCGCGTGCCAAATACCACAGGGCGGTGCGCTCACTGGATGCCAACACGGCAAACTCGCGTCGGGTTGGTAAAATATTGGCTGTGAAGGCGGAGGAGCCTGCACCTGCTTCCGGCCGACCCGAGCAGAAGTCGACGGCCATTTTTTTTTTTTTGCGGCAGCTGGCAGAGAGGACGCCCAGATAGAACTTGATGAACGCCTGACGGGGGCGTGGCCTCGCCACTTCAACATACATATTTATACAACTCACAACAAAGAAAGGCCAAAGGGCTGGAACATTTATTTTCAGTATAAATACCCGCGACTTCCACCTTAATTTTCGTTTCCTCCTGCTGGTCTACACGATTCGCAGCCGCCTCAATGATGTTTCGCGAAAACGGAACCAGATCAGGGTGCGCGTCTTCATCTCCATTGCGTGCATCCGGGTCCCGCAGGAGCTTTGATCCCCGTACGCGCAGCTCCCCTGGCCGGTCGCCTCTTCGAGATCGCTTCGCCTTTGCGCACTCGTTATACTTCGGAGACGCCGAATCATGCGCGCAGAAGAATGCAACATACACGGTGCTCGGCCGCTCCTGCCCCGACAGTTTCGTCTTCAACCACTGCGCCTCGTCGCCTTCGACTCTTATATGCTTAACCGGCTCGGGTTTGGGAGAGTCAGAGGGCACCTCCGTCAAGAATGCGCGTGGTACCAACTCGATGCCAACCCCCATCGGCTGCACTGAAGTTGGTGATCCATTCTCCACGTGGCCAGCTGCCTCAGCGAGAATCACCCTGTACACAAATACAGCTCGATCTACCATGGGCATGAGTGCCGCGATATTTTTTTTGATTGTTAGAGCCACGGCCTCTTCTTGCGAGTCCTCGCTGCCCGTGTCCCCATCAACGTGCATGTACACCCAGGACGAAGTTTTGGGTTGGCCCAAGTAGCCCTTCGCTTCCGGATCGAGCAACCCCGTGTCCTGCTCACAAGCCCGATAGAACTTATCCGAAACACCGCCGACCCCTTTCTCGCGCAGGTCGTGGCACGAATAGGAATACGATGCACAGCCCTTGAGAGCCCATTCGGAGTTAAAACTTGTGCCGCGGGTACCACATTTCGGCAAATCCACGCCACCCTGCTCGCCGAGCCTGATGAGGCCAGCAGGCTCGGGACCAGCATCTCCTGCCGCCGGCGCCTTCGCACCTAGTGACTCGCGCTGTAATTCCGACACCTTAAAGAAGTCGATGTTTGCGGCGGTGTTGCGGCTCGGGTTCCACCAGGACTCGAAATGCTGCCCTTCACTTCGCGGAGGGACAAGAGGGCGATCTTTTACCCACTCACCCTTCTTCTCGTCTGCGTCCCGGACAGGATCGCACTCGCCTGTGCTTGTTGGCGTTATCAGCTGCGGCCAATCCAAATCCGATTTTTTGTCCTCTTTCTCCTCCTCGGGGTCGCCGATACAGTTCCCCGCGAAATTTCCGTCCTTTGAAAACGCGTAGGGCGACTCTTTGTAGATGTGATGCGGAGCAGGGTCGCCCGATAGACCGAACATCAAAAATGAGTTGTCTTGGTTCTGAACCATACTGCCAGCGGATTGTCCCGCGAGTAATATGTTCTTCGCCCGCCATTGTTCGAGAATATCTGCAAAGTACTTCTGCAGCGCTTCTTCACGCACCTCCGCCATAAGGTCGAAGACATTCCCCCCACCGATGTAGTACAAGGATAAGGATTTAGAAATCCCAGTGCTGGCCGCTGATTCGCTTGATGTTGCCAATTTCGATAATTTCTCGGCCGTCTCTGCTTTCCAATAAGGACTGATAAAGCTCTCGGCTTCCGCAAACGGAATCTTGACGCGAATGCCGTGGCGAGCAAGATCGACATAGTACGTGGTGCCCCGTGATGTAACCAAGTCAGATAGGTCGGCATTAACGGGTGTCGCCCCTTTCGTGAGCAGAAGCGCGTCGGTGAATTGACGAAGGGAATTCGCGACGTGAGTCTTGAACGCCGGCGTCATTACACATTCTGCAAGTGCAAGCAACTCCGTACTAGTTGACCCCGTTTTTCCACGGCAGTCGGGTGTCTTTGGGTGACGCAACATACTCAGTTTCGCGTCTGCATTCATGATGAAGTCAAACTTCGCGTCATTCGCGCGCCAGTTGTATCCATCCTTCTGGGCAATGAACTCGCGAAACAGGTTCACAAAAGCGAGTTGCAACCCGCCGTTGTCGATAAGAGTGGATAGGAAAAAACCGTAGCCGTACCGCTCGTGCTTTTGTTCACCAAGAGAAGGCACGGCAGCACTGCTCGGGTAATTCGCCGTGGAACCATCAAGCGCAAGCATGCACGTCGCATACAACCGCTCGGTCTTCTGCTTCTCGTTTGGATAGGCGAGCTCAGCTCGGTGGCGCGCAGTTTGACAGCCCGGGTCAAGAAAATGTTCCTGTTTATAAGGATCTGGTTGGACAGCGTCTGTGGCCTCCCCTGCATTTCCAGCACCAGTCGACCGCTCGAATGTCGGCATCTCAATCGCAGCCCGGATCCTCCGTATGTAAGGTTCAGCCTCACTCTGCAGTTTCGGAATGCAGATCATAGATAACGCAAAGAGCGATGAAGTGACGCTATCGCGGCGGCAACCACTTTTGCGAAAAGCCCTTTTTTCCGGTTTTTGCAGACCTGCTGATCTGCATGCGTCACGCAGGCACGAGCCTGCCTGTCTGATGTAGAGGCCCGCTCGCTGTGGCTCACCATTGTGCTGGCTAGTCGGAAGGTCTAGCTTTCGCCACCGTGGAGGAGCCTGCCGGCAGTGCCTCTCGGCGCGATGAGCAAAAGCAGCTCTCTTCGGGTCGTGGTTTGTGTTCCTGCAGATTTTTGCGAACTGCCGCTGCCCGAAGTGGGGTCTTATGCTTAAACTACCGCGGCCATGCATGGCACCGCCCCCCAGAATGCCGTGTCTACAGTGTGAGCAGGTCGAAAGCTCGCAACCCGAGGAGCCCGAAGGAGGGATCGCATAGGCATACTCCCCCGAGGAAGGGTTTGGGGGACGCCCCTTCGTATAGGTCTTATATATAATGAAGGGTAGCTTGCGGAGGCGAGATCGTGATCGCCCCAGAAGGGAAGGTGTTGGGAACGAGAACGGCCCTGCCGGGGCAAAAGAAAAGCTCCTTTCGGCTTGCAGCCAGAGCGAACAAGAATTCGCCCCACTGGCGAAGCAGCTGAAGACGCAACGCGATCACCCGAGCAGCGCCGCTACGTAGCAGAGGCCGCCGGGTTCCCCTAGCTTTTGGCGACAACGCCCCACACCGAGGCCGCAACCGCTGGCGCGCATCATGCAACAAGAAGGCGGCCAAGCCGCGCTTTTCTCTTCGTTGCGGAGGTGCGCGCGTATCTTGTGCAAGTTCGGCTTCGGCATCACTGAAAACGATGAACGACAACACAACCAGCGCTCTGGACCTAAGTAAACTGCCTGACTTTTACTCCGGCCGCCGCGGGCCAGCCTCGTGGCCCCTGGGCCGTCTTTCTTCTGCGTGTTTCGCCCTAAGCGGTTACTTAAGTGACAAAGAAGCCGCGCCCATACTATCTAAATACAGGGCACTCTGACAAGATTAAAGTTTCCGGGGTAGCGGACGGGCACACCCGTGTCTGTGCCCGTCGCCGTCCGCGACCGGCGAAGCAGAATCGCGCTGCTCTCACAGTCACATGTGTCATGCGGAGCAAAAAAATCCTTTTCTTTGTTTTTCGGAAAAAGTGTTTTCCGTTGCCATAGACAACATTTTTTTTGCTTCCCTCGGTTTCCTTGTCCTCCGGTATGTTTTCCCAGGGCGGCCGCGGAATCTCCTGGTCGGGACACATAAACTGCACATGCTCGAAGACCGTACCGCGCCCCCCTGAGTATGTTGTTTCCTCTTCGCCTCTTCCACTTTCACGAGCAAAATTTAAGCAAGTCCTTCTAGTGCTCAGCTCCTCATTGGAAATTCCGCCGTTGTGCTTCGATTTCGAACTGGGTGGGGCTATCAACGGCTGCATCAGTTTTTGTTTGAACAGCTGCTGATGTTTCTTGGGTAGGACCGGCGCGCAATAATCCTCCGGGCCAGGGCTAATACACTCCCACTGCACCTTCGCATTCGCCGAGCCACATACTTTGCAGCCTGCTACCCTACATGCCTTTTTTGCGATTAGAAGCTGCATTTCATCGAAGTTGTCCGCTAGTGCCGATTTTGTCCCCGCGTCCTCAGGGTTTAGGGTGCCAGGCTTTTTCTTCCATTTTCCCATGAGATCGTCGTATTTTTGAGCAAACTTGTCAGCATCACAAGCGTCATCGGGGTGCGTCACCTCTTTGAAGTGTTTCTTAACGACATCTGCTCCGTTTGTCTCATCGTTCCGGTAGGCAGCTTGAAGCTCTGTGACACTACCTCTACCGGTAGACGAGGCAGTAGCCTTATCCACATCTGGGAATTCATCTTTCTGGTTCTGCGAACCCTGCGTCTGCCCCTGCTCCTTCTCCTGTCCCTTGTTCCGCTTCCGCTCTCGTTCGTGCCAGTCAGATGTAGTTCCACCTGCTCGAAGCGTGTTTGCGCCATACTCTTGTCCCGCCGCACTAGATGTCGTAGAGGAACCTTCAGGCGCCGTGCTGCCCATCAACAAAGCGTCTTCGCTCAAGGAGCCATCTGCCAGATAGTACGTTGGTTTCACATTATTCCTGGTTGCAGGGGACCCCACAGTCGTCTCCTGGTCCTTCATTTTATTACCGTCAGTAGCCGTCCACGTCCTCGTACCGCCACCGGTCGTCATGATCTTGTCGTCTTTTCCAGCCGACGAGGTCGCACTACCAGATGAAACGAGGCGCGATTGCGAAACCTGCGCCACAGAGGAGGTGGAGGACGACGTCGCCACAGATGAGCTGGTCTCTGAAGTGGTGGTCGACCTGCTCGCGCCACCAGCAGCTCCACTTCTTTCCACCGCTCCTGGTGGCGCCGGCGTGGCGGACCCTCCAGCACCAGTGTTGATACGCACGGGTCCGCGGTGGAACTGGTACTTTTGCGGGTTTTGATTTTCCAAAAACGCAAAGGATTCCTCCCATTCCTGGTCCGCGTTGACGATGCCGTCCGCGTCCATCTCTGCTCGCTTGTTTCCCGTCCGGTCCCCGCTACGCCCGCGGACGAGCTGGTTCGAATACAAACATGTCTGGGTCTTCTGTGGTGGAAAGAAAAAAATTGATTGTTGAATTTCTTGGTCTTTATCGACGATCGATATTTGTTCTCGACACTGACTCTCTTCTGGTGAGTGGACAGGAAGAGGAGAGACACCACAAAAGACACATCGCAAAAAACAACCTTTTCGTCACTCCATTTGTCAGTTGTCAATGCCAGCAGCCCCAGCAAACTGCAATGAGATGTCGCACTCAGAGTCAGAGGGTGCAAGAGAAGATCAGCATATTACACGTTTGCAGTAGCGGTACTGCAGCCACTACTTCACATGCGTCGGACATGTAGAGAATTTAAGCACGTGTTTGCCACGTCCAGCCAAAAATTTCTCTTGAAAGACATCGACATCGTCGGTCTATTCGACGTAAATTGCATGACAAAACAAAGAAGAAGAACCGCTCCGACGGAGACACTCCTATTTGCATCTGATCCAAACCCAGACGTTATGTTTGTATTCGATAGGCTCGCTCACGGAGCGGTAGCCGGTCGCGAGATCCGCAACCAGTAGCAAGGAGAGCAATGGTGCTATGATTGATAAGAAGGGCTTCAAAAACCGACTCCGGAACGTCGACAACCTGCTATGGAAGTCTCCTCAACAGATAATTACAGATTGAGCTGTTACATCCTCTGCTCGACGTGCGGGTTTGCTGCTGAACAAGAAGGAGAAATCACGATGCAAGAGAGGAAGTGTAGCGCTTCTCGCAGTACTTCAAGTTGTAATATTAGCATCAAGGGAAGGAAGTAGAACGATTAAAGACATGAAAATGAATTTGGCGCTGATCGTTCCGATAGCAGTCGAACAAGGATTATTCTCGCCAACATGCATTGATGCATCTTGATCTTCATGGTGGTATCATCGGACCTTGCTTTGTGATTGAACCTGTTTGTGGGCATGACAAATAGCAGAACAAAGATGTAACACCGTCTGAGAATTTTCCAGCTGAGGAGGCCATACAATCGCAACAGGGCCAAGTCTCGCTTTCTCCACGCCGGTAGTTCGCGTTTCTTCATGTTTTTCATACCATTTTCGTATTTATTTTTCGCCGTGTCCATGCTTTTCATTCGCGAGCCACGTCGTCGCTCTTGTGGTTTGCGTTCCCCTGCTTCTCCAGATCGTCTTCGTACGGATTTGCAACTTGGAAAAAAAATTATGCAAACCCCAGCAAATAATTGAGAATCGTGAAAGACGAGACTGTCGAAGTCACTGGCACTGCTTCTTACATGACAGAACTTCAAAAAGAAGGTAATGTGTCAACTTTGGAACTGATCCTCCGCCTGACGCTGCATAGGCTACAAAAGAAAAAAAGCTTTTAAGCTCGTCCTATCTATGAGAAGCACGGCAGACGATAGAGATCATGTAGATGTCGTGACTTCTTCGCTTGATGAATCTACGTACCATGTTATCAGGAATTTAGCTTGCAAACTCTATCTCGATTTGGCCGTGCTAGATTTACCAATTCAGAAATGCTACTCTCCAGTTCCTGATGTTTTCGTGCAAGACCCAGAAGTCATTGTTTATCTCTTTGACGATTCTCCGGCTAATTACCTCGTGTCCATACACTCCATCTCTGCAACTGGTGTTTTTGATTCTGCACCCATCCGTCGTCCGCTCGCAGTCACACTTGTTCCCCGGGTTCCACCAGCTCCTTTTAGGCTGCGCTGCTGAGAGCGGCACAACGAGGAAAATATCGAGTTTTATCGAGTTGAAAGCAGTGCTGATCTTGATGCCGAGCGCCACATAACTAGAAATGGATTTTGATGCAGAAGATCATGATCAATCAATTTCAATTCTCTGAGTCAGCGGCAAGTCAAGCTACTACCGGGCTGTGTGGGAGGGCACAAAAAAAAACAATGACGTACCAGTCGAAGTTACGTAAGGAGAGCAAGGTAGTTGTGTTTTTGTTGCTGCGCGTTCATAAAAAATACCGCTGATCTGCAAAGTGCTGGAGCCGCCATGTTTATTAGTTAAGAGAACGAGAAAATCTACAGCGGGACATTATATCATGTCTATTTTTGTCATATCGAAACGCTTGCAAGAATGTCACAGACAGTTCCGGTAGCTGGGGGTGAGACCCCGCAGCTACTTTTCAATGCGATAACAGTATCCACCGACTTCCACCTGCAAGGGAAAACCCATTTCCTAACGGCCAGTGCCAGACGTTCCGCAGTCTATTTCCTTCGCTGGATTCCGCTTTCGTTGACGTCTCCGACTTTATTCCCTGGTACAAAACATGGTCCTCCTCCTCCTGCTCCTCCCGCACGAATTGCGCTTTCCGTTGACCTCCTCGCCCGCCCTCGTCCACAGCAGCCGCGGTCTTGTCTCCGGCAAGAAAGGACGCGGGGCAACTGGAGGTCGATGATGCGTTGGTGTTCGTGGTTTTACCAGCAGAAGCAGTAGCTCCTGCTGCTGCAGCAGCCTCCGAGTTCATCGTAAGCAGGTTTTTGTCCGTTTCCTTATTTGGTCGTCCTTTCATGGAATGCAGCAAACTGCATGTTTGCCGATCCGGAGTAAGCTGCACTGGTAGAACTTGAGTCGGAACTGTGGAACTCGGCCTGTTCGTCTCCGGCGTCGGACAGGAAGCCGGACGACCGCCGCCGCCCCCGCGGCTGGCCGGCTCAATGGTGGTGCTCCGTCTGGTATAGTTGTTGCCCCTCAACAGAAACACAAACTTGCTTCCCAGTTCCAGTGCTTCTCAACAATCACCAGAATTTCAGACGATGCAAGAGCACTGTCAGTTATACTTAGCAGCAACATGCCACGGACACTACTGCGGCCCCCCCGCCACAGATATTCATAATAGCAGGCAACATGCCTAGACCATGCTCTAGTACCTCTTATCTGGAATTTTTGGAGATAGAGAGTTGAGTTCACGAGCGGAATGGTGGTGCTCGAAGATTTTGCACAGATTGTGCTTCATCATCTCAAAAGTGTCCTCTCATTAAGTCCGCTTTTCTGCATTAAGCGAACCCAACAGGCCTTCTGCTGCATCAATTCATTTGACTGACGAACTCTCTTTTCTCGTTTGCTTTTGTCTCATGCCAGCACAGTGCTCTCGTTCTTAGTTCAGTTCTCCACCATCTTTCTCACATGAAATCACTGAGATATTCATCTCCGCAGCGTGGAGGTAGATACTCTTTTTATTTTTCCGAATATTAGCTTTAGCCTTTCGTCTTCTCCTGTAGTGTCATCTGTTTCACTTCCAACTGGAACTTCTGAGTTGATGCGCTCACAAGCAGGAGAGGGAGCTGCAGTGCTGGTGTGATCTTCTACTTTTTCTTGAAGAGAATAAAGACCCGCTCCTCTGGTCATCAACATATCTTGTAAATGCATAGTAGCAGCATCAACATGCATGACAGGCTCGAAAAATTCGCAGCGAAGCCAAACCTGCGCAGACGAGGGCGTCGGCGTCTGCCGGTAGAAGTTCCACTCTGACCAAGCGAGTGAGGTGTGTCAAACGAGGATCGCACTGATTAAGTAGTGCCAACGTCGAGTAGATATAGTGCATTTAGGCATCACAAACAATTGTGCTGAGAAAGCTTTTTTTAGCTCGATCACAGGAGCGAGCTTCTGGCGGATAGGTTCTTCATGCCAGAGTACGAGCTCCCCTGTCCCCACGCGGAAACATGCAAGAGGCTGCGCCGTCTACGACCATTTCGTCGTGCACTAATATGTTGCATATCAAATTTCGTTGTTCGTGCCAGTACAGCCTCGGCAGGAAAAGACGCAAGTGAAAGAGATATGAACTTATTCTCCAGCTGTTGCTGTTCCGTCATGCACAAAATCAAAAGCGATGCGTCGTTGTGCCGGTTCTGTCTTTCTAACAGTTTGAAAAACACGGCGCTCACGCGCTGGCACTTCCTCCTCTTTGTCATCATCGCATCGTAAGGTTCAGAACTTCAATTCTGAAAAGGAACGTATGATTTTTTTTCTTCAACAGCCCGAAATGAAATCTCCATCCTTGTGCCACCTGGCCTTCTATTTCCACATGAGATGTAGTCGGGTAAAGTCAAAGTGCATGATGATGATGATGATGATGATGATCAATATCAGATTCGTAGTTTGTCGTGATCCATCCTATGTGTGGTAGCTGCTCTCACTCTCAGTTTATTCATATTCAATATCAAATGTACTAGTCGGCCCACCCTGCCCTTCTGCTCAAACTGGTCGTCTCGCGCTCCTCATTTCTTAGGAAGAACAACAACAAGGTCTGCACTCACCTCCTGCGAGATACGCTATGCAGTTGCAGAAAAGTAGTATGTAAGTCGCATCTGTAGAAATTGAAATTCAAAGAACCGCAGCACATGGCATGAGCACGCCTTGCATTAGGTAGGATGTCGGGTAGCATTGATTTCTAGCATGAGAAATTGACTTCGCCGCTTTTTACCTTGCAAAAACAAGTTGTGCTTATTCATGCTGTGTGCACCAGTCCCTTTGCAAGTCTGTGCGACATTTTACTTCTTACTTTTCCAATTCATAAGAGAGAAGAAACGCGTCGTGCGTTCTGTTCGTTCAGCCCATACACGGTTCTTTTTGTCAGTTGCAGTGCTTGTGTTTGCCGTTTGCGTTGTAATCAAGCTCCCCCTCGAGGTAGTTTTGAAGTTGGATAGTTTTCGTTTCGCGGGTCAATGTGTTGCAATAAAAAAACTTACTGGTCAGGATCGCGCGTCGGCGTCTGTCGAAGATCTGGTTTTGTTCTATGGAGGTGTCAGGTGGGAAAACTTCGACAGAATCGCGATAGCGAGCCATGTATAATTTTTCGAAAACAAAACCTGTCGTAGGAGCAGGAGCTCCGTTGAGCCCACAGGACGGCCACTGAAACTGATTCAAGAGCCGGCGTTCAAAGCAGGCCAGCATGAGAAAAATGTGTACTTACCGACCACCTGCTTTCTTGAAATCGATAACGAGCTCGTCGTCATGCATGCTCTACTTTTTTATTTTTGGCTCGTGCTTCTGCTCCTTCCCCTGCGAATATCAAGATACAAAAACCCTCCAGACAAAACAAAGAAAAAAAGGCAAAATCGTCTTCATTTTATTTGTCAGGCTCTGCAAGCGTTATTCTTGACTTTTCAAACCGAAACAGGACCACCTCAAGCATGCATTTTTTTATAAAGAAGAAGAAGATGCAAGCGAACCACGCGTAACCAAGCAGTCACGAAGTTTTTCCTCCTGACACTTCCATAATCTTCATTTCGCGAAATGCAACCACTCAGCCACGCTATTACTACGAACCAAAATCAACTACTCTTTGTGCTGTTTACCAACATACACCAGCAGTGATTGTATACTTGCTTGCTTCGCTTTTTGCTGTGATATGTTTTGCGGATTACGATCATGAGAGAAATGCTTTGTCAATCTGATTATTTCTTCTTCATCTTCTGTGAGCTTTAAGTTGTGTCAAGACTTGCGTTTGTCGGATGTTCTGATAGATACCGTTATCAAACTGCCCTTGTAAAAAAATCGTGTGTGGTGCTAGTCGTGCTAAAGGTTCTAGTACTAGTGTCGTGGAGGTTGTGCCGCGATTGGTGTAGCTGTAGTACAAGCGATTTCCTTTTTGTTTTTACATCAATGCACAGGTTTCATTTATTTTGTCGCTACCACGTCGTGGCTTCAGTACCATTTTTGCGCAACTTGGGATACAAGCTGCTCATCTTCGTGGGCATTTCATTCTGGGTACGGAAATCTTGGATTTTTCTCAAACAATGTGTTGAATGGTCTCCGGGTAGCGGTAGTGGGAAATTGTGGACAGTACCAAAATTTTCGTCAACATACGGGGATAACAATAGATCCCGATCCCCGGAGGTCGCCGTCAGCTCATCGTGAGACGCGTTCGCATTCTGCAGCGCCGGGGTGGGTTGGCGTGCGTTGATGTTCTCTGCCTTTGGAAACAAAAACCGGATCGAAAGTCGATGCCGATGAACTAGATGAGCGGGTCATTTCCGTCCGTCGAGGTAGCGAAGAACTGGTCGATGTCGTCGCCCCAGGGCGGTGCGCCCCCACCTCCCAACTGCCAATCGTCGTTGAGCGAAGTAGTCATCATACTGCCAGGATTTATTTCTCCCCCACCCGCAACGGCTACCCCTGCCGCGTGCGTCCTCGCTCGTGTGCCCTCCGTCATACTCGTGGGCGTCAGGTTCAAGTTTAGCGAGCTCGTTGTCCCGCTGGGCGGGGGTGGGAGCGGCGGAACGAAGCTACTCGTCAGATCTTCCACGACAAGTGGGGGTGTGCTGTCGTGCTCTTCGAGTACCGCATCTCCCTGCTGCAACATCGACCGGGACCTAGAGGTTGGAGTTAAGGACGCCGCGTTTCCTCGTAGTGTTTCGACTGACGGCGGCTGTACTCCACTAGCCGACGATGGTGCCAGTGAATCGTTTACCGACGAAGTACCACCGCCCGGCTGTATCCCAGCATTTCTTGCGGCGGACAGAACCGGTGGGCCACCGGAGCTGGAAGTTCCATACGTGACCCTTGACGGCGACCTGGGCCGCAAGCTCCGCGTGGCGCCCCCGTAGCCTTCCGTGGACGTGGCTGTTGCAAAAAGGCCGCCGTCGTCGAGCGGTAAGTCGCCCCCACCAAAGTCGTCCTCGTCGTCGGCGAACTTGAACATTTCGCGTCTGGTGCCCGACGATGAAGATGTTCCGACCATCATGCCACTCTTGCTGCCACCACCCATGCCCATCGCGGACGTGGACGCAAGCTCGACGACCCTCTCCGCAAACGAGTTACTCCCGGAATAACCGCTCTTGGCGGCCTGCTGGCTGGAGTGGTACAGGCGGGCCGCGACGTAGATCACCAGGAGTAGCACGATAAACACGGCGATCTGCCGGGTCCTGCTGGCAACCTGTTGCGCCTGTAGGTCTCCGTCCGGTGGCGATCCGTCTTGGTTTCGTAACAATACGTCGTCTCCGCCGGTCGTTTGTGTTCCACCCCGCCCATAGTTTTCGGCTGCGTTCGGGCCTCCGACTCCGAACTTGCCCAGACCGCCGCGAAGCGAGGTTTGCGGCTGGTTGTTGTTCTGGTTCCCCGTGGCGCTGGCCGTCACAATGCTCGTGCTGGTGGTCGCACCGTCTCCTGTTCCGAAGTTGCTCAGCTTCTGCTGCCAGTAGACCTCCTGGTCGTCCAACCACACATGGAAGTCCTGCGTGCGCTCGCTCGGGACCCGCCGCCACGTGACGAAGTGGAACTGCCCAAACGGGTTTTCGATCAGGTGCGGTTTATGGAACTGTCAGGATCGAAATCAAGAACAAAATCGAAATACTTTGTGATGCATATAATCGATACCAGTTGGGGCCGCAGTTTCCAAGTGGCGCATGACAAATTTGGGGAGCGCCAAAATCCAGTCTGTCATGCTGTTTGGGCAAAGAAGACGGCTCCTCTCATGCTACTCTGGCAGCACATTCCATACCCCTAAACAGGCTAGCAATCGGCCTCATTTGCCTGCTCCCCAACACAGGCCTTACGTGCGCGTGCCCTACATTTTATGCATTACAAATTTTTTGAATTTGATTTTGTCGATTTCGATCCTGACACTCTCATACGGCTTCGGGTGCGCGTACTTCGGCTTCCCGACCGAGACGACGGTGTACTCCGTCTGCACGGCGTTCGTGCGAACAACTTTCGACAGCGGAAACGCGATAGAGGTGGACGTCGCCGTTCCGCCCGCGGTTGCGGGGAGCAGGGAAGAGGTCGCGGGCGTCGCGGTGAGGAGCTTCAGTTGAAAGGCGAACAGGCCGCACTCGTCCGGAAAGTTGGGCTCTTTATCCTGTTCAAAAGTTGCATCGCGCTCTTCGTAATAGTTGTAATTGCAGCCACTCATTTCCATTTTTTACCCTGTTCCTTCTGTGACTGTGGCATCAAATTTCTGCTCATCTAAAAGTAAAATAACGTGGCTATATGTTGACGAAGATCATTATGCAGCTGCCTGCGCAGCCAAATGCTCAAGAATCTCACCGACCTAAATCGATCCCAACACCCAAGGCCTTAGCTGATCGGAATCCTTAGGATCTAAATCCCTACCCTTAGCGCTAGCATGATGATGATCGGAATCCCTAGGATCCGCCTGATGATGATGACCGACCTGATCCCCGTCATGGAAATGCTTAGGCCAGCCCTACAGCTGGCGGGATCCCGAACCTTTGAGACTTTTCCCATTGCCCTCAGGTCGTTGGCAGCCTGTGGACGCAAGTCATACAGCTGACCCCTTTAGGATTTGAACAACTTCAGCCCCTTCGGCTTGTTTTGAACTGTTTGGCCTTGTGTTCTCGCTAACACTGCCAACCCCTTGACAAGATGCCCAAAATGTCCCGCCGTGCGTTGCGCAAGGCTTTGCGCAAAATCGAAGGGAAAGCCAGCCGCATCGAACGCGCTGGGGCTCGTCTTCGCTCGTTGGTATCCGAAACCCTGCAAGGGGCCACGGGATCCGACAGCGAGGAGACGAGTACGGAAACGGCCGGGAACGACACGCCGCCGAACTTTCCCCCGACGGAAACCCCCGGCCCCACCCCGTACCACTTGAACACCCCGGAGGAGTACGGGAACACCCCGCCCCTGTACCTGTCTAGCCTCACCCCTTTGGAAGCTCCGACCCCCACCATTTACGGGCCACCGACTTCCCCGAGCTCTTTCGCCCTTACGCCGGTAATGCCGGGCGTTAACGCGGCCCCCTGGTCTAGTTCTACCCCTCCCGGGCTTGTCGCCGAGGACATGGACACCGAGACCAAGGCCGCCGAGGTCGAGCCCGAGGCCAAAGACAAGGACACGGAGGACAAGGGTAACGAGGTCGAGACCATGGCCGAGGACATGGACAACGACAACAACGAGAACGAGAAAGACACGGACAAGAAGACCGAGACCGAGACGGACACGAAGGAGAACGAGAACAAGGAGGACAAGAAGACCGAGAACGCCGGAGCTGCCTAAGGAGCTCGATGAATTCGGTCAAGAGGAGGAAGAGAGAGAGAGAGGAGAAAGAGAAAGAAAAAGAAAAACAAAACAAAAAGACGATGTAAATCGTACATGTTGAATCTTTCGAAGAAATTCTTCAACCCTTTGCAACCTTTTAAGAACGTTTTTGCCGTGCGAAATCGTTGAAAAACGAACAAAAAAAAGAAGAAGGAGCGGAAAGATGACCGCAAGCAGTGAGAATGCTTGGCGGTGTGTTTGGTGTCTTCAGACATGACGACACGCAAGGAAGTCGGTCGCAGATGCACATGACAGACGCATCTACCCCATTGCGCTGAGCTGGTCACGCAAGTGACCTGGCGAAGCGAACTAGGAAAGGCGTCTGAATGCATCTTGTGATAGACATGAAGAGCAATTCTGTATGAAGATCGTTCTGTATGCAGTTCGGTAGAGTTCGTTAGCGCTAGAGCAGAGACCGAGTAGAGATAGAGTAGAGTTGGCTTTGATTCGGACCAGTATTAGAGTTCTTGAAGTCTGTTTGTGAATGTCGGTTGTGCGTATGTACTTGCCAGGACGAGAAACCGCGAGTCTTCGGATTCTGGTCGGTGTTTCTTGATTTCTCTTGCGCCTGTTTCAGGTCATGAAGAGAATCCTCTGTGATGATCTTCGTCAATGATCGGAGAATCGTCGCAACTCCATCGGAAAGAGGATGCCCATTCAGCTCCTGCCCGTGGAGAAAGCTGAAAGCACATAGTCCATGACGAAAGTCGCGCGAAGCGAGAAAGGAAGAGGAGGGGAGGCAGCCGCGTGAGCGCCTCCTGATGCTGTAAGGTCACGCCCCTGCCCTGTGCAGGTGGAGACCCCCTTCTATCCCTGTGTTAGCCTTAGCGGTAGCTCTGGTTGCCTGGATAGCGTTGAAAGCCCATTGCGTGGCCGTAGGCTTATCCTTCAGCCGGAGCTTCGTGAAGGTGAGCACGACTAGGGACTGCGTCTTGTATGCTAGAAGAGAGTCTATCTATGGAATTTATCTTGCCCTTCGAGACGGCGCGTCGCAGCCGGTTCCGCCCGCGCTTGGACGACTAGACTTGGATGGTCGGCTCATCGCCTGGAGGTTCATGGGGCGGAGCACGTTGAGAAGAAGGCAGAAGACTGAGTCTATGAAGTTGAAAGAGAAGGACGGCCCCAGCCAAGACCGCGCTAGTGCTCTCCGAAGGCCTTCAGCCTGAGGAGGGGAACGAGCGACAGCGCCCTGGCGTTGTTAGGTCGGGTTTTGGGACAGCCAGTCCGGTTCACGCTGTGAAATTCAGCCCGCTAGATGATCGCCGTGAAGACTCTTCCGTGGTTGGCACCCTCGGAGCGGTCGCATCACGCGCGTGATTCGCCTGGGAGGATGGTGTCTGAATGAAACGCGTGAGCAAAGGTAGTCCATGTAGTCAAGCAAAGACCCTTCAATGAGGTGAAGGAGTCGCACAGAGATCCAGCGAAGGCTCGAGAGGTGTTCTCTCAGTGACAGGAGCCCTGGATAGCCATCTCAGTTAGGCACAAGCTGGAGCACGAGGTCGGAAGGCCCCGAGGCAGCTTGTGACGGGATTACAATCTGGAAGATAGAACGCGTTAGACCGCGAGGTCTAGTTCTATCAATATGAGGACGACTATAAGCGCCCTGCTTCAGTCGCCCTGAGGAGGTGAGCCTGTCCACATGCTTACCTTCCACCAGTTCGCATAGGTGAACACAAGAAGAGCTGTCCAGACTGTATACCTGTGGTTCCTGATTCGTGGCGGCATCGCGCTGAATAGCGCGACTCCACTCGTTTCTGGAACTCCGATGCTGTAAACACGCGAAGACACACTTGACGCGGTGCGTTTCTTCGACGAAAGACTTGACTCGGACGAAGTCGGGCGAGCGTGTGCGAGTGGTTAGGGATCTTGATTCCAGACCGCGAGACACGCTCAGCATCTATATGGAGACTTATCCATGTGAGTGATCCCTGCATCGAATCACAGGCAGTCGACCCACTCAGGGAGGGCGTGCTTGCGGAGGTTCGAGCGTTTCACCACTGGCAGAGCGTTGAGTCTACCTGATGCAACATGCCTCCGGCTCTGGCTGAGAAACATGCAGCCCGATCCTGGTGCACTTATATTCAAACTCACTCTGAGGCAGGAACTCCTTTCCTAGCACCCTCAAACTCAGGCCTAGCAAAAGCGCTGAGTTGCTAGGTGAGTCCAAAACTCCAGGCATGACTTTGATCAGCTCAGGGACCCCATGTCTAGACCTCGCTACCAGCCTGGTCAGGGAGTCCGATTGGCCTTGGTTGTCATTCGCTGTTGGCTTGATGCCTTCGCGAAGCCTTGTGTCATATGGAAGTCAGGAGTGACTCGGTGAGACAGGTGCATAGCCCCACTAGTCTTGATAGGCCAGCCGGGCGCTATCCGGACACAGCAGAACCCTAGTAGAGCCCTTGTAGGTAGGCACAGCGCGCCGCTTCGGTGGTTTGCCTTGCGCAGTGTCCTAGCCCGGGTCTACAGTAGTGGAGCAGCCAGGAAACAGTACGCATGGCGAAGACTACTCAGCTGCGAGTCTATTTCCTAGATAGCACACGAAGCAAAATTCTGAATGAGGTGAAACTGCCGCGAAGGCTGGCGAATGTGAAAGATGTGAAACGCGTGAAGCGTAGTGAATTCGATGCCGAGCAGGCCGAATGAGATGAAGGAAGAAGAGGCGCGAGGCCCCTTTGCTCTCTTCTAGTTTGATGATGTGAGAGCTAGGCAGACTTCTTCCCTGGCGTCAAGTCACCGCCGGCGGATTGAGGTTCCTAACAAGTGGACGAAGCGCACGACACAAATGACATTACCTGACTCCGCCAGGTCTATTTTCCTGGAGGCAACCACACCCACGATGGACGCCCAGCGTTCCTACGTGCGAATGGTGCTGGTAGTCAGACGGACTGGCGTGCTTCATCTCCCAGAAGCAAGATGCCAATATCACGGACATGCAGCAAGTCTGCTTGATATATCGAGGCCTCTAGTCTGGATTCCCTTGCTTAGCTCAGTAGCTCTAGATAGATAGTCTATGTGGTTCCCAGTAGTATTGAGATTTTGTCGTAGATAGCTGACGCAGACAGCTACGACAGTAAGACTCATGACCACGCCACTGAGACTTGCCAGTCTCATGCGCAGTCTAGTGAGCATGTCTAGTTGCTGACGTTCTGGCTTCTAGATCGAAGACGTCAGGCCCTCGGGTGAGCTTCGAGGCGTGTCGCCTCTCAAGCCGGGAGCGTCCTAGGGTCAGGCAGTCCCCGGACTGTTTTAGGATGTTCTTGACTTGAGGAGGGGAGCCCCGTTGTGAACCTGCAGGGAGGCTACGTTTCTGACACAGTAGAAGGAAGTAGAGACTTTTAGTAGATTGCGCTACGTAGAGCCTATTCTTTGTTTGGTGTGTAGCTGACCAGTGAGCAGCACAGTCGCCCACACAGTCGCCGTTCCTCAGCTGAGGAGGGGACAGGTGTTGGCGCGTGCCGCCCTGGGTAGTAAGGTCCTTCTCCTTCTGAAGTATCTTTACTGATGTTTTGACTGACATGGTCGCAGACCTAGACGTAGAGGGTCGCTACGCAATTCTTGCGCCGCTACTCGCTATGCGGTGACGTTGTCGATTGGGTGCTGTATAGAAATCCACTGCGATCTTCTGTCCAGTTGCTTCCATCTCCAACGGCCCACAACATAGGGAGACCCTTGTCTACGTTGAGGACAGACATGGGAGTGGAACAGTCCTGAATTGCGTTGCTGGCATGTAGTTTGAGTTTCTCTCTTGCTTTGTTCCCCTTGAGCGAAGAGATGTGAGGAAAGGCAAGCGAAGTGACCGCTTTCGCGTTGCTTTGCTGAGTCTGTCTGCCTGGCTTTGCCAAGCGTTGACAGCTGCAACTCACATGGAGACAGATTCCCCGGTAAGCAGTTGCTGCGCTCACGCCACGGCATAGCTGGTCTCCCAGTGCAGCCCAGTGAGGAGTAGCGCTGCTATGGATGAATGTCCTGCGCAGGAGCCGTGATGGCCGGTTTACAGAGGCACTGCTATGATTTCTAGACTTCTGGCTTCGAGTTTCTAAGTTAGACTTTTGACTTTATGTTTTGCGCTAGTTTTAGACTTTTACTTAGGATTTCCGATGGGTAGTCGAGACGATTCTAGGAGGGGTGTTGACGAAGATCATTATGCAGCTGCCTGCGCAGCCAAATGTTCAAGAATCTCACCGACCTAAATCGATCCCAACACCCAAGGCCTTAGCTGATCGGAATCCTTAGGATCTAAATCCCTACCCTTAGCGCTAGCATGATGATGATCGGAATCCCTAGGATCCGCCTGATGATGATGACCGACCTGATCCCCGTCATGGAAATGCTTAGGCCAGCCCTACAGCTGGCGGGATCCCGAACCTTTGAGACTTTTCCCATTGCCCTCAGGTCGTTGGCAGCCTGTGGACGCAAGTCATACAGCTGACCCCTTTAGGATTTGAACAACTTCAGCCCCTTCGGCTTGTTTTGAACTGTTTGGCCTTGTGTTCTCGCTAACATTATAATTTGTGTTGTAATCTTCACAACTTGTTCTTTAGCGCGATGCTTTACAATTTTCCATGCTTATTCCCACCAAAAGTGGAACTCGTGGTCTAAAAGCTCTTCCAACTCCACGACCAACACGCGGGCCATGTCCAGTCCAGGAAAGGAGTCGTCCGCTTCTTGTTGCGCCCACCGCGCGACTGATTCCTTCCCCGCGGAGAACGCGGGAGAGCCGGACAGGTAGGAAAACGCCACTCGGATCTGCACGTAGGGCGTCTGCTGCTTCTCGTTCATGAACGCCTGGCCCCGCAGGGTGGCGACCAGGTCCGCGGGGAAGTTGATCTTCAACCTGCGCACGGAGAACGAGCCGGGCAGGGTGATGAGTTTGTTCTCAACCTCGTTCCAGTTCACTACACTGCTATCGGCTCGGTACCTTTCCCGCTCCTCGCGCTGCATGAGCACGGGGGCCACAGTGTACCCATCCGCATCGTACAACGCCGTCTGCAGCACTTGCTGCGGAAACACAACTGCGCCAGACACGACGGGAAGATTTGCTGCTCGCGAATCTTGGCCCGCGGTAGAAGTCTTTTGTATGTTCAGCAGCCACGCAGTTCTGGATCCCGGGCGGCCGTCTGCGCACGCCGGCTCCTGGTCCACCGATTTCGGCTGCAGCTGCGTCGGGGGCACAACCGAGCCCCCGCCCGCCGTGGCGCTCAGCGCCAGGAAAAAGTGGAACCGCTGGCAGGCGGACACACCGCGGACCCGGTGCTCCCGATGAAACACCAGCCACAGCTTCTGTTTCGGCTGCAGGTTGCTGTAGACTTTGCTGTCCTTGGAGCTCCACAGCGGCACGACGGGGAGGCCGTTGGACTCGAGCCGGAACCCCACTTGCTGTCCGCCGCAAGACGACCCGGCCGGGAAGTCGCCGCCGAACTTCAGCTGGTAGGTGTACGGCGGATTCGATGAGGAACCGGCTGTGTTTGACGATGAGAAAATGCCCCCGAGGCCGGAAGTAGAACTTCCGCCATTGTAGGTGAAGAACTGTCCGGCTTGCAGGTCGTCGGGCAGCTCCAAAAACACCTTCTTTCGCCCGTCGTGCACGTCGGTTAGCAGCACCTCCGCGTGGTACAGCTGCGGCGCCGGGAAGTGGGCCGCGCGCACCGGCCCGTGAAACACCTCGGACCCGCCGTGGGCGGAGAAGAAATCCATCGGTAGAAGCGTCGTGCCACCCGAAAATTGGCACTTCGACCGGGGCCGCAGGTCCCGGGCGGCCGACACGTCGACGACCGGAAACTTTTGCAGTTGCTCGTTCTGCTGGCGCTGCTGGGAAAACAGGTTCGCGTCGTCTTCCAACCGGTCGTACCGCAGCTCGTCCCCGAGAGGGACGGTTTGAATCAGAAAGTGCCCGAGAAACGCGTCCTCGACCGTCGTACCGAAACTGTTGGACTCGTGCGGCATCTCGGTCAGCGCGACCCGGATCGTGTAGATCGCGGGGCCGGGCAGCTCCAGGGACAGACCCATGAACGACCCCCGCTGCTCCGCCATCCACACGTATCCTGAGTAAAAACGTACCCACACCAGAGTCAGGATGGGGATTTTGCAACACAAACCTAGGAGCTTTGTGAGTCACGCATGACAAGTTTTACTCTGCAGCGTAGTGCAGGTTAGCAAGTGCAGCCGCGTCACAGATTGATCTGCTCATCCTGTTCACAGCATCACAAATTTCAAAACACGATTGGGAATAGCTCTCATGGGGATGCGCACTACAAGTTTTCCTGCCTTTGCAAATCTGCATCACAACTCTGGTGTGGGTACGTTTTTACTCAGGATAACACGCCCTCGATGGTGACGAGTCCCACCTTCACGCTGGCCTGGGCCATATCGCAAGAAAAAAGTGTTACAGTTACACATTGTGTTGCAAGACCGGCAACACAGACAACCTTTCTCATGCAGGAGATGCTTGGGAACCTCGTTTCCTTCCTGTTTTCCCTTATGATCTTCGCATTACAAGTTTTCTCTGCCACACAGAGAAAATTTGTGTTGCTGAATTGCAAACAAATGTGTAACTGTAACACTTTTTTCGTGTGATACGCCAGGTCCGAGGCCCAGTATGTCAGCTTGATCGCGGACGGCCCCGGCACCTGCACGTCGAAGGCGCGGACGGTGGTGGTGCCGAGAACCGGGTCATTGTTGACCGCGGCGTCCGGCTGCTTCACGAAGGTCTTGGTCAGACAGATCGGCAGATTGGCCGCGATGGTTTGCTTCTGGTTCGGGTTGAACGCCAGGTCCCGCACCTGTCGGGCCACCTCTGGCTGCCACAGGTCGCGCAGAAACACCGACGGTTCCTCCGCGGAATTCGCCGCGGATTGGGTGCAGCCCAGCAAATTCCGGCTGCTCGGAAGACCGCCACTCAGCGGGCCGGCCGCGGCCTTGATGGTCTGCTGCAGGGGCGCGACGCCGGTCCCGGCGACGGATTCCAGTTCGTTGGCCATGGCCAGCGTGAGCAGAAACGGCTGCTCGCCGCAGTCGTTGGCGCCCGGGGAGCAGTTGTACAGAAATTTCAGCATGACCTCGTTCGCGGAAGTATCCAGCAGCAGGAACCCGGACGGGGAGAGGGATTTGGTTTCCTGGGTCACTGGATCCTCGAGCATCAGTTTCCCGTATTTCAAGTTCAGCGGCTCGGACTGCATGCGCAGCGCGACCTTCCTGCCCGCGGATTTGCGGATCGTCAGGGACGAACCGGAGTGTTTCACGCGAAGGGGAACGGAGAGCACCTGTTTCAGGAAATTTTGCTTTGATTTTACCATGTTGGTCAACCTGAGCATAACTGTGCTCTACAAAATTTCTGAAGATGAAGAAACGGCATTACGGCCTCGTAACGCCTTGATTGAGGTGCCGACGAATTTGTGTACTTATTTTGTTTTCGGGATACGAATAAATCACAGTCATCGACGTTATGTTCCAGTATACCATTTCCGTAAACTCCGAATGCAGGTGCACCGGGTAGTGATTCAGCTTCTCCACTGCGAACAACTCCGGATAGGCCAGTAACTCCTGTCGCCAGCTATCCGTTGGGCCACCCGGCTCCGCAACGATCATGAGAGTCGTGTCGATACAGTACGCACCTGTCGCGATCGCGTCGGGAAACCCGTCTGGCGGCTTCCGGAGCCGATCTGCCACCGGGGGAAGAGACAGGATCAGGTAATACGTCCCTTCCGGCAAGGCGTTCGACGTGAACAGCAATCTCCGCCCGCGCTTCCGACTCGCCCGACCGTATTCCAGACCGTTGGCGTCCTCGATGACCAGCTCGATCGGCACCATGGGTGGATCGAGCGACAGCTCAAACCGGACCCGCACCCCCTGCGGGCTGTTGACCATGAAGGGTTCGCGAAGCAGCTCGTCCCCGATGATTTGCGCATTGCCACTCTGCCCGCTCCCGCCCAGCAAGTCGATGGGCAGAAAAGCGCGGATCAGGTGGCGCAGCAAGTGTCTGGATTCCGTCGATCCGTCCAGCTGCTCCCCCACGACTGGACTCAAGCCGCTCGAGGTCTGACTCGCAACCGGCGTGCCCTCGGACAGCGACTTGATGAGCGCCAGCGCCTCCTTCACGCCTTCCTCGAACTTGGCCAGTTCCGACTCCTTCGTCAGACTGTTCGACTGTCCGTTCACGACGATCCGCGTGTCCTTCCACGGGCACAGCGGCAGCATCTCCAGCTTCGCGGCGAAAATGTGCAAATTCACGTTGATGCAGGCCGCCTCCAGCGCCATCACCTCGGGGCGGAGCCGGATTCGCAGGCGGTCCCCCCCGGACTGCGACCAAAAGGAGAACAGCTGCTCGCGGTCCGACCGCCCCGACGGGCCGGTTGGCGTGCCGTACCCCCCGACGGCGAGGGAGCGCTCGAACGTCACCAAGTGTCCGTCCGCCCGGCCGAAGGCGACCAGCAGACCGTGCTCGCGGCTCCCTAGCGGCACGTCGATCTCCGCCTCGATCACGTCTGGGCTCGCTCCAGCCGAAGAGGACGACAGGCTGCTGAAGGTGGAAGAACTGGTTTTCGAAAAGAAAAAGTCCCCGTCCAAAAAACCGGGTCCCCCGCCCTGCGTGTAGGAGACGCCGAGGGGGAGTTCCGGCGCGAGCAGATTGCACTTCGCGACGTTTTGCAAGGCCACGTTGGCGATGTCCAGACTGTAGGGCGCACAGTACTGTTTGTCCTGCAACACGTTTTGAAACGGGACGTAGATGATCTGCACCATGCAGCTCTCGCACTTCAGCAGCTCCAGGAACCCGAAATCTTGGTCCATGGGGGACGCAATGGGGATCCCGACCTTCGCCTGCTTCCCCGGCGTGGTCCAGATCCCGACCACCAGGCCGGCCATCAGGAAGTCCGACTGGATGCCGAGTCGCAGCAGCGTGTTCTTCACGGGTTCCTCCCGCACCGGGTGCCCGATCCCGTTGAAGTGGTTCCCCACCATGAAGCTCTTCGCCGCGTTCCCCGTTTTGTGCGTCAGCGTTACCGTGGAATCCATCCAGTTCGGGGAAAAGCTGTCCGTCACCTTCCTCGACACCTCCTCTTGCAGCAGCCCCGCACCGTCCGGCTGGTCCGACGAGCACGCCCGCGCGTCGTCCCAGACGACCATCGAGACGGGCGAAACTTGCAGCCGGATCTTCACCGATTTGCACGTGTAGAGCCCGCCGATGGGCAGGAAGGGCGTTTTCACGCGGATCAGGTACCTGCCCGGCGTCCGGATCTCCGCTGCCAGCATGCGCTGCCGGTTTCCGAAGGGCAGAATCACCGCCTCCACGGGCGGGAAGGTCTCCGTGTCGATGTCGGTAACGGCCCCGTCGTCCTCGTCGGAAACAAGTTTGACCAAATCTGCGGTGACGAGCCCAACCGCGCCGGATTCGGGCGCGACGTAGAGGCGCGCGAGGGACTTGTCCTTGATGTGGAGTCGAATGTAGTGCAGGGTGTGGGAGATCTCAAAAACGTCGTTGATGCGGATCGACTTGCCAACCGACTCGGAAACCTCCGTGTAGTCGCTCGGCCAGTTGTGCGTCGCGTCGCACGTGATGGGGACGTCGCCCAAGTACAGCGGGACGTGCTCGATGTCGTCCACCGCCAGGTCGTCCAGGCTGGCCTGGTGAAATTTGGTCTGTACGGAGTTCCCCGCGCCCCCGCTGTCGGAGCCGCTCGAGGACGAACGGGAGAGTTTGAAGTTCTCCGCAAACGCGCCCAGCCAGTGGCCGCCCGCGCCGTGCCAGTGCTGGTTCAGCTGCTCCGCGGTTTGGTGGGTCCGCATGGCGGAAAACTCGAAGAACATCTGAAGTGGTTGTTGAAACGTAGTATACGTCAAGTTGTTGTGCACTCAATAAACATTTGTCATTTTATTTCAAGAACTGAAAACTTCAATTTTCAAACACCGTGTTTGCCATTCCAGGGTAAAGAGCAAGACGCCACCTCATAAAATAAAAATAAATAGAAATACCCTAAAAACCCTGCCGTTTAGACCGTTGCTTTGTCCGAAGTCGGTGACGGGAGTGGGGTTCTGCAGGTACTGCCGCAACGCATTCCCGATGCAGTCGTCGTTGGCTTTGAGCTTCGGGTCGTTGCTCGTCAAGTCGCTGTTTCCCGGTAACGCGGTCTTCGCGAACTGGACTCGGTTTTCGGTGCCCGAGACGTCAAAATCCACGTGCACGAGAATGTGCAGAGTGGCAAAATTGTCCGAGTTCGAATCTTGCGTGCCGGGAAAACTGGAAAGGGCGCGCTCCAAGGGAATGAAATGGAAATTTTCTAGTAGGTTTCTATTTCGAAGAAGCGTATCTATTTCGCATTAATTTCTTTCTTATTCTTTCCTTATTCTTTCTATCTACTTCTACACCAAAATAATTTCACGATCATCTTGCAGCTAGAAGCCAGTTGCTTGTTTTCGTTTGTGCAGTCAGACATGCCAAAAAGATGCGATGATGAGGGCCCTTGCGACGAATCTTCACCTCAATCCTTACTCTTTAATACGTGCATGATTCTATCCACAAAAACCTCTACCAAATTTCCATTCGATATGTAGTTGGCCTGATTCGATCATGGTTCCGCTAACCCCGTCCACGTGGTTCTCGCCCCAGGGCATGTCCTTCCCGCGCAAGAGGGCCAGCCGGTAGTGAATCCCCGGCGTCAGGGATTCCACCTTCGCGTGCAGCAACGTGACGCCACTCGCCAGTTCCCAGTTGATGTAGTGCAGCGACATCCAATTCTGCGACTTGGCCTTTTCCGCGTTCCGCGGCGCGGATTTTTTGAAGTAATTGTCGTCTACCAGGTGCGCAATGTCCCAGTGGTAGTAATTCCGCAACACGCGTTTTTTCAAATTATTGTTCCCGCCCTCGCCCTCTAAGCGCATCACGTTCATGCCCTCCGCCACGATGTCGTGGTCCACTTTGTCCAGAAACGGCTCGCCCGCGGCGCCCGTTGCCGGCGGAAGGGAACTTCCGGCGCTGGCAATCTTTGTGAAGTCGTAGTCCGCGGACCCGCACATCGTTTGCCTGGTGAAAAAGCTCAGGCTCCCCGGGACGGTGTATTGCGGGAAGGGGATTCCCACGCTGGGCTGCAGCGCCGACCAACACCGCAAGTCGAGCCGGATCGGAATGCACTCCAGCCCGCTGTTCCAGGTGAAAACCTGCGCGGGCGGTTGGAACACGAGCGCGGTCGTACCGAGAAGTCTGCTCTCCAGTTGCCCGTTCCCGTTGGGATCGTTGTTGCTGTTGGCGGAAAAAGGCGAAGAAGAGACACCTCCGGCGTTGGAAGCGGGTGGGGACAGTTCCAGACCGATCATCTCGCACCTTCTGTAGGGTCCGTTCGCGCCGAGCTCAAATTCGCACTTCCGTATTCTTCCGGTCTGCACCTGCCCATTCACGACCTGATCCGACGTTTGGAACCACGGCAGCTGGTCCGTTCCCTCCACCGCCATATTGCACACCGTCTTCAGCTGCAGCTCCTGGGTCGACGTTTGCCCATCTCCGCCTGTTGTACTTGTACCTCCACCACCCGAGAGATCCACACTCACGTGCGAGTTTGCTTTCTGCAGCACGACGCGATTGTTCATCTCGGGCGCGAACCCAAACAGGCCGGTGTGCGTAAAATAGCCCGTTTTGTCCACTGCTGGGATGACGGGCGGCAGCTCGGACCACTTGCAGCCAAGCGACTCGTGCAGCGGCTTTTGGTTCGCCGGATTCCTGCCGCTGCCGTCCTGCGAAAAGTCGCTGGCGTCGGAAGACCCACCATTGAACCGCTGCAGGATGGAAAAGGGGTTCAGTGGGGACGTTTTAGTACCCATTTCGGTCGCCGGGTGGGGGGTTGCGAAAAACATCACGAAAAGCGTCATCAGACGCAGGGTGGTTATGTGTGATATAAAGGTCGTTAGTCGTCCGGAGTAGTTTTTACAGTTTGATGTTATAGTTGGCCTCCGCCTCTGCGGTGGTGATGGTAGTACTCTTTTTAGTTCAGATCTTCTGCTGGCAGAAAGAGAATTTTTTACCGCGTGAAGACGCCGAGAGCATCGGAGCCCCTTGATGTCTGGTGGTGGTTCCTTCTTCCTCCGTCGCCCAGAACGATTTTCTCGTGCGGGTAATGATCTTCCTCGATGCACCTGCAGATGAAGTAGACTAATACTTTTACCTGGTGGACAACATGGTGCCTGTGTCGGTATACTTGTTCTATCGATGAGCGCCTCTTGCTCAGTGTCAGTTTCGCGGTGGATGTGGTGGTCCAGAGCAGACCTCCACCGGTAAAGCAAAGCAGCAGGGACTCCGACGCGAAGCCGCCCGACCGTACCCCGGTAGCACGCTCGCATCTTTCGACGGACTTTTTTCCAAAAAGTGTAAAGAGCCTTTGTCTTCGCCCTTCGTCGTCGTTGCAAATAAGCGTCACTGCATTTCGAATCGTGCGACGAACGCATCGCTGTGCTTCCAGAGGAGGGTTGCAATGGTGCGGAAGGACTCGCACCGACCAAACGATCGAACTCCTGTGACGACTCAGCAGGACGCATCCGCGACGTCCCGCCTCCTCGCACAGTGGAATCTTCTGAAACGGCCATCGTGGTCAGTACCCTACCCGAACCTGAGTAGATCTTCAGGTTAGATAATCGAGGTGGCAGAAGAACGAGGCGTCACGAGCGGCGACGAGCGGCATCTCGCTACTGTGCCGACGACGCTTCTTTTCATTCTCTCGGACCCCTGCGCCGGACACGCAACAAAACTGTTGCTACTCAGTAATTTTGTCCATGTTATCATGCTGGAAAAAGTTTAGGGTTGAGGGTCCAGCTGCTTTTATTCCTGATATCATACACCTACACCCTCGGCTACTGTAGAATTAGATAAGTCACGCTGTCGGCTGTCACTTCAGCGATTACAATAGTACTGTAACGGGTTGTTGTTGTATCATACACAGAACTGCCTAAGATTCGTATTAATCATTTCTGGAAAGAAATCAAACACCACAACTACTTCTTCTTGTACTTGTTACTCGCTCGACGACACTTCACTCTGTTACTAAACCTATTCACTTGCTCTAGCCCTGCTTCTGTACCAAGTGATTTTCATTGATACTCCTTCGCTTTATCCGTGGTCCACGGCTGGACCTATTTCAGTCATCTTCCAGAATGCAAGACCACGAGGAGCCTCCATTCTTGAAGATAAATGTCTGCAATGAACATTTTCTCAATTTTTTCTTTTTCAGATTTAACATGGTGCGAGTGAGAGTGTGACTTGGTTGCGTCTCGTTTGTGGCTCTCAAATAAGCCAAGCAAGCAGGAGCTTCTCAAGATCGGGGATCTTCCTTCCCAAATGCACCATCTCAACTTCCTCTCAGGTGGATGCGTTTGCGAATTCATTGTCCTTTTTGTTCTTTCAGTGCGGACGGTGTGTGAAGGTGATCAAGAACAATTCAGATAAACTACACAATTTCTTTTTGAGAGATTCGATTTAAACAATGGCCAGCCAAAAATATTGCAGCAAACACACGGACAGTTGCTACCGATTTTTATAGGGCACCTGAATTAATTTCGAGCACTCAGTGCGTCTTCGTTCTTTCTCACAAACAAAACAATAGTTGCTATTTCATACTACACATAGTGATTGGTGGTGGAATGCAATGCTGTGCTACCTGTTCAACTTTGAATGCTTTCTTGCTGTACAAAAATTACTCCGTTTTTTGTCGTTCTTGGACGTCAATGCGACGAACAAGAACTCTCGCTACTATAATGGAAGTGCGCGAAAAACAAATTTGAATAATCTTCTTCAAAACAAAAATGACACGGCAATTCTCAAATAATGATCTCTTTTTCTAGAATTTTGTCGAAACATACTGAACAAAACAGATTTGCCCACTCAACGAACTCTACTGGGTGAATGCATGTGTGAAATACTGGAGGAAGCAAGGAAATGGATAAAGATGAAAAAGCGACTTCTTACTCTTCGAGGATATAAAGTACTTTGATAATGTCGTAGAGCTGTGCAAAAACAAAGGTATTCATTGTGTCTCAAAAGTAGTCAACTCAAAAACTAAAAAACAATAACAATTTACATTTAGCGGATCGATTGGATGGTCGTATTTCGAGGTACTCTGCAGAGTGCTACTTGTTATTCTTATTTGATTTAGCTTAAAGCACATCTCCAACAAAAGTGTCGCTGTCAAAAGTCTGCATCTGCTGTATGCAACTTACGTTTCTTAAAGTGAACTACTTAACAACAGTTAGAGCCAGCATCCGCCTTGGCGCCAGGAACTGTTTGCATATTGTTCGTGGGGGTGGCTGCAGCAGGAGCAAGCTGACCTGCCACAAAATGCGAGTTCGCAACTGGTGCCGCGACCCCGGGTCCAACCGCCACCAGAAGGCCACCTCCAGCATGATGCTGCTGCTGCCCCAGTCCTGCCTGCTGCTGTTGCTGCCCCAGTCCAGCAGCGCCGGCACCAAGAGGAGGTTGGCCCGCCCCTGCTGGTTGTACAGCCTGGCTCTGGCCGATTGTGGCCTGCATCAAAGCAAATTCGGCATCGCCAAGCACCACCCGGCGGTACCCCGGGTTCATCTTGTCTGCTGCGGACTGGATCATTGTCCCATCAGGGGGGCGCGTCACAATTGCCATTCCGTCGGTGATCACCGTCATTGACAGATCCGTGTTGGACAGAGCGAAAGTCTCGTACATTTCGGACAGGAAGATCGGCTTGACGCCGCTGGCGCTACACGCGTGGGGCCGGATGTTGATCGGCGCGACGCCCTTCAGGCCTTGGTATATCCCCAGGTGGTCCGCCACAGAGTCGGCATTTTCGAACCCGGCCTCCACCAATGTTCCCTGACTGGCCAATTTCTCCTTGGTATCCACCAGCTTCTCCAGGTTCGCATTGGCTGCAGTTGGCGGAGGCGCGGTAACACCACCTGGTGAGAGTAGTTAACTTAAGATTGCCGCGGCTAAGCTGATTTCCTGGGGCGGGAATTCAGCGTACAACTTTTTTCTTTTAACTTTAAAAGAAAAAAGTTGTACGCTGAATTCCCAAAGCTAAAACTAGAAAATCAGCGTACAGCTGCTGCTACTCTGCCAGCACTATACTGGAATAGTAAACCGATTACGATTAGCTCACCGAGGCAGGACGAGCACATCCACGGCGGCAGCAAAGAAATGATGCCCTTGGCTAGTCTTTTACTTTTTACTATTTGTCCGCAACAACATTAAAGGCAACCTTGGAAGAAGCGCGGAGATCTACGCAGCGACGGCTGCGCGTCAGTCTACTTTCGTTCCCGGAACGAGCGGGGCGCGGTGCCGCGGAGGGGAGTGTCTCTTTTGTTTCTTCCATGTTTTTTTGCCCACCCGCAATCGAAGAGAGACCAAGGAGTCGAAAAACAAAAGCAGAGAAGCTGGCTCGCCAACGTGCAAGCAGCAAGGCGACGCGGAGTTAGGGCGCGACGTCCGCTCACCTCTACCGACCGGAACCCGGTCGAGCCGGACGTGGTCTACTAGTGCGGGAACTTTAAACTAATCGCAGAAAATCAGACTCTTCACTAATCTAGTCTGATGAAGATGAAGTGCCTGACGCGCTATTGTTGACTGGAGATAGAAGGGTGCATGCATCGGTATCGTTTACTTATCAAAATACAGGCTGAGAAGCAAGTCCAAGCGAAAATTAATAAAGAAGATGCTGATACAAGGCCTCTGACTCAATATTGGTATATTAGCTGTTCACTATTCATATACGTGAAGCTATACCGTAGATCTTCATGGCCTCCGCTCTTCCGAACTTTTTAACGACAACCTGCTTCGCCTCCTGGATCGTCTGGCGCGAAACCGCAACCAAATCCGGACGCTTGTCTTGGTCCTCGGTGTCATCAGCCTTTGAATTCCGATTCCGCAGCAGCTTCGAGCCCCGCTGCCTGGTTTTGTCCTCTGCTGTGTTCGCTGCCCGTTCTGACCCTTCGCACTCGCCGAACTTTTCGCTGGTGCGAAGGTGCGGACAGAAAAACGCGACGAGGACGACCGTTCCAGCTGCTGCGCGACCGCCTTCAAATCCAATCCCCCTTGCTTCTTCTGCAGGCACGGCGACGCTAGAAATCGTCTTAGGACCAGCAGCCTTCTCTTGCTCTTGCACAGGATAGACTCGATGGAGCTGCAGTAATTGCTGACCCTCAGAAAATTGCTCCTGCACGAGGCGGTCCCAGACCTCCCCCATTCCCCCCAGGAGGCCCGCGGCCGGCGCTGCCGGTGCGGATGTAACTCTGTACACCGTTACTTCCCTGTCGGTGTGCATCGAGGCGCTGATGGCATTACCGATGACTTCATACGCGGCCTGCTCCCCCTGGGCTTCCAAGCCCTGCGGCAGCGAAAGAATAACGTACACCCATGGGGCGGTTTTGGGCTGCCCTATGTATCCCTTGGCGCGCGGGTCGAGGAGCCCGATGTCCAGGGTGCAAGCGGGAAAAAAACCGTGACTGACGCCGCCAACGCCGCGCAATCGCAGGTCTTCGCAGGAATACGAGTACGACGCACATGCAAGGGCAATTTCCGTTTCCCTGTCGTAATCCACATCCCCGCCAGTTGTCAGCCCCCATCCGCCCGCGCCGCATCTGTCTGATCCCATGTCGCCTTCTGGCGGTGCCGAACCACCTAGTTGTAGATCCGGCACCGTGAATTTCGTAATGTGCTTGCCCGTGTTCTGGCTGGGAAGCCACCACTCCTGGTACTGTTGACCCAGGCTGCGTGCGGGAACCAGTGGGCGCTCCTTGATCCACTCCCCTTTGTGGGTGTCCGGATCGTGCGACGGCTCACAATGTTCCCCCGTGGTTTTCGTTATCAGTTGCGGATACTCCACACTGGGCTGTCGCGGCAGCCTCCCCTTCACAAGGCAGTTCCCTGCGAAATTTCCGTCCTTCGAAAAGGCGTACGTGGGGCCGAAGATGTGATGCGGCGCCGGATCGCCCGAGAGGCCGAAAAACAGAAAAGAGTTGTCCTGGTTTTGCACCATGCTGCCAGCTGATTGCCCCGCAAGCAAGAGCGCATTTTGCCGCCAGAGCGTGAGAATTCGTGCGAAGTACTCGGGTGCGTCCCGGACTTCGGCCATCAGGTCAAACACATTTCCGCCCCCGACGTAGTACATCATCCTCCCCGCCTTGACATCTGGAAACAGATCCTTGGCCATGACGCGTTCATCCAATGTCTGGTCGGAGTTGGGGTTGGCGATTGAAGTTCCGCTCGGAATCGCCCGCACCTGACCAGCCTTGTTTGCAATTGTCCAATCTGGAGCGATAAAAGTGCTGCCTCTCTTCAAAGGCACCTCAATCCGGAGCCCATGGCGGACCAAATCGACATAAAATACTGCGTTGTCTGCCGTCAGAAAATGGTTTTTGTACTTGGGCAAAAGCCGTATGGAGTCCGTGAATTGCCGTAGCGAGTTCGCCACGTGCGTTCTGAAGGCCGGCGTCATGACGCATTCGGCAATGGTAACAAGTGACATCCGCTTGTTTCGTCGCTGGCATGCCTCCGGTCTCCGAAGCATACTGAGCTTCGCGTCCGCGTTCATAATGAAAGTGAAGGGCCCGCTAAATTCGGGCTGCGCTGGCTGGCTTTCGAACTCGTAGAAAAGATTCGCAAAGGCAAGCTGCAGGCCCCCGTTGTCGATGAGCGTGGACAAAAAAAAACCGTATCCGTACTGTGGCGGCGGCGAGGTAATGGTGGGCGAGAACGCGCTGCGGCCTGCCCCCATGTTGGCCGTTGAGACATCGAGTGCAAGCATACACATTGCGTACGCGCGCGGCACCACGTTGTCGTCGCCGGGATACGCCCGGCTAGCGCGCTCTCCTGCCGGGAGGCATCCCGCCTCCAACGGGTCCGGTGGCGTGGAGGCAACGCGGCTGGGAATCGTCCCGGGAGGTTGACCGGAGAGAAGCTCTCGCACCCGGCCCAGCTCCGGGACGTGCAGCACACTCCCATCTCCCCTGGGGATGCACACCACAGACAGGGCGAACACGGAAGCGACGCGCGCCGCGCCCCCCGGTTCCAAAGGCGGGGCAGGCTTCTCCGGGCACATGAACTCCATTGCCTCGAAAACGGTGCCGTCACCCCCGCGGTACGTGTGCCCCGGCACGCCCTCCGGGCTCTTCTCCTTCTGGATGTCCCGCGCGAACATCTCACAAGTGGCCTGGTGGACGGGTGGCGACTGCGTTCCCCCTCCTGCAGAAGGGGTTGCGAGTGGCCGGACGAAGAAATTTTTCTGCGCCGTTGTGAGCACCGGCGCGCAGTAGTCCTCCGGTCCTGGGCTGACGCATTGCCATTTCACACCGCCCCCATCGGCGCCACACACCTTGCACCCCGCGACCCGGCAGGCCTTCTTCGCGATTTTCAACGTTTTTTCTGAGTCCGGCTCCACACCCTGCGCGGGCGCTGCAACACCCCCTGCGCCTCCGCCCATGCGATTGCGACCATATTCTGCCGCCAGTCGGTCGTAAACTTCGGCGAACTTGCCGGCGTCGCACGCGTCGTCAGGCGCTGTGATGCTGCGCGAGTGGTCGGCGAAGACTTTCTTGCCTGGTGTCCGTTCGCGTTCGTGTTCGAGTGACTCCGTCCCCGGTTGCATGCTGCCAGCTGCCAGCACGTCAGCTTGCTTTTTCATTTTCTCGCCGACGAGCAGAAGTTCCGTGTCTCCGAGAATCACCCGAGACCGGCCTGGTTCGGATTGCGCTGAATCAGCATGCGGCGGGGCCGTCACGACGGCCATGCCATCAGTGATGGCGGTCATGTCCATCGCAGTGTTGTGGTGCAGAAACGAGCCATACATGAGGGACTCATAAATTGGCTTTGGGGATTCCGCGCTGCAGAGGTGCGGCCGAATGTTGAAATGAAGGCCCCGCAGGCCTTGATACATACCGGCCCCATCATCACCAGGTGCATACACTTCGACGCCGCCTGGATCATTTTGGTTCAACAAAAATCATTGACATGCCGGAACCGAAACCGATGACCAGATCAAAAACGCAAGGCAACAAGTCCTTGCTAACTTTGCCTGCTTCATTGCTTCTCGACAAAAGGCAGGCCCCCGGGCCATGGCGCCACACCCGATTGCTGGCCGCGCGCGGCGCGGAACGAAGCAACAGCAACAGGTACTCGGTCAAGCGCTGCGTGTTATAACCAGCAAGACTACAACACTCGCTCCACGTAGTTGTTGTTTTGGGAAAATATTTAGGGGTTGCACAGTAAAAAATAGGGTTGCTAATTTTGACCTCGTCTATGCTGTAGTCAGCCCTCGATACCACTGGTTCATGTTCGTGGCCCAAATGGCAGGGGGCCCCTGCGAATGGGCTTCGCACAAGCAGAAGGGCGTGCCGACAGGGAGACCCGGCATGGAACAAAAGCAGCCCTCGTTGCCTGTCACAATGCATGGTGATGCCACAACCCTGCTACACAGATATTTCTAAAGAGTGAAACTGAAACCAACGTACCCCAATCAGAAAAATAAAGTCAGGCCGCGAGTAAAAGTAGCCCGTCCGACCCGAATAGAAGCCCGCGAATATTGCAAGCGCCGCTCCTTCCAAGCAGCAAATGGCCAGCGCCCTGGCCGCCAGAGGGGCGGCACGAAAATAGTTACAGGCAATACGAACTACACAGCTCCTCAAAAGCAGGCGTCATGATGATGTGAAAAACTCACACTTAGTACCATAGACTTGATAATTCGGCACGCCCCTGACTTCTTCTACCCTGCCTCCTCCAGTGTCAAATTGGGAAACTCTGGGCAGGGCGTCCCTTCCCCCAATGTCACGCCAAACCTGCGCGACCGATTGCCGCGAAAAGGGCACCAGGTCTGGACTTACATCTTCGTTGCCATTTTTCTGCGTTGGGTCACGCAGGAGCTTCGAGCCACGCACGCGCAACTCTGCCGTCGACGAGTGCTCGTCTTGTGCTCGCTTGGCCCGTTCTGCGTTCGCACATTCCCCTTTCTTGTATTTCTCCGAATCCCGGGTGTGCGCGCAATAAAACGCAACTAACACAACTCGTCCACTGAGGACAACGTCACTGTGGAGCTCGACGGCCTCCTTGCCTTCCACCAGAATGCCGTGAATCCGCTTGTGCGAAGGAGTTTGTTCGCCCTGCTTGGCGGGCTTCATCGGTTTGCCAACGAACTGGTCGTCCTCGGGTTTCTCGTGTTCGGAAACAAGGTGTAGCGTGACCTCCAGCGCGCATACAAATGAAAACGCAAGCCGCGAAACAAAACACGGGGAAAGCAACGCGGTCAAGGGGCTCACTGTCGTGTCTTTGGGCCCTGCTGCCAGAGCATAATTGTCATCTACTTGCAGGCCTACAAAAGTAGAACTCCACCTGGAGGGAGGGCTGCTGGGGAAGAGGCAAGAACATAAACAGTGGCGTGATGGCGCAAAAGCCGTGCCGCCAAAAACCAAAAAATAGCGATCTCTACATGGATAGATAAAAAGTGGACGGCCAGTTGCTCCACCCACCGTCCCACGTTGTGCAAGCAGTTTGGCCAAACAAAGTCAAACTCGCTGCACGCGGCGCACCGGGGACGGGCGGGCGCACACGGACACGGGCAGGCAATTCAAAAAGAATGGGTGTGCGCACTTCATCTTGGCGACACCCCCAAAGACTGATCGCAAGTTTGCTGGCACAGTTTATCTATGCAAGTCACAATACACACTTCTCGTTCCAACAGGGCGGGCAAGGGGGGGGCGACCGATCCAAGTACGGAGACAAACACGTCGGCTCGGCCGGTAAGAATTAGAATTAAATACAGGCTTTCATGTCCTCCCAGCGAAGCCGGGGCTTGCTCCTGCGCCACGAAGAATTATGATCTAACCAGGAGGACAGCTACCTCAGCTGCCAGAAAGCTCGAGTACGCCAACAAGAAAACAGCACTAGACTAAGCACACACAAAAACAAAACGGCGCAGCAAATGCGCCAGCCACTGCCAGCCTCGTGTCGTGTGGGATAAATATACAAGCAGCCCTTCTGCATCTGCATAACTGAAACTTTCTGTCGCCCCAAGACTTGCTGCGCGCCCACGCCGGCGGAGCGGGAGACGCGAAGCGTTAACTTTTCCCCGTCGTGGCGCGGCCGCGCAATCTGAATGCTATCCTCGTTCCCGAGCTACCTTGGACGCAACGTGTCGCCGGATAGCGGCAGGATCGTTTCCGGGGACAGTTTCAACGTTTAACCGGTAAACGACAATAGCTCGGTCCCCAATTGGCGTGATTTCCCGAAGCTTCTTGCGAACACTGTTGGCCTTCTGTTGCACCTCGGCATTGTAACCGTACGGAGTGTCACGCGTATCACTCTTATAGTGCATGTAGGTCCAGGACGAGGTTTTTGGCTGGCCCAAAAATTCTTTTGCCTCCGGATCGAGTAATCCTGTATCCTGTTCACAAGCGGCATAGGCGAAGCTCGAGACCCCTCCGACGAACAATCTTCCGCGCAAATCAGCACACGAATAAGAATATGACGCACAGGCCTTGAGAGCCATTTCTGCATTGGACTTCGTGCCGTGGGTGCCGCACTTGGGCGATTCCGTAGGAGGTCCTCTTTCAGGGCCGCTGAGCGGCACTGTCTGCAAGTCCGATACTTTGTAGGAGCCGATGTTTACAGCTGTGTTGCGGCTCGGTTTCCACCATGTGGAAAAATCCTGTCCCTCGCTTCGCGCAGGGATAAGCGGACGGTCCTTTGCCCACTCCCCCTTCTTCTCGTCTGTGTCTCGAACCGGCTCGCATTCGTCATCTTGCGTCGGCGTTATCAGCTGCGGCCAATCCACCTTCTGATCTTGGTCAAAACAGTTTCCAGCAAAATTACCGTCCTTCGAGAAGGCATATGGCGACTCTTTGTAGATGTGGTGCGGCGCGGGGTCGCCAGATAGCCTCCTACAGAAAAGCTCACCCATAGACACCACAGTCGCAATTGTAGATATCTGATGCCTTATGCCTTTCCTTCCATGAAGAAGGCGGCTCTACCTCCTAATAGTTTGAAGACAAGATATCACTTTTTTCATTCTTTCTTCGTGAAGAAATTGAAATACCAAAGCCCACTTCACGTCGATGCTTCCAGGGTAGGATTTAGTTTCAGGACCATTCGCTGGAATACAATAAGCGCATATTGCTACACAGGGTTTGGACTCTTCGCTATCATTTGAGTGAGAGTCCAAAGAAATCCGAAGAACTGCAATGGGTTGCTATTATACATCTTTGAAACCAGTGGTCCTGTGGGTGTACTTTTCTTTCCGATAAACAGTCCGAATGCCAAAAACGAGTTGTCTTGGTTCTGCACCATACTTCCTGCGGATTGCCCAGCAAGAAGTATGCTCTTCTCTCGCCAACCTTGGAGGATCGATGCGAAATAGTTTTGCATCAGGTCGCTGTCGTGTGCCTCTGCCATGAGGTCGAAGACATTTCCGCCGCCGATGTAGTACATCATTTTCATGCGGTGCTGCCCCAATACTTGGTTAGCATTGGGTCCGAAAAACGACATCGCGGTGTTCGTTTGCCACTCTGGAGCGATGTATCCCAGCGCTGGGTCAAACGGAACCCGCACACGAAGACCGTGGCGGGCAAGGTCAACGTAATACACAGCCTGATTGACCAAGCTTTCAAGTTCCGCGCCCCCGAGTAGCAGCGAGTCCGTGAACTGGCGAAGCGAGTTGGCGACATGGGTCCTGAAAGCTGGCGTCATCACGCAATCGGCAAAAGCGTGTGGACCATGACTCTGTTTCCCCTTACAGTCGGGGGCTTCCGGGTGGCGCAACATGCTCAGTTTGGCGTCGGCGTTCATGACGAAGGCGAATTTTAGACCGTTATTCAGGTCTGTGCCGATGAATTCCCGGAACAGGTTCACAAAAGCGAGCTGCAACCCGCCGTTGTCAATGAGCGTGGACAGGAAGAACCCGTACCCATAGTTCGCGTTCTCTCCGGCCTGGACCGGATGCTGCCCGTTCGCGGTCGACACATCAAGCGCAAGCATGCACATCGCGTACAACCGCTCCCGCTTCTGGTTTGCATTTGGATAGGCCAGCTCCGCTCGGTTGCGCGCAGTTTTGCAACCCGGCGCGAGAAGCTCCAGTGGGACCGCCGATCCGACACTTCGTTCCCCAGAACTGTCCTCTGCAAAGACAGGCATTTCCAGAGCGGGTGCGATTCGCCTCTGGTAATCCTGGTGCTTGCTTGGTTCTTCAGGGACACAGATCACGGATAATGCGAAAAGTGACGACATTGTATCCTTGGTGCTGCCACTGGGAGTCACTTCCCAGTGCGGCCGCTCAATCTTCTTGTCCGGGCACATGAACTGCACATGCTCAAAAGCGGTTCCCGGTCCTCCTGAGTACGATTCTTGCATTTTCGTGGGGTCTACGCCTGCCGGACCCGGAGCGCTTGCTGCATACAGAAAACAAGTCCTCCGATTACTGAGCTCTCCCACCTCGGGTATCGTCCCTCCTGCCGCACCATTCGGCCGCACGGCTATAAAATTTCCAACTTCAAAATTCTTTTTCTCGAAGAGTTGTTCGTGTTTGGCAGGAAGGACCGGCGCGCAGTAGTCTTCCGGCCCGGGGCTGATGCACTCCCACTCCACTGCCGAGTTCGAGGCGCCGCACACTTTGCAGCCTGCCACCCTGCACGCCTTTTTTGCGATCAGAGTCTGCATCTCGTCGAAGTCGCTCGCTATTGCCATCCCTCTACGGTGGAGGTATTGCCATCCCTCTACTTTGTGTTTCTTCCACTTTCTGAGCAACTCGTCGTACTTCTGGGAAAACTTGTCCGCGTCGCAAGCGTCATCCGCCCGCGTGACCTGTTTGAAGTGGTCCCTGACGATGTCTTTCCCCGACCTGGCTTGTTGTGGTTCCAGTTCCACAGCCCCCTGCTGCGCGGACAGCTTCACTCCCACTTGGAGGTGAGAGGAACGAACAGACTCCTCCTCATCCGTGCGCTCCTCCTCGTCGTCGTCAAGAGGGTCTTCCATCGGCGCCGCCGCTTTTGCCTCACTCCTGGCGTTTTCAGCACTTCTCTGACTCAGACTCACGTCCTCCAGCGGCACCGGTCCATTGAGCTAATATGCAGTGCAAAAATGTACTAATCGTACATAAATATCGGTATTTGATGAAGATAAAAGTCACAACATCTGAAATTATGAAGAGAGATACAAGTTACAAACTCGAACTTTAAAGCGTATGCATGTCGCCGTGTGCCTATCAACTTGCTTAGTGCTATGACTTGAACGGAAAAAAAAAATCACATAGAAGTTGTAGTACGGTCGAGGACTGGCATGATCATGAACATGATGCAAGATTGCAGCTCATACGGGATGATGACGAATATTACGTCGTGGTCGTACGTTTTTTGCACAGCGTAGTTCTTCCTTCGTCTGCTCCTGTTGTGTGCTTCCACGTAAATTTCCGCGACGTGCTGCTTGTTTTCTGCTCCTTCCGGCACCACCTTCCGACCGAGCTTCGTGGTCCCTGTATGGAATTGGAAAACTGCGCCCATGGATCTCTGCATTGCAGACAAGCACAACTCCAGACACCTAACTTTGTTTGCTGTGCGGTCTCGAAAAATTTAGTACAGAAAACCCCCGGGCTGATGTCCATTTACGTTCTTACAGGGGTCTTCTTTTTATGGACAACACAAGACACGCAAAAACCATATTAGAATGGGTAAATTTTATTCCGTGGCACTGGTTCATAGAGACAGTGACATCAGAAGCGGAATCGTATACAACCAATGCCAATGCAAATTCTGGAAGGCCTACTACAATACTGCACGCGTCAGTTTTGTTGTTGCATACATCGTCCTCCGTGATGCTGGGACGGTCGCCCCGATTGTTCCAAAAAGCCAGGGCGAGCGGCGACGCAATGACAAAAACGCAGAACGATGCCCACCACACCCGCTGGTGCCCTTTGAACGATAAGCCCGACAGAGAAAATCGCGTCACGCACGTTGCCAGTAGGCTCATGCTCGGAGGTTTGTTGTTATCGACAACCGGCGTGGGATGGCGCTCATTCGTAACTTGCTGGTGCGTGGTCACTTTTGACGCCATCGTGTTTTTGATTTTGCTTCTTGTTTTTCCTTTCCCAATCGTCATCGCTCTCATCTTGGTCTTACCAGTGATAATCTTCGCCCACAGCAGAGGGCCCAGGTGGCCCAGGATTGTGGTCAGCAGCGGCACATAAAAATCGCGAAACAGCGGTGGTCCTCCCCCCTTCTTGTAGGTGATAAGCTTGGTCCAAAATTCGCTCCACTTGTGCTGTGCCAGCGCACGCGCCTTCGCAGCAGCACCGAGTGTGGCCCTCAAGTAAAGGCGAAAGATGCTTTTCCTTCGTTTTGCCGCCGCGGCACTGGATTTTTTAATCTTGGCCGCAATTTCTTCCTTCCTGTTAAAGATGCTCTTTGCGGGAGCGCGAGCAAAGACCACTTCATCGACGCGGGGGCGCAAAGCAGATCTCATTGTGCTGCCGGTAGGTCTCAGGAGTACCAGCCTCTCAGGAGTGCCAGCCCTGCAACAAAAGGAGACGTGTGGAAGATTTGCAACGGGTCAAATTCTGCCTGGCCTGTCGGCGTGAACGGGCCCGAGCCAGCCCTTTATGCTGCGGGTCGCTCCGTGCGGCGCGCCGTGCCTGCAATCGTCGTGCAGCGGGACCTGCAAAAAAAATACTGATGCTTGCGTTTGATTCTAATTTTATTCCGGTCTTTTTTTTTAGACACGATCTTTTCTTTTACGATTCTCGATTCGTTCTCGGTTTTCTTCTTCTACCATATGGCGCGTCAACACCACGCTCATCGATATAACGTTTCTTTCGTCGAGAGAGCTGCGGCAGGGCTACTGCTTTACGTTCACGGCTCTACTGACGCAGAAAAACCAAAAATCCTGATAGTAAACGATTGTAAAAAGTACAAGGAATGAGTGAGAAAAGAAATTAATTTATTGAAACACGTATTTAAGAATAGGCGATTAGAGAATACTTATCAGCAGCAGGGAAAAAATAAAGTCACTCCTGCGGGTCGTCATAAAGCAACATCCAAGAACGATTGCACATTGCTTTGCAGTTCTTCTGCAACTGCCGTACGTATCGGCGTGGGCGTCGGAGATGCAATCCGGGCATAAACTTAATCGGTGCTTAAACGTATGAGACTGACCAACAATGTCCGTCTCTTTCCTATCTTACAAAAGATCAGACGTGGTCGGAACCGAGCCGCAAGGAAAAAGTTCAAGTTGCACGACAGACATGTAAACATAACGACAGCGCAGGACTCGACTGCGACAAGCTGAACTAATTGTAGGTGGACGAAGACGCGGTGTGTGGGCAACAACTACCGATAATGAATTTTCGCTTATGATGGAAACCAAGAGCAACCGAGACCATTTTTCTTTTTTTGAATGTTTTCACTACTACCTAGTCTGCAGTAATGTTCCCTTGAGCCAAAATGGCTACGGATAACCAGTAGAAGACCGAGAAGAAACGCTTACATGAGTGACTAACGTACAGGAATTACCGAATCACCACTTCGTTGCAGAAAATCACCGACTCCAACCTTGAAACAAAACCGCTTTAGGCGTCCGTGGGCTCATTTTATAGCCTCACATTTTAAGCCACGCAAATTTCAGTCCGCGGACTTGCAATTATATCATTCCTTCAGCGATAAACGTACCAGGCACTTTACAAAGTCGTTGCTACAAAACCATCTGTAGAAATATAGCATTTGCAAAGAAGCCCCACATCCGTCTTCTCTCTGGCCATCAATACGACGCGCAGCTCTCGCTAGAAAAGGAGAAGAGGGCGAACTTGGGAAAGCCAGTAATGCTGCAGAGGTACTGGTGCAAGACGGATTGTTTCGCGATAGAAGATTTTAGTATGAGTATAGTTTCAGACTGCAGCTCCTCATCATGATTTTGAGACGCGCCTTGCGATAAGAATTACCGGAGGACACATACAATTTAACACGGACGAGGGACTAGTTTTAAAGCTGCGTCGAACTTTTGGATTTACTTCAACAAAAAGTGCAAATCGGAATCGAGTAGGCAAGTCTCGGCAGAAGTAGTAAGTAACTTGTGTGGTGCAAGATCCTAGCATGACAGGTTCACAGATTTGCAGAGACTGGCGAATTACGCCAGAAAAGCAGAACTGCGCTGTCATTTCAGACCTGCAGTACAACAACCTTCTAGTGCAGGAAAAGCGTCAAGTACAGAGACAAACCTACTGATTTTGCAACTTGCGGTAGATGACACACGACACCGTAGCGATTTGATTACGGGTGAGACGACCACGTTCATTCTAGCTGATAGCAGTAAAGAAGACAAACGATACTTGTACTAGCTCATTTTAGTCCATATTTGTAGCCTAGTGAAGATACAACACTTTATTTTCTGTTGGAAAACGAAGAAATTAGGAATTCGTAGTTTCGTTTGTGGCTTTTTTTTCACAAGGGAAAATTCCATGGGTAGAATCACTACGGTGTGTGGTGGTGGAAAAGGCAAGGAAAAGTTTGTCTTTACTAAATTTCCGTGAGCACGACGTTTTCATGTCCCGTAAAAGTGAGTATCATTCCAGAACCTCTATTAATTTAGAAGCACTTGCGATGCACGATGGTCGGGCCGGACTCGTCGTACTCGTTCTTGGAGATCCACATCTGCTGGAAGGTGGACAGGGAGGACAAGATGGACCCGCCGATCCACACGGAGTACTTGCGCTCCGGGGGCGCAACGACCTTGATCTTCATGGTGGACGGCGCCAGCGCGGTGAGCTCCTTGGTCATGCGCTCCCCGATGCCCGGGAACATGGTGGTACCACCCGAGAGGACCACGTTTGCGTACAAGTCCTTACGGATATCGACGTCGCATTTCATGATGGACTGGAACGTGGTGTCGTGGATACCTGAGGAAGGGATAATGCGAATGTATGCGTCATCATCATCAAAATGCATGACAAATGTGTATTTTCAATTTTGATGCATGACTAGCATAACGATAACAAGCGAGCTTGAGATTACTACTTATCAAAAAGATTTTGATAAATTCTATACCGGACGACTCCTTTCCGATGAAGGACGGCTGGAACAGCACCTCGGGGCAGCGGAACCGCTCGTTTCCGACAGTGATCACGTTGCCATCCGGCAACTCGAAGGTCTTCTCGTTTTCCGAGGACTGGGCGGCCTGCTTCATCTCGGCGTCGAAGTCCAGGGCGACGTAGGTCAGCTTCTCCTTCAGGTCCTTCACGATCTCACGCTCCGCGGTGGTGGTGAAAGAGTAACCACGTTCGGTCAAGATCTTCATCATGTACTCCGTCAAGTCGCGACCCGCCAAGTCCAGACGCAGGATCGCGTGCGGCAAAGCGTAACCCTCGTAGATCGGGACCGTGTGGGACACGCCGTCACCGGAGTCCATCACGATACCGGTCGTACGACCGGAAGCGTACAGGGACATCACGGCCTGATTATTTATTAGAAGACCACAAGATCAAAAATGTACTTTTCGTGCAGGAGCATGCATCACAATCACAAAAGTCGTAAAAGTAAAGTTGTTGGAAACCAGGGGAAAAGAAGCCGAGCTTGATGTCATTGCAGATCGATCGTAATCTCCGCCGCTACGTCAGCGTCAGAAACAATTTTTAAAAAATAAAAAGGAAACAAACAAGCATGAAATGTTACGTACCTGGATGGCGACATACATGGCCGGAGAGTTGAAGGTTTCAAACATGATCTGAGTCATGCGCTCGCGGTTCGCCTTCGGGTTGAGGGGAGCCTCGGTCAGCAAGACCGGGTGCTCCTCCGGGGCAACACGCAGTTCGTTGTAGAAAGTGTGGTGCCAAATCTTCTCCATATCGTCCCAGTTGGTGACGATACCGTGCTCGATCGGGTACTTCAACGTGAGCACACCACGCTTGCTCTGCGCCTCGTCTCCGACATAGCTATCCTTCTGGTCCATCCCGACCATGATACCGGGCATCTTCGGGCGACCGACGATAGACGGGAAGACGGCGCGCGGGGCGTCGTCACCGGCGAAACCGGCCTTACACATACCGGACCCATTGTCCACCACGAGGGCTTGCACTTCGTCGTCGGCCATTTTTGCGGTTTTGCGTGCTGTTCAAAAGAGCTCGAAGATCGGAAATTCCTTTCAGGACTCACAACAAATCACAACTTTCAACTACAATTTTTATTTTTTTCCACAGGAAATCAAAATTTGGATTTTGTTTTATTGTACAACTTGGAGAGAAAAGAGTGTTGCTGGTGTAACAAAATGTCAAATTGCAGATCGCTTGTTTTTCGGGGAAACCCTTCAGAGGATGCTGCGCGCGCAGAATGATGAAATATGTCGGGTCTATTATTAGGATCCAAATGCTTGCTTTCTTGTGCTTTTGAATCGTTAGTTTTGTTTGCTTTTGTTCACCAACTTCGGCTTCCCGCAATGCAAGGCCGTCTGAATAAAAAAACCTCCAGATCTCACAGTCACAACATACCAGCTACTAGGTCGCAATGAGCAGCTGCAGCGTGCAACTAGAACTACAAACAATCATGTAAGTACGTACAACGTGTTGTCTTTGCTGTAAAATTATCAGCTCTGGTCCTATAATCAACCTGTATGGAGCGGTGCTATTTTGCACACTTTCGCTGAGTCGTGCGCGTTTGTTTCACAGATATCTCAACCACTCCTCAACCGACATCTCTTTCTCTTCTTGTTCTTTCTATTTTTTCGACGTACGTACTAAACTGCTCTTCTTACTTAATCGAGTGAACGAAGGCCGACCGATACAGACACTTACAACTTTCCTTCCGAACATGCAGCTTCTATTCGAAATACGAAGAATGAGAACTCTGCAACTTCTCACGATGCGCGGCCGATGGCATAGGTCCTCTGTTTCTTTCTACGTACGCCTTAACCCTGCGTTTTCTTGCGCTGTGCTGTTTCATCAACAAGCCATTTTCATCTTGTGGTTGTCATTTGCCTTCAACTTCAAAAAATTTAAGAGCTAGGTGTAAGAAAATCATGATACGGTGACACAATGTTTTTACAGAGATCCGGCTCGCCGTAGGCTCCGCTGTTCAGCGTGTCGACAAAAGCTACGAATGCTCTTTCTTCCACCAAAGTAACGCTCATGACACTTTGCTCTTGAGTATACATAGATTTCAATGCGTTTGGTCAATCATGGTCTTCATCTTATGCCTCTATCACTTAAATCCTCTCCAGGGTTCCGCAGCCCAGGAGGTCGAAGCAGGATTTCATCGTTCTGCGCGTCAGTTCAATCAGCAACAGCCTGCTGTCCTGCTCCTCGTGGCCGACCACCTTGCACTTCATGTAGAACGCCGTGTAGAGGTTCACGACCTTGTACAAAAACTCGCACAAGTTGTGGACGGCGAGCGAGTGGAGGACTGATTCCAGCACATCCGGAAATTTCAAAATCTCCAGCAGCAGATTCCTCTCCTCCGGCTCGGTGATGTTCAATTTTGATAGCGGAATCTTTGCCGTCATCTCTTCCGGCGATTTGAATCCGGCTTTCCTCTGGATGCTGCAAATACGCGCGTAGGCGTACAGAAGATAGCTGTGATGGTGATGGATTTCATTGCCAAGTGTCATAGGTTAAAGCAAAAATGATGACTGTTCCTGCGTGCAGCCGGCGTCGAATCTCGTGTGTCCTCGTGCATCGATGCATCTAAACAAAAAGAACCTAGTCGAAATGGCAATCATCATACATGGCAATCAAAGTCACGGTCTTACACTGCGGTGTCTCCCCTAGGATCCAGCATGCGATCGAAGCTGAAGATGTAGTTGGAGGTTCGGTTTTGCTTCAAATCGAAGTACTTCACCGCCGCATACCTGTGGGTTTTTGATTTAAAAAAGAAACTTTTTGTCTCAAAGCAGTGTCGACGAAGAGAGTAGTCACCCGCCCGGTTTGTCCAAAGATAGCGTTGAAACAATGTAGAAGGAATGCACTGAGATTGAGAAAGATGCATAGAAAAGATGATGAAGAAGATCTATGCAGGTGGAAGAAAGCTCGAAAGCGGCCCTAGTGGTAAATATAGTACCCGATAATCTCCGCTGCCGCGTCAACATCGTATTCCATCGCCTCACCGTTCTTCTTCGCCTCCTCCTGACGCTTTTCTAACTCGACCTTTGCCCTGCTAACCGCCTCGTCGAGCAGCATCTCGAGTTTGACAGTGTCGCCAGATCGGGTCTTGAACTTCTTACCTGATGATTTAGGAACATGAAAGCGTTCAAGTAGAGAACCGATCTTCAAAATCAACAATCTGTATCGAGCAAAATCGCCAAGACGTCCATCTGGACGCATGATGCAGCGCACTGCGTGCCGTCCTCACTACTTACACCGTGCCACAAGTAGCATCTTCAAGAGCACAATAAAGAACACAACCAGCAAATTCAGTATAGATACCGTCCTCTCCCTGCACAACCCCGAACCCCATGTGGTCCAGCCTGCTGACGCCGGGCCTGTGCCAGCCCGCCTGCTTTGCCGCATCGAAAACCGACCAGAAGTGGTTCTCCTGGCCGGTGTCCGTGATGTAGATCACCCAATCCGCGCGGTGCACGATCAATCGGTGGTAGATGCACGCTAAATCCGTTGATCCGTAGCAGAATCCGCCGTCTGACTTCTGGACCATGAGCGGTACGTCGGGGTTGACGTCTGGGACAGTGATCACCTTTGCTCCCTGCGAGGGGACGACAATGTTGCGGTGCTCCAGCTCTTTGATGACGGTGGGAATCATCGGATTGTAGTAGGACCTGAAGAGATGAAGGGACTAGGACTTTGATTTCGATAGTATTTCAAATAGTACAAAAATTATCTTCGGCCGAGAGAGCAGACGGTGGCTCGAGTCGCGTCTTGTCGTGCGACACGTTCATTGACGATCATTCCAGACGCTGTTGCTATACCATTTAAGGGTAAGAGAGAACTCCTGACGCAGGAAATAAACACAAAAAAATTACTCTCCCCTTTCCGTCACGTTAATTTCGAGCCGGTCGTACACCCTTTGGTAGCTTTTCCGGGAAATTTCGCAAATGACCTTCCAGGCCTCGGTGTGAAATTTCGCCCCGGCCTGCAGTTCCACGACGGAGAGTTGACTGCGTTTCTTGAAGTCTGCGTCATCGTCGAATCGCTTCTTGCTTGCCTTGTAAAAAGACTGCAGATCGGAGATGTCTGGCATGTTTTCCAAAAAATCCGGATACGTCTCCCTCATGTACTCAATCAGCATGCCGAACTGCGTTCCCCAATCGCCCACGTGGTTTAACCTCGTCACGTCGTGCCCGCAGAACTCCAGCACGCGGCACATTGCCTCGCCGATAATGGTCGACCGCAAGTGCCCCACATGCATCTCCTTGGCAATATTTGGGCTGGAGAAGTCCACAACCACTCGTTTTGAGTAATCCGTCTCGTACTGCTGCTTCTGGGAGGAAGCGCTCGTAGACTGTGACAGGAGCCCGAGACCCTGAAGATAGTCAGCCAAGAATTTTGATTTTCAATCCAAAGCCAAAGGCATGCACCAGTTCACTTGACTTACATCAAGTTGCTCGCTTTTTCAAATTGAATCTCTAGTACCTGATGCATAAGTCCTTGCAATGGCACAAACGAATCTCTTTCAACATCAATCCTGGTACCTTTTCATTGATCCACCCGAGGTCGATCCGGACTGAAATGAACCCCGCCGGCGCAACACTTATTTCCTTGAACATTTTATTCTTAAATTCGTCCGCAAGCGAGTCCTTTATTCTGTTTCCGATGTCTCCCGCGGTTTTCATTTCCTGGCCTAGAACTTCCGTGTCTCCCCGGTATTGGGAGAACAGATCCATGGCATTGTTGCACTGGTAGTCGCCGAATCTGGGCTGGGCGACGACTATTTTCGCTTCCTGCAACGGGACCTTTGGGAAGGCTTTGTGGATGGCGTCGGAAAACGCTTTCCGGATCGTCTGTTGCAGCGAAACGATTTTGCCCGCTGCCTCCATTTTTCTCGCCATGTGGGTTTTTTTCCAATGCGGGCAAAAATATTAAAATGCCTTGCCAAACAGGACAGAATAGAGAGGTCGCGAGTATGAGTGTGCGAAGAGAAACTCAGACTTATTACGGTATTCAAAAATGAAATTTCAGAACATAGACCCTGAAAGATCATACAGCAACAATCCATGATACTACGGCTCGAAAATTACAAACGCCAATAGCGCACAGATTTTTGATTTTGTACGAAAGGTTTCTACCAGATATCCAGTTTACAAAAAAATTTCCAAATAATGTCGTCCTTCTATTTTGTCAAGTATTTCGTGCGATCGGTCGTGCGTCACGAGACTTCTTTAAACTCTAAAAGTACTACAAGCAGGCAGGATCATCCGGAATGTGATCGCGATCTGGATCTTGTTGCTGCGGTGTGTTTGTATACCAGTTCCGATCCCTGTTGAGAGCAGCTTTCTCTGCAGCTGTGTCTGTGTCATGCTTCTGAGTACAACGACGATCTCGATCATCACGCAGTACGATTACCATGTTGCCGTCAGTGTTTTCACATCAATCTAGTAGTAGATCGTAGTCTAGACGAGATCGCTGGAGGATCTTGTCGTCAGCAAGAACATTCAGCGGTACGCGAGAGTGCGAAAAGTAGTGATTCCAGTGGCTTTGCTAGAACATCAGCAGTAGATGTAGAATCAGCCTCGGGGACTCGCATTGCGTCAACTATAATGGAATGGATGTAGAACTATGACGGCGCCGGCCTGATTTCGACAACATGTTGTTATCCAATCGCCCAGCCGGAGCCAAATGCTAGCATTGCTGCACATCTAAAATGCTTGCGGAGCCAAAAAGGCATCTCAAACAACGAATGTCGATGTCTTTGTTTTCGGTGACACTTGCACTTGGAATTAGTACTCGCATTACCCCTACATTTTCCATCCCTTTTCCTTTTCCCTGGGACTTTTCTGGGGGCGCGCTATTCGCGGTGAGGGTGATGGTATCGAATCCTGCTGCAGTGTCTGCATTGGCGTCCTGACGCTGTTACTCCCATTCAGCCCGCGCTTTGGCCTCCCTTCTTTCTCCAACAGCGGCCGCTCCCTTTCATCCATGACTGGTGATCTCCCACGGCCCAAATCAAGATTCACAAAAGTCGCCTTCGCCCCTATATCCGCCGGGCCTCGTCCCACAGCCCTTGGCGGCATCTCTATCACACGCCATAACGCTCGCGGCGTGCTGGTGCTGCGCTCGGTGCCCTCAGGCGTAGTTCGAAGCTGTTGTGACCTATGATCGCTCGTCATAGCGGTAAATCGATAATCTAAATCTTGATCATGGTCCTCGTCCATGCGAAAGTTTTTCATTCTTTCCGGCACATGTTCCTTCGACAAGGTGCTTCGCCTCTCCAGGGTGAATTCCACCAGATCGATGCCAAAAAGCTGGTGCTCCGCACTCACCACAAGGTTGTCCGTGAACTTCAACAAATAAAAAGTGAGCCCGCACGTCACCACCGCCCAAATGGTGATCGCAAAAAGCCCGATAACCTGCGCGTGAAGTAAAGCGGTGCTTGGAGGCGTATTCGCGGTTGCAGTCTTGAAGAACCCCTTTTTTTCGTCGAAAAGCCCAACCGCGAGCAGGCCCCAAATGCCACAAGCCCCGTGCACCGGAAAAGCAGCGACGGGGTCGTCGATCTCCAGTGTCAATAAAAGTACAGTAGCGAACTCCACAACGACACCTGATATGATCCCGATCACCATGCTGTCCCACAGATCCACACTGGCGCAGCCAGCGGTGATGCCAACGAGGCCGCCCAGCATGCCGTTGGCGAAGGCCGCGATGTCGAATTTTTTCACGCGAATGAAATTGACCAAGAAGCTCGACACCGTCCCAAAGGCCGCAGCGGTCGCCGTGTTGGTCGCGACGCGGGCGGCAGTCACGGCCTTCCCGTTTGTGAGTCCGTTCGTCGAGCCTGCATTGAAGCCGTACCACCCGAACCAGAGGATGAAGCTGCCCACACAGATGTAAAGCATGTTTGTGGGGGCGAAGTCATCAACTTCTGTTGGTGGTGGTTGCACTGTGGTCGTGAGAGCACGGCTACTTCTAGAGGAGATAGAGATTTGACTTGCAGCATGATCACGTCTTTGACTATTACTCCCACCTACACCTCCTCTGATTTTTCTTTGGAGGAGCTCCTGACCTAGACTATGGTCTGCCGGTCTAGTACTTGATGAATTAGCATTGTCCAGCACGGCCGCGGAACCGTTCGACGGAAAGAACCGTCCGTGCCTTGGTCCGCACGCAACTGCGCCAACCAAGGCCGCAAACCCGCCGAACATGTGCACGATTCCGCTTCCCGCAAAGTCCGTGAACCCGATCTGTTTCAGCCAGCCGCCGCCCCACGTCCAGTGAACCACCGTCGGGTAGAACAGCAAGGTTAGCAAAAACGAGATCGCGGCAAAGCCCTGCAGCTTGCACCGTTCCGCGACTCCGCCGGACACTATGGTTGCCGCAGTGGCGCAAAAGGTGTACTGGAAGAAAAAATCCGTGTAGGAGCCCCCATGTTGCTCGAAATCCTGGCTGGAGGGGAGGAAAAGAGTGCTGCCGAAAAACCCGGTTAGGGTCATTGATGTCGTCGGAGGTGAGACTGAAGCACCTCCTGCAGTGCTGCGCTGCGATCCAAAGTCGTACTCTTCCCCAAACGCGATGCCGTACCCGAGCAGATACCACGCGATCCCGGCCATGGCGGCGTCAATCAGGTTCTTCATCAGAATGGACTGAATGTTGCGTTTCTTCACGAACCCGGCTTCGAGAAACGTGAACCCCGCTTGCATGGTGAACACCAAAGCACCGCAGAGGATTATCCAGCCGGTATCGACCGCGAAGGCGAGGTCGGTTAGTTGGTGTTCTAGTTGTACGGGAGCACCAACGATCATGGGGCTGTTGAGCTGCTGCTGTAACGTGCTGTCGGGAGTGGTCGCCGTCGCCTGAATGTCTACCGCAGGTGATGCGGCTTCTGTGCTGGGCAAGCTAGCCATTGATGCCATATGGGCTGCTGCCAAACCCATCTTTGGTGTGGGAGAACAGATATTCGAAATGGAGGGCGGTGATCCTCTCTTCAGATAAAATGTTTATCTTGGTCGCAAAATTGGACGTTATAATTTTGCGGGCGCGCCCGGCAGGGATAGCTCATTTATTACCGTGTAAAATTCTTCTCGGTCCAATTCCGAAAGAAGTCCTGTGGAAAATGTAGAGCGACACCGACAATAGAGACAGCAGCATCTTCGTGATGTAAGATTACGATTACGATTCGTGACAATCGCATCCGACCTCGAGGAGAGAGGAATCACAACACCACCAAAATTAATAACACTGCGAAGACAATGTCGTGGATACTTCGACCTGCTTCTTCTTTTATGACCGAGCTTCGCTTTTTTTTCTCAAAGGCATCCTTTACAAAAATGGGCAATGACAGACCAGGATCGCATCAATCACGACCGAATGTCAGCATTCTGCTCAACCCAGACATGAGTCGCACCATCACCGATCAATATCGATAGCCGACAAAGATGGACATGATCTTAACGCTATCACAGCCGAAATTGCTAAGTGAACAACAGAATATCACATCGACAACATGACTCATGGCAAACATTTTTTTGTGGAATTTATCAGATGAGGATGAGCACAGCCCCAGGACTAGCAGAATAGCGGAAGCAAAAACTACTGGATCTAAGCCATGAGCTCGGTTTCGTAGTGGGGAAAGCGAAAGCTACGAATGGGTACTGAATAACAGCCGTTTTCTAGTTGATCTCTGACTCTGGGGGAGATGAGGAGCTTGCATAGAGTTATAGCTATCGCGGCTAAGAACTAGTAGGGAGCATGGCACAAAAAGAAAAATTGGGAATTCGAACGCAGACTTCCTTTATGAAAATTTGCTTAGCCACCTCCAACCCACCTAACAGCAACCCCCGTCGCCTCCCAACGTGGTTGGATCGTCTACCGTTTCCCCGTCCCCCGGGGTCCACTTCTCAAACGTACCACCACCAGCCGAAACACTCCCGCCGTTTGCTGCATCGCCATTGGAGCCTGCGCCGCCGCCAGAAGATGGTGCACCGGACGAGGGGGGGCTGGTGCCCCCTGGCGTGCCCCCCGGCGTCGTCCCAGGCGGCTCGGTCTCGTGCTCAGATAGCGGATCTTGCGAGGGATCCAGCAGGGGGTCTCCCGGGCTGTCTGCGTCGGGTGAGTCGGCGTCGGCAACTGTCGCAAAGGCCGGGGCTTGGCTGGGCGGAATGCCCGTCGTGCCGGAGGGACAGGTGCCGGTTGCCTCCCCGAGACACACGTCTTTGATGTACAACGTGTAGCCGTCACAGGTTTTCCCGATGTCGCCCTGTTCTTGCTCCGTGCGGCAGCTGCCACCCAACTGCGGGTACGTGGGCCCGCGCCCCCCGTCCGAAACGTCCGCCTTGGTTGCCACCTGCTGTCCGTTGAAATGCACGGTGTACTCCCCCGGTGCCCCCATGTCGAGGTCAATGCGGTTCCAAGCGTCGGTCGGTATTTCCGTGGTCGAGACACAATCGTCCTCCCGACCGAATTTTTGCGCATCGTTTCCTGGGAAGGTACACAGGAGAACCTGGCCGTTCCCATAGTGCTGGTTCTGCCCGAAAATTACCTGCAGGATGCTGCCGCTGTCGGTCCAGAAAAACATTTGATTGACCCCACCGAGGGTTTTCGCAACGTCGGTGATGTAAACGGAGAAAGAAAACCGCTGGTTGTCGGGGTTGCGGTCATTGTTTGAGGACCCGTCGGCGCCGGATTGCCACAGTGGCGAAATAAAGGAGCGCATAGGGGACCTCGCAGCGTCTTGCGCGGTCCAGTATTGCTCGCTGATGCTGAAGCGCACACCCATACTGGCGTCGAAGTCTGATCCTACCCGTTGCGCATTGCAGTCGTCAAGCTGCCCTTCCGGCACGTCGCTACCGCTCAGCCAGCCGGTAATCCAGCGGGATTTTTCGTCAACGTTCCACTTGATCGAGTGACCCTGTCGGCACAGATCAGCCCTTTTCGCTCCCGTAATCCACACCTCTCCGTCCCAATCTGCAGCACCGGCTGCGTTGTTGCAGGTGCAGGACCCGCCTGTAGTTTCGAGGTGATTATGTGTTTTTTGCGCCGCGATTGCGCTCTTCATCATCTTCGACGAAGCGGTAGTGGCGAGCTGTAATTTCGAAGCTGTGGTTTGCTTGGTGTGCTTTTTCAACTGCGTGCGAAGCGCATTCGCGAAAATACTCTGCTCTCTTTGGTGCAGACTGGCGAGCAGCAGGATGCTGCTCATGGCCGGAGATCTCCGTTTCATGATTATGCGCGCACTGTTCGTAGTACTATCATAAGGCATTTTAATTTTTCGAGCCTCCACCTGGTAACTATCGTTATATAGTGCTCTTGACTTGAGGTTCAGTCTCTTGCTCTTCGAAAATGACTCGCACAATGAAAGATAGTGTCTGACTTCGGAAACACTTCTGAAGCGAATTATTACACGTGACGTTCGTACTGTAACAAGGGGGTTGCGCAAGAGGGATGAACTGCAGAAACGTATTGAATTCGAATCGCTACTCAAAGAGGTGACGACTATGAGGAAAACAACACTTCGCCAGCTAGCAAAAATAATGAAAAGCAAAAGAGAAACGGAAAGCAAACAAGATAACAAGAACGACAACGACAAGTACGCGATTTCAATTTGCGAAGTTCTTGAGTTCCCATCGCGCACGAAATCGCGGAGGTGAGCAACAAATTCCTACGGCATAACGAAAACGAAAAGCTGGATAGATCTTTTTATTTGGATCTTCATGCAGTACGACACACCATTGAGTACGACTAGGCACGACAACGAAGTTCTTGTAGACGATTGCAACGAAACAGTGCCAGAACGCATGGCCATGGGAACATACTACACTGTAGGAATCCACCGGCGCAGCTCGCCAAAAGGCTGCCCGCACTTCCCAGTTTATATATAGTCATGTTTTTTTCTTTCCCGGATTTGCGCTGCCAATGGAGGATTTTGCTCCGCATGGTTTGAAGGCAAGGGGAAGCTTGTTCAAATGAAGCTGTGAAAATGTCGCGTAGTTTCTTGTTTTTCATGACAATAAATCTTTGTACGTCGTAAAAACTTGAACTTTTGTCGCTCTTAGCTCTGCACACTCGTGGACAAATCAATTAGAGCTTGGACACCCGTTAGAATTTTGATGGGTGATTTTATAGTGATTTTAGGGCTTTATTCTCAAGCACGGCGCCGAAAAAAAGACGCCTCATTGCCTTCAGAAGATTTCTCTACTTTTGTCCCTGAGAGCAAAGGAGAAGATACCAACAAGAGGAGACAAAGGAGGGCCAAAAAACAAGCGCCATACCATCGGCATTCCAGGCATAATTTTTAAAAATTCAGAAGGCAAAATGCGCAATTTCCAATGCGGCGAGCGCTCCCAATTTTTGCGCTGCTTTTTTCGACACACGAGACCAAAACTGACGCCGCTAAGTCTTGCCGATGTCCCTACTACCGCCGGGATTGGCACTTTTTCGACGCGAATTCTACCTGGCCAAGTCGGCAATTTTCCATGCGGATTGGGTTTGGAATTTTTGCCGTCCGGATGTTGGTGACTTTAGCGGTGACTTTAGGGTGACTTTACGGTGACTTTACGCGTTGCGCGCCGGCAACCTGCATGCTATGGTCGATATTTTGGCTCCAAAATGGAGAGCCAAAGCATCTTTTTTTGTTGTAAAGTCACCAGCAACTTTTTGCCAACTTTTTTGAGCCGCAAAAAAGCTGTTTTTTTAAGATGACGCCGTAACGTGCGGTTTAAAATCATTCACGATGGCGCTCGGTGTTTTTTTTTGGCTGGCCTTTTGCAACATCCACGCACAAAAACGACGAAGCAAATTCATAAGCGAAAGGAGAAAAGCGCAGTGGTGTTGGGAGCATGCTATTTTGGTGTTGCTCGCGGTATTTTTGCGACGTGTTTTTTATCGAAGTCCACCCGAAAAACATCGCCGACACCATGCAATGCCCGCCGCAATTCCTTAGCCTGCTCAGGCAAATACTCACCACACGCCTGGCGCAGGCACACATCGACGAGCTCGGAAAATCAAAGACCTAACGCGCCCTCTCTGCATAAAATCACACTAAAATCACCAGCCTCTTTTCTAACGTCTGTCCAAGCTGTAAACAAATCAATCTTCACCAGGGAAGCGTTTGCTTTGTTTTATTGGTTGATACTACGAGGACGTTTATTTGTAGCGTCTAGGCGAAAACAAAGGCGTATCTGTAAGTATCATACTTGTATTTCCCAGCACATGTAGTAGCGCGAAGGTAAAAAGCGTAGAGCCGAAAACCCTAAAATACTTCTTCCATTGTCGTATAGCTATTTGGCATAAAATCTTTGCCCATGTTCAAAGGAAGCTGCTGCAGGTCTTACGACTTACAGACAGTTCCCAGAACTGCGCGGAAAATTTTTCTGCTGCTGTGGGTACAGATCTAGTAGTTGAGAAAGACAATATGAAGAACGTAGTCCTCTCGGTTGTCTGTCATAAAGTTGTAAGCGCCTACATCTTTTGCCCAAGCTGGCCCGCACTCAGAAGACTTATTCTGAATACGGGGCCGGTTCTGGTCTTGGTAAGAGAACCCACTTGACAACAAGAAATTGAGTTGCTGTTTCTGCTGCGTTTGACACGTCAACTACACAAGCAACAAAATGGGTAGCTTTTAGTGGTGTGCGTTGGAATTGAGTGATGATTGGACTACTAGTGCTGCAAGAAGAACCCGGGTATTGGAAAGACAGTTCCTCCCTTTTCCCTCTAGTACAACCAATTTGGTCTTTAGTACTCAAATGCTGTTATCAGACGTACTTCAAGAGCTCGTCGTGGGGACTCACACCAAAGGCGGGCTGCGCCGTCGGAGATACAATCCCGCCTCAGTGTCGCAGTCGCATCGCAAGCTCGAGTTACAAATACGACGATCAAAGGAGAGGACCTGATCTAGAAGCAGCGCCAAAAGCGAAGTCATCTGATCGTGAAGATGCCCAATAATACATAGATTAGCATGCGAAAGCCGCTGTAATTCCATTTTTCCCGTCCCTAACAAAATGTAGCTCGCTGATAACTACCAGCAAACGAGGTTGAGCTCAAGTTCTAGATTACAACGAATCAAAGCACAGCAGAGCGGGTCCCAGTACGTAGTCGCTGCTTGGCTCTTTCTTCCAGATCTAGTTCTAGTCACTAGTCTGAAAGTGAACCTAGATTTGATCAACCTCTTTGAACAAGAGCATTTCGTCTCTTTGAAAAGAAGTACTCCACCTTCTTGCGGCCGCTCTTGCGGCCGCTCCCCGGGTGTACAAGTTCGAGCACCAGATCCAATTCACAGATCATCACCAATTCGCTACCTACGTCGACACACCGTCCTTATTTTCTTCAGAGATGCTGCACACATCATCTTCATCGCAGATATTGACTTTTCAGCAGCTGCGTCGTTATTTGTTGTCCCGAGTCGGAAGATGAACTGCTCCCGTCCGACCGAGTCGGAAGATGAACTGCTCCCGTGTCGCTACTCCTTGATATGAAAACGGTTGTTCCTCTATCCTTGCGCGTTGACTGCGTCAATCAAGAAGGGCGAGATTTTGTCCGCCGTCTTCCGCAGTGTGTCGATCACCATCAAGTTGCATTTCAAGAAAGTTTCCTTCTTGTATTCAAGGCCGTGCTTCTTGCAGAACGGCAGAATTTTCTCGTCGCGAAGTCTGCGGAGGTTATGTCTGGGGACGCGAGGAATCAGATGGTGCACCGCTTGGAACTGGAGGCCGCCGTGGAACCAATCCATGTAGGATGGACAGTCTGTAGTTTTGTAGTTTGTACACGTTTTTGCTTTGATGTTATTGTATCCATTAAAAATTGCATTTACTTTTCAATATTATGAACACGACTTTTGTCAGCAACACAAAAAATCTACAAAGTCTTATACCAACGTCGATGGTTCCCTGGAGTTGCAGCTGGATGAAGTTCAGCTTGTCGTTCCCGAGCGGGTTCCCGTCCACGACCGGGCAGGGGAAGTGGGAGATGGTGATTTGCACGTGCAGCAAGCCCGCGACGGCGTGGGATAGCAGTAGAAACGCCACCCGTTCGCCCATGGTCGGGAGCTGCGCGACGAGCAGCGAGAACCAGGCCCAGAAGAACCCGAGACACGCGAGTTCCTTGGCCCGTGACTTACCGCCCCACCGCCGAAAAACGGGGTAGGGGGCGAAACACAGGATCAGGGACTGTGCGTAGAGGTTGAACCTGATATTAAAGTTGGGATTTCATGTTTGCTGGGTTTGTTCATGAGACAGGATACAGTTACAGTTGCAGATGGCAGCTGTTGAAAACAATCATAGAAATATTGATACTCAGCACAGGCTCCTGCTGTACCATAAATAAATGCAGATGCAAGGTAAAAAAGAGAAAGGCGTTCATACCTTGCCAGCGCCAGGATCGGGTAGTAGAGGATGTGCTGGTACTGCAGCAGCGTCTGGGTGACCTTGTCGAAGTGGAGGGTTTTCATGTGGTACTCGGAGAAAATGTTGTTGAAGTATTTCTCCTATCAAATGTAAAAATGTCTGGGTCTGGAAGAGTGCCAGACTTGTCATGCATATTTTGTATCATGATTGATGCCTCTAATCCATGATCTAGCAACACAGATTTTTAGAGGGCTTCCTAATGCCTATTCCGCATGAGAAATGCCCTCTCCGCGTAACACAAACTGGACCCCTCTTGCTGGTCATGCAATACAGACTTTTTTTAGAATGCAGAGACAGTATCACAAGTTGCAATCATCCAGACCCAGACATTTTTGCAATGCATATCTCCGTGACCGCGAACACGGGCAGATGCTGGATATCCGGGTCGTACTCCACCGAGTTGGTTACCAGGTGGTGGACGTTGTGGGTGGCCTTCCACCAGCCACCGGAAATTCCGGACATGGCGTTACCCCAGAAGAGGCTGTGTTAGAGTGTTTTTTTGTGATGGTAAAATTCTCGCTTCATTTGTCATCTTTACGCGCAGCAAAATATATCGTCACGAAAGTCCTCGACAACTTCGTTTATCGGTTTCAAAGAAAAGCTCGTAAAGAAGTAGAAAAGTATGAAAATAAATCTTTTTTATCAATACCCGAGGCACTCATCCACGAACAAAGAGTGTGAGACGCCGTTGTGCCCGGTGTCGTGGCCGATGAAGGCGACCTGCTGGAAATAGCAGCCGAGGATATCAAATGCAAAAGTGTCTGGGTCTGGAAGAGTCATGCTGTTTTGTGCATGACACAGAAGGTCTGGCATGGAAGCTCTAGCATTACAGGTTTCGAGAAGCTTCCGCAATGCCGAATCCGCATGACAAATCCCCCACTTTGGTGGCAGAAAGCGGGCAGCTTTTGCTACCCACGCATGAGAGATTTTTCTGTTTTCTGAAATGCGCATCACAAGTTTGCACTCTTCCAGACCCAGACATTTTTGCAATCCATAGAGGAGCACCGCGGACAAAATCGTCCTGATGTAGTAGTTCTCGGTCCCGTAGACCACACAGGCGACGCTGCTGAAGAGCAACAGAAAGTATCTCAGCTGCACGCCGAGGTAGAACCACTTGTCAGCTTCGAACCAGGTCTTGTCCTTCTGGATGTCTTCCACCATGGTGGCGAATTCCGTTTCCATCTTGCTAGCCTCCGTGTCCACGTAACCTACGAGGAAGCGTTTCAGAAGGGGAGCGACGACTTCCTCTCGGTGGTTGCCCAGGAAGGAAATCTGTGAATTTGTGGTGTTTTTTTTTTTTGTAAGGAGAACTGGAAAGAATAGGTGCTGAAATTGAATGATGCAGAACATAACCGGCTGCAATTTTGTTCGCAATGACAAAAGAAGAGCTGTGGTGCTTCCCTACGCGCCTGCACATGAGATGAAAGTATATATTGCAGTCGAAGGTAAAAAGTAGCTTGATGTTATACCGTGATATCCGACCCCCTTCCGTCTCGGAGCAGAATTTCGCCCCCGGGGTGCTGCATCATGGCCCATTTTTCTGGCACTTTGTACACCTGCTTCTTGATGATAAACAAATAGTCGCCATCGGTTTTTGCCTTCTGGGCCACCTCTTCCCTAGTGTACAGACGGTAGTTGGTCGGTCGCGCTCCTGCCGTCACCCCTCGTCTGCTGGTGCTGGCGGTCGCGTGCTCTTCAGGCACCAGCGGCACCACACTAGGGCCCCGAGGCTCGTGGATACACATAGTTGAAGTTTGCGTCACTTTGCCCAAGGTGTTGTCGTGTTTTCAAAAAGAAAAAAAAGAAAAACTAGGGTGGGACTTTTGACGTCATTGTCGAGCTTCTAAAAATGCGTTGACAAACAATAACGTGCATCAACAAAAATTAGTGAAGATGTTGAGCTTGGGTCAACAAGGGGTAGGCTCAAAATTATTGTGTTCTTGGGTCCTGAGGCGAGATTTGTGGGGACAAAAGGTTTATAAATTTGAATACTGTTTTTCGGGACACATTAAAAAATCGACGTGGTTTTTTTTTCGATGCTTCTGCTTTTAGGTTTCTGGGTGGAAGACGGTCTTCTACGTAGAACAATTTGAATTTCATCCCGAACAGCCGTAGATCCATTTCCCAAGCATTTTTTTGTACGATAATTCATTTACGTCATCTCTCGATGTGCGTCTTAAGCACTGGAACTGGTGTACGAAACCGATTCAAAAAATGCGGCTGCTTTTACTTTTTTCGTTTTTGTGGTTTTTATTTTCCACTTTGCCGCGGGATTTCGTGAAATACGAAACATGAAGACCGAAATTTCGTTTGCTGCTTCAGTTTCCACTCTGTGTGTCTTTTTGGGGTCTTCTATTGCTTATTCTACGAGAAAGAACGAAAGCGGCAAGTAGCGCATGGTGGACCACACGGAAACAGATGTGATAAGTAGAATACCTATAACGCCCCGTCTGCTCTCGTTGTTTTGTTCTTCGTGAAAATGAGGAGCAAAAACTACGGTTGTACGCCGAACAAGCCGAACACATCCAATTAAACTAATCCACGGCAACAGTAGGGCTGCGAGCCGAGGAGCGGAAAGCCAAAAACCGGCTCAAGTAATTGATGATGATTTTCTGTACAACCAGCGATTTCGGTCCTTCTGAGAAAATTTGATGGGTTACACGAGCACGAGAGAGTGAGAATTTCTCCCGAAGAGAAGATCTCCGACCGGGAAAACTCTGCATTCCTTCGATTCATTTTCATTTTTTCATGACAAAAGTTATACACACAAAGTTCGTTTTTGTTCTTGAACGTTGTATCAATCGCGAAATAGTAGCAACATCGAGTTTCTGCGACACGTTTTTTGGAATCATGTAACCAGTCACCAAAAAAACAACAATCTGCGCTCTAGCTCATGTACGTGTAGTTTTTCTACCAGGCTGTACAATATGGAGAACGATCTGGCGATCATTATTTGCGTCTATCATCTCTGAACAAAGCCGCATCTATTTCTGGTATAGCAAGAACAGGTGACACTGGCATTGATTTGCGTGATCTGGAAATCTTCAAACCTGTGGTGAAACAAAAATCGAATTTCTAAGAAGCAAGCTTCTAGAAGAGTTTTGTACGGTCATCGTTTCGTTAGAGCATCCGTCCCGCTGTTATCATTGAGAAAAACCGCAGGTCCAGACGCTAAATAATGTCGTATCTATGTATGAGTATGTATGAAAAAAATGATTACTTCTGTGTGCAAGAACCTGAGCACGTTTGCTAGAAAATGTTCCGCATGTGATAAAAGACAACTGTTAAAGTTGCTCGAAATCAGTCATTGTTTCATTGTAATTGTTGGCTTGACATTTGTGATGGCGGCCGAGGTAGCCACTAAATCGCAAAAGTTTTTGCCTGCGCCTGCCAGAATTCTGGTTTGCCGTCTAGAATGTCGAATGTCATGCAGACGTGTTTCTCAATGTCTTCAATTTGTGGCACCGTCATTCCCGCCAAAAGCCTGTCCCATTCCGTTACGGTTTCTGTACCATGCCCGACCTCTTGCGCCGCGCCCCGCAAAAACTCCCGGACCCTCGCTTGGCAGCCATGCAACGAAGCGACCACTTCCTTTCCGTCCTCGTTGTTGGTGTTGAGGTTCAGTTCCGGAAAGAACAGGTTCATGATCGACGGATAGTCGTGCAACGCCGATTGTAAATGTCTGGCGGCGACGAGCAAGCGTTTGCCGAGCTGGTCCGTTAGATGATTCTGCAAAGTGAGTAAAGAACTCTGCTGCGGTCCAAAAAAATCTGCTCCAGCAGCCCCTGGAGGTGGCGGGAGGCCATCTGCTGCTCCCTGGTGTGTATCATGATTTATTTTCCCTGCACTTGAAGACGGAAAGAGTAGCCCTTGCTCTTCCAACACGGCTCTCTGCATTATGAAACTGCACAACTCGCTCTTCTTCATCATGCATCAAAACGCCAAACCCAATTTCTCTTCGTAGAAATGTTTGCATGACAAACTTCTCCAAAAAGTAGCCCAAACAATACGAAACTCGCCGATGCAGCCATACACATGATCAGGCTTGTTCGTGTTTTTACTCGTTGTTGGCGTTTTTGTTGTTGTTCATATAATTGCCCTCCAGATGAGTGTTCAGATGAACGTTGTGCACTCTCGTCATATGAATTCCCACTTTCTCGACCACCAGGTCGAGCTGTGTCAAATAGATCGGCCTCAGTGTGCGGATCAGCCACTGCACTTCCGCATACACCGACCTTTTCTTCACGTCGTTGTTCACTATCATCAAGTTGGAACAGCTCCGGGCGATCTCATCTACCGGCGTGGAACTCCTGTGGTGACGTTCTCGGATATCAAAACGAAAGATCCCCCCTCGTCCCCATACACGAAACAAAGCCGCTAATGCTGCTGGATTTTTTGAGTACGCATAAGCTCTGTCTTGCAGTAAAAAGGGACTGCGCGACGCATACCCTCAGCCTGATTAGGAGCGTCATCATCATCATGTAGTGGACACCCGCACCCAGCGCCACAGGTCAAGGATCCCCTCCCCGGGGGGTGGGCGAGGAAGCACTTTCGGCGACCTCAACATACAAAAGCCGAGCGCTACCACGGCAAGTCGCCCCAAT